TGGTCCATTTGAACATCAGTTGGCATTTAATTTGAACTGTTGAAAACTTCTAAATATACTAGTATTTGTCATGTGACAGCTTGTGTCTGCGATATTTTTGAGTTATATATTACATAAGACCAATTATTTTTGTTGATATCACAGGATACTATGTTATGGCATTCAACACTTCGACCTGGGATAAAGTTATATATGGATTGTGAAATATTTACAATAAAGGTCTAGATCAATTAGTTATACACTTATAAACAGTTTATATATTAGCTCAATTAGATTAATCAAATCTTAATACAACATGTGCACTACTTTTACACCAAACCTGTGTAATATTATAATGGTGAGTACCAATGATTACAGTAAAACCTGTATAATTTCGTGGTCACATTTGCTCTGATTTTCAGGACCTGCGTTCGGCTGATGAGTATTTTATTCAAATTGCATTCAGTTTTCAAGAAAACACTCATGGGTCAGGCACATGTACTGAGCATCAGAGCAAATTTGACCTAGCCAAACTACAGTAAAACCTGTATGAATAAACAACCCTTTTTTCCAGCTCCAATATATTAGACTTTACATTGACTCTCATGTTTTCACCTCACATAGTGAACATTTGATTAGATCTAGTCATCATTTCCTTGATATTTCTATATTTTCAAATAACTGGTATATATAAGGAAAGGATGCAACAAGCATTTGGGGAACTTAAACTTGAATGTGTAATATTATAACCCTTAGGAATTAGTATCCCCTTTGCAATATGTGTATTATATGTATTATAGGGACCTAATCATAACTACTAGTTCACATAGGTGAGCTGTTTTAATCACTCACTTATTTGTCCATCTGCCCCTTCCTTGTGCCTTCATATTAAATCTGCCGATTAAAAGCCACAAAGAGAGAAAGTAGTCCTTGAGGGACTTTATTTTTACATGTTTCATGTTCATGTTTTTCAAATTAGCCTCCCTAATAATGTAATAAATTTAGGTCGAAGTTGCAATTTTCTGTTTTCAGTTCTTAGAAATAGGAAGTTTTGTAACCCCATAGAATGATTAATGCCCAGTTGTTAGACATATATACTGTATTTTTGTCAGGAGGATTAATCTGTGCCACAAAGAGTAGAAAATGAGTAAGAAATCAAATTAGATGATATATCAGATCTGCATACCCTACAATGGTTGTATTTGAGCATAATAATGATTATATTGAATTACATTATTGGTCAATCCTGATATTAGCTGTAAATGATGATTTGAATGGTTGAATATCTTCCTGATAAGAAAAGTCTATAATAAATCAAATTAGTATTGACCGCTTATAGGAAAAAATTGTTGTAGATTGAGAGAAAAATAATTTATATTAAAAATTGGGGTCAAGGTAAGGATATGTGTATGTTTTATGAAAATGATGTTTAAACTTTTAAAATTACTACTCTTATCTCTTCAAAAAGTACAGAAGCAATTTACTTTCCCATCATAGAAGGAAAACTAATTGAAAATGCTGAAATATCAAATTTGAAAGATATCAAATTTTGGTGACCAAAATTAGGCTGAAAATTATGGACCGCGTGAGTTTCCCTATGGGAAAATTATGTTGGATGTGTTATTTTTAGCTTTATCACATTTTAATGCCCTTCCCCCTTCCAGTAATTACTGACACAATGCAGAAGAAACCTTCCGTGTTGTAAAAATGCATCCTCCGATCACAGGGCTTCAAAATCCAGAATATCTTCTTTCTTTTTACCCCCTGCTATAAGCAGTTAGCATTTTCCCGATTAAGAACTCCCAATTTGATTCGCTGTCGCAACACTGCGACAGCAATCATGTATACGTCATTGGTGCATAATTAGATCACGTGATTCACTTTAATCGGGCGCTTCCATCTTGGTTATAGCAGGGGGGAAGGAGGAGGTACGGATTCTGGACACCTGCTTAGGAGGATGTTAAAATGAGGAAAAATCTGTTTTTTCTAGAAATAAGTCAGATATTTTGAAAAATGTGTTGAGGTAGGGTCCTTATCCATGTTTTTAGCTCACATGGTGAGCTTTTGCAATCGCTCACTTGTCCGTCTGTCTGTCCGTCCGTCCGTCTGTCTGTCCGTCCGTCAACAATAGTGGCACGTTTTAAAACCTCTGTCGATAGGATTCCTGTTTTAAGTTATTTCTGTTCAACATCAATACAGAAAACTCCCCTATGACTCCTGGTTCAAAAGCTCGCCTATTTTCAAAATGGCCGCCATTTTTGTCTCGCGAAATTCACTTTTGACTGGCACGTTTTAAAACCTCTGTCGATAGGATTCCTGTTTTAAGTTATTTCTGTTCAGCATCAATACAGAAAACTCCCCTATGACTCCTGGTTCAAAAGCTCGCCTATTTTCAAAATGGCCGCCATTTTTGTCTCGCGAAATTCACTTTTGACCCATTTCCTAGCTTTACAAATAATTTCAGGTGTCCTACATTGTAAAAATCTGTTTCAATGTAAAGAGTAGATATATGAAATAATTTTGTTACAAAAAATCAGCGAAAAATTATATCTATTTTTTTATTTTCAGCCATTTTAGTTAACATTGATTTGTCCATCTGACTTGTGAAATCCACTTTTCCGTCAACAACAGTGGCACGTTTTAAAACCTCTGTCGATAGGATTCCTGTTTTAAGTTATTTCTGTTCAACATCATTACAGTAAACTCCCCTATGACTCCTGGCTCAAAAGCTTGCCTATTTTCAAAATGGCCGCCATTTTTGTCTGGCGAAATTCACTTTTGACCTATTTCCTAGCTTTACAAATAATTTCAAGTGTCCTACATTGTAAAAATCCATGTCAATGTAAAGAGTAGATGTATGAAATAATTTTGTTACGAAAAATCAGCAAAAAATTATATCCATTTTTTTTATTTTCAGCCATTTTAGTTAACATTGATTTGTCCATTTGTCTCGCAAAATCCACTTTTGGACCATTTGCCTTAAACCCTCTGTCGATAGGATTTCTGTTTTAAGTTAATTTTGTTCAACATCAATACAAAAAACTCTCCTATGACTCTTGGTTCAAAAGCTCGCCTAATTTCAAAATGGTCACCATTCTTGTCTCGCGAAATTCACTTTTGGCCCATTTCCTAGCTTTACAAATAATTTCAGCTGTCCTGCATTGTAAAAAGCCATGTCACTGTAAAGAGTAGTTGTATGAAATAATTTTGTTACAAAAAATCGGCAAAATATTATATCAGTTTTTTTTATTTTCAGCCATTTTAGTTAACATTGATTCGTCCATCTGTCTCTCAGTCAGTCCAAAAAAGTATCAAGTTTTAAACCTCTGTCAACACTTTTTAAATCCTCTGTAGATAGGATTCCCGATTTAAAATAATTTTGTTCAACATCAATAAAGAAAAAAAAACTGTGACTCCTGCTTCAAAATCTCGCCTAATTTCAAAATGGCCACCATTTTTGTCTCGGGAAATTCACTTTTGGCCCATTTCCTAGCTTTACAAATAAGTTCAGGTGTCCTGCATTGTAAAAAGCCATGTCTTTTTTATTTTCACTTTTGAGCAACACCATGTGAGCCCAGTACCCACGGTACTAAGTTTTTTGAGATTCGATTGGTGATTTTAGTATGCTGAGGACCTCAATTGAAGGAAAACGTATGATTTGGATGAGACATGTTGAATTTACTTTGAGAAAATACTCAGGGTCAAAGATGTGACTGTTTAAATCATTTGCCAAGCCATACCTGGTCTTTTGAGTATTTTGACTAACTTTGGACATTTCGGTGCAAAAATAAATTTTCACCAAGATGATAAAACCTCTCAAGGAAGTACAAAACAGGTCAAATTGAAATACAATATGTAATTGGCCTGTATAAAACCCAAATCTCTTTTTTCCAATGCCCAATTTTGGATTTATCCAACTTAATATTTTTAAATATTTCTCAGCTCATATTTTATCTAATAATGGATCACTCACCTGTGCCTAACATAATATATTATGAGCCTAATGGCAATGACTATATATTATACAATGTCTATTGATTCATGTATGGAGATAAAGGATTGCATGATAACCATGTTTGATAACAGTTGTAACTCTTCCCAGCAGATGAGCACCTGAACAGGTATCAAAGAATATTCCATAGTTAGCATGATATTCATAGAATAACATGTCAAAATAAAAATGGTATTTTTGTAATCAGTGGTAAAATATGATATTTTGACAAATTTTCATTTAACCATAGCATACGGTGTTTTAGCCATGACATACAGCGCCGTATGCTATGAATTATGGATTTTTGCTACTTCAGACTCAAAACGTACCAGAATGAACATTTGTATTCTATCTTGGATCTGTTTTTGAGAAAACTAGGGCAGATTACTTTAAGTAGGTAATAATTTAGATGCAGTGCATAACATGTCGGTATACATTTTGCTCACACTTCAAAACTCTAAAGATAACAGTTATCTTTTCCAGATAGTAATTTAAAGACATAAGTGTAAACTGTCTCACTGGTTTGAATTCTGGCACGTTTCATGCTAAATAAATTGATTTCATTTCTCTACTCATAATAGAAGATGTGCTGTTAAACACTTTAGCAAGTTTCTTCAGATGGTTTTAGTGTCAGTCTTCAACAGCAAGGAGAATGTCCATGATCTTGACATCTGCACTTTATGGCCATGATCTTGACATCTGCACTTTATGGCCATGATCTTGACATCTGGACATTAACTGACGAAATCTGAAGATTATCGAAAACAAACAAAAATGTGTTCATCCTTATTCTTAAAATGATGTATTCACTGTACATGGAGGTTTTATTGTATATCTTTCCCAGAAAAAGCTTTGAGAATTTTGTGAAGAACGAAATATAGTGTAATTCATATATTGCATGATTTTTTTCTAGAATTTTGCATGATGAGAAAATTATACATTGACTAGTACTGGAAAAACGATTGTATAACTGTCCTCATATTTTGATTACACTTTAATATTATTTGATTTGATTCATTTGTGCTTTCAGTGATCTTCAATGGCAGATTATCTGAAGTACCTTGGTACCACAGCAGGTGTCGCCACTATTAGCGCTGTTACTATAGCAGCAGGTTATTACATGATGGGAACAAAAACTACTCCAATGGATCCTTCTATAGATTTGAACAACCAATCACAGCTCGCACCGGTAAGTTAACCATATGTACGAATATAATATGGGAGGGAAAACATAAAAGTACATGTAGATATACAAAGTTATAGAAAAACATTGTAAAATAGTGAAACAACAAGAATGTTTGTACCTTCTGAGTGTAAGTATTGGTATGCTTTGGTATTACATGTTTTTGTTTCATGGAACTCTTAGGTCAAATAAAAATATACTGTTTCTACATGAAAGTATTTTGATTTTGGATATTTAAAAAACACTTTCATCAACCTGAACATCTTTTGAAGTCAATATTAGTTCCTTTTACACATCATTTTTATGCCTGTGATGTGTCTTAAACCCTAAATTAAATTAATTTCAAATTGACCTTACCCCCTAGTGGTAGGCATTATAAATATATATGCATACTTCTTGTTTACATAAACGCTAAGTAAAGTATAGAACTGCCTTTCTCAAATAATCAGCCTTGTAAAATCATGAACCCTAAATATGGTTAGAAATTTTTATTGTGAAACATTTTAGAAAAGAAATAGTAAACAACTTCATAAATACTAGGTTAAGTGACTTGCCTATTCCATGGGCTTTCAATCAGACGCTACCCCCTAGTTGAAAGCCCATGCCTATTCATCTCAGACCTTAGAAAGCTTAATCAAAATATATACTTTTGTTCAGTCATTCATTTTTTTCATTATCCCATCGAACGAAGTTCGGAGGGATAGAGGGAACGCCTCCGTCCGTCCATCCGTCCGTCCCTCCGTCCGTCCGTCCGGGCAATAACTCAAATACCGTTGGCCCGATTTTGTTCATGTTTTGTACACGTATACCCTAGAAATGTAGATATTAAAGAAGCACATGGCAGCCATCTTGAAAAATGACGGCCTTTACTCATTAATTTATGATTTTTGCTGTAACTCGAAAAGTAGTGGAGCGATTTTGTTCATATTTGGTATGTGAATACTATAAACATTGCACACTGTCTAAAGACACACTTTTGATAAGTGGCCACCATTTTGAAAAGTGGCCACCATTTTGAAAAATGGCCGCCATTTTGAAAAATGGCTGCCATTTTAACGTATTTTACTATAACTCGAAAAGTAGTGAAGCGATTTTGTTCATATTTGGTATGTGAATACTATAATCATGGCACACTGTCTAATGACACTTTTGGTAGAAGGTGGCCATTTTTCAAAAGTCGCCATTTTAACATATTTAACTATAACTCGAAAAGTAGTGGAGCGATTTTGTTCATATTTGGTATGTGAATACTATAAACATTGCACACTGTCTAAAGACACACTTTTGGTAAGTGGCCACCATTTTGAAAAGTGGCCACCATTTTGAAAAATGGCCGCCATTTTGAAAAATGGCCGCCATTTTAACGTATTTTACTATAACTCGAAAAGTAGTGAAGCGATTTTGTTCATATTTGGTATGTAAATACTATAATCATGGCACACTGTCTAATGACACTTTTGGTAGAAGGTGGCCATTTTTCAAAAGTCGCCATTTTAACATATTTAACTATAACTCGAAAAGTAGTGGAGCGATTTTGTTCATATTTGGTATGTGAATACTATAAGCATGACACACTGTCCTATGAAACTTTTGAAAGAAGGTGGCCATTTTGAAAAATGGCCGCCATTTTAACGTTTTTTACTATAACTTGAAAAGTCGTGGAGCGATTTTGTTCATATTTGGTATATGAATACTACAGGGTGGTCAAAAAAAACGGCAACCCTAGTTTTTCCTAATATCTTTGTCATTCTAAGGAATAACTCCCTGATATTTTACACATTTGTACATTATTCAATTTCCTACCAAACTACCACATTTCATGACCATCGGACTGATAGTCACAATTTTATTTCATTTTAAGCAACATACCCCAGATGGCCACTTTCGGACTGTCTGAGCTGGTCTGTTATCCAAATAAACTCCATTTCCAACTTGATGCACTGGTAAACTCTAACAATTATGTATTCTTGGGAGCCAAGCACTTTATGAAGTAGTGGAGAGGCACCTTCACACAGACAGATGCGCAGTTTATTGTGTTCTCAGAAGATAGGGTCCTTTTACCGTTGATGATGCTAACAGATATGCAATAACTGTCAACATCAAACTCTATTTTTGATTCCCATGGAGTTCTTGGGGACTTAAGGTGACCCCAGAGGGGTTGAAAGGCAGCAACAGTGGTTCCAACAAGACAGAACCATACCCCATACACCAAATGATGCACAATAATGGCTTGGGGATCACTTCAATGACCACATTATCAGCAGTACAACAGATAATGAATGGGCACCCCTTAGCCCAGATATGGCCCCATTTAATCTTTACCAGTGGGAATACCCCAACGATAGAGTGTAGGGTAAAAACACCAGAAAGACATTTGACCTCAATATAAAAATCACATGTGTCATTCAGGCCATACTTGCTGAGGAATGTTGTTATGTCATTGACAGGTTTGGAAAATGCGTGCAGGTTTGCCTACAGCATGATATTGGAAAACTGGGGCACCTTGTTCAAAGTGCTGTAACATTGCGACTGTCTGTCCAATGTTCATGAAATAACACAGTCTAGTATGAAATTGAATGATGTACATGTGTGCCAAATATCAGGGCAAAATTTCCAAAAATGACAAAGATATGAGGAAAAATTAGGGTTGCCGTTTTTTTTGACCACCCTGTATAAGCATGGTACATGATCTAATGACACTTTTGGTAGAAGGCGGTCATTTTTCAAAATGGCCGCCATTTTAACGTATTTTACTATAACTCGAAAAGTAGTGGAGCGATTTTGTTTATATTTGGTATGTAAATACTATAAGCACGCCACACTGTCTTATGGCACTTTTGGTAGAAGGTGGCCATTTTGAAAAATGGCTGCCCTTTTAACGTTTTTTACTATAACTTGGAAAGTCGTGGAGCGATTTTGTTCATATTTGGTATATGAATACTATAAGCATGGTACATGATCTAATGACACTTTTGGTAGAAGGTGGCCATTTTGAAAAATGGCTGCCATTTTTGCTATATACTTTGTTTGTAAAAATGCCATCCATGGCTGTTCGATGGGATTCGCTACGTTTTGGCGTTGCCGTTGTTCTGGTTTTTATTAAAAAGTGTATAATATGAAGCTCTATTTTGATGAAGCATAATCAAGGTATCATTAATGCCTACTTGTCTGTGGAACAACTCTAATGATTGCATCAACAGATACGTTTCAAGACATGTTTGTTTGATGTAGTTGTAATGCATTGATAGTTGTCTATCAAGCAATCCATATAAACTAGGATCTTATTTTACAATTGATTATCGGTTCCATTTATAGTTTGTAATGAACTAGAGTGGTTAACCACTGGATGTCCTATCATACCATTGTCTCAAATACGTTTCCATATATCTTTAATTATAATACATAAAGGAACGTCGCAAGATACTGTAGTTTCAATCTTGAATTTTTGGAAGAAAATCCAAAATTAATACCTATATTCAAAAAAGCGGTGTTATTTTCCCTTAATCCAGGCTATTTTGAAAAATGTTATTGTTTTATAATTCCATGTTTCCCCCTTTTTCAGGGTGACAAATATGCGAGGGTGTCCATGTTATGCAAGGATGGGGTCCTTCGTGAGTACATGTTTGAGGATGCTCAAACTTTACTTGAAGCTATGCAAAGAGGTGCCAGAGTATCAGGTATGTTTGCTAGGTATTTCATAACTTATTTATTTATTTTGCTTATTTTATAATGTAGCAAGCTACTACATAGTATAAGTTGGTATAAAATCACTAATATACCAACCAATGAAAGTATATTTCCTTGTGATTATTTGTCTTCACTGCACCACATGGAGAAAAAAGGAACATTTGAATATTCATTCATATTATGTAACGAATCTTTTACTCATTTTGTGCTAACTATAAAATCACCATTCGATTTTATCTTATCATCATTATATAAAGTTTTTAGTAGAGAATATGTGGTTTTCTGCATTATTGATTTTATCAATATGTGTTCTGCAAAAAGAAGAAACTATTGCACCCAATCCATTTTACAGTGATCGCTCTCAAATGGTAACCAAAGCTCACATTGTACAAATGAACAAACGAGTCAATGGTTGCATATTTTAATGCACATTTTTGTATCATTAGCGATCTCACCCGGAATACATGTCAGCAGTTTTCTGTATGTTAATTGTTTGTTACTGATTGAAGTACTGATTTACAGTCAAACCTTGAAAGTGGAACACCTTCATAAATGGAACACCTTCATAAATGGAACACTTCAGAGGTTACAAAATTGCTTTACAGAATGAGCCTGTGTAAGCCAAACCCCTTGTTGGTAGAACACTGTTTTTGAGGTACCAAGGTGTTCCAACATGTTTTACTTAACATATAATCGCATTTTTTAACTTAATTTTACTTAATCATTGATTTTTATTCTACATTAGAGAATGGTCCAGCAGTAGGCTGGCGAGAAGCTCCAGACAAACCATTCACATGGACCCACTATAATGATGTAAGTTTCATGTATTTAGAAGCTTTAATATCTATATGTAAAAGTTAAAAAGTCACAATGAAGAAGGACCAGGCACAATGGGTATATTACTAGAAACATTCTTGAAATTGATAATCTCTGAGTCTAGTCTCCAACTTTTTTGTGTTCGGCATTCGGTGGTTGATGTTTGGCATTCAGTGGTTGCCTGTTGGTGTTTGGTGTCTAACAAATGGCAGGTGGTGAAATTTTTCATCTTAATGCCTTGTTTTGTGTTGAATCACTGTTTAGCATGTTGGGGATTGTTGGCTCGTTATGCTTTTCAATGTTTATTTTTCAAAAATGTATTTTTAATACCATTTGGTTTTAAAGTACATCCGCTGTATTATTGTTTGCAGGTATTGACCAGGGCCTCTAATGTAGGAGCAGGTCTTATATACAAGGGATCCGAACCTGGGAATAAATCACATATCGGCATCTATTCACAAAACAGACCCGAGGTATGAACATAATAACATGTGTACATATTGATATGTTTTGAATCTGAAACATCTGTGGAACTCTTTATGATCTCTACACCAAGAAGTAGTGACATTGTTGTATCCAAGTTTTTTTGTAACTCGCAATTAGCCTCAGCAGTTGGCAGCAGTTGGTAGCAGTAGTCAGCTTTTGTAACATTTTTTACACTTTTGAAATAATCAATAATTTACCAGATAATAATATTTGTCATATTTTTATATTGGGGGGGGGGGCATTTTGTTAATGTGTTTGCATATATGAAATAGGTTTATCTGAAATAAGAAAATATATATTTCTGCAAAAAACATCTTTTAGCTCTGAATTCAAAATTTGTTAAATTTCCCAGAAAGATTGAAGGATTGATATATTATTTAATTGATTTGGTTTGTTTTTCAGTATGTGTACTCAGAGTTTGGCTGCTATGTGTACTCAATGGTTATAGTTCCCCTGTATGACACGTTGGGACCAGAGGCTTGTACTTATATTATTAATCAAGGTAAGGCAATAGCAGTATTGTGTTCTCTATGATGGTTCAGGGACACAAAATGAAGTTAACAAATTTTGACATAACCCATGAAGACTGTCCAGATAAACTTCTTTTGTTCTTGAGCAAAATTTAATTGATTTAGTCTTATCAGTGTTTCATCACAGTGCGATATGCATTTTATGGATTGAAAATATAATCCAATGAAAATGTGCCTGTGTAACATCAATATACAGGGTGGGCCAAAAAATGCCTACACAATATAATTTGATCTCAACCCCATATGGTTTCATGGATTTATTTGTAGCTTGGCACAAGTTAAGTTGAAACAGTTATTTTTCAGTTTCATGTATTATTAGCATGTACATGACTGTGTCAGTATTAATCAAACTGCTTTATTTCAGCCAAACTAGAAACAGTGATAATAGATACAATAAGGAAATGTGAGACTCTACTGAATGAAATAGAGAACACCCCAGTGTTGAAACGTATCGTCTTGATACCAACCCCCACCCCTGAGTTAGAGACAAGAGCAAAAACAGCTAATGTAGAGATAATAAAATTCAGTGATCTGGAGGTAAGAAACACATACTTGTTTTAAATCAGGTTTTTCTTTATGAAGGAATCAAAAACACTATTTTGTAATGGCAAATGCTTATTCGCTATTTTTTATTGAATTGTTGTATACAATACCTAATGATTGAATGTGGTTAAATCAATATGTTGAATTGAAATTAGTGCAAACATCCAGAAAATCAATCCTTTTTTGTAACATTTCTTAGACTGATTGCATTGTACATATTTAATCTTTTCGGTGATTGTTTTTCAGAAACTGGGAGAAGAAAATCCAGCAACACCTGTGGTATGTACATGTATAATCATGGGAAATCATATCAGTAAACTGCACTTCACCTACGCTAATTTAAAAAAATAGAGCTAAAATAGATGGAAATAGCAACATTGAAAAGCCAATAGAGATACTATACAATCATTGCAACAGGCATTTTCTGCATATTTATATTTGGTTTCTGCCCAAACCAAAAGTGGTCACTTAAGTTCATAGAAATCATTTGTTTTCGCTTCTCTTTCATGAGGGATAAAAAATTTATTTGACTGAGCGTCTTTGTTGCAACATACCTCAACCAAAAGTTCAACCAAATGTTTAGTGCATTATATATTTTAGAAACCAAGGCCAGATGATTTATGCACAATTTGTTACACATCGGGAACGACAGGTAACCCTAAAGGTGCGATGATTACACACAAGGGTCTCATTGCATGTATATCTGGGGTACAGGATCAGCTGGTGAGTTGATTTCTTCTGTTTTTATCATTAATTCTTATGTAATCCATGTTATACTAATGTGCTATTAATGGACAGAATTTTAAAAGTTTTTCCTAGAAGACAATATGACAAGTTCAAAAGTTTTAGGGTTATTAGGAGCAAAATTACAGAAAACAGCCTGCATCCTGTGAAACATCTCTTACTTTTTATGATTATTTTCATCTGTTCAGGTTTTCTGGTTAGTTTGGTGTGTGATATGACAAACAGCTATTTTGTGCTGTTAGTAACAACCTAGAGCGCTGCTCCGATGGTCATGCAGCACACATGATGAATCAGCGAATAATTGCAATACAATGTACTTTCTCTTTTAACATTAATTATTTATTGTCTATTCATTTCAGAATTTTGTTGACATTGGCCCAAGTGATGTGTTAGTATCCTACCTTCCTCTTGCCCATATGTATGAGAGACTTTGTGAGTCTTACTGCTTCATGAACGGAGCCAGCGTCGGATATTTCCAAGGTATTTGGGTGACTTGTTTGTAAATATAGGGGGCAGGAAAAACGGTCACCGTGATATTATTAAAATGAAGTTCTGTATGTCATGTCATCCAATCAATTTGCAGTATACATATATTTGCAATTCTGATTTGTACGTCAGAAAATCTTACTGAAGAATAACGTTTTTGAATATATTGGGATTCACATTAATTTGAGGTCTTATCAAAGTATTGCCTTATTTATTCAGAAAGAATGTATTGAATAGTAGATCAGAAATATTCAATAAATATCCAAAATTGCTGCCAAATGTTGGAATATGTTGAAATCTTGAGATATCTACAATGAAATATCATATTAAGACATCTTTCAGATTGATGAAATCTTGAAATGTAACAAATGATAGTTCTATGAAACACAATGAAATCCAATATTTAAATGAAGAAATACAGTAAAACCTGTAAATTGGAGCACAACTGTAAAGAACAGTTCTGTATGGAACAGTTTCCAAAAGTGCCTGGTCCCATTGACTTACATGTTAATGAAGGCTTTCTTAAAGGAGCACCTGTCTACAACGAACAATATTGGCCAGTACAAATAGTGTTCTAAACATACAGATTTTACTGTATTGCAATTTCGATTATGTGTCCTATTTTCCAGGTGATATCAAGACTCTGATGGATGATATAAAGGAACTGAGACCCACATTGTTCCCTTCTGTACCACGTTTGCTCAACAGACTCTATGATAAGGTATGCTAGCAAGGGAAATATGCAGCTTCATCCCGTAATGTCTGATATCCTGTACCGTGACTTAAAACAGAGCTAGGGTTGCTTCATTTGAACTTGGAAATGTGGCCATCTTGATCATTATTTCAATTTGACAATAAATGGAATTATATACAAAGGCATAATATATATTTGGTGTTGGAATAGAAATACAGATAATATGGCAAGCTTTGGATCTTTAATGTGATTGCGAATGTTTTTCATTTTAACATGCCTGGTTTTGTATGCTAAACCATACAATTAAACACCTTGTTATTTTCTGTTAAGGTGATGGCAGGAGTTAGCTCCAGTTGTATTAAGAAAACACTGTTCAATATGGCAATGAACAGCAAGATGAAAGATGTTCAGAAGTAAGTCATGTTTTATTTCATAATTTGTGTTGATTATATTGACACTTGTGTGGATTATGTCACTGTCCAAAGGGAGTATTGTGTGTGTCACCACCAGTGTGGATAATATCACTACCAGTATGGATTAGCTCACTGCTGGTGTGTGGATTAGGTCACCACTAGTATGGAATATGTCACCACCAGTATGGAATAGGCACTTAATTCTTTGTTTTTGGTTTTCAGAGGTATTGTTCGAAATGACACGATCTGGGACAAACTTGTGTTCAGCAAGGTGCAGCAGGCATTAGGGGGGCGCGTGAAACTGATTGTGACAGGAAGTGCGCCACTGTCATCAAGGGTCCTTAACTTCTTACGATGTGCTGCAGGTTGTGTGGTAAGCGCTTTACACTAAATATAATATTTTATATAATGGTTAAATGAGTTAATAATGAATGGATAATAATGAATAGAGGAGAAATTATATCATTTTCGTAGGAAAGAATTTTTTCTCTATAAATTGTGAAGGAAAAATTAGAGATAGTGAGCATCTTTTTCAAAAAATGAATTTCAAAATTATGTATACTCATATCAGATGTTACAGGTACACCTTTCTTACAATGCAGGTTATATAGATGAGAGTCTTATTCAGCGTATGAGCATTTTTCAGGATCTCAGTAAAGTTTACATATTTAAGATTCATTACACCCCTAGGTACTTGAAGGCTATGGATCAACAGAAACATCATCAATTTCTACACTACAGAGGCTCAGAGATGGAGCCTTAGGGCATGTTGGACCTCCATTATCCTGTTCCAAAGTCAAACTGGAAGATGTTCCAGAACTAAATTACTTTGCTAGCAATAACCAGGGAGAGGTTTGGAATGCATTTCCTGAGCTCGAAAAATGTTGTACTACAGTATTTACAAACAGACTGTACATGTTCCCAAGAAAATGTTGCAATTAAAGCTAGTTAATGATTGGGACTATGTGATAGACTGTATTGAATTATTTGTTTGCTTTCTTTCAGTTTTCCTGACCGTTTTCAAGGACCTGCTCTATATGTCTATATTTTATTTGTCTTTATACCATGATACTATTACCTCCCTGTGAACAACTCCATGGAATATGATTAATATTCACTTATAATTCTATTAAAATCATATTCACTTGGTTGTCCCCATGTTGTAATTATATTCACTTAGTTCTCCCCATATTGAAATCATATTCATGTGGTTCTCCCCATATTAAAATCATATTCACTTGGTTCTCCCCATATTGAAATCATATTCACTTGGTTCTCCCCATATTGAAATCATATTCACATGGTTCTCCCCATATTGAAATCATATTCACTTGGTTCTCCCCATATTTTATTCTTATACATGTAGTTAATAGTTAACAAAACTTAAATTGTTCAATTTCATGGTATAAAATCTCTATTTGTATGCATGTGCATTTAGTTCATTTTGTACTTTCCTATAGTAGTTGTTGTAGTTGGCCATATGATGTTGCTTTATCTTTTATCCAAATATATCATCATTTGCCAAATGAAATAAGGTAGTTGGACATTTTGTCACGTTATGGTGTAGAACATTCATCATTTTGCAATGTTAGGTTAACATTTCATCATTTACCATATTAGATAATGTAATTTATCATCATTTACCATGTTAGGTGATAGAACATTGTATCATTTTGCCATATTAGGTGAACATTTCACCATTTACCATATTAGATAATGTAATATATCATCATATACCATGTAAGGTGATATAACATTGTATAATTTTGCCATATTAGGTGGACATTTCATCATTTACCATATTAGATAATGAAATATATCATCATTTACCATGTTAGGTGATAGAACATTGTATCATTTTGTCATAATAGGTGATCATTTCATCATTTACCATATTAGATAATGTAATATATCATCATTTACCATGTTAGGTGATAGAACATTGTATCATTTTGCCATATTAGGTAATGCAATATATCATCATTTGCCATATAAGTAATAGAATATTTCTCCATTTTAGGTAATAGAACATTCTCCATTTTGCCGTGTTAGGTAATAGAACATTTTATCATTAATGGCCTAGTCACATAGCCCGGCCGATGAGGTTACGATGAGCCAGCCGTGGCGTTTGTTGCTTAAAACCGCATCGATGGTAGCTCGGTGAAATTTTAACTTCGGAGTTAAATTTCACCTGGCTCTCACCGAGCTCCCTCATCATGTCATCGCAGCTCCATCGTAACCACATCGGAAAACACGTCGGCCGGTGTCCCGTGCATCTGAGACAACCAGAGGACGAGGTTTTTTAATGGACAGCGGCCGAGCTCCGACCGAGCTCCGGCCGATGTGGGACAGAGCATCGGCCGGTCACTGTTCAAAGCCCGTTAACAACCCGGCCGGCGATCGCACGGTGTCCTGTTACCTGCTTCGGGTACCGGCCGTATTCCTTCCGATGTCCGGCCGACCTCTGGCCGGTAGTTGCTGCCACATCGGCAGAAAAAAACTACCATTTTGAGACAGACTCCGTACGGTCACCGGCCGGTGTTCGGTCGGTCGCCTGAAGATGTCCGGACGGAGTCCGTTCACGTCACCGAGCTCTGCTTCCGATGAGGAGAGCTCGGTGGCACCAAAACAATCCACCGAGCTCTACCGATGCCGGACATCGGCCGGCCTATGTGACTAGGCCATTAGCCAAATTAGGTAATACATTATATCATTATTTGCCATATTAGGTACAAGACATTTCATCATTTCCCATATTAGGTAATAGAAGGTTTTGGAAGTACTGAGGCCACTGCAACTGCTACAATGACATTGAAGGGTGAAAGTGAGGGTGGTCATGTAGGACCTCCTCTCCCTTGTTGCATGATTAAGCTGATTGACGTTCCAGAAATGAAGTACTTTGCTAGTGAAAACACAGGAGAGGTTGGTTAGGATATAGTACATGACCTATGAACCTTTTTGCAGTCATGTGTCTTGGTTTTATTCTTTTTGGTCAATCCCATGCATTCTCTCCACCCCTGTCGTTACTAATACATTTAATGTGGTGGGGGTTACTACCAAAGGCTTGATGAAAGACTAATTATTTTTATTATTTATTCCATGTATTTTCTACTAAATGTGTTTTACATAGGTTAGATATAGGACATATAGAGAACATACCCTTTTATCATAGCGAATCTCTGCAGTGCTTTTTACCACTTACTAACTGCTGAACACCTAGCTTTCATTGTATGTATAATTTATCTACATTTTCAGATATTATTTTTACTTCTTAAAAACCAACCTGCTTTATGTAAAATGCTTTTAACCACATTTTCAGATATATAGTACAAAGAATTGCATAGCTCATCTGGACATTAGAACCCCTTTACCTCAATTTCCCACCCTGTTTTATGCATTAGAACATTCCTTGCTTATTTCTTCATTGCTTTATCTACATTAGGTAGTTGAAGGTTATGGTTCAACTGAAACATCATCTGTATGTACAACAACTACACGAGGGGACCCAACTATAGATCATGTGGGGCCCCCATTGAGTTGTAGTATGATCAAATTAGCTGATGTAGGAGAAATGAACTATTTTGCAAGAGAAGACAAAGGAGAGGTTTGTGATGCATGATGGGAAGATAAGCATGATGGGATAATAATACTAGCATATTTAATTTAATATCTGTTCATAACAATGATATAAATGTTAGTGTATGATAATAACATGTAAGTGTAATTATTACATGTTAGTGTATGGTGATAACATATGTATGATAATAACATGTAAGTGTAATTATTACATGTTGGTGTATGGTGATAACATATGTATGATAACATGTAAGTGTAGTTATTACTAATTATTTTATGATGATAAAATATGTATGATGATAACATGTAAGTGTAGTTATTACATGTTAGTGTATGATGATAACATATGTATGATGATAACATGTAAGTGTAATTATTACATGTTAGTGTATGGTGATAACATATGTATGATATTAACATGTAAGTGTAATTATTGCATGTTAGTGTATGGTGATAACATATGTATGATATTAACATGTAAGTTTAATTATTACATGTTAGTGTATGGTGATAACATATGTATGATAATAACATGTAAGTGTAGTTATTACAAATTATTTTATGATGATAAAATATGTATGATAATAACATGTAAGTTTAATTATTACATGTTAGTGTATGGTGATAACATATGTATGATAATAACATGTAAGTGTAGTTATTACAAATTATTTTATGATGATAACATATGTATGATAATAACATGTAAGTGTAATTATTGCATGTTAGTGTATGGTGATAACATATGTTTGATGATAACATGTAAGTGTAATTATTACATGTTAGTGTATGGTGATAACATATGTATGATATTAACATGTTAGTGTAATTATTGCATGTTAGTGTATGGTGATAACATATGTATGATATTAACATGTAAGTTTAATTATTACATGTTAGTGTATGGTGATAAAATATGTATGATAATAGCATGTAAGTTTAATTATTACATGTTAGTGTATGGTGATAACATATGTATGATAATAACATGTAAGTTTAATTATTACATGTTGGTGTATGGTGATAACATATGTATGATAATAACATGTAAGTGTAATTAATGAATGGGAGCCAGAGGAAGGCATAAGGGATTGACGCAAGACTCTGAGGATAGATCATCAGATCTTCATGGTCTTACTAATTCACCTTCAATGAGAATTTTTATATCTGTAAAATACAAGGAGTTGCAACCAGAATATGTCTCTTGTCATTTTCAAGCCCCAAATAAGTAGGTTTTCTTTAATTTTAAACCAACAAAGTTAACCATTGTCACCCCTATATTAAATAGATCTATAGAGTATGATAATGATGTGATGTTCTACTGTTTTGCTCGAAATGGTTTAATTGATTATGTTGTATTTAGTGTGTGTGAATGTAATTGTTGTATAATGGCCTTTTAGAGCACTTATACTGGGGGCAAGGAATGTCCATAACTGCAGTCATGAGGACAAAATGGAGGCAGCAAATAGACTAGATTAATATGAGCACTTTGATATATTATGAGGTGCATTTTTGCTCCATTTTCTTCCAGTAACTTCAGTTATGGAAACATTTCCTTTTTGATGAAATATTTTACAATATAAGGATATAAGGCAAATCTAATTAATTTGCCTTATTGATTACTTAATCAGTTAATGCTTTTGATTGACCTTATCCTCTTTTGTGTTTACCTTCACTAACTGACCTTAGACTAACACTTTTATAGGAAAATGTGTTTCTAACAATTAGTGCTATAATCAAAAATACATATATATTAACAATAAATGATATTTGTAATCTAGACCCATATCACATAATACATTTTGCAAAAAGTAAAGTATATTTGTATAAAACTATTTTGAGCAGTAAAAAGATTTCAGAAGTTTAAGTAATGCATTCTAGCAAGTGCTCATGTATTTTTAAATGCAGAGCTAAAGTCAGAAATGAAATGCTGATGAATTGCCAGGACACTTAGTAACTTGCTCTATATTTAGGAACTACTTTCTAGGTGTGTGTAAAAGGTCCCAATGTATTCATGGGCTACCTTGACCTCCCTGAGAAGACAGCAGAGGCTCTAGACTCTGAGGGTTGGTTACATACGGGTGATATTGGACAATGGCTTCCAGTGAGTACAGTCGTTCTAATGGTATAATTGGCTCACATGGTCCTTCAACCTGACTGTCCCTCTGTCTGTCCTCCAACATTTACTGGACAAATTAAAAATTTTCTGATTCATAGCTCATATCCATTTTAAGAGGGTTCATACTGGTGATTTACACCAATGCTTCTGTCTCCTACTTTTACCTTGTTCTGGGAAAACTGTTTTCACCACATTAGCCAACCAAATACATTTGGTACCAATTTTGACAATTTGAGGGAAACTTGCATGTGTTCTCAAACAAAACTTTGATATTGTAAGACAATGCAACACTACTATTGTCACTGCTATGCCCTATTCTCTTATTTAGTTTTCATCTACTATCTAGTGCCACAAAGCAAGTTTAACACCATAGGTGTTGATCACATTCTAACAATGCAAATTGAATTTGTTTTAGAATGGTACATTGAAGATTATAGACAGAAAGAAGCACATCTTCAAGCTTGCCCAAGGTGAATACATTGCCCCAGAGAAGATAGAGAATATCTATGTGAGAAGTCAGGCGCTTGCCCAACTCTTTGTATATGGAGAAAGTCTACAGGTAGATAATATTGCTTTATTTCTGGAGTCCTTCGTATATGAAGAAAGTTACAGGTTATTAATATTCATTTTTTTATCAATTATCCTCTAATCTTGGAAAATATGAAGAGGTGGTAGTATTATGATTTAGTGTTCATTTTATTTTTGTCTGTTGAAATTGTTTATTAAGCAATGATTTTGAATTTTATGGGTAACCAGTTGATGATTTCAGCATGATTAGGAAATATGACAATTCGTTCGCAGTTTATTTTCACCAGTAGATTTGCCCAGGAAAATTATAACTCAAGCAAAATATGAATATATGCTGAGGAATGGGGGGCAGACAATCCAAACTTACCATACCTATATTTGCAGTCATTCTTGGTGGGTGTTTGTGTACCTGACCCTGATACATTCACAGCATGGGTGAAAGACAAGTGCAAGCTAGAAGGAGATATAGAAGAACTCTGCAAGAATGAGGTTTGTGCTAATTCAACTGTCTCAGTTTCTGGATTTTTCAATGTTAAAGTGAAATACAATCACATGTTTGAAAAGATATATGTTATTTTAACCCTATTTCAAATCAGATTGTAAATAGAGAATTGCTATAAAACAAGCAAAAAGTATATCCTTTTGCACAATATTATGATGAACAAAATCTATCCAATCATTCCCATAATGCATTGTAACTTGCAGACGGTGAAGAAAGCTATTCTTGCTGACATCACTGATATAGGAAAGAAAGCAGGATTACATTCATTTGAACAGGTACAGTATATGATATTTTATTATATCTCCACCAAAAAGTGGTGACATATTGTTATTCTATTTTAAAATACTTACCCATACATAGTAACATCTAAAAAAGATATTAATAAATTCTGATATTTACATAAAATGCACTTATTACTATTCAATTTATCTATTCAACATATTCACATACTGGCTGTCCCAAAAGTAGGTTTACGGTTATTAACAATCTCTTTCTGTTAACTGTGAACCTACTTTTAGGCCACCCTGTATACACTGTTTAATGCATAACAATACATAACAATACAATACAAGTCAATTAATTTTTTCATGTACACATTCACATGTAAATAATTTTCTTATCCATTGTAGGTGAAAAACATCCATTTACATCCAGAGTTATTCAGTGTAGAAAATGGACTGCTTACTCCAACATTTAAAACAAAACGAAATGACCTGAAGGCCTTATTTGCCCCTCAGATAGAACAAATGTACGCTAGCACTTTCTAAATGCTCGCCAACTCAATTTAGGTGTATACTAACACATTCTAGATGGTGGTGCCATGATGTAAATCCTGGGTCTCAAGTTAAAGGATTGGTCATGTTTTAAATGCAAATTGTAACACTATGATTGTGTATCAAAAACTATTTTTCCAGTTCAATCACGTCCTTGTGTTCAATCAAATGTTGATGTTATCGTTAAATGTTTCTTCAATATTTTGTTTTTTGAATGAGCTAGGCCTATACATGTACATCATTTGAATTTTTGCATGCAACTTGATCTCAAAAGACATTAAGATTTGCAGGATTGGTGTATTATCGTACTGAGAATTTGGACAAAAATCTCTGGATAAAAATCTCCTATAGTAAATACTGTATCCCAATTAATATTTGATGCTTTTATATCTCACATTTTTGCGATTTTGAAATAATAATTAGAACTATTTGGAATTTTGCAGCTTTTATATTTTTCCCAATTTTCTGGACAAAAATGTTAAATATAGATGCACGCAAAAATTACCAGGAGTACAGTTTAGCTTCATTCAAACCAGCCAGTATTGAACCAGAATCTCTATAGTTTCACAACACAATAAATGCAGGCAATGCAATTAAATGGGAACAAGCAAAAGAATATGTATTAGGAGTTCTTCCGTTTTAGTCATGTAATACATCATGCATGATTGGCAGCTATAGAGTTAATATATGTACATCATGTATGTGGCAGCTATTAGGTTAATATGTGTACATCATGCATGATTGGCAGCGATGAGGTTAATATGTGTACATCATGCCTTTGCTACTAGAGTGAGGCTGTATTTTTATTAAGTTCTTAAAAGCTACATGCTTAGATCATTCCTCAGAATCAGATATGCGATATATAATCTGATAATTGGGATTGTACTAATTTAATTGGTGGAAGGGGAAGATCTGTGTGATCAATATGTTGTCTTGGACACTTATTCAGAATAATTAAGAAATGGTTAGAGATCCAACATACATATGTACCTATTGTCTTGTATTTAGCAATACCCTAATCTCACTATTGTATTTTAGGGACTGGGTGAAGATTTCAGCTTTACCCCGAAATATAATTAATTATATTTCACATCACTATTTTGACCTTGTCCCTTAGATATGTTAGATCGCTAGCCATTGTTTTCAATGAAATTTTCATGTTTAGAGTGTTTTTGTGCTTATGCTGTGTAAATAATTGTTTGGTTGAGGATGTCATTTTGTCCATTTACAAAATTATCCATCAAGCTATACTAAGTTCAGTCTACTTGATCATTCCTCAGAGTGTTCTATAAAGGACAGATGCCCTGGAAGTATTTTAATGCTAAATTTTCACCTTAACTCCAACCCATGAAAATATCAAGCCCCCTGAAAAAACAGGAATGAGCATAAGTGCAAAACATTGATTTTTCATATTCATTAAAAGGCCTCAGATAATATTTTTTCATAGGTTAACATTCGGATCAATCTGAGGCCTGTTATACTGTATAGTTGTTCACAAGTGAAAAGTATTCAATATTTAAGAACTGTGTGATTACAAATAAGGCCATAAGAAGTAGATTCTTTGTTTTGCATCCTAGCAAAATCCAAATCATGCAAGGGTACAAGGAAAACAAACACAAACTCAAGAAAAAACACAAATTTGTTTGATGAGAAATGAATACATTTTATGGGCATAAAAAGGGATTACATACCAATTTGCAGTGATTGCAAACACATATCTATACAGTTTATACAATATATTTAAACAAAGCTATTATTCAAGGGTAAAAATAAGAAAATACACAATGTATGCCAAAGTAATTATAACACTGCAATTTTGACGCACATCAAATTATCCACCATTTCGTTTGATTCTGATTGAACGAAATGCGATGGTACTTTCAGACCCTTGTGATTGCTTTTTGGATGTGTTTTTTTTTCTGATTTACTCAAAATCGTGCAAGGAAGGGGACGCAAAACAAAGAATCTACTTCTTATGGCCTAACATTCATGTTCATGTATCTCTGTACTTTGGTACATTGTAAAACCTGTATATAGTGAACACTACTGGATTTCAATAATATGGGTGTCAATGGGGATCATTAAGTATGGGAAGTTCATATTTTAGTATTCATTTTACCAGATTGTTCACATATATAGGTTTCAGTGTATACACATAAAAAAATGTATAATGTTTTATGTCACCACCAGAAGTGGTGACTTATGTCACCACCAGAAGTGGTGACATACTGTAATAGTCTCCTACTTTTTTGTTGATGGTGTTTGGTTGTTGTGTTCTGTAAGAGCATTCGGTGTCTGTTACAGTGTTTGATAGTCGGTGTCTGTAATGAATGGCAGGTGGTGACATTCTGCATGTCTAAGCCTTGTTTATTTGTTATTATTGTACATATAGTTTTGGGAAGAATGAATGAGTCTAATTATGCCATTTGTATGTAGTGTCCTCATGAAATGTAAGACAAAGGGGTATTTAGCAAAAAATTGTAAATAGTAGTTAAATTTAAATATGTGTCTGATAGTTATTTAAACGAAAATATGTCTAGTAAAAGAAAACATCTGCCCAACACAAGACACACAAGGTATTCAAGTTAATGTATGTTATGTAATGTTTACATACTAGATGTTATTGCATATCTGTAGATTGAACACACTTTACACATTTAAAATTAGAATGAAATAAATTACTCAAAGTTGATTTATTCACTTAAAATGGTTGTTTCAACAGTTTATCTTCATCATCATTCTGATACTCATAGCATCATTCTGTTTCACCTGAAACATGGGCTCTCAGGGCTGAGAAGAAATGAGATTTCATGGTTTATCATGATGCTTCATCATGGGACATGTATAATCGAAAACAAAACCATGTGTGTCTAGAATTACTCAGATGTGAGTAGGTAGTTACCAGTTTCACCACCAGGTGGCTGATTCGGGTTGATTAACATGGCAGGTATATAAGAAAGTTCCCTTAAACTTGAATATTATCTTGTTTAAGTAGATCAATTTTCATATAATCCGTATATGTGTCTGATAGTAATACAAACGAAAATATGTCTAGTGAAAGAAAACATTATCTGCCCAACACAAGAAAAGATATTTCACATTTTGTGATTTTGTAACTTGGGGTCTATGCTCTATGGGGAATCTCTGCAACCTAGAAGTCGCATTTTCAAAGAAGATTTTCAAATTTCAAAGTTTTTTAAAAATATTTCGAGATGAAATTCTACACATAGACTTCAAATATGATAACTTTAACTAAATCTTAAATATTTAATGAAGTAAATCAAGATTATTTCGACTCGCATCTTGTATATTGTAGAGTTAAAGGCAAAATTTTAGGTTCAGTGATAATTTTGAAGTGAACTAGTTGTACCTGTTCAATTGATTCAGTTAGGCCAAGTCCCCTTCCCATGTTAGTTCATGACCACCATTTCCAGTGCAGTTGCATATTCATCATCTTACATGTAATGCAATATATATTCATTATGTAAACACATCAGTGGTTTGAATTTTCAAGTCTGTTGAAAGCACGATGCTTAGTTTTTTTGCTCCTCGTATATCACTCATAGTCATGCCATTTCTAAAACTATAACACTCCATATGTCAAATAAGTCCCCCCCTTCTACAGCCAATACCAGGATATATGGTACCAAGTGTGAATGATGTGTCATTGAAAAGATCGTCCAAAGTTCATTGGACTAGCTTTATTCTGAAACCTGTCAATCAATGTCACAAATTGCTACAGTGTATCAACCGAGGTGACCAATGACCATAGACCTACAAAAATGCCAATTTGACATTATCGGCAGGATTTTAAGAATAGGGCTTCAGAAAAGTCAAAGGAGTTCAAGATGACAAGAAAGGATGTGTCCGGGTATATGCCCTTTTGGTCCCTCAGTCAAATGTATGTTAAATATGTTTTTTATTACTGTCCTAGTTATATTTGATAAGTATATTTACTTTTTCACGAGTTTTGATGCATAATTAACCCCCTGCTAAGAGTCAGAATAAGTATCTTAACAAAAAAAAATAGTCATTATCATAGAAAAAAACATCAATGGCAACATGTATGACTTACAAAGAAGAAATAACTTAAGACCCATGAAGAATTTAAAAGAAAATCATATTTTTGAAATATATTTAAGGATTAAAATTTTTTTCAAATTTTTGAATTTCCCGCCAGTTTAATTTGAAGGGGGAAAAACAAGATGGCTGCCATTTGATGTAAGAAATATCAGAAAAAAAGTTGCTTCACTTTTAGTTTTCACAATGAGCACAGTTTTCCGGTTTAGGTTTTCTGACTGATTCTGACTCTTCATCACCAGGGTCATGTATACAGATTATAAAATTGAAACCGGAATGTTGTGCTCAGCATGAATTTGACTGAAATATGTGTAACTTCACCAACACAATTGAAGTCTCAAAACTGGATGCTCAGTAACTTTGAGTGACTATAATCCCTTGATTACCCAGATAAACACCAATTCATTTATCCAGAAATGCCATTCAATGTCTATACAAAGAAAGTAAGCAATGTTTTGGAGGATATGTTTCAAACCTTTTGCATAAATAATTCATTTAATATTTGCCATTGATTTTTTTTCAATTCTGACAAAGTGATATGCACTGTCTTTGATGCCAATATTCTTCATTAATTGTGATACAAATTGATATTTTTGTACTCTCAGAAGAAGGATAAGATATTGAAGTTTAATAATATGTGTGATTGAGTTGGTTTTTCAGACATTACAATTTTCAATATTTTTTAAGTCGATACCCAGACTCATTCCCAGACTCATCCTTTAAATGGCAGTGATTTAACCAATTTGTGGAATGAGTTAGATGTGTAGAAAATAGAGTGATAGAGACAGTGATGAAAACTTGTTTGAAACCAGTGGAATGTAATGCTGAGGTCATAATATTCTCATTTTGATGCAGTAGAAGCTGCTTGAGAAGGGCATGTCATCGAAGGTAAAGGTTAAATCAATCTTTGTGCTACAGGGTGGTCAAAAAAAATGGAAACCCTTGCACAATTTTCCTCATATATTTGTCATTTTAAGAAATAACTCCCGGATAATTTGCACATTTGTACATTATTCAATTTCCTACCAACCTACTTTATTTCATGTCCATCAGATTGATAGTCACAATGTTACAGCACTTTACAGAACATGCGCTAGTGGCCACTATTGAGCTGTCGGGCCACCTGCACTCGCCGTCCAAAATGTCCCTACCTGTAGGGATATGGCAAGGAAAAAGTGTATGAGAATGACCTCAGGACAATCACAAACCTCAAAAGTGAGATCATCCGTATCATTCAGGCCATACCTGCTCAGGAATGCATTCGGCCCATTGACAAGTGTGCAGGTTTGCCTACAGCGCGATGATGGCCAAACTTGAAGCATGTTATTCAAAGTGCTGTAAAATTGTGACTATCAGTCCGACGGTCATGAAATTTGGTAGGGTGGTAGGTAATTGAATGATGCATAAATGTGTGAAATATCAGGGAGTAATTCCTTAGAATGACAAAGATATTAGAAAAATGCAGGGTTTCCCGTATGAACCGTACTAGTAGATGATCTTTTAATTTATATAAACAGGCAAAATATTTTTTGTTTCAAAAATCATAATTTATTGGTACATACAAAATGTTTTTATAATCTTTCATAATTTGGCTTCTCAGTGAGTTGTTGCTTGTTGAGTGCTAATATTAAGTGTGTCTCAATTATATCATGAGCTCACAGTATAACTGGCCTTGATACTATTACTACCCATTATAATCACAACGTAATCTCCTTTGTCATGATTATTCTTACTTCACTTTTTCATTCAGTCCTTACAAGAATACATGTGTATACTACATTGAAATCAATCAGATCCTGGCCCTAAATGATAGAGATCTCAAAATAATACCAAAAGTACATTTTGACAAAGCACTATAATTGTCAGGATGTAATCATTCAGTCTCTTCAGGTCATCTATTCACTGTAATATTGCAGATTTCTTCAGTGTGTCTACTACAACTTATTACCCTGACATTGTTTATTCATCTGTGAAGTTAGCGGGTCTTTTCTCCACAAATGCAGTCATTCCCTCCTTTCGATCTTTCTGAAAATTGAGAGTAAAAGATTGTCAAAATGTATGTAGATGGATTTTTTCATGTTATCGATTTATTTCCAATGTTAACATAAATCGAATACAGTTAGTTAATTGCCAAGGTTTTACAACATGTATATGGACTATACTATAAAATCAGCAGCTCAAATAATCTTCACTAAAAAGTAAACTTTAGAAAAATTAAGGCATCCCATCACGATAGCCGCGCCCCCTTTGTCTTTATTCTTCCAAAGTGACTCGCAAACAGCAGACAAGAGGGGCTCTGGCATACCAGAATGAAGACATCCACTTAAAATGCAAAATGTCATCACCTGACGCCGAACACCAACTGCCGAATGTTGAACACAAACCGTCTACTGCCGTCCACAAAAAAGTTGGATATTATAACAATATGTCAACACATCTGGTGGTGACAAAAAACAATAGTTGACCCTCAATCTTATCAGAATAATTAGATTACAAACCCCTTCTGTTATTTGTTCATAAGCTAGTGAACTTACTGTGGCAAATGTTGCATGGAATATTCTCTTTTCAAAGTGCATTCCCTCATTCAATGTAAGTTCGTAAGCTGCAAGTAATAATATATATCTACATCTATAGAAAGGTGCTATTTAATTGTGCTGTTCAAGATGGCAATACATCACAGAAAATACTTGACAATGTCTTACCATAATGCAAAAATGTTAGTTTTACAATTTTGAAATTTTACAAGATACTTTTATCTTAAAGATCTAGTATAGTAACTGGCATTATATAGTTGACCTTTTTGGCATGTTTGATATGAAAACATTAAGTTAATTAATATTGAAGAGATTTACAGATGCCTACTTACATGTATTTACTGATTCTTTGCACATTGCTACTATAAGTTTGGAGTGACTGGCTATTTTCTCAGCGGTTTTTACAGCAGCATCTACCAATTCACCAGGAGGGAAAACTTTGCTCACAAGACCTGAAATAATAGATTTCAAGAAAATGTCAAAATGATGTCCTGCATCAAGGCTATCTCCTATTTACTCAACTTTATAGTGAAGTCTTCAATGGATTTTTGTCCATTGCCTTTTTCAAATCTAGACTGTCCACGCTGGTTTAGATAAAACAATCTGAAACCAGGAGAGATAAAATTGCGTTATTAGTGGCGAGATGTGAAGTGAGTAATACGACTGATAGTGGTCAATCGTCCAAATTAATTAGCAGCCAAATTTTCAAAACTTGCCCAATCTGCCAAATTAAATAGCGCCATATTAAAGCAATTTACAGTATTAAGTACATGCATGTATCTCATACTTTGAGTGGGTTTGGGGTAGATATAATCCGGGAATATATATCATGTCTGAGTAGCGGGCAGGATATATTGTGTATGTCCCGCTGCAGGCCAAATGCAGGCAAATATAATATATCCATCCCGCTCCCGGAAATTTTTCAATATAATTGTGTTTTTTTCGTGCAATGTAATGACGCATTGTGGGACTTCTTCAGACGAAAAAGTAGAAATAAATCTGAGTTGATAAAGATGAGTCTGATAAAGTTGAGTGAAATTCTGTAAAAACATGGATAATTAGTGAACTAAAGGAATATTACGAAAATGTTAAGTATAAATTATGCTTTTACAGTATAGGCCTATCATTTGAAAAAGTGGAAAAGCTTATATCTACCCCATACAGGTACCTACTCAAGTATGAGTTACACCAGTTATGAACGGTCAGTTTTGGATTTAGGGTATACCCTCAGGAAATATTTATTTCTCCCCTTAATCCCTTCTGTCCCTCGGGGAGATATAAATATATCCCTCAGGATATACCCTACATCAAAAACCTCCCAGTACATAACCCATATTTATCCTATGCCAAGTAGGGTTTTAGGGAGATAAGTTGGTAAGATATATCCCGTATCCTGACTTTGAGGTTTCCATATCCTGAACCTCCATATCTCCCGCTCCAAGGCATATCTTCCCGCTTCGAAAAAAATTTGAAAAAATACGAAAAATTGAAAAAAAAGAAAATGTGAAAAAAAATTGAAAAATTAGAAAAATGTGAAAAAATTGAAAAAATAAAAAATAATTAAAAAATTGAAAGAAAATTGGAAAACTCTACTTGGTATAGGATAAAGCAGTTATGTACGGTCAGTTTGGATATTGGGTTCATCCCTCGTGAGATATGCACATCTACCTTCGGTCCCTACGGTCCCTCAGGTAGATATGCATATCTCCCTCTGGATAAACCACATATCCAAAACCTCCCAGTACATAACCCTTATGTATTTAATGCCCAAGTATACTAACCTCAAATAAAATGAACAAGCAGAACCAGAGCGACATACACCTTTTAACAGGTGTAGAGTAAATATTTATCTATAGAGGACAAGATGAAAATTTTAACAAACCTCAAATCAATCTTAACATGTCTCTGTTCCACTTCCATAATTTGAGTCCGAAACATAATTTTATCTGATTGAATCCCCTCTCTGCAGGATATGAATTTTAAGTTGAAAGGCACTGAATAAACATAACCAAAAATATAACGTTGAATAGAATACTTTCTACCAAACACAGTTGATGATTAGATACTGTACATATCCCGACTTTGTGATCAAAACCCTTAAAGTTTTAAAGTATCGTACACATATGTACACGTATGATATTGTAATTAAACCTTTGAATATACACACGAAAAGCCACAAACAAAAACAAGGGATAAACATGCAAAATGTCACCACCTGCCATTTGTTACAGATGCCAAACACCGATTGCTGAACACCATCCACAAAAAAAGTTAGAGACTATGATAATATGTCACCACCACAAGTCGAGTGGTGACATAAAAAATTAAAAATTAAGATTTGGATTTGCATACCAGCTTTTTCTGCATCTGCAGCATTGATCATATCTCCAGTAAGGGCCATCTCCATTGCCTTAGATTTGCCTATAGCTCTGGGGAGTCTTTGAGTTCCACCTGCACCTGGAGATTGCAGTGTAAATATGATGAATGTTGAGCTATCATGGCAACAACATACCAAACTTGTTGTTTTAAGCACCCAGTGTATTTATACAATTGGTTCTGTACAATCCATGAAATTAAAGTTCACTTAATGTTAAAAATGGTAAAACCCAGAATATTATAATATAGCCTGTTTAAGATAAAATTTTACAAATAGTTTTTAAATATTTCAGTGATTTTACATAAATGTTTGCACACACTTGACAATCATAAAATGACTGAATAACATCAATAAGAACACAAGTTTATAGAGTCCAAAGAGGAAGTGTATCTAATTGCAATCAGAATACGAATATATACCATCATATCAATGCGCAATGATGGCCCTGGGTCTGGGGTCAATTGTTGAACCATATGTTTTGATTGCAAGTCATTAATCAATAAGAAGTGAACAACACAGAAAAATTAAGATTGTTCCAAAACAAGAGTTGATATGTTAACATGATCCATTGAGGTATTAACCTCTTGACTACCTGTCACCTTAGAAATGACCTTGAAACCCAGAGTGACGAGAAAATCTGTCACAAAATTTAAAAGGTCAACTTGATGATTTTAACTAACTGAGCTGACTTGGGGTGACTTAATATTGAAATTCAGAATGAATCAATTTGAGTATGAGATAACTTGATATTACGACTTTAAATTGATATTGAATCAAATTGGGTTCGAGATAATTTGGGAATACTAAGTAGGTTGTAGAGGATTCCCATCAACATCTCTTAACCGAATGTTTAAGAATGTAGGATTCCCGCCCTTGTGGCTTAAGAGAGCAAACAAAGCAGTTGAATCTGCAGAAGAGGAAGCCTCCTGCTGGCCCTGGTTGAGGAGAAATGACAAATGGGCACAGAGGAGACAACATTAACTTATTTGACAATTGCTAATACATTCACTGAGGGTTTGTTCACCAGTCCTTTACCATCAAGCGAAGAGTAGTGCGTTAAAAGCGCTTAAAGGTCAACCGCTCTGGCTATAGTGGTGTTCGAATCATCAAAGAATGTAAAGGTTGGTACCAACATGACAAACTGACTGAGTGAGTTTAAAGGCAGACAGGAACGTCGTAGCACAGCACACTCTTGTGTTTAATTTAAGACTGAATTGAGAATAAATCAAATTAGGTTTGAGGTAACTTTGGAAGACTAAGACTTTGAATTGAGAACAAATGATTGCACATTTAGACATTTAAAATACCTGGTATTGTTCCAAGTAAGATTTCTGGCTGGCCAAATTTTGCTTTCTCCCCAGCGTAGATTATATCACACATCATGGCCACTTCACAACCACCACCTAGCTGTGGGAATAATGGGAGGATACATGCTTTACGGGTAATTAATACAAACACATGATTATTTTCAAAGCTCTTGCGGCAAATCATTGTGGTAAAGTGATTTTTAATTTCTTTGATTGAATCATGACTGAAGTTATTTCAAACTAATTTAGGTGAATTGTTTTATACTACTTACTATACATGTTGCTCAACTTATACTTTGCATGTCTATGGTTGCTGGTACTTTGAAAGTTGGGAGGTGGCATGTATGTATACACTTAAAGACTTAAAGCTACACAACAATTAAAGGCCCACTATACTCTACTTTAGAAGGAAAAAAATCATTGAAACAGGTTACTCACTCGCTCAAATATGACACAAAGTTTGATTTGCTTTAATATTGAAACAAGAAAAAAATAGCTCACACAGAAAAAGCATTTGAAGTTCAGTGATCATTAGACATGCATGCACATGTTAAACAAAGTGCATGTTTTAAATTACTATCAATTTAAAAGATGGTGACACTTCTAAAAAAAAATGAATGTATCTTTCAATGACATTGATAAAACTTGATATATAAAGCTTGACAAATCGAAAATATTTTTTGATAATTGATTGTAAGCTTTGATGTGGTCCGTTTGAGCTGTTGTTGGTGTCAAATGAAAGATAAGATTCTTATCAATACATTGAACATACTATGAAATTCAAACGTAAGTCTTCATTTTGCCTAAAAACTTTAAATTATGCAAAGTGGGCCTTTAAGCAAGAAAATAACTAAAATGGGTTATCATATCTTAGCTTATATTGTTGCACTTATTTGCATCTTTGTACCTGGTATTATTCCTAGTGTTATTTCTGGCTGGGCAAATCGGGCCTTTTCTCCAGCGTAAATAATGTCACACTGCATGGCTAGCTCACAGCCACCTCCCAACTATAGAACAACCAATTGAATTGAAAATATACATGTACTTGAATAACCATGAGTCCTATACTTGGATTGATACCACTGGATGCCTTATATTTCCTTTGTATATCTAGATCTGTGACAGAACTGCATAGGCCTACCAGGTTATCAAAAAGATCACATTATGACACACTAGATCCATGTTTGTCATTAGAAGTTAGGGAAATAGTTAAATTACAGTTAATACATCATTCATGTGTTCAAAAGCTGTATGTCATTATGTGACTTCTGTGTAGACTCATGGTTTGTTTACATATCACTCACTGCAAAACCATTCACTGCTGCGATGACAGGCTTTTTATTTGATGCTAGACGATTCCAATGATTTAAAAATCCCCCTCCAAAAGTTTGAGAAAAAGTTAATCCCTGCATTTCTTTAATATCTGCACCAGCTAAAATTAAAAAATATTTAAATAAAACAATGACTTTAATAAATTAATACGAGATAATACAGTAGTATAGTTAAACTTACCGCAAAGCCATTTACAGCAGCTATGATGGGTTTGTTAGTACTGTGTGTCCAATTGGGCCAGTTAGTGCTCCACATAACCCCAAATGATTTTGAATTCATTTCTTTTATATCAGCTCCAGCTGAAGTATATCAAACTCAAAATACCTCTCATACAATGAACTTGTGAACTGACATATTCATTGTTAGTATTATAATAAGGTTCAGAGTCAAAATATCAATGTTTTCCCCTCCCTTCTTCATGAAACATAAGTTAACATTCAGAACCTTGTGTTCTTCATTCAAATGCTTAAGTTCAACTAAGGTAGGCTTTACTCCCCCCCCCCCCCCCTGCTCATTTTTGCAGACTTTATCCCCCATATCCAAGAAATACAAGTACCTTTCTACATAGTTTACCATTAAATAGTGATTTGTTACTTTGTAGAAAATGTGAATTACACTGCATATACATTTAGATTATAGTACCTGCAAAGGCCTTTTCACTTCCAGTAAGAACCACGCAACCAACCTCTGGATCATTTTCAAACTCATCTAAAGCTGTTCCTAGTTCTTTCATAAGGGCATCACAAAGAGCATTCAGAGCTTTTGGACGATTCAACTGGATAAGTCCAACATTTTTCTTTTCTCCCCTCTTTTCTACCAGGATATTCTCAAACTTTCCTGTAAACGTTGAATCTATGTACATTTATATGTAACTTGCACAATCAATAGACTTGGACGAAAAACTTCCTTTCTGTAAATATCAAAGTTTGTAACAAGATAATCCAGTGAAAATTTAATTAGAAAAAAACAAAGGACATTATGATCTATGGGGAAAACCACTCCACTTCATGAAAGGCCAAAGAGATTTAGACAATAAACAAAACTAAATGCTTGTTTTGTTGTTGGCTAAGGTAACACATTAATGACGTTGCATATAAATTTAGAATATACAGTGACTTGTGACATTTAGATTATTTGTTTGATTAGTTACTGACGGGGCAATATGTGTCTGATGTCATGCTTGATATGAAACGCCACAATTACTTCAAATCACAATCACATCAGTATGACAACTTGATAGTTGCTTTGATGACCTGCCATATAAGTAATAAAGGTGGGGCTAAGGAACTGAAAGTCACGTGAATGGTACAAACCTGATCTATAGTATGAAGAGCTCCGCCCACTTTGGAGCCTTCGTAAAAACAAAATTCAAGTAAATTGATAGGGGAGATCCGTCAAACTTCGACATATGGGGTTACTTCTTCATGAAGCTACTTTGACCATGGTTTATTTCGACAATTGCCGATGATTCATATTTCCGGGGTCAGCCATCTTGGAATAAGATCTCGCCTGTTCCTGTTGGAGATTTCAATCATGGGCTTTCAACTAGTTGAAAGCCCATGTTTCAATTTATTTTAAAAAATTTTCAAAAACAAAGTGGCGGACTTCGTGAATCAGAAATAAAGCCAATGTTGAAAAAGACCCTTGGTCAAAATAGACCCATGACAAAGTAAGCCCATACGACGATACGGCGAAGTTCGACGGATCTCCCCACCACTGAGATGTGGAATACCTTTTGAGTTGTGACAAAAAACACACTTTTTTACAATAGAAGCTAACAATAAAAGGGGTAGCGAACTGACCATATTGGAGTTTCACTTATGGTATGGGCTTTCTAGCCTTTCACCATAATGGGAGGCATGGGCCTGCAAAGTTTAAAGTCCAAATAAGATTTCATATTCAATTTGCACAATAAATACACGTTGATATTTGATGACATTCGTCAGTATGACTTACCAGTTGACATGCATCGCAAAAAGCATCTTTGTAAATCTCCCAACTGCTGTGTAGATGGGCTAGATGACAAAAGTCGAGAAATTTTAGAAATGTTGCGTACCGCACCCGCCATGTTGGATCTCGAGCAGACGAATATTTACGAGATTATTGAAATCTGGAAATATGGTACCATGATCCAGTCATGATCCATTAAATATCCATTTAATTCAACACTTTAATTTGATGTACCATTACATCTGTTTATTTTGCTCATTTGGTGTGTTTGAGTGAAAAATATAGTCTCAAACCAAAGTGCCTAAAGTTGTCAACATGAAAGTGAATATTTTTCAATTTCTCTGAAAATATTCTTATTTGTTCAGTTTTATGTGGTGGTATTGAAAGTAATTATGAATTTGGGACCTCCTCATGGTCATGGGAACAATCTCCTATATGCAGGATGGAACCAAGACCAAGGTTTGTAACTTTTTGTTCTCTCTTTCTTTGTTGAAAATTTTGACCCTCCCCTTCAAAAAAAAGTTTTCTTTTTCATTGGATTGCTTCTTGGTTTCTTGAACAATCTCCTACCGTATTCTCTCTAATTGATCCACATATTCCAATAAACGGACATCCTACTTTTCCATGAAAGACTGGCAACTTCAGTATTGAGTAACAAAAATCAAGAAATAAAAACTTGAATAGATATCTAATAGGGCGATAATGGGGTATTTAACTACCGCTCTTGATAAAGCCATTTCTGTGCACAATGCTGTTACAGACATTAACACCCGTAATGGAAGTTTCTGATTCAAAAATATTTCTCTACCTTTTCCCCCAAACAAACATTCATTGATTCCTTTGTAAACATGTTGAAATAGTGTTATATGAATGCGCCGCCTAAAGTACCAACATTTATCAGTATGGGAGACTGTACTATGTGGGTTCACTATAGTACCACAAATATATGTCGGCACTTTAGTCCATCCTTGTTGGATACGCTAGAGAACCAAGTGTCAGTACTGTAGCCACTCCTCCCGGGGGGTTCACTGTATATAAACCTTGACGGGGATCCTCGGCCCACATGGGGTATCTTTTTCAGCATTTGGTATGGAAATGGACCCATATTTTAGGATTTGGTATGGGATTGCCCCGAAATATATGAAATCTGGTATGGCAATGGTTTACTTCCTGCGAAAGCTATTTGGATTTTGATATAATAGCTTTCCCACGGAGCATTTGGACAGCTCAATGATCGTGACCTTTGAAATCGAATTAAGTCGATCCGCGGCTTACTTTTGGTCTCTAACTGTGTCTTACATCAGTATCATCAATCCGTGTAAGTATTGGAGCGCTGGAAAACTTCTTTTTCGATCAGGACTTGTAATTGTTAGTCGAGTGAATCGTTTTACTGCCAAATTCCAATATGGCGGTTTCTGCTCGGACATTTTCGTAAATCTCCGAAGGTTGTCCGAACCTAACTTATTCTCAAAATTCATTTCGTTCGTTGCGTATCTCGCACCTAGCAAACCACCATATTGGAAATAGGTCTGTAAAACTTTAACTCGATGAACAATTTACAAGTCTTGATCGAAAAAGAAGTACTCCAGCATTCCAATACTTACACGGATTGATGATACTGATGTAAGACACAGTTAGAGACCAAAAGTAAGCCGCGGATCGACTTAATTCAATTTCAAAGGTCACTATTGATCAGCTGTTCACTTCTCCGTTAGAGAGCCATAAGTTTCAAAATCTAACATGGCTCTCGAAGTGAGTAAGCAATGGTCTGATTTTTCCACTTTCTGGTATGAGAATGGTCGTGAAAGAGGGGTTCGTGGGATGGATTCTAAAAACAACAACATTTGGTATGGCATTGGTCCTATATTTGTTCATTTGGTATGACATTGGTCCTATATTTGTTCCATTGGTATGGCATTGGTCCTGTATTTGTTCAATTGGTATGGCATTGGTCCTGTATTTGGGCATTGGGTATGGCTTTGGGTATGCAAATTGGTTGGTATGGGAACATATTGAAATTTGACAGATTGGTATGGGAACATACTGTTATCTGAGGGTTCAGCCTAGGACCCCTGTCAAGGTTTGTGTAGAGTGAACCCGGATGGATAACCTACCAAATGTCTTAATAGCCGTAAGCCGGGCCGTAAGCGAAGTTGAAAACATAATCAAAGCTTAGTCTAATTTAATCCGACGAACTGTAGAACATACAATTTTCTGTTCTTTTTCAAATTACTGAATTATTGGCTGAAATCAAATATCGCCATCAACGTCGTATATTGATTCTGTGCATCGCCATCAACTTTATTCAAACAGTATGCTAGTTTAACCTCATTTGTGGGCCTACCAAATACATTTTTGGCAAAATTGAGTGACACAGAGTGAATGCTAACTTCCAACTGCTGAGTTTTTCTTAATAATTCAAAGCATCTAGATCTACCTACACATTTACCGCACCATTCGAAAGTGTTTTGTGTTATTTATGCTTTCTTTTACCAGGATTCAATCAAAAGTTCTGGAAATTAGAAATTGAATTTAACGTAATAAGGTATCTTACTTTGACATAAGAAGACATTGACTGTTCTGGGAATTATATTTTTTATCATGACTCATAGGTAAAGTATCCCCTAAATGTGGGGCTGATTTTTTTAAATCAAATCCACACTCTTGTATTGAAAACTTGGGGTTGAAAATAAGCTGGATTAGTGGTTATCTAGTTGAATTTAGCTTTATGTCAACTAGACAATGTTTTTTAACCCCTAAGTTTTCAATACAGTTTGAAAAACCAACCCCACATTTTGGGGGTAGTGTAGTCACCTCCCCCCCTCTTATATTCTGTAGCCAAAATAGGCAAAAAAGTAATCATGGCTTAGTTGTTTTTTTTCTGATTTGTTAGCTATTAAAATTTTGTGACAGTGAGATATATCATACAAAAACTCGACATGACATAATATACAACAATTATGGTGTAAAACCAGCAAGAGTTAGTAAGGCAGCGGTACCCTTTGAACAAGGTAGCCTAAAGTCAGTAGTAGTTTCATAATACTACTCGGGCCTGTAGCGGGAGTTGCCTCCTGGTCAGAAATTCTTAAAAAATCATGCTGTTTTCACGATTTTGAGCACTTTTTCACATTACTATCTTGCAAAAACTGTAAGAAAGCTCACCCATGGAAGCTCCCCCATTGGTGATAGCAAGCAGCTACCTACTGCCGCAGCCAGAGATGGTAACCACTAGATTTACTACCAGTAATACACAAAGATTGAATAGAAAAGTATTGACTTCATATTGAAAAGTTCAGCTCTTTAAAAAATCCATGTAGAAACCACTTGCGTACCGACATTATGTCTGTTCTATAGGGAATTTAAACTTACCCAACAAATAGGCAGCAGTCTTATTCTTCATGAATATGAGCCCCAAACTTGATCCATCGGCTTATCAAATTCCAATCTCATCTCCCATTGGCATATAGAAACACACGTTATATTACAAAGGTCGAAAAATATCGGCCCTAGCTATGCACATATTTCTAACCTCAATCAATTCTAAACACCAGCCTCAATGTTCTCTCAGTCAAAGCCAAAAAAAGTTGCGACTATCTCAAATTTAATTGCAGAGATATAACTTCAATCTTTAAATCAGCCAGTATTTCAAAATGTCCACAAAAAAATTTGTGCCATTATAAAATCAAAATTCTATTCTTCAAATGTGAATCCAGAAGGATCAACTCGGCTGATTCAAGGCTTGAAAGCCCATGGTGATCATAGAAACCAACAATGAATCTATTTATAGAATTTTGGTACAAAAATAAGTTCGGTACAGTGTGTGATTTATTTAAAATATTTCTCAAATTTTGCATATTAAGCTATGTAGCCAGATATGTGACATGCGTGGACAAAACCTCCCTAGTTCTTTATTTTTAGAAAAAACAATGTCATGCATGATATACCTGCCATACCAGATTATCAATTTTTAACAAAATATTTGTTTATAAATGTCAGATCTCTCATCTCTTATAAGTGTCATTTTTGTTTCTGGTATTCATGTCTCATAAGAGTATGACTTAAATGTAATTTTAATTGAAAAGTTTGTATTTCAGGATGTTTTGCATGTGGAATGGAGAATGGTTTCCGTGTATACAATGCTGACCCATTAAAAGAAAAAGAAAGACAGGGTAATTTAGTAACTCATTAGTAAAACTACTTTAGTCAGGGCTCTCACTAGGCCTTTAGACTGTAGCGCAGCACCACAGTCTATTTAGCCTCTGTCACAACATATTGGCAAATTGTGACTGTTTCCACAGTCTAAACTTGAATCAATACACAATAATAGCATGTGGAAAGTGTAAAATATAACATAAATATGATTTATCAGGACTCAACGGTTATGCTGAAGATGTTTCCACCACACCCTAAATATTTCCTGGTGAGAGCCCTGTTAGTTATGAATCATTAATGTTAGTTTTATATACATGTACAACATACATGTACAGGGTGTCCCGAAAGTATGGGGCCCCCCTAGGCAGACATATTCCAGTGTCCTCATAGTATGTGTCATATATCATTTTAAAGCTTATCCAAAGTTACATTGATTAGCCAAGTATCATGGTTTAACTCCCAAATGGGAAAAAGTTACAGTCATTTTAAAAGTTAGTGTTTTATCAAAATAAAGTTCAATTTTACACCACATTACTAGTCAATGTGTCCCCCCTTGGCCATGTTAACAGCAGCAATTATTTTCAGATATGACCTTAAAAACCCTTCAAATAGGGGTGTGGAATTTTATAACCCTCTTAAAACCTGTTAAGGGACTTCAGAAGAGTTTCTTTAGAGTTTCTACCCTCACCGTTCTCTTTTTCCAACTCAATATCCCTCCGACCCGAAAAGAATTGCTGCTGTTAAGATGGCCCGGGAGGACACATTGACTAGTGATTTTGTGTAAAATTGAACTTAATTTTGACCAAACACTAAATTTTGAAATGCCTGTAATTTTTTCACATTTGAGAGTTAAACCATGATACAGGGTGACCGGAAAAAAAGGAGACCATTGAAGTAATCAATTTCTCCTAAACTAGACAAGTGCCATCAATGAAATTTTGCATACACTGGAACAGTTATATGGAAATTTGTTACTGAAGGTTTCAATACAAGCATTCAACTGGTTCAGGAGCTGTGATCATTTACATAACATGCTCCAAATAGGCACAATTGAGACCAACGCAGAGTTGGATTCATATGGCAAACTACCCTTACATGTTCTGCCCTCTATGGCATTATTATGGCATTACATATAGCAGTGATTGCCTTCTTTAGGTCAACAATAGTCTGAGGATTGTTTTGGTATAGATTGTCTTTCAAATATCCATACAAAAAGAAATCAGCAGGATTCAAGTCTAGGCTGTAATGGCAATGAAGGGTTATCTGACATGTGGTTCATCATCCTGTTGCCAAAGTGCTGATTTACCCAATCTTAAGAGTCACTTTAGGTATTGGGCATAGTGCCATGTTACTAAAACCACTATATGGCACAATTAAATCCAATATGGAAACCAAGGGCTGCCCAAAACCTCCTTAGGATGATACTGTAACTGAGTGGGACCACTGAGTCAGAAGCCATAGGTCAGATAAGCTTCGTCTCCATACACCTCAAATTTGAATCCACCTGATTTCTTTTTGTGGGGCAATTTGAAAGACAATGTGTACCAAAACAATCCTGAGACAATTGCTGACCTAAAGGTGGCAATAAATGCTAAATGTAATGCCATAACAAGGTCGGAATATGTAAGGGTATTTGCCAAATGTATCCAGCTCTGCGTTGGTCTCAATTGCGCCTATTTGGAGCATGTTATTTAAATGATCATAGCTCCTGAACCAGTTGACTGCTTGTATTGACACTTTCAGGAACAAATTTCCATAGAACTGTCCTGATGTATGCAAAATTTCATTGATGTCACTAGTCTATTTTAGGAGATATTGCCTATTTCAATGGTCTCCTTTTTTTCCGGTCACCCTGTACTTGGCGAATCAATGTAACTTTGGATAAGCTTTATAATGATATATAACATATACTATGAAGACACTGGTATATGTCTGCCTACGGGGGCCCCATACTTTCAGGACACCCTGTATATGTTTTTTCATGCTTATAGATTAGAGTTGGGCACATGTTAAATCCTCCCTTTACCTGTAGATGATACTTCATCTGTATTGCAAATACCAATTCATTGATCACTTCTATAAAAACATATCCTTTCAACTATAGATGTATATTTTAAATGGTATTTTTTCCTGCAATTTTCAGATACTTCAACAGGTATTGGAGGCAAGTTGTTGCCATTTTTAAAGGATGTATCTTCGCTTTTGAACTGATAACATTTTAGTGCATATCTTTTTACCTGATTTGCTTTCACATTTTGCAGTAATAATTTGTGCATGATTTATGTTATCACATGTAAATTGAAATGTTTTTACTTTGCTTCAAGTAAGAAAGAAATCTTGACTTTTGGTTGTGTTTTGTCTATTGGATTGTGACATTGAGTATGTGCAGTTTTTGCAATGTTTGTGTACTAATTATGTCTCTTGCACTGTTTGTGTGGAAAAGTTTGTTGCAGTGTTTGCAAAGTCTGTTGGGATAGGTCACATTTTCATTGTTGCTGGCCTGTCCATCTTAATTTCCCGTATTATGTATTTTATTGATTCTAAATGATCCACCCTATTTATCAGTGACCTGTTTTTCTAGAAATCTATACATGTAGCTATCTTGGAGATAATTGATTTGAAATGGAAACAAAAAAGTTAATAGTTACATACTTGGGGTGGATTTTACAAATCATTGGAACTGAATGATGTTTGATTTATTTAAATGTATATCGGGAACACAGCTCAAAGAATACATGAACGGTTATAATATTCAATCCAAAATCATGAATGGAAGTTGGTGATGTTTTAAGTGCTGTAAGACTGTATATTTAGGTCACTTTTGCACTGTTGCACAACTATGTACATGTACTTAAAAGGGCTCAGTACCTGCTTCTGACTCTAAAATATACCAAAATTGAAAAAATATGGATCATTTGCAACATCAATTGCCTTCATTCCAAATCTTCTTTTCTGTAAATACCTGTATTAGAACTTGAAAAAATATATTGTTGATAATTAAAGAAAATGAAAATTAATTCTTTATAAATACAATGTACTTTTGCAAATATTTCTAAATTCCTTGAAATATTGCTTTGAAAATATTGATATAATTTAGAAAAATGAGTGAAAGAATGATTGATCATACATGTCATACAACAAACACAATTTTGAGTCTATCCTTAAAATACAGATAAGCGCCTATTGTATAGATGTTGACTGCATGTGATCTCCCAGCATTGAAGCAAATCACCACTGCATGATTTGCACCCATTTGAGATTTTGAAAAAGTCTTGCATCCACTTCAAAACCCATTTGCACCCACTTGAAAATGAGAAAAATCACGGAAAATCTGCAAATTTTGACCAGTTTTGAATTTTGCATTGACTTTTAGATGGAAAGAATCATAGATAGAACACTGCTTTGTGTACAGACCAATCGCCAAGGGAAACAAATTATTTGAATTTGTTCCAGATTTTCCTGAGGGTGGTGTTGGACTGGTTGAGATGTTGTTCAGATGTAACTACCTTGCGCTAGTAGGGGGTGGAAAAACACCCAAGTACCCACCAAACAAAGGTAGGTTAGAAAATATCTGAACATTCGAAAAATAATTTCTCTGATCTTGAGATAATCTAAATATTTTTAATATTTCTGTTTCTCTTATTTGTGCTTAATTATGAGATATTTAGTGAAAATAGGAAAGGAGTCACACTGAAAACCCCAAAGCTTGCGAAATTGAGACAATTTAAATAGGCTACTTTCGTTGTGCCTTGATCAGATTATCATTTACCGTTAACATCTTGAAATAACTGATGATTAAAATAGAGTAAAACCTATCTAACCTGAACACCTGGGACCATCCAAAAATGGTCAGATTTGTAATATACATGTAGGAGGCAATAGGACGATTTTTGGGACTAATTGGACATGTGATTGTTTATACAGGTTTTATCGTATATACTCTCTGTATGTTTTTCAGTGATGGTGTGGGATGACTTGAAGAAGAAACATGTGATTGAACTTGAGTTTTCTAGCGAGGTGAAGACAGTACGGCTGAGGAGAGATAGGTGAGCTTTGTTTTGATGGCGTTTTTAAGGTCGGTCACGGTTCGGTTCGATTAACCCCGGTTTTTGGTCCCACGGTTCTACCACACCATCCCTTAAATTTAAAATTAAATTTTTACTTTGTTGTAATTCATTGAAAATATCCATTGTGAAAAATATACCATTTCATGAAAAATCTCACACGGATTCACCTTAATGTGATAACCCCCTTTACTTTAGGGTCGAATGGTTTTGTTAGTACAAATACTTATAGTCTCCACTTTTAAAAAGACTCAAATAATCAGTTTTGTAGAACGCTATGTAAGCATTCAATTTTAATTTGAAGTAATGTAACATTTTAAAAAAGAGAATAGAAAGTCATGCTAGAATACCATTGTGTACTTTCAGGATAGTTGTAGTGCTGGACACCATGATCAAAGTGTATACATTCACCCAGAACCCACAGCAACTTCATGTGTTTGAAACATGTAATAACCCTAAAGGTAAAAATGGACATGTACATCACTCATTTGAATTCATCATAATTAAGAATATTAATTTTAATGTGAACAATAAACACAGTTTAGTCTCAGGTTTTGAAATTTAGGTAAAGAGGATCAGTTAGCAGAAAATGCAATGTGCTATTAGATTAATGAATCACATCTTCAAAGTCCAAAAATGTATAGCTTTAACATACCGTATTCTCTGTAATTAGCGCCCAGGGCATTTAGAAAATTGAAAATACATTATTTAGACCATTCTAATAAGCGCCCATGTATGAAAGAAATCAGAAATCCCGAGGAATTTCATGTATGGCAATTTTTCTTGACAAGAATGCATTTTCTTCAACATATTTTTATAATAATATGACAAGTGCTGTTATTGGAGAGAATACGGTAAAGATCGCTTAGACAATATTGACAGTGGTTGAAGACCCGTCTATGTCTAATTTATTTCCGGCACGCCCACTTTGTCATTATCGCCGATTACCTTCAATATTTCCACTAGAGACTGCTGGATATCGATCTAAAGTTATACATTATTTTTAATTTGATGAGAGATCATCATTATTCGTGCAAAAGTCGTGTAAAAGTCGAGAAACATTAAAAAGAAACCAGAAAGTTCACGACCTTGACATGCGCAGAACATCTGCGCAGTAGCTTTTGAAATTTCTGAATGCCGATAAAGAACAATTCCTTCATTCATTATGGACTATTTGGAGACAATATTAGCATGGTATGGTGTGGGAAGCACCCATCGATAGATATGTATCGAGAGGATGCATAGAATTACAAAACGCGTCGTGTTTACAGCAGTTTTAGGGTAAGTACTCTATTATCGCCCGCTCCTGGATTTTGAGAAATATTTTTTTCCTGATATATTCTTCAATTCTTGTTGATTCCTCGATGTTTCTTGAACTTTGTGAAGCGGGGTGGGCGCTTATTAGAGAGTGGGCGGTAATTACAGAGAATACGGTACATTAATCTGTATTTCCTTCGTATATGTACCATGTATGTATCTGATGCATATTCATACTTATTTTAGGGTTGTGTGTCATGTGCCCAAACAGCAATAACTCACTCCTAGCATTTCCTGGGCGTAAAATGGGCAATGTACAAATTGTTGATCTTGCCGACACAGAAAAACCACCTGTAGATATTGCTGCACATGAGGCCAGCCTTAGCGCCATCTGCCTGAATTTACAAGGAACTAGATTAGCCACAGCATCAGAAAAAGTGAGTAATGAAATATTCACCCTAAGACCCTTTAATCAACATTTTTATTACTTGTATTATTTATGTCACTTCCCTTTCCTGACTAAGTTAACCTATCTTGATAAAATAATCAAGCAGAATTCTTTAGTATAATGTAAATAATATGTAAATTTTTGTTCAGGGTACTCTGATCCGAGTGTTCGATACATCCAATGGTCAGCAACTCCATGAGTTGAGGCGGGGTGCCAACAATGCTGTAATATACTGGTGGGTATGACTACAGGGCAGTTAATTTTACTGGGAAGGTTGCATATACTGACTTTTCACAAACTTAACAACTTGTTTCATACCTGATTTAGAGACTTTCTCCAGAGGGTTGTGTATGCTCATTTCGGTACACATGTATGTCATTGTATCACAATGATTGGATATAATTAGATATTAATGATTGGAAATGGTTCTTTATGTTTCATTATTAAGTCCTCATACCTCAAATGTAATGATTTATGAACTTCTTTCAAGCTATCGAGCATATTTATTTTAGAAGATGATAGGATGGTACAAAATGATTTTGCTGTAAAAGGTGAAGCACAACTATTTTTTTATATCTTGAAATTAAGCATGAAATATCTGATTTCATTTCCAGTATAAACTTCAACCACGATTCTTCCCTTATTTGTGTATCCAGTGATCATGGAACAGTGCACATATTTTCTGTAGAGGACCCCAAAAAGAATAAACAGTCAAGGTAATGAAAGGGTTTAAATGTCCATATAGCTATTGTCCCCATGTATTTTAATGCTTGTTATAGCATCCTTTGGGGGCTTTATTGTTTTCACCTGAGATTGTACAATAATATACAGTGATCTCCCCATGATTTTTTCTCAGGTGGGTGCAAAATTCTCATTTTCACAATTCAGATAAAAATTGGTCAAAATATGCCAATTTTTCATGATTTTTCTCATTTTCAAGTGGTTGCAAATCGATTTTCAGGTTGGCACAAGCCTATTTTCAAAATCTCAGGTGGGTGGTGTGCCCACTTACTTAAATGCTGTGGAGATCACTGATATACAATATATACACTTCTCATGTTATTTATGATTATGAAAATTATTTACAAGTTCTCTTCAAATAGAATTTTTATCTGTCTACAAGTATTATTACTCAGTGAAAAGGAAGCATAGATTTTTGCCCTTGTTAATATGTTTTACTGATGATATAAAAGTTAATGTCAATATTATCTAACCAATTGGCCTCTTTATGTGTATTTAGTCTAGGGTCTGCTCCATTCCTCCCCAAGTACTTCAGCTCCAAGTGGAGTTTCTCTCGTTTTCAAGTCCCTGGTAACAGCCAGTGTATATGTGCTTTTGGAGCTGATCCCAACTCTGTCATTGGTAAGAGTGTTCAGTACTTGACTTTGTTGTAATTATCCCAACGAACGAAGTTCTGTAGGGATATAGTGAAGCCGTCCGTCCGTCCGTCCGTCCGTCTGTCCGTCAGTCAGTCAGTCCGTCCGTCCGTCTGTCCAGAAGATAACTCGAATACTAGTCGACAGATTTTCTTCATATTTGGTGGAATGATGTATATTGGTGAACAGTTTTACGCAAGATGGCCGCCAGTTTAAAAATGGCGGGAATTTTTTGCAAAAAACTTATGTTTTTCATTTAAACCAAAATAATAAATATTATTATTTGAAATTTTGGTAGTATATTAACATCATCTATGTTTTTCACATATATCCCGGGTTTTTCACCCTGACCCCCAGGGGCCGTAAATGGGGGATCGGGAAAACAGGAATTTGCGTTAATTTTGAGATGTTTTTGAAGTATAGCTTTATTATACTCAAATGAAAGGCCATTTAGAGTAGATTGCAAATATTGTAACGTTTTTCTGATTCGGGCCTCAAAATTCAAAATGGCCGCCTAATGCGGGATTTCGCAATTGTTTTCTGATCTCTTAAAAGTATGGCTATATTATACTCAAATTGAAGGAATTTCAGAGTAGATCACAATTATGGCATTGTTTTTCTGATTTGTGCCTCTGAAAATTCAAAATAGCTGACTAGAGCAGAAATTCGCCATTACTTAGTTATCTTGAAAGTATGGTTACATGATTTAAAATATTTATTGAAGGTAAGAGTAGATGGTAAATATTACATTGTGACTGTACAGATTGATGATTTATATAGTGTTCGTTGGGATTTGCTACTCCGTGGAGTTGCCATTTTCTAGTTAATTTTAGTGGTAATCAGTTATGTTTTTGTTAAATTGCCTGGGTGAGCAATTTCATTTGAATGCAATCTAATCAGTGGACCAGTTCTCTTGTATTCTATTTTATGTAAGTTGAAGCATGTCTGAAATAATTTTTGAAAAAAGCCTAGGAGTGAAGGCAAGGACTCCATGCAAAAAATTATGCAATTTTGATTTCAATATTTTAAACTTTCTTTCAGTTATTTGTGCAGATGGGAGTTATTACAAATTCATATTCAATGCCAAGGGTGAGTGCACCAGAGACGTTTATGCCCAGTTCCTTGAGATGACAGATGACAAAATGTGAAAACCATTGCATGAAATGTGAAGCAGCAGTAAAATGTGAAGTGTTACAATAAATTGTGAAACAGTGGATGAGAAGTCAAATTGATCCATCCTTTACAGCAATTTTAACAGAAATTTCAACAAATGGAACTTAAATATTGAAACTGTGCAAAATTCTATTGATTTTATCGAAATGGCAGATTCAATTGGAGAGATGTATCATAATGGATTCATCTATGCAGACAAATTGTATTGACAATATGTAGGAAAAAATGAACCATAAATGGTCACTGTTTTGGTATAATATTATAAAACTTCTCAAGATTATGTCAGTATTACTTTTTCAAAGGTCTGAAATAAACATTTGAATTTTAAGTACTCATACATACAAAAATTTAGCTGCTCAATATAAGTGTTGCCAAATTGTCCTACAGTTTGAATTAATACCTGATGGTATGTTGTAACAAGTAGATTGCCATCAACGAGAGTCAAAGATTTGATTTAAGTTCAAAGTTGGATATATTGACCAATTTCAATTTCAACATTTTGCTTCATTTTAACATTTACTTGCCATGAATTGCTGAGATTGTTTGAAGAGACCCATTTTCTATGTAGCATTCATGTATTGGCTTTAAATATATGTATTATTCTCAATTTCATCCCAGTGATTTCTTCATGCTTGGGTTATGGACATGCTAATATTCAAGCAATAGTTTCTTGAAATCTAAACCAATGAAGTTTAGAGAGAAGGTTTTGGAAAATTAATGAAACTTGCTTCATTTAATGATATCAAGTTATTTATTTTTCTTAGACTTAAAATGCAAGCGCTAAATATACTACCTGAATAAGGCAGGTACATCAAACAATGTACAGAAATGTGTTGCGATGGGTGTTTGAAAGTGTATTGCAGTTAAACAAAGGTGTTGTGTAGATGTATTTTAAATCAAATTTGAATTATGGCCCAGTTGTGGTCCATTGTGCAATTTCCTTGTGCCTGTCCCAGCAGTGCACTTGACAAACCCTGGTTTAAATAGGGGCACGTTGAACAAGACACAAGACTTACTGTTCTATAATATGATGCAGTTAAATTATTTCACAGCTCAAGGCCAAGAACTGCTGTTAGTGAACTTGACATTTGACCTTGACCTGACATTTCATGTTCAGTAAATATTGATATTGTAAAATTCAACTGATATGCCTATACTGTAGTTGATTATATATAAAAAAAATTAATATTATTATGCTTGATCATTCTGTAATTGTATAAAAACAATACTTTGCCAAGAAGTTATTTGCAGTTCTGTATTCTGATGATTATTAAAATGAGTACATGTACATATACTGTAGGTGAATAAGTACATATATGTTACATGTGTATGTGTACATGTGAATAATGATGTCTTCTATATTTTCTAGTTTGTAGAGTTATCTAAGTGCATGTAGTAGAAATAACATTCTGTGACAATTTTATGATTCAAATGTACATAATCTTAAATGGTGCTGTGCTTCTTTCAAAATGTAAAATAGATTAACTTGTGTAATTATGTGTGAATTATTTAATAGTGATTTTGGGGTTTTAAGTAATGCTATGAATTGTGAATTCAATCTCAACAAAATCGAGTCATTCATTGATAAGTTGAATGCTGTTGGATATTTGTCAAGTAAAGAAGCCATGATAAAAATGTACATTTTGTTCATTTTTTCACATAAAGATATAACAGTGTAAAAACATGAGATTTTAGTTGATTTTAGTTCTGCTTTATTTTTTTGTGTACATAATATTATAAAGATTTCTTTTTGAGCTGATTAAAACTCATGCTTTGTGTCAAAGTGTGCAAATATATTTGTAAATAGAAAATTATGATAAAATTATGATTTGTTCTTTTTCTTTAAATTATTTTGAAATTGATCAGTGAATATATGTAATCAAATGTTTCTTATTCATTCCTCTTTTTCCTCGACCTTCACGTTATTATTCTCATCTTTTTCTTCACTTTCTGAATTATTCTCCTCTTCCTCTTCAATAACTTCATCATCCTCGCTTTCAATCTCATCAGCTTCATCTTTGTCATGTGTGGCACTAATGGAGTCATCTATCGGGATTTCTTTCCACTCAAGCATGGCATTGACAAACACGGGTAAACCAACCATACAGCTAAATGCCAGGAGCAGACGAATCAAATTCTCCTTTAATAGCTGAAAAACATTTTTAAACAAAAATCACTACTCAATTTTATCAGGTCGTTATAACTGAATCCTGTTCTCCCACCATTAATCAATGGAACACGCATTTATATATATATAGTATTTACATTGGAATGAATTTTATAGAAAAAAATTAACAAAATTAGCCACTGCACCTGTCCTTCACGTCCATAGTATCCACGACCACCACGCATAGAGAAGTCCAAAGCAAAAGAAAGACAGACTGGAGATATCATCATGATGAAAGCCATTACTACATTGACGAATCTCTCCTGAAGAATTTGACTGTACTTGTGCTGTAAAATAAAGAATCTGGCTATAAGGGTCATAATAAAAGATAAAACAACTGGGATCAATATGGGACATATATAAAGCAGAAAGAAAGATCATACTCAGATTCTGTAGATGTTCAGAATCCTTACCAGTTTTAACTGTTTCTCCAATAACACGATCCTTTGTTCCAACTTCTTAATATCATCATTCACAGCATCCTTGATGTGACGTAGACATTCTTCATGCTCAACGACCACAAATCCTACAAAAAAGTATTGATTTATAAGTATTTTATTGTGACCGAGAGACATGCAAATATTAATGCGTACAATGCTGTATAATATTAAGTTGATATAATAATGGATAACAGCGTTTGACAGTCCCAAAACTAAAGAAACAATTACCTGTTCTACAATAATACATCTAGACTGTGAAACTAGCAATTTTTTATGATGCGTATGAATTATCATTTAGAAAAACGTTTTCAAACCTGTCTGATTCTTTTCTTCAACGTTTGATTCAGTTGAATTATCCATGATGATATTACAGCAAAGATATTCCCGTTCATCGATAAGTTCCCATCTGTAATATCTTTGTTTTTTGTATTATTTGGTTGTTATACCATTTCGAGTATGACGTCATTTTATTTTAAATACACCATACACGTCACAATTAGATTCAGTTCTAGTAGAAAGTACTACTGGTGACGTAATGGACATGTCCATGTAAATTACTGTCAACAAATGACGTATCGATATTAATATGCGGCGATGACAGGGGGTAGTCAAAGAGAATGCCACAAGTATTCAGAACTTCAATGACAATGCTGAGGAACTATAGCCTACAAACAAACGAACAAACAAAAACAAATCATACATTTGTCCAATAAAGACATATAACATACTTGCCATTAGATTCCCATTGAAAAGTAAAAAATGTGTAATGTACTTATAAATGTGTCTGATTCGTTAAGTCAATCGATTGTCATCTTAGCACAACCCTTGCAGCAATCAAACGCTACGCTAGTCTGCCTAATGAGACGTTCAAATCAAAAATAACGACGGACATGTGCAGCAGTAAGCCGATGGTGTAGGATACCAGGGGCACATCTGAAAACAGGGGGCCAAATTTAAAGTATTTTTAGCCCCCTCCCCCCATCCGCCATTGGATACAGAGCTTTCTTGAAAGCCCATGATTTTAGCTATTATCCGGTGTGAACCAAAGACGTGTTGACATAGTCCTTTGGGGTCATAATATTACACGTTTACGTACAGGTTCTCTTGAGGACGCGTGGCTTAACCTCCCTATTATGTGGTCGCTCCGTCGATTAACTGACTCATTTTAGCCTATTTGAAAGACTTGAATGGCGCATGATAAAATAGACATTAAAACGGTGCTTATGGGTGACACGGTGCAAATTACACCAAAACTAGGCTCAGCACACCAGAATAAGGGGTTTTGTACTCGAAAATCAATAATTTATTTCAACTAGAATAGCAATGACATATGGCATATCCGTGAAGAAGACTTTCAAACGCATTGTAAGAACATCGGTCAGTTTGGTAAATATAACGTGCACGTGGACTGAGTGCCTTCTCTGGACCACTTCACCTATAACCACCGTATACTGTATGTGTAACTATAATGTGCGGATGAGAACGAACAACGTTTCAAAACCTAGGATGGTGAACTACATTTAGTTAAACGGTGTAAAAGTTGTAATAGTGTGTTTTTTGAGGAGGTCACTAAAGATCAAATCTATTTTGACCTTGAGAATGTAAGAATCAAATCGATAGGCAGATTTGAAATGTTGAGAACTTGTAGATGATTTTTTTTAAAAATTGTCAATTTGAAGCAAGTTGATAGTCTTGCTCAAAGACTGTATCCACCCCCCCCCCCCCCGTCACCTTTACTCTCTTTACCTGGCAATAGAGAGAAGGATAAAGGGGGGGGGGTACAGGGTCTTTTAAGCAAGACTAGCAAGTTGAAAAAAGTTGACCTTTTTTACCTTAAGAAGGTCATTGAAGGTCAAATCTTAAGTCAGATTTGAACTTCTGATAACCTATAGATGATTTTGAAAAAATGCTTAATTTGAAGCAAGTTGAAAAGATACATTTTTGACCTTGTCAGATTTGAACTTCTGTAAACATGTAGAAGATTTTGAAAACAATTGAAGTCAGTATATACTGTAATGTCAGTATCTGTTAAATTATTGGAAGTTGTAAGCATCTGTTACAAACCCACAGCCGATCGCCAACCGCCGTCAAAAAAACGGAGACCATAAAAACAGTGAGTGACACAAAACAGGAGTTATTTTGATTCTAAATGCTGTATTGTTTGAAATATGTTCCGACTATATTAAACCTCTTGGCTTGATCGTTGGTGGATTGGTGGCAAAATACCATTCCACCTACAGTATTCTACCCCAAAAAATGATTATGACTATGTGTCGTGTATACAGTAGGTCTGGTTATTGCTTGGAAGAAAACTTCATTCTACAGGTTTTAAAACACCCTCTGAGATGAATGAGCTGTTCATAATCCTATGCAAACTGAGCGGGCAGAAAATGCTCGGTGTGTGTATCACAAGCGCGCAATGCGGAACCGAATCGTGCAAATATATGATAGCTTCGTTCGTCTACTAAAAGGTGGCACGGTTTATTGGAAAGTCCACTTACAAACAAAGTGGCCATCATCACAACAATCCCATTTATAAAATCACAACAATCCCATTTATAAAATCACAACAATCCAATTTATAAAATCACAACAATCACATTTATAAAATTGTCAGTATTGGAGATGAGAACATTTTTGTTTGTAATTTCTGTAAATGATTGAATCATTCTTTATTGAATCTCTTGAAAAGCATAACACATCTGTCACTTCCATTTACAGGGTGAACCAAAAGAGAAAATTATTCCAAATACAGTGGGTAGCGTTTTTTGCGGTCACCCTGTATATTCTTTCTTACCCTGCGTGCAGAGTCTAGTTAAACTTAAGCTCTCTTTTAAGAAGTGAAGTCAAACGAATGCAAAGGGTAATTCTTTCTGTAGAAGAAATATGTTTTGTTTATCTCCTTAGTATGACATACATTTTCTCCTGTACCAATTATGCTAAATTAAGTTGTTTGAGTGGACATTTGATCTGAAAGTTGGTCAATATATGACAATTTTTGTTTCAGCATTTCACAGGTCTTATTTTTAGGTATATGGAGTGTATAAATAGTACATAACAATATGTTCTATTTTTCGATTTATTTTCTCTTTTCCCTCGGATGAAGGAATCTATGGTATAACTAACTACATGATGAATAACAAAGATCAAGATTTGGTGTGGGGAATATGGACCTTAATTAAGTACTTGTATAAATATTATATTTAGAAAAATAAATGTAATTGCTGTGATGATTACACAAACACAAAATACACTTTATTACTCATCCAGACCTGGCCAAATTGTAGCTTTTAACACCAGCATATATCCTGACATTGTGTGGTTCAATGGTTGCACCACAAGGCCGACCTTTGAGGGTGTACATTACCCAAGTTTCACATCTCAAATTTGGACAAACATTGGGCAAGACTACAATTTACTGTACACTGTAAGTCAAAGTGGTAAGACTACAATTAAACCAAAGTGGTTTGAACTTTTCCAGGGGCCTTTAAACATCACAATGACTAACTGATTGATTTTACTTGTTATCAAGGATTTTTCTTGGTTCTGGGTATTTATACATATTGTGAAAGATTCATAAGTAATCTCTAGAATATTCGGCATGGATATTGCGTTTTAGGCTCCTAGATGGTCACCTAAGGAGATTTCCTAATATGACTAGTATACAGGAGAAAATACATGAAACCAATGCTCCAAATGTTAAAACCTGATATTTTGTATGCATTAACACATTACGCATTATCTCATCCTTTGGTGTGACATAAAAAACATTTACAGACAAATGAAAATATACTGTCATTTTCATATTTTGTGAAAAATGTGGGAAAAATCAATGATTACAGGTTATAGTGAAAGGCAAGATTTGCAAACTGTACCTTTACATATATCCTATCGTATCTATCCACTATACTAGGTTATGATCTTGTGGATTTGTTAAAGTAACAGTCTACTCGACTTAATCTCTGACTTAAAGCATGGGCTTTCAACTAGAAGGGTAGGCAACTTCCCATATTTCATACATAAACATTGCCATGGGTTTTCAAAATTGGAGAATGTACACATTCCAAGAAAATCTTATTTTGTACTTTTTATTGATGATTAAAAGAAATAACTCAAAAATAAAAACATGATCTTCTACATACATCTTGATAATTTAATAAAAATTGGAATTCATCATAATTATGACAATACAGAAAGTGAACATTCTCCCACAAATTATGTTTTTATTGGAATGTGTTCTTGAATAATTACCCACAATGCAATACTCAAAGAGAACATCTTGATAACTCTTATTCTTATTGGTCTCTTTTGTTTACTTTAATATGATATTGAATATATTTTATGCTTAAATCATATTAAAAATTGATTTTTATTCAAAATAATACTTAAACATATACATTTATCTAATACTTTTTGAAATATTGCCATAAAAGGGAAGCATGTCATTGTTCATTTTGAAGGTCTCATGTTATTACATAGAGTTACATACCCTTCTAGTTGAAAGCCCATGCTTAAAGCAGCAATGTACTGTAATAAAAAAATGAAATGATTAAACCTTAATAACACATGATCATACATAGCTTAGAAATCTATGTTGAAAATGCCAATAACTGTTCACTAAATCAAGCAGCAAAATATAATATACTTCAAATATACATACTCTTCAACAAGGAATATATAATACTGTATATGAAGTACCCAAAGTTAAACATATGGAATATATAGCTTTGAAAAAATGTCAAATCCCAAGAGGGAATATAAATATTGCAATATTAATTATCCTTGTACCACTAAGTGTCGTAGATTTGGTCATCTTTCAAACATTTTCCAATTGTCAACCAGTTAGAGCAGAAACAGCAGTCTCGAAACAAACCTTTGGGAGGCCTTTGCTTTCCTGCATTTGTAGTCATTATACTATATTGCAAGCTAATGTGGCATATATCTGGTCTCTAAGTTATATCCACTAATTCCCATTCTCCGGAATCAAAAGCCTATTCTAGCACTAAGGTCAGAGGATGACTAATCCTTGGAAATTCCCACATCAGTCCACTCTATTTCCCACTAATGTCTCTATTTCTTGTTCATAAACATGACTAACATGTGCATGGTCTTAGGTATCATTTGACTGATGTGAGGTTACAGATCATTGTTCCTTATAAATCTGTTTCCCTCTGAATGTTTTCCATAATAAATATATCGACTTTTTCCAAAGGTACCTGAAATTATAATCGTTAAAATAGAGATATCACAGAATGAATTTTCCCAACAACTTTACTTAGCAATAATAATATGTTACAACAGAGAGACTTATTAAACAAACAAACTATCAAGGAATCTTGTAGTCTATGGAAAATAATATTTAGAAACTTAGATGAACCTGAATACAGTGAAATAGTTGTATAATCTTTTTCATAGATTTGTGCCACTCAAAGTGAATGGAGTGGGAGAGAATAGGCTAGACAAGCCCGTAGCCACCTTTTGCCAAGGGGGTTCCCTTTTCAAATAAAATCGAAGGGGGGTTCACATTTGACAACTTTGGCCTACAATCACTTGAAAAGTGCTCAGAATGGTGAACTGTATGAATTAATTTTGAAATAATTTTCATTCAAACAATCCCCGAATCCCCCTGGCTATGGACCTACTAGAATAGAAAATATTAAGGTTTACAAACCTGCATGTTTGCCATGGTCCACTGATGTGTCTGGGAGGGGAGAATATTGAGAAGGAGATGTATTAGATGTATCTTCTGATTTCTGAAAATAATGAAATGAATGGATTATTAAATGAAAGTCATGTCATGCGACAATAATGTCCCAAATGCAATCTGCAAAGTTCATTAAATTACAACCATAGATCCCGGCCAGATTCTTTTGTAGTAGAATCAGTAGCTCAATAAATATTCCTCAAGATGAGACACCTCGGAAAATTTCAAATTTTAAAATGACGATTGTGGAGCCATTTCTGAAAAATATGTGACAAATCATACCTCATTCGAAGCGCCTTGTTATTCTTTAACTTTTTTATCACCAATGACCATTATTCAAGCAATACTGCGTTGATAAGAGGCCAAAACAGTGATATTTTATCGCCGGACTCTTGTCTGTCCAAATCTAAATGTTGCTCCCGTGGTTCCAGAAATGTGACGTCATCAGTACAATGATATTTGGACACACAAGAGTCCGGATCTCGTGAAAAATATTCGCCGTATTAAAAGTCAAATAACTGCATCCATGGGTTATTTACTCGAACCAAACAAGTAGAAATAGAAAGATGGAGATCTCAGCTATAAAATAAGTGCAAAATCTGTCACAGGGAAGCAGGTACCATTTTGTATAAGGAACATTTTGAAAGGTGGTCAATTTTTTTTTGAAATTTTCCAATTTAGTGTCGTATCTTGTGAATTATTCTTTGAGCCTATGATCCTACTACAAAACAATCTGGCCAACATCTGTGATTACAACCATAAAGTACTACATGTACATACATGGAAATAGCTCAACATATTTTCGATGAAAATAAATTATAACTATTCAAAAAAAGATATTGAACACATCCAAGAAAAGCCTTACATCTATCAAGTCATCTATTTTAGGCTTCACAACCTTGAGAAATGGTCCAATTCTTTTTGCCTCAACTCGCTCTGAACACTTCACAGGGGTGGAGTCAAGAAATTTCAACTTTGGTAAGCAGTATAAAACATAATGCCTGGAAGTAAAAGAATAGCTTGTTATTATATTTCTTAATATGAATAGGAGTGTAATAGACTTTATGTTTGTACAGTAAAATAGGTTATGGGGCCATGTTATCTAGGATTGGATGTGGATTCATTATATAATACCATAAAACACCATCATTTCTTTATAAATGCATTGCAATCTCTGAGCCTCATGGGCAGTTTGTGGAGTTTGAACATTTCATGATTTGCCTAGCAAACAACTTATTTCAAATGTAACAGATTCAGATTAAAGAATGGAAATCCATGCTGAGTTTAGTGTTTTTTGATGGAAGCTCTGCCTGTTATGTAATTTTTATGATATTTTAGATATTATGGTATTTTAGGTTTACCTGTATCGTTGATAGTCATCATCATCTTTATCTAGACTTGAGAGTTGATTGGGGCAGGCCTCGTTTCCAAGGAGGCTGAGATATGTCACATTAGGCAGGTGGTGTTTTATTTGTTCAAGTAACGGGTCTAAATCTCTTATCTGTTGGAAGAAATCCAGTCAAATCAAAAATAGTATTAAGGTGCATAAATGTGTTTACAATTAAGCATTTAACATAAATAAGATATGAAATAAAAAAGTTAGGTGACCTTCATACAAGCACTTTCAAACATAAAATCATAAAATGTAGTCTAATAATATAAACAAGAGGAATAAATATCTGTGTTCAGGCCCATACGAAGGGGAGGGTGTTTTTCCATAATTTTCTGGAAGATTTCAAATATGCTTAAAATGTACCAGATTTTCAAATTTCATATTACCTGGTTTTTATTTAATGTAAGTGTATGCAATCTCTTAATAGTTGGAAATGCTATTGTGTCATTTAGCTCATTGTTGTCTAAAACCAACTCCTCCAGTGATGTGAAAGCTTCTAAACCATCTAAACTCCTGAATAAGAAAAAAAGAATTAAATCAATTAAACAATTAAAACTATTAATCTGCCCATCTGTAGAAGAGTACAATGGAGTTGAAAAAAAATACTCGAGTTTCTAGAAAGTAAGTTATATCATTGCGATATCCACATCCCCTTTATCACAATCTCTTGCGAATGACAGATAAGAGGGGTCTGGTAAACCAGAACAAGGCATTAACATGACAAAATGTCACCACCTAAAACAATTTGGTCAATTTAAAGCAAGTTGGAAAATACCTTTTGACCTTAAGAAGGTTTGATTTGAACTTCTTAGAACATGTAGATGATTTTGAAAAAGAAATTCGTCAATTTGAAGCAAGTTGAAAAAATACCTCTTTGACTTTTTTTGACATTGAGAAGGTCATTGAAGGTCAAATGTCAAATGTAAAGTCAGATTTGAACTTCTGAGAACATGTAGATGATTTTGAAAAAAAAATTAAGGAAATTTGAAGCAAGTTGAAAAAAGACCTTTTTGACCTTTTCAAGGTCATTGAAGGTCAAATCTAAAGTCAGATTTGAACTTCTGAGAACATGCAGATGATTTTGAAAAAAATTAGTCAATTTGAAGCAAGTTGAAAAAAGACCTTTTTGACCTTGAGAAGGTCACTGAAGGTCAAAGGTCAAATTTAAAGTCAGATTTGAACTTCTGAGAACTTGTTAAGTCAAATTTGAACTTCTGAAAAGATGTAGATGATTTTGAAAAAAAAATTTGGTCAATTTGAAGCAAGTTGAAAACAGACCTTTTTGACCTTTTTTGACCTTGAGAAGGTCATTAAAGGTCAAATGTCAAATCTAAATTCAGATTTGAATTTCTGAGAACATGTAGATGATTTTGAAAAAAAAAATTAGTCAATTTGAAGCAAGTTGAAAAAAGACCCTTTTGACCTTTTTTGACCTTGAGAAGGTCACTGAAGGTCAAATGTCAAATCTAAAGTCAAATCTAAAGTCATATTTGAATTTCTGAGAACATGTAGATGATTTTGAATAAAAAATTTAGTCAATTTGAAGCAAGATGAAAAAATACCATTTTGACCTTTTTTGACATTGAGAAGGTCATTGAGGTCAAATGTCAAATCTAAAGTCAGATTTGAATTTCTGAGAACATGTAGATGATTTTGAAAAAAAAATTTAGTCAATTTGAAGCAAGTTGAAAAAAGACCTTTTTGACCTTTTTTGACTTTGAGAAGGTCATTGAAGGTCAAATGTCAAATCTTAAGTCAAATCTAAAGTCAGATTTGAATTTCTGAGAATACATAGATGATTTTGAAATTTTTTTTAGTCAATTTGAAGCAAGTTGAAAACAGACCTTTTTGACCTTTTTTGACCTTGAGAAGGTCATTGAAGGTCAAATGTCAAATCTTAAGTCAAATCTTAAGTCAGATTTGAATTTCTGAGAACACGTAGATGATTTTGAAAAAAAAATTTAGTCAATTTGAAGCAAGTTGAAAACAGACCTTTTTGACCTTTTTTGACCTTGAGAAGGTCATTGAAGGTCAAATGTCAAATCTAAAGTCAGATTTGAAGGTCAAATGTCAAATCTAAAGTCAGATTTGAATTTCTGAGAACATGTAGATGATTTTGAAAAAAAATTTAGTCAATGTGAAGCAAGTTGAAAAAAGACCTTTTTGACCTTGAGAAGGTCATTGAAGGTCAAATGTCAAATCTAAAGTCAGATTTGAACTTCTGAGAACATGTAGATGATTTAGAAAAAAATTGAAGTCAGTCTAAACAGTATTTAGTCAATTTGAAGTCAATTTGAAGCAAGTTGAAAACAGACCTTTTTGACCTTTTTTGACCTTGAGAAGGTCATTGAAGGTCAAATGTCAAATCTAAAGTCAGATTTGAAGGTCAAATGTCAAATCTAAAGTCAGATTTGAATTTCTGAGAACATGTAGATGATTTTGAAAAAAAATTTAGTCAATGTGAAGCAAGTTGAAAAAAGACCTTTTTGACCTTGAGAAGGTCATTGAAGGTCAAATGTCAAATCTAAAGTCAGATTTGAACTTCTGAGAACATGTAGATGATTTAGAAAAAAATTGAAGTCAGTCTAAACAGTATTTGTTAAGTTATAGGAAGTTGTAAGAAATTGTTACAGACGCCGGACGCCGGACGCCAGACGCCAGACGCCGGACGGCAACCACCAACCGCCGTCGCAAAAAAACGGAGACCATAACAATATGTATGTCACCACTTTTGGTGGTGACATAATGATGCTATAATAAAAGTTAAGTAGGTTAATCCTTGATTTTGATATGATTTTGTTACAACAACCGTGATAAAACTGTACAAACAAAATATAATACACATGTTGTAGCAATGAAAGTGTTTACTTACCGCAACCTGTTGAAAGACAGATCTAATCTGGTTACCATGGTGCCATAGGAGTTTGCAATATGTGGGGGAATAGCACTATAGTCCTGGCCAACACATACCAGCTGTAATATACAAAACTGTATTAAAACATAATATACATACACAATCATAAATATGTAAATAAGATAAACCCCTACAAAACAGACCAAAGATGTCTTTTTAATGAACTATACCACATGTATATTACAATTTAGAAAATGATTAAAAGAGGGGAGATGATTGTTAAACAGTGCATGAAAATAATATTAAACGCACTGAACATTGACTCTTCCCCAATAGCCTGAATCATGGAAAATCATAAAAAAAAAGTTAATACATCCACATGCGGCTGACATGATTATCTTTGGACTTAGACTTATCCTCAGTTGTCTTGTAACCCAAAATGATTGGTTACAAAATAAATATTTAATTAATGTTTTACAAATGTTTTAATGGTGACTATACTCATATATACAGGGTGTCCCGAAAGTATGGGGCCCCCCCTAGGCAGACATATTCCAGTGTCCTTATAGTATGTGTCATATATCATTTTAAAGCTTATCCAAAGTTACATTGATTTGCCAAGTATCATGGTTTAACTCCCAAATGGGAAAAAGTTACAGTCATTTTAAAAGTTAGTGTTTTGTCAAAATAAAGTTCAATTTTACACCACATTACTAGTCAATGTGTCCCCCCTTGGCCATGTTAACAGCAGCAATTATTTTCAGATATGACCTTAAAAGCCCTTCAAATAGGGGTGTGGAATTTTATAACCCTTTTAAAACCAGTTAAGGGACTTAAGAAGAGTTTCCTTAGAGTTTCTACCCTCACCGTTCTCTTTTTCCAACTCAATATCCCTCCGACCCGAAAAGAATTGCTGCTGTTAAGATGGCCCGGGAGGACATATTGACTAGTGATTTGGTGTAAAATTGAACTTAATTTTGACCAAACACTAAATTTTGAAATGCCTGTAATTTTTTCACATTTGAGAGTTGAACCATGATACTTGGCGAATTAATGTAACTTTGGATAAGCTTTAAAATGGTATATGACACATACTATGACGACACTGGTATATGTCTGCCTAGGGGGGGCCCCATACTTTCGGGACACCCTGTATATACTCATATACATATACTCATAGGAAAAGTCTTTGAAAAATGATATGACATTTGGTCCAAATGATAAAAGGACAATACTGCAATAAGCAAATACTTCATTTTTAGATTACACCACTTCTAAGATTATAGCTAAAAATGGGGTAAATAATTGATTAAACATTTCCTTCAATCGAATAAGCCATGAGAATTCAAATGAATTCAATGAAAACATGAACTGCTTACATATAATACCCATGGCATGATGATCTCATATGCATAGCCGTAGGCAGCGGGGGTTCGATGGGTTCGAACGAACAAATGCCTGGGGCTGGGAAGTCCCCGAAACTAATTGTGTTAAATAATTAAAAACGTTGTGAAATGAATTATTTAAAAGCGTATATCATTTATAAACACAAGCATTTGTTCGATGGGTTCGAACGAACCCCCGGTCAGGATTTCCCAAAATATCATTTTGCGGAAAAATGCCTATAACCAGAAACATTAAATTACTGTGCTATTTGAAAACTACATATATGACCAGTAAATGAATTGATATTTGTTATGGTGAACACGAGAGCCTTATTTTGTTAAAAATATGTCATCATGAAGTTACACTTCCCTCAAAACGTTTGGCAACCTTAGGCACGGGATGAAATTTAATTGTCGGAAGACCCCAGAGCATGAGATTTTACATTTAGAAATAACAATAATTTCGCACAATTAACTTAAAAGCTGCTTTTTCTCGGACAAAATAACCCATCTTGGGCAATGGCTAAATCAGTCCTTCGTAGGAATTTTTTTAAGCCAGTTCTGGTCCAATACAAAGTTATTGAAAGTTATTGAAAACAATGCAGACGTCCATACTCCGAATGATTTTTACAACATTGACGAATAAATATCTGGAATCGTCGTAATATTGATAAAACACATGTTCTTTCAAATGTGTACATCTCTGTTTTGTTTTATTTCAATAAAATTTTTAAATATTTCTTGGGACGTCCCTGGGGCTGGGAAGTCCCCGAAACTAATTGTGTTAAATAATTAAAAACGTTGTGAAATGAATTATTTAAAAGCGTATATCATTTATAAACACAAGCATTTGTTCAAAGGACGATTCTCGGTTTGGAGAACGAAGTTCATCAATCTAAATTAGCATTATCCATGCTTCGGACAAATTTGATCTTTTTACATAATATAGATTTGAATATCTTCTTTTGAATAGTCATAATTTAATTTGGGTAATATTTCTAGATTTTTCGCAAAAAAAATATTAGCGCAGTACACTGATGAACTTCTTTCCCCAAATCGAGACTTGTATTTTATTGAATCGGTCTATTTGAGCATTATCCCTGCTTCAGACCAATTTGTTATTTTTACATCTTGTAGATTTAATTGTCCTCTTTTGAATATTCATAGTTTAATTTGGGTAATATTTCTATATTTTTCATGAAAATTTTTTTAGCCCAGGAGGCTGTTCTCCAAACCGAGAATCGTCCTTTATTCATTCTTTCATTTGATCAGTATTTATTACCCATCACTTTTTCAAAGAAAAAGCAATCATTGCAAAAAATGATTTTGTTTTTTCAGATTTACTCCACTCATCTTGGAGATTGTATAGAATTCAAATTGTTATCGTTCCAGTTTACTTGCTCTCCATTTTCATGTTAATGTCATGATATGCTTAGCAAATAAATTACATAATAAAAAACATTGAAAAATCATATGGTATTAAGCTTCAAATAAAGAAGGCCTAATTGTCATCAAGCCGTCTGAAATTAACAAAATACTTTTATATTCGAACAGTCGCTTGTATTTATATAGAATTTATATCCACCAAAACGTTTTTATTATCAATTGCAGTTGATCTGCTCCGGGGGACTTACCACTGAGCTCCGGGACGTCCAAAGAAATATTTTCGACTTTTTAAAACAAAGCATAACCGAGACCTACTTATTTGAATAACAGATGAATAACAGATTACAGAATATATGTTTTCATCAGTAATACGACTATCCCGGATAGTTTAATAAGTCTTCGTGTAAACGTTGTGAAAAGTTGTCATAGAAGAACGATCTTTCGGAGTATAGGGTGTTTGCGCCATTTTCAATAACCACGCATTTAATCCGAACTGGCTTCCAACAAAGTTCCTGCAAAATAATGATAAGCCATTGCATGAGGTGATTTATTTTGTCCTATATGAAGTAGCTTAAGTTAAAGAATAAATTGTTGATATTCCTTGGTAACAAATCATGCTCCAGGGTCTTCCAGAAATCAGACGAAATAATGGTGGATCCGGGGCAAATCAGATTTCAGAGGATATATATTCAGTAAAAGATTCACCGAAAAATATTTTGATGCAGAAATTAATTATAAGTTGTCTAACTTTTTTGCACGCGCACGTTGCCTGTTTTTTTTTACTTTGTGAACATTAAAGTTACAAAGTAGTCTTGCTCAAAGAATGTATCCACCCCAATATACAGTCTTGTATACAAGGTATTTTTGAAAATCATTTTTACGTCCTGTGTTATTTCAATGGGAGAGGTTTCTTGATGAAGCCGATTACTTTCAGACTTTGCTTAACGTAAATAAATACATCATTTTTGTTATATAAAATTCAAATTCAATTGTCTACTTGATGAAGGTATTAAAATGAATTATATTCCCCCTCCCAAAATAGTTTTTTCTTTACAAATTATGCATATAAGAATTCAAACTTAAAGATGCTTTAATACATAATCCAATGGGTTAGCTAGGATTGCCAAACTTTTGGAGGGGGTGTAATTGTACAAATTGCACAAAAATATTTTTATTTGAGGAGCCCTAATGAAGGGGGGGGGGATTTGTGAATAACATAAAAATAGAACCCCCGGTCACCAAATCCTGGCTACGCCACTGATATGATTAATCATTCCAACAAAAAATCATGTGATAATATTTACTTCCTCCTCCATTTTTAGGAAGAATGATGATTTTAACATATAATCACATTACATTGTACTTTTAATAAATGCTACAGGAATCTCATTCATTATGTAAATATATCTCAAAATGGATATGGGGATATGCTATTTATTTAAGCTGACGATGTGGACGTAAATACTAAAATGGTAAATGAAAGTGTTCACTTTTGAGAGGTGTTCACAAACTAAATACTGAACATGATAGATATCTAATGTGATGTCAACACCGAATGAGAAGCCAATAAATTTATCTTCACATGTTTGATTAGCATTAGTGAAAGTTGCATGTGAGTTTGTCCAAAGGTTAAGTTGGCTACCTGATTACACCTCTCTTAGTATCGGTTGTATTTCTGTTTACAAACATAATTTGTAAATACTTGCTTGTTTAACCACTGATAGACCTTAATAAAAAGCTTCTTTCCCCAAAAAAGCAAGATCACCCTAGGTGAGCAGTATAAATTGGACTTCAAGCCGCATGCACTTATTATAATTTCTAAAAAGTAATGGATTCACTGAATATGTGAGCAATGTTTTTCAAGCTCCAATACTTAAAGAAAAGAAAGTTTGCAACAAAGTCTACTGATGGTGATACTCCCTCCAACATATTGAGAGAAAAATTGCTTTGTTATTTTAAATGGAAAAGCTTCAAGCATGACGGCTAGTGAAAAGTTTATTTGTGAAAATCTAAATTTCTTTGTACATGTGCACATGTATGTCCTAATTCGACTTTGAATGAAATTTGTGTCACTGCTTTCCTTTGCAGTGTTTCATTTCATATGTACACGCATTTTCAGAGGGTTATACTTTTGGTCTGCTAACTTGTGCTTGGAATTGGGCTTAAAATTGAAAATATCACAGGCTTTCTCCTAAAAAATAAAACACTGACTCATTGTGATATTTCTAAATGTTCTCCTTATTATATCAAGTATAGAGTTAAAATAACACAATGACTTTAAATGGCATTATACAGACTTCGAATCATGATGTAATATAACACTCTTGATAATGCTTTCTAATATATATAACCTGTGACATACATGTATTGCCCCATCAACAACTATGGTAAACAAACACTTAATCAACACAGCAATCCTCACAGACACTGTTGATTCTAAATTTCTTCGCATTAATTGCATTGTCTTGTAGATTTGTACATTGTCTTTCTCTGTAGTTTTAGAGCATACTGGTATGTAGATAAATGGTTAAGATACACCTGGAAAATAACATTTTGGGAAAAAATTGCTATACCTGCACATGCTATTTTCTGGTACAAAATTAAGTATGAAGGCATGTGTGTACTTCCTTGCTTTTTTCAGGAAAGTATCATTACATTGTCCAGTGTCCACTTTTAGTAAACCTGGAAACAGGTCAATAGTACTCCTGTGTTGTCTGCAAACTTTAAAAGAAAATTTGGAAAAATAGAAAGCGTGAAATATCAGAATTTCCTGGAGTTCCCATTGACCTCTTATCAGATTTACTAAAAGTAGACAATGTAATGATACTTTCCTGAAAAAAGCAAGGAAATTAACGCATACCTTCATACTTAATTTTGTACAAGAAAATAACATGTGTAGGTGTAGCATTTTTTCCAAAATGTTATTCTCCAGCTGTACCTTAACATCACATCATTTCCTTGTTTCTACCATTATGAATTTCTTCCAAACATGTAACTGTGTCTGTTTGTATTTACTGCCGAGTGTCGAAATTTTGTTTTTAGATCTGATTGACTTATATTTTACAAGGGTCAAGTTTAATCATTCAAACAATGTTTACAAATAGATCTATTTTTATCAATATGAATGATAATTCAACTTTTAAATTATTTGATAAATAATTTTCAGTTGTGATATTTTGAAGCTCCCTGAAAACATTGTTATCCTAGAGTAATGACAGCAGCCCAGCCACTTAAAATGAATCAAACCATTAGCCTTTACTATCGCTACATGTTCCACAAGATCGTCATAACATACCTGCCCATTTTGACACACAATATCATCTTCTTTAGATTCGTTCCGCTGAGGGTTTTCTTGTTCCGCCATTTTGAACAAAGTCACATGACAGAGATGTTTTGTCAGATGAAAATAAGGAGTCACGAAATTTTAAATGAGTTACAGATACATGTTCTATTACAGTGACATCTATAATTCATAAATAGAAACAACTAGTTTGAGATTTTTTTGCAATCCAACAATTTTTTTAAACATTTAACATAAAGTTACCATAATGATATAGATTGTATGTGAATGCATCAAACAAATAAATCATACAATCACAAAAAGATGACTGCATCTATTTCATTCAATGTACGACAATGAACTTATGAAGCCCCATTTCTCGTCTTCAACGGTATGTCATTTATTGACATGGGGTTATGGTTGGAATGGCTGAATATAATTTTCGCATTAAATTGTTGTCAATCAGTCAACATTACATAAATGACAGTGTTTTTCACAGAATGTTTTCAATAATTGGGTTAGGAGAAAAACATTGTTGAATTCAGTTCACCATATCATGACTCTCATTGAAAGCCCATGACCATATCTATACCTATCATTTAGAGAAAAGTTGATTTTTTATGTTCAGTTACCCCAATCTTTAAAAATACTGGATATTCTGAATAAATGTAGCAACAATCATATATGAAAAAGCAAAATAAATATTTTATTCTTAATTCTGTGTTGCATTAACTTAAATTTTCTATCTACTAATTGTAAATGAGTTTTATTTCAAGAAGAACCTATTTTGACATCATTCGTCCACATTAGATGGAATTTCGTATTCCAAAACGACCCAAAACGCTTCAAATGCCCTGCGATAAGTAGGCTCTGCATACTCATGCACGATTACAGCATTCCCCTTAACATCATCCTTGCTGCAAGGGTATTTTACAAGTCAGGCATAAATGAAGTCCTTTGAAGAAGGATGCCTTAACATGAGATTGTTCTACTTTAAACTAATATACAAGGTGTCTGAGGAGCGTCAGAAAGATTTGCCAAGGGAGGGAGCGACTTTTGGATATTGCGGATGGGTCATGCGTCGTGAATTTTCAAAGTTAGACCCTCTCTGGTGCATTCTTAACATATCTCAGCACAACATTCCCAATTAATATAAAAACAAGAAAATTTTTTTTAGAAAACTAGCTTGACTTTGACTAAAAAACGTTGAATTTTACGATATACATTTTGCACTTATTCTTCAAAGTATTTATATACTGTTTTCTGAGAAACTATATGGTATAGAATTAAATATAATATGAGAAATGAGATCTTCTATGCTTGATGTAGACTAAATAATGACATCATTTCTGTCATTATTACACCTTGACTTTAATTAGCTCAGAGCTTTCTACTAGGCTTGATTTCAAATCTAACCTGGGGAAAGGGACAACGCCCTCCCCCTTCCGACGCCAATGTGTCATAAAGTCTATAAATTTACACAGCATTGTAAATTGTATTTGAATTCATCCCAGACTTTATGGTCATCCTCAAACTCACAGTGATCCTGTACAATTTGATAACCCGATTGCCGGTGTAAAAGGGTAGATCAAATTATGGTCCTACTCTCCATTGATTTATATGGTGACTTAAATACACCCCTTTCCCTCATTATCTTATACACAATCAGGGCCAGAAAGGGCCTTTAAAAGGGGGGACCATAATCCCTGGGGGACCATAATTTCTGTCACACCGGTACGGACGGTTCCCGGGGGGCGGTTGGTAGTTATCCAATGCTCAAGTTACGATATTGGAAACTACTAGTATTTGTTCTTATGAAATAGTACCGTATTTAAAGTAAATATATGCATAAATGACCATTAGCAAGATGTCCGATACAAACTCATAACTTAGGCTAGATTGTTTGTTTTCAAGAGCTACAATCAGAACTGCCTTACTTTGACAAAGAGAACGTGTAAAATTATTTCCAATATGGCTCAATAAACGTGGAATCGAATTTATTTAATAATCACACTCATATTAACGTGATGTTTTATTCTACAGTTCTATGGGCCTCCATGTTCACACACATTTCTCGCATCTTTAGGCTATCTTGATATAAAACGAGTCATTTAAAATTAAGTTTTTACTAGGTGGAATTCGGACCCTTGGGATTCGGATCATTGGGATTCGGACGATTGAGTTTCGGACCAATGGGATTCGGAGTTCGGACCATTGGTATTCGAACCTGTTTCGCCGACCATGGACTTTCAAAAGATCGTGTTCGGACCAATGGGATTCGGACGATTGGGATTTGGACCAATGGAGGAGGTTATAGGCCTATGGTGAAGGTGAATGTCTATGTCTCAAAGGCTCAAAAGGATGGCACCCATCGCACCCCCCCCCCCTGGCTACGCCCATGTAGCAAGTTAACGGCTTGTGAAACCCATGTTTAGCCTGAACTGAACAAGGGACATTGGTCCTCTGAAATGGCAATGGTATTGACTTTGAAAATAAATTTCTGAATCACAAATTTTATGTGCTCATGGAGCACTCTGAATGAGCCCCGTTTGGGCAAAAAAGGCCGTTCTCTCAGATAATTAGGCCTACTTGGAGTAGGAATCTACCGCCAAACTTACAGACATGGGGCAACAAGGGGATATTTGGGGAAAACTACCGCTGTTTGAAGCACAAAGAGGTCACCATAATATCAATGGAGAGTAGGACCATATATTAATAGGACCTCCTAGTCCTACCCCGGCTTTACACCGGAATGCAGCCTCACAGTCCGGGGCCAGGTCATTCTTGGCTAGGCCCGCCTCAAATCGTCATCGGATGCATTGGCTTGAACCAAATCCACTCGTCCATATAATACTTTAATTTAGAAAATGTTAATATGAAATAATGACTGGCTCTAGGAGCAAGTAGTGGGGAATTATGGAGGGAGGGGGTTCTTATTCTCATGGCCTACTCAGTGCGTGTAATGCAGCGCCCCCAAGCGGCAGACATCGATGCTCATGCGCAATGTGGCTGTACATCCGGGACACTGGAGACTTTTGTAATGGCCGACCTGATGGCAACTAAAACGTGAAAATATTTTACAAAAATGATGGTTTTACGGAATTATACAAGCTAGTAAATAATTAATTCCAGGTCCAAACGATAGGCCAAAAGATAAAGATGGAAAATGAAACGGAAAATAACGTTACAGAATCTTTGGAGAATGTGAAAACAGTTGAAGTTGGTTCGTCCCCGTCGTCACCAGCGATGGATAAGAGATCAATTCTTCCCGCAATTCCTCCCAATTTTATTCCTGATCTCTCTCAGAGTGATGACGAAGAGGCATCGGAGGTAATCACGTTTATGATCAACTTCATAGTTCTACTGAATATCCCCGAACTTCGGATATTTCGAGAGTTCATTGTATTCTTCAAAGTATTTTTGAAAAATATTCAAAAGCTGTGGAATTTCTCATCCATGATAATTTTATGGCCTTATATGTTTTCCATGAGCTTGTTGAATAAAGCAATATAAATTATACATTTTCCCATAGTCCTGTTAATATGGTGGATACTTAGAGACCAACATGCCTTTGTGCGAGTGTTACCGTTTACATTTTTAGCTCATGTGATCAAGTGCAGATTTGAGAGTAATCTACACAGGGTTAGATCTACTGAACCATTAGCTTTTGAGACCAAGCCAGCTCCGTTTCTCAGTGGTTTTCCACTATATGATGAATTTTTACCTAACCAGCTTGCTCTATAGTGTGAGCCTATGTTGCACCAAATGAAGTCCTTGTTAAGAAGCTGTTTTCAACCAAAACATATGCAGGATATTTATCAGAATTTGTTTCTTACTTTTTTAGGAAACTTTCGAGATCCCATGAGATGGAACATCTAAACAGCCATTGACATACTGTCTGTTCTATAATAAAATTGTTTATTTGTTTATAGTTGTTAATGTACATATTTATCAGTATACCTGTTGTTAACTCACGTGAATGTTAGAGTGTAGTGCCACGCCACAGCCTAAAATCTTAGCCAAAGCCCTGAGTATATCTAATTCCTGGTATATGATAGACTCAATCATTCTGAATTTCAAATTCAGAGCTTGTTATCAAGATAATGTCAGCGATGGCCGTCTACCTAATATATAGATTGGAGGACCCTTTTGCACCGAAATCACATCATAGAAATCTGTCTTTAAACTGAAGAAAATATGTATTTACAACTTTTGTAGAGATATTTGTCTTATATAGATGTAATTGGTATCATTCAAGACTTATTTAGTAGCTGGATTTGAAAATGTGAAAACTTGAATAGTATTTAAGTAATTTTTGTATTTTTTATATTTTTGAAAGAATACTTATTACTATTAATTAATTTTCAGGTTAGGAAAATGTAATTTCATGTGGTTGCTTTGGAATAAGCCAAAGATAGACAAAGTTAGATTCCATTTCCCATAAACTTTGTTTAAGTAGTACGTAGCGATGTCTAAAATTGTCTAGGAGATTACCCTGCATGCAGAGTGTAGTTAAACTACACTCTGCCTAGTAGAGACCATATTGCGGTTTAGTAGCCCCGTCCCCACGACAGGTACCGGTGAAGGTTTGGGTAATAAATCACTTCTGACCTACGCGCTGACCCCTCTTCCACCAATCAGCGAGCTTGAAGAAACATATGCCAAATGCGTTCTAATTAAATATGCGCATGTCATTGGTCAATTCTGGGCTCAACGATGACGTCAGAAGGAATGACCATATATGGAACGTCGGTCAAATTTGGCCGACGAACACTGATTGGCGCGGTTTATTTTAGTTTGAAAGAGTGAAGACGTAGCTCTCATTTAAGAAGTGAAGTCAAACGAATGCAAAGGGTGCTAGGAGATAAAAGCTATTAAAATCCTTCAAGAGTAAGATTTGTATCTATTATTCCATAAGGATTGATATGTGGAAACAATATCTTGTTATCCCTGTTTAAGAATTATATTGCACCCAATTAGAAATTTTGAAAATTGTCAAAATAGGATTGTTTGAAAATTGAGTCAATTTGGAATTTATCATAAGTAGTTTAAATCTGAATTGTGATCAAATTATTTGGATTGATAATACTTATGACATCTAAGTTTATAGTCTGTTTTGATATAGCTAGAAACAAAAACTGTAATGATTGACCGGTATGAATTGTATTTGAAGAATACAAAGACTAAAAACCCAGATAAAACATATCAACAAGTACAGCCAAATAAATAAGACTTGTGTTTATTTGCATTAAGCTTAGAGTGATGAGTACATGGCGTCTGTAACCAGTTATTGACCACAACAATGTTTCATGTATTCTTTTCCTCCACCTCATTCTTATAAATGCACATACTGCAACAAATACACATTCTACTTTTTCCCGACTTTATCTGATATGTTAAATTCACTTACCTCCCTGAGTGAAAAGTTTCTTTGCTCAATTACATAGTTTAGTTTATATACCTCTCAGTCTAGCATCTTTATAATTCAATACACTCATGGTAGCCTTTTAAGACATAAGTTCAAAACTAATGAAAATTAATTCTGAGTGGCTTCAACAGTCTTTGTGATCAGTTCATTGCTCTTAGATAATTGCAAAGCATTATGGGAGTTCAATTCAAAAGAGCTGCCATTTTTCATAAAAAATTTAATCTGTGATAACTCAAATACTAGTTGACAGATTTGGTTCAAATTTCATATGCTTATGCCTTGTGACAAAGGAACTCTGCTCAAGAAATTTTGAAGATAGCAGTTGAATTTCAAAATGGCATTTTCGGAAAAAGCTCGATCTTGATTAACTGAAATACCAGTTGATGGATTTGAATTTTTATGCTGATACCAAGGAACAAATGAGCTCTGTTCAAGAAGAAATTTTGAAGATGGCCACTAATTATCAAAATATGTTTTGTTCTGTGGAGTTGCTCTTTCTAGTCTATATATTGACTGGTGATATCGTTGTGAGTTAGGAGGTTATCAGGGATACTTCAATTATAAAACAGTATTAACATGAACTTTGATGAATGACTAAATTATCTAATGACATTCTTGGCAGCATGGGTCACTTGCTAATTCAAAACACAAACGAAAATTTCAATACATTTATTTCTTACTTGAGATAGACCTCACATCTAATTTTTATAATTTCCAAAAGGACATTAGCTAGTTTTTCTTCAAATTAAAGTGTCAGGTAGCAAATTAGATAACATTGATTGTGGTATGATAAGACCTACATGCAATTCTAAACAAAAAATCTTACATATGTATTGTTCGTGTTAGTTTTGTAGTTATACATTTGTATTGATACTGGTATTATCTGCCATTCATAGATGCTCATCCTGCGATCACAGGGCTTCAACATCCAGAATATATTCTTTCTTTTTACCCCCTGCGATAAGCAGTTAGCATTTTCCCGATTAAGAACTCGCAATCTGATTGGCTGTCGCAACACTGCGGCAGAAATCATGTATACGTTATTGCGCATAATTAGATCACGTGATTCAGTTTAATCAGGCGCTTCCAAATTGGTTATAGCAGGGGGGAAGAAGGAGGTACGGATTCTGGATACCTGCTTAGGAGGATGTAGATGCTCTGCCATTAATTATTAGTTAATTTGATTCATAATGAGTCACATCATGATTATAACACTTCCCCTCAAATAAAGATGGAGTTGATATCTTGTCTTATTCTCTTTGGTAGGTTGCATAGATATTTATGAGTTCATCTTATAATCTATGTTTATCCTACACATCTGTTATCAGCATCTTCTGCCCTGCAGTGTCTAGTAGTCTACTGCTTGGAAAATGTGCATGGTGAATTGTGTTAGTGTGAGTTATAATTGCTCTGCTATATACAGTATAACCTTTGTATGTGATTTGAACATTAATTTGGGAACATATTCAATTGAATGTTCTGCATATTCCATTGACTATCATGTTGTAAGAACGTCTAAATTTGAACACCTCTCAATGTGAATACCTCTATGTGAACACTAAGCTATCTCAGCAGTATGTATTGTTCACTTTAGACAAGTTTTACTGTATAACATTTATAGCACTCACACTATTCTTTACACAGTTATCCAGGATTCTGTTTTCCTCTGGGTCAAATCTGTTTATTTTCAAGATGAAATGATGACAGCCATGGCAAAGGTTGATGCTCATTATTACCCAAACCCCTAAAAGCTATAGACAGAAAATATGCCAAAAATGATGCAATTTCGGCTAATTTTTGAATCCGTTTTGTAATTCATTAGTGATGGGGTTTGTCTGATAATTATCTACAACATACATGTATATAAAGATGTAGTTGGCATGAATCTACAACTGTTTGATAGCGTTATATAACCTTTCAGATGATTGAGTGATGTATTATCATTAGTAAGCTTCCAGCCTATATGCTGTGATGATGCACTGTAAAACTGTTATATTTGTAACGAATATTTTTGAATATTTTTGTGATAAAAAGTGGAAAACTTGATGTAAAGTACAAAACTAAGTTAGATTATGCGTTTAGATATAAGGTACATCAAGTAAAAATTTTGATAACTTGTGCTATGGTGTTGAAAACCATTTTTGATACAGGGAGAGGTCTTAAGGTTTCCCCAGTAGGGAAAAGATGGCTAAAAGTAGATCAGTTTCTCTATTGCCTTTGCTTTGGTTATTATTAGGTACCAACATTTGCTATCACCTTATGTAAAACGAACTCTTCAAATCTGTTCATGCTGATTACACCAGCTATGAAACTTCATGTTTTGGAGAAATCCCTGATGTAGCATTTTAACAGGGATGTAAAGGTGAGCATAGATTGGTATACAGAATTTACGAGATAAACCAGTAGTAAGGCTATAGCGAGGTAAGACAACATTCACATTCTTATATATTCTGAATAATTACTCAAGATTTTCACGATCTTGGGTCCATTTCATGAAATATTATAAGAAATTCCAAATCAGTTGTTGTTCTTAACATGTTAAGATCAACTAAGATAACAACTGACTTGAGAATTTCTGAATGAATTACTTTTTCATGAAATATACCTGCTGATTTACATGGAATTCATGAGCGTTCTTCCTAATATATAAAGACTGTGATTTGTTGCAAGGGTTAGCATGGACAAGTTAGAGAGGAGGGGGATCATCGTGGAGATGGCGGGGCCGTGGATAGAGTCCCTGGAAAACAATAACATGTGGGAAACAAGTATGACACAGCTCATTACATGTCTTCTGGTAGGTATCATTGTGATGTCATAATGAATGTGTGATGTCATGATGTGTAGGTTCTGCCTTGTCTGCCAATGTGACATTTTTGTATTTAAGTTATCTGGACATCTAACAGTGGACTGGATGAGACCATGAACGATTGCTGTTGTAGACTATCACATAGATAATCACAAATCACATGTCAATATTGGAGATGGCTTCTGGTTTCCAGTGATGTCATAATGTGAAAGTAATGTCAGTGATCTCGTATATTAAATATTGACATCAGGTATTAGGAAAACAAAGCTTAGGCCTGAAAAGAGATATGCTTTATGAAAGCATTTGCTTTTATCAGAAAAATGTCAAGAAGAGAAACTGCAATTGATGATCATGAAATAATAAGTGTATAAACAAACAGATGTGAGGTAGTTATGTGCAGGATGTGGGATATGAATTCAAATGGATGATTTTACAAATTCTCATATACAAATGTTCATAATTACAAAAGAAGTACTATTGTTTCACATGTCAGTACTGTAGAAAATCATAAATTGACTAAGTGACAGTATTCAATCTGAACGGAGAAAATTGATTTTTACTGTTCCTGGGTAAACTTTATTTACATTTCATTTCATGGTGATGCTACATTGACATAGATATTAAATCTGGTTGGCTAAAGGTTAACGCTAGAGCAGCAAGATTCAAAATAGATAGAAGCATCACATAAAGATTTTCATTCCACTCAGTATACTGTGTATATACAGTAAGAACAAGTTGCCCACCTAAAGTACAAAGTAATTTAAACCTATGCATAAGAATATATAGTGAAGTAGTTCATGTTTCCAGGTTTATCTGTGACATTAACATATAACAGAATTTATAATAGATTGTTGTAAGTTACATGCAAAGAACATGGAAATGTAAAGTACAATGTATTATGCTATCATGGTAAAAATAACCTTGACGCTATCAATATTTGAAGCATTTTGTCTGATTTGATTCTAGCATCATTCATTTGTACATTGATAAATGTTTATTATTGGATAGGTCACCAAGTAAACAAATGATCTTCTTATATTACTTCAGGATTGTAATCTTCCACTCTTGACTATTTTCTGAGCTAGGGTGTCCTCCATATTTAACTGAAATATGGAATATTTCCTGAAATAAAATGGAATATTTGTTTTATGATTCATTGTTATGCTTCTCACTCACATAAACATGAGTAGGAAATATATAATTTGTGGTGTTGTACATGTATATAGTGTTGAAAAAGAGGCTTGTTTAAATTAACTCAATATATGTAATAACAAGTCAAAGCAGATGACCGAGATGAAAGCAGTGCATGTATTTAGGTATCATGAATAAGGTTATATCAAGTTTAGACCATGCCAAATTCTTGGTTACACCTGTACCGTTGGCACAAATTTATTTTAGGTTCATACAAGGATCATCCAGTACAGCTAGAATTTCCCAGATTTATAAATTTATCTTTTACCTTATCCGTCATTATTCTAGTCATGATTCCGATTCCACTGAATTCTAACATTCTTTCTATCTGAAACACAATTTAGGGAATTAGATAGCACGTTAGAGGAGCTACAAAATTGCAGTGATGTGAGACTTCATTGATGCCAGTTGTTTTTCTACTTCTCTCAATACAGGGATCTCCCTCAATAAAGTGATCTTCCTCAATGCAGTGATCTCCCTCAATAAAGTGATCTCCCTCAATACTGTGATCTCCCTCAATACAGTGATCTCCCTCAATACAGTGATCTCCCCACCTCTAAAGTGGATGCTATACCCAATCTAGATTTTGAAATTGGACTTGCACCTCCTTAAAAATGAGAAACTTCATGAAAGCTATATAAAGTCTAGAAAATGAGAACTTTGTCAATGCTTGTGAAAAAAATCCTGGTTAGAAGATGTAGTGTTTCAATTATGTACAGCATTCCATATACATGTATATGCTTTTCTGTATTGTTGCAGTATTGATTATGCTGATTTATAAGGTCATCAAGTACAATGTAGAACAATATTTTATATATCTGTTAATCTATAGATTCTGATAGATACATTAATTTAGTCCATTTCCATCAATTTCCCATGAACCCTGTTTGATAATTCTTCATTATAGAAATATGTGGATCACAAGTCACTGCCATTCAAATTAGGATTAGATTTTTCAGTTTTAGCTAGCCAACAACTGATTATAGATCAAAACGTTGATTCTCTCAAAAGATGGAAGTTCATTCAATGGAGTTATATTTTTTAAATGCTTATGAAAATACCTCATAGAAGAAAATTCTTATTACAGGAATATAGTGCAGTAGTTTCCAGTTCATCCCCATAATACCCAATATAGGTGGGACCAGCGAGAAGGTTTTGATTTCTCAACTGATATCACCAAAGGGAGATTTAGATATTTGAACGCTGAGCTGATATTTGATTCTATGACAAAACATTAGCAGTAGAGGCTGTAACTACATATTGATGCCATGTTTCCTTATTTGTCATAATGTGGATTGGATATCTTATATCTCATGTATTGCATATTGAATCTTCTGTGTTACATATTGAAAATTGACTATTTTATGTAAATATTGAGCCTTTCGTGTGTTATATAGTAAGTTCTTTTTTACAGGTTGAGTCATTTATGCTGGACCAAGATGACATTGAAGATGGGGAGTCATGTCTGGAGGCATCAAAATTTCTGCTTAACACTGAAAATATGGAGAATGCTGATCTACATACAGTGGATCCAGAGACTCAGGCTAGGCTGGAAGCACTTTTGGAAGCTGCAGGTAGGTTGTTGTTATTTGGGAATACTGTACTCCCGGTATTTTTCGTGATCGATTTAGTTTTGTGATTGCAGTAAAATCGTGAAAAATAATCATTGCGAAATTCGCAAATTATATCCACAGGGATTTGTCATTACCTGGGACTCTGATGCATTTCGTTAAGTGTAAAACAGTCGTCCAGTGTTATTGGGCGATTAAAAGGATATAGCTATGAAGTCTCTTCCGCTGGCTTTTTAGATCAATTAGACCAAAAATGATGATGTAATAGAGGTTGGGGTATACTGGTACAACGTACCGTTTTCCAAGATCTTGTAATTATAAATGTTATCCAAATATTATACTGAGTTGGATGTAACTACTGTGCAAAAGGTAACTTAGTTAACCAAAAGTTGAGGATTCCGATAAAAATGTGAAAGTTGCACGAAATTGCATTTTCACAAAATACGCGAAATTAACTGGGAGTGCAGTACATGTATTCATATTTCAAAGTCTATGGCCTGTTCATCCATCCATCCTTCATCATTAGATTTTCTGAACTAATGGTCATATACAACTATGCTTCCTCATTTTGGAGAAATCTGGTTTTTAGCTCACATAGTGAGCTTTTGCAATCACTCACTTGTTTGTTTATTTTTATTCATGTTTTAAAAGACAATAGTGATGTTCACAAAACAGAGAACATTAATTTGTTGAAACTGTTGTGTCTGTGTTGATTTTAAATCCATGGTTGGTTCCAAACCTATGCAGCAGAAAATTCAGGTAATTGCCCATGATATTATTTAAGTAATTTGTTACATGGCTTTCCCATTGTTACTGAAAAACCCTGCTGCTGGGATAATAGCTTTTTAAGTGGAGAATCAGAGGGTCTTTGCATTTGAGCTGGTAACTGGCAACGTTCTCTATAGAAACCATAAATTTATTATTGCTAACAGGTACATGCACTTATTTTCGAAGGCAGTCTGAATGTCAAGTATAATACAAGTCTGAATGTGTGAACTGCATGGATATTTAGAGAGGAAGATGAGCATTGTTCATTTTCACATTTGGAAACTTGAGGCTTAATCCTGATAGCAATAATCTCCTGATATACTTCCTTTCCACACTTGTCTATCAAGCATCATGTTTACTTTATAATAATTTTCTAAATAAATATGGATTATAAATAAATATGCCTGTTACTGAAAGGTCTTAAGTTACATATAAGCCATATTCTGCATCTCTTAATTCAGTTATATTTGATGACGGTAAACCTTTGTCTTTATATTTGAAGAAAACGAGAAGTAAATTCGGATTATATGTTCTTGTACATTGTCTGAAGAAAGTATAGTAGATACACATATTTGATCACATGGAGAGTTAAAATGTCACCGTGGTAGAAAATGAGGGATGTAAGAAAGAGAATGAAAGAGTGGGAGTCATATCTGGGTAGATAAAGTAAAAACCATGTTGTAGGCATCAAGCTGAATGGCCTCTCACTGTAGAGACAATAGGATACAGATGATGTGGCTACTTGTTGCTAGCCTAAATCATCCAACCAACCAACCAACAGACTAACCAACCGACATTGAAGAGGCAATTCAATCAGGTTTTTAATTTACAAGTTCATGCACTTATACAGAGATCACGGTAGACGTTCGCCATTCGCCAATCGCGAATTTTCGAAAGAGGTGGCGAAAAATATGTAAAGGTATTTCACAGTTATGGCGAATTAGAGTTGTCACGGTTTCCCGATATTGGACCGAATTTCGGTCCAGATGCTTCGGTTCGGGACATGGGACAGAAAGGGTTAATATCGGTACATAGGTTCCTTCCCTAGAATGCATAAAAACGTAGCGAGGAACACCTCCGACTTCGTTCTGAAAAATTAAATATTTTCACTTACCTCGTACCTAGTTTACACTTCTTTGCATTGAAAAGTGTTATTAACGGACCCGCGATTTCAGGTAGATGGTAATGCTTGTTCTTAAATTTCTTCATCGTCGTTCGCAAATCGAGTGCATTATCAGACAGTATGCCGGATGTAGGAAAGAAATTGAAAAATCGAGCCGGCATCTAAGTCGAAAAAGTCGGCAGTTTGGAAGTATTTTGGGACTCCGATATCACAAGGTAAACGAATTGGTGATATTACACCTTGCAGACTATGTGAAATGCCGATCACATTCGCGGCAGATGCTTTACATTCAATTTTAATTGACGTTTTTTTATTTCTGAATATGATTTTGAAAAGTGAAACTGAAAGTGAAACTGTCATCATCAGACATTGCATCATTTTTAATGTTCCCTTTTTTACGGTTTTTCAAAATGGCTAATTCATATTTTGGTTGGCGAAAATTTTTTTGGAAGATTTAGCCACAATGGCTAACAAGTTTTTTCAACTATCGTGATCTCTGCTTATATTAGGATAGTATAACCAATGGGAATCAATACAAAATAGGAAATAAAACAATTAGAGCTAGATGAAGCTTTGTTTTGAGAATATTTGATGAATTACAGTATGCCAATATGGTGTTATTTTTGGTCACTCTGACCTTCCTCAGGAGGTAACATTCATGTTTCTGTTAGTAAGATCCCCACATCCTTGTTCAGATGAGGTTTCTTGAGGTTTACTGGAAATAGAAGCTTTGTTCACGATCACAACTTGTGGGTAGACTGATGATATGCTAGCTTATTCAGCTAAAACTGTTCAAATCTACGAAACTGAAGTGGTTTGAAGTCTCCGTGGGATGTACGCTTTATCAAGCAAAACAGATTCGGATTATTAAACAAGCTTTGAATCAATATTAGTGAAGCAAGAAATGCAGTTCTACATGTACATGTATTATAAGGTAAAATGAAGATCCGCTTGCTTCGCAGATTGCATCATCATGGCTCAGTAAACTGTTAGACATATACACGAGGCAATGATTGTTTAAAGGTCAGTTGATTGTGATTATTTAGTATATATACCAGTGATCTCCTCAGGATTTTTTCTCAAGTGGGTGTATATTTCTCATTTTCACAATTCAGACCAAAATTGATTAAAATATGCCCAGTTTTCATGATTTTTTCTCATTTTCAAGTGGATGCAAATGGATTTTCAGGTGGGCAAGCCTATATTCAAAATTTCAGGTGGGCGCTGCGCTTTAATGCTGGGGAGATCACTCTATACAGATACATATACATATATTTATTTAGTAACTTTCTATTATTCCTGATATTGAGGGAGATGGTCAGAGACCTGATGAAAAATTATATACATACTCCCCTCCCAAAAATGAGTCCTAATAATGACTGTTAATATCAAGGTTAGTGGCCAGAATAAATATAGGCATAGAAAACGTATGTTTTTGGTATTAACCAATTTAGGTTTTTGTGTCCCTAATCAGAAAATAAATAACCTTGATCAGCAAATTAACATGATTTTGTTGCAGGTTAGCAAATAAAAAGTGGCGTGTAAATTAGTAATTTTCAGGAACTTTTTGTGGTTAGAAAAGTAATTTTTAAGCCTGCAAAAACGAATTGAACATGTTGTTACGAATAATAAAGGCTGTGAACCAATCTATCAGTGTTTCGTTCGTTGTATTGATCAGTGCGGAAAAAGTGGCCAAGTCGTTATAGCCTAAAATGTGAATGACCCATCTTTGTCTAATGAAATGAAAGACTGGTCTAGAAGGCATACATTAGACAACAAAGGAATATACAGTAAGAATAATAGAGAACAAAGGTCACCACACCAGCTGCTTCTTTTTTCAGGTCATAGTGTTTACAAGTAGAATACCCTAAAGGGCTTAAAATTAATTTCATAGTTTACGTTTTATGAATGAAAATCAGGACTGTCTCTAAATGTGTAGCTTTAGACTGTGATACATTTTAATATTACAATCCTTTGGTCTTTAGTATATATTTAGACGATGCCATAGGTCAGATTCAGAGAATCATAAATATTTTGACTGTTTAGAACTTAAGAATGTGTGAATGCAAGCTTTGATGTTGCAAAGCATCCTGGTATGTAGATAAGTGCAAACTTGTGGAATGAAAAACAGAATGTTCTTCAGGCCTCCTTTCTCTTAGTTAAAAGTTCACTCTTTAATGCTTCTCTCAAGTTTTCAAGTTCATTCTGTAACGCAATATTGCAAGCTATAAGTTTAGTATTGTTTAAAGGGTTAAACTGGATATTTGAAATAGGTCAAAAGGCTTTTGATCCATATAAAGGGTTAAACTGGGCAGTGGGCATTTGATTGTAACAGGCCAGTAGCTTTATTTCAATTGGGGGTTTTCTTTCAGACAGGTTCACCTCTCAACTTCAAACCAACACCCAAACATTTTCTTTGTGCATCTTAGTTCTGCGACATTTGAAGGAAGAAAATGTGTACTTTGAATATTATTGCAAATTGATGTTTGCACCGAAGGATTATCTTATTTTTGAAAAATGCACTTGGGAATGCTTTTGTTTGTAATGAGATAAAACCTGAGAATATACACTTTTTGATCCCATATTAGGTATTATTTAGCTCTTTTGTCTTTTGTGTTAATTTTTTGAGAACACCTCTGTATGTGAGGATTCGCAATATAAATACTCAGGTATGTTCACTTTAGCCAGGATGTCAGAAATGTGAGAAGGATATAACCAGGCTGCTAACTCTTCACAAAAAATTCATTTACTGTAGTCCCATAACTAGATTTATTCTGATATATTCTTAAATGGTCATATCTCATTATTTACCTGAACTCGCCTATATATTTGCAGGTATAGGTAAACTCTCTACACCTGATGGTAAAACATTTGGTGACCCTGAAGTGCTACGGAGGCTGACTACATCAGTTAGTTCCGCATTGGATGAGGCTGCAGCAGCTCTAACACGCATGAGGGCAGAACAACAAGAACCTCTAGCAAGGGTCGACAGGTAGGAGAGCTTCTGCTTAAATTGTTATATTCATTTGATTAGGAAAGTCAGTGGAAGAACCTTTAGAAAACCATCAAATACCATCAAAATAAATGCAATCCAACAATGCAATGTACATCTTGTATGTAAAGAAATTCAAGACTTATAGTATTGTTGCATACACTTTATATGGAATCATAATACAAATACCTTATACCTTAAATCATGTAAGTCCCATCCATTATAATGTTCATATTGTATTTACAGCAGATCCCTGGTTGAAGCATGTAGTGATGGTGACATCCACACTGTCAGGAAGCTCCTAGATGAAGGAGGCAGTGTACATGAGACAACAGAGGAGGGTGAAAGCTTACTGTCTCTTGCTTGCTCTGCTGGTTATTACGAACTTGCCCAGGTAAGATTCAAGGTTTTTTGTTTCTAAGAATCTTTAAACCTCGCTCACATTTGTTCTACAGCATGTGTACAGCGGCCATAACTTCACAAAGTCGATATAGAAAATTGACATTGTACTGCTTATCCCTATATTTTATGCTGCATATATTTCTCGGTTTTGGGATATGCTATGGCTGCTGTACGGTTGCCGTAGATCAAATGTGACTGAGGCATTACTTGATTGGTCCACTCACAAACTACTTGTTGTTATTTTGAATTTTTTAAGCCATGAGCAATGATGCTTTGACACTTGACCTGTAATATGGTGCTGAAAACATTTATACTGAGCTCAAAATAGTAAATTTAAAATTATTTAAAAGTTTAACCCAATACATCAATGTATGAACCATGAACATATCTATTGTCTTATGATTGTGGTAGTTGGCACTTTTGGTTTGGCCATTGAAGTTAACATTTAAGTTCATAATTGTCGTATTTTTTATATAGGTCCTTCTGGCTATGCGGGCTAATGTAGAGGACAGGGGTATCAAGGGTGACTGTACACCACTCATGGAGGCTGCAAGTGGGGGCTATGTAGACATTGTACGTCTACTCATTGCAAACTGTGCTGATGTCAATGCTCAGTCCTCTGCAGGTAGAGTTAATATTTAAAACTTTTGAGACCCCTTTCATTATAAGAGCTGAGGTTCTGCATTTTTGTCGACATTCATGACTTCTTTGGTTTCCCTGTAAAGTATATTTATGTTCTTTTTGTGGGACTATTACAGTGAGCTATGATGTTTTGACACTTGACCTGTATTTATAATGCTGATAGCTTTTTTACTGAGCTCATATCATGAATGTATATGCAGTTATATTTCTATGATGAATAGTCCTTCTTATCACAATAAATATTATTCTTTAGATGAAAGAACAACTTGAAAATCTGGCCTGTTATGATGCAAAGCCTTATGATAATGTCAGATGGATGTATAAATACAATAGGATTTACATTTCACTTAAAAATAAACATCCCTGAGTGTAAGCCGACCCTGGGGTTTGAACTAAGGTTATCATGTATTTAGGCATTACTTGAAATGGTGAAGACCAATGTGTAATGATATTGTCTGCATGCTCCGCCTTCTAAATTAGTTTCATATCTCAGAAATCCTGGAAAAAATATGGAATTTCTTAATTATTCCCAAAAATTGTGAAATCAGAGAATCAAGAGGAAAAAAGGTGGCAATTTTGAAATTTTGTAAGATTTTTTGCAGAAACATCTATATAGATATCATTTTTGGATTTCTGTAAACTATGTTACCTAAGAAATTAGTAGGAACCCTCATTTCATTGATAGGACAATCTGAACTTCAAGATAAACAGTTATTGAATTTTCAGGCAACACTCCTCTACATTATGCATCATGTGGTGGCTATGAGGATGTTGTGCAGGTACTGATCGAAGCTGGGGCTAATGTGGAAGAACATAACGAGAACGGTCATACACCCCTGATGGAGGCCGCATCAGCTGGTCATGCAGGAGTTGCGATGTCTCTTCTTGAGGGTGGCGCGGGAATTAACACTCACTCTAATGAGTTCAAAGAAAGTGCTTTGACCTTGGCGTGCTATAAAGGTATGATAATCGGATATTCTACAATTAATGAGAAAAAGCAGAGTTGGTCTCGTATAATTGTAAACTAACAATTTAGAAATGTATAAAATCTGATTGATGATGAAACAAAATAAGAATACTCAGATTACATTCATAGGTTTAGGCACTAAACTATGAAAATACTAGGAGTTTATTTAACTCTGCAGTTGTTTGATCTAATCAGGCTTCTTGAAAAATCACTTGTGAAAGAGGCACAGGTATTTACCTCAATAGAATTCAACTTTTGTATAGTCTTATCATGAACTTTATCTCTAGGGCACCTTGAGATGGTGAAGTTTCTGCTAGAAGCTGGTGCTGACCAGGAGCACAAAACAGACGAGATGCACACCGCCTTAATGGAGGCCTCCATGGATGGACATGTGGAGGTTGCTAGGTTGTTACTGGACAGTGGGGCACAGGTACATTACATTCATATACAATGGGGTACAATACAGTACAAATCTTACTCAAATTGAAAGGGATATGACATTCATTGGATTATCAAGTTTCAATTAAACCTAACAAATTATGAGTTTTGTGTTTGTAAATTTCCAATAACACCTGTATGGGGCACATTTGTTGTATGTTTTTTGCCATGTAAACCTTACTATCCATGAAATGTGTTGACATGTGAACTAAAAACTCCATAAATAAGTTTTATTTGTTTTGTCTTGTTTAGGTTAACATGCCTGCTGACAGTTTTGAGTCTCCTTTGACACTAGCTGCATGTGGTGGACATGTTGAGCTTGCAAACCTCCTGATTGAACGAGGGGCCAACCTTGAAGAAGTCAATGATGAAGGATATACACCACTGATGGAAGCAGCAAGAGAAGGACATGAAGAGATGGTCTCTCTTCTCCTTGCACATGGTAAGATAGGTAGTGTTAAGAAATAAAAGAATAGATTAACTCAGTCTACTTGCAAAACTGTCATTTCCTGTTGCTTGCTGATTGGTATCAACATTTGAAAACACTTGAAATAGCAGCATACCATGGTGTGAAAATCCAGTGAAATGGTCCAGCCTATCAAATACCTAGAATTTATTTTTCAAATGAGTTTGTTTTTCATTGAATAATGTAGGATTACATTAAAAAGTTTGAGACGTTTTATTTTTCTTCTAAGACAATAGTATTTGTGAGTCATTCATCTGTCATTTTATTCCCAGGAGCTGACATCAATGCACAGACTGAGGAAACCCAGGAGACTGGACTGACACTGTCCTGCTGTGGGGGTTTCCTGGAGGTAGCAGATTTCCTCATCAAGGCAGGGGCAGATCTAGAACTGGGATGTAGCACACCACTTATGGAGGCAGCCCAAGAGGGACACCTTGAGCTTGTCAAATACCTTCTAAAATCTGGTAAGTTTTAGTTTTCTGTTATATTATGAGATAAATTAGAAATACATACCAAGAATGTTTTCAGAGGCACATGTATCTTTAAGTCCATGTTAACTTGAAGAAAATCTGTCTTTGATATATATATGCATTCCATTATGAGCAATGATGCTTGACACTTGACCTGCATTTATAATGCTGAAAATATTTTACTGAGCTCATGGGGTATATTTTATGAATTATTGAACGTATTTCAATGATTTGTACACCAGTAAAATTTTATTAGATACAATGTTGATTTAGTGTTCTTTATTTTCCAAAGGGAGTAATGTTCATGCTCACACTGGTACTGGTGACACTGCACTGACTTATGCATGTGAGAATGGACACACTGATGTTGCTGATGTCCTTCTCATGCATGGAGCCGGACTGGTATGTATTACTTTAATCAATATTGAATTAGGATCCATCTGTAGAATATGAGAAATTAATAAATATTTAATGAGCCATGATGCTTTGACACTTGACCTGCATTTATAATGCTGAAAATGATATTTACTGAGCTCATTTCGTAATTGACAGATTTCAAGTTGATAGTAAAGATTTGTTCATGATTTTGATACGTACATGTATATCATACTGAGTTAATGTTGTTATCTTTAGGAACATGAGTCAGAAGGAGGTCGTACTCCACTGATGAAAGCAGCCAGAGCAGGGCACCTGTGTACTGTACAGTTCTTGATCAGTAAGGGGGCAGATGTTAACAGGCAAACCACAACCAATGACCACACTGTGCTGTCTCTGGCTTGTGCTGGGGGACATCTTGCTGTTGTGGAACTGCTCCTAGCACATGGTGCTGATCCTCATCACAAATTGAAGGTAAGAAACTAAAATCTATAAATTGTGTCCATTGTGAGAGGCACTATTCCATTAGAATAAATCAGGGTGACTCAATCTATTTCAAGATCAAACTATTGTTGGTTTGCCCCCAAGCCAAAATTATTAATAAACATTAAACATGTACATGTAGTTGCACTGGCACATGGTTAAACATTTCGAGTGCTCAGAATATACCTGATATAATGTAATACCATGACTAAATAATGGATAATTGAGTCCAAATAAGTGAAAACCTCCAAATTTTCCCAAATCTATTCCTTATTGTTCATGTATTTAGGATGGCTCTACAATGCTGATTGAGGCTGCTAAAGGGGGTCACACTAATGTTGTCAACCTGCTGTTAGATTACCCCAACAATGTGAGCAACAGCAATGGACAAGAACTAGCACAGGTCGCAGTACCAGATTCAAGCACCAATGAGGTAACAACCTAATACATGTTATCTTTAAAATTGCCTATATTTGAAGAAATGAGCTATGATGCTTTGACACTTGACCTGCATTACAGTGCTGAAAACATTTTAACTGAGCTCAAATGTATCAAATTTATATTATCTTACCCCTGGGTTAAAACTTAGTTTAGATAATGTGATATATACCACTATTGAAAATGTTCACCTTAATTTCAGCTACCCCGTGTGCCAATGCATGGCCTAACCAATGTTGTGCCACCCCAGGATCCCAACTATGTTAACCAAATGGCCGTGTCAAATGGTAACTTTGTTCCAAACATCCAGGACCCAAATTTTGTGCAGCAGATGCAAGTTCAACAGCAGTTACAGGTGCAGCAGCTGCAAGTACAGCAGCTTCAACAAGTACAGCAGTATCAGGCACAGCAACAGCAATTGCAGTCTATACCCATAAGCAGCACAGCTTATATACCTAATATACAACCATCAGCTGGTAAGTTTTAACATGGACATCTCTGGGAATGCTTTATTCTCTTTTTGAAAAAAGTAAACCTCACTCTATATTTATAAGTTCCAGATATTTCCAGCACTAGCAGGAGTTTTGTTAGTAACAGGCAATTTTCTCTGATTGCTTTTACCAAAATCATCTGTTATTTTGCATTTTGAGATATTTTACAACTCTTGTCAGGTGAGAAATGTCATTAATATGCTGTGCTATTCTCTTACAGGTTCATCCCAAGTCCCTGGCCAAATTAATTTGAAAGATTTAAATATTCCCGTGAAAACACCTGAGCAAATACGTCAGAATATGGAGAAATCTCTAAGTCGCAGCAAGAAGATGAAACTAGCTGACAAGGAAGGTTCCCAGAGCATCGATTCCCAGTCATCAAGTGGTGGAGAATTAGATAATGTCGAGTTTAACTACGATCGAGGTTATTCAGATTTGGAAAACCATGGTTATGGTGATGTTGAAAACCGAGGATATGCTGAGAATGAGAGCCATGGGTATCCCGATATGGAAAACCGTGGCTATTCTGACCTTGAAAGCCAACACCTCCAAGAACTTGAGGACCGACCTGACCTAAAGGCCTTTATCAACAAGATGATGAAGCAGGCTGAAAAACTGAATACCACTCGGGAAGAGCAGATTCAGAAAAAGCAGCAAATCCTTGAAGAATTGCAAAAGGTCGAGAAGGAGCTTCAGGTTAAAATCAAACATGAACCTCTACCACTGCACATAGCATTTGAGAGTCAGATTAAAGCAAAGGCGGCTAAACGGAACCTCTGGGATCTTGATCCCGAGCTGAAGGAGGCAGGTTTATTGCAGTATGATGGAGGTGGCGAGGAGCCAGCGTATGATGACACCTCAGAGCCACCTATTGGCTATATCGACGCACCCTCTGATCTGTCATCCCAAGGTCAACTGACTGATGATGTGCAATCTAGTGAACACCAAAACCCCAATCCTCCACCCTCCCCCGTGTCTAGCTCTGTTGACCCACCTGATTTGGAAGACACAGTGCATGAAATGGAGAGAGTGGAACCCCAAGGAGAACAGGAGCCTCCAGGAGAAACCCTCAATCAGCAAGAACCCTCAAAGGAGACCTTAAGGCAAAAGGAACCCCACAGCCAACAGGACTCCCCAAAAGAGCCCCGGGGAGAGAATGATACCCCATGTGAGCCCCAGGCACCTCCAGGAGATCGTACTGAGCCACTTGGAGAGAGTGATGGTGAGGTGATAGATGATACCAGTCAAGTGGAGGCAAGACCTAACAACATTGCAGTACACTCCAATACTAATGCTACTACCCCTGATAGCCCCACTCATGATCAAAATGACCTAGAGGCACCCGCTAAAGTGGCCTCAGAAAATGACAAGGATTCACCTGGTGAGAAAGCTACTGAGTGTAATACGAACCTATCTGCAGAGCAAGAAAATATTGCCTCTCTGAAACCAGACAAAGATCCACCTCAAAGCCAAAATGAAACCCAACTCTCTCAAACTGAAAATGGAGAAATTAATCTTAACCATGTGAAAGAGGATGCCAGAGAGCCCCCTGCCCTACTCCACGAGTCTCTAGGGATTGGAATATTGAATTGCAGTCAGCAGCCCCTAGGTGGCAGTGGTTTAGATGATACTGAGCCTAATCCCGCAAGCTACCCAGCAGAGCTGAGTCTGCCGGAGGCCCCACCCCAGCCTCCAATGACTGCGAGCTTTAGCCACACCAGCACTAGTTGCCCTCAGGGGGCTGTTCTAACGTCAAGTTGTGGATCTGTTGCAAATAGTGGCACTGTGACTTTACCCACTGTACAGTGCCACCAGCACATGACTGTCGACCTCACCACAGTGGCTGTGCCATCAACTGTCACCACCCAGCCACTGTTACCTCCACCGCCACCACCCCCTCCTCTCATGTTAACCCCGATACAGCAAGACCCCAACAATGTTATGCCTCTAATGAACATGACCCCCATCGAAGGCCGGGAAGTGAAAATGGCAAAACGGAAAAAGACGCAACCAAAACCAGAAAATCAAACAATGATTTTACAACACCAGTTACAGCAGCTACAATTGCAGCCTCTTCAACAACAACAGCTGTTACAACATCATCACCAACAACTGCAGCAACAGCAGCAGTTACAACAACAGCAGGTAATGGTACAGAGTCAAATCCAAGTTTCTACAGCACAACCTGCTACAAGCCAGCAACAAGTTCAGATTAAAGTCAACCCCCAGGGAGCACACCAACATGTTCAGGTTAGTTGTCCATTTCAAATCCTGAATCAAAAGTATGTAGAAATGAACCAACACCTCATATGTTAGTGAAAGGTGTTCTTTGCTAGCCTTATTTACATGTATTTGTCAATTTTAAAAACCTGCGACAGATTATGGTCTCCATTTTTTGTGATGATCAGTGGTTGGCGTCTAACAAATGGTGGTGACACTTTGCATGTGAATCATCAGTGTCTCATGTCTATCATAAATTGTGTTGTGGATTGAATTTATAATGTATTTCTTCCTTTCAGGTCCATGTTAACCAGCAAGTACAACAAGCCCAGCTACAGATGCAACAAATGCAACAACATCAGCTACAGCTTCAACTACAGCTGCAGCAACAAGCACAACTACAGCTGCAGCAACAGAGTAATCAGCTGGGACAGGTGAGCTGCAGCCATTTAATTTATCAGGGAAACTCAGCTTATAACTGTCTAGATATCCTTGTATTTTTCTGGTATGGGGGTTAGCTTTCTCAATCTTCTCCAAGGCTAAAAGATTTGATGGACTGGTGGTTGTCAGATGAATTTTCACACCATCCCTCATTTTTGGTGTTTTCAGTTCATTAACAGTCACCCAATTCTTGTACCAACCTGTATATCTTAATGTTACGTTTATTTTAATCTTTCAACCCTTTACCATTGTTGTATCTTCCATGTATTCAGTTACCCGTCTCTGCACAGCAGCAGAACAGCAAGGTAGTGCAGCAGCAAGGTGTACAGTGTACACAAGCTGGTACTGAACAGATCAGTTATGGGAACCAACCATTACACCAGGCCCTTCAACAGCAGCTACAACAACAGCTGCAGATTGCAAGACAGCTGCAGGAGAATCAACAGCTTGTCCAGGAGCAGAGTCCACAGCTGACTCAGATGATGCAGTCACAGCAGTGGATACAACAGATCCAGATGCCCCCACAGGTAGAGATTAATCAAGATTCAATTCAACTCAATTTATTCAAGTAAAAATCAATCATACAATGTTTCATACAATACATGAAAAAGACCCCAGAGGGCGTATACATTTCATGGCTCATTTAGATTTTCAACAATCATGATGTTAGAATTTAAAGTGGCTCATTTTGTTTTGATTCTTATACTCACATGAGTAAAACATGAGTTGTTTGAGGGGGCAATTTGACTTAAGAAATTTATTAATTGTCCTATGTACCTCAAAATTTCCAAATTTGCTTCTTTTTGAAGAATTGTGAAAAATTACTCACTTATAGTAAGCTGTTGGAATGAATGTTCATCTCAAACTTCACTTTGCTATTGAAGAGGTATAATTTAGAAATAAGTTTTCATATGCTTGTTATTACATTGCCCAAGGTATGAAACCAATTGGATATGAACAGATGCAAAACACAAGTGAACAATTGAATAACTTAACTTTTAATAATAACTTTTTAATAAGAAGCAATAAAGCCTTCAACTAATCTACATTTTGTCACCATGTACATTGTATAGTTCAATCACAGGAAGACTTGTAGTTAAGATTCATAAATAACGAAGTAAGGCGATTATTGTCAATTTTTTTCTTAAGTAACTGTTGTATCGACTAAAATTGTTGGTTAAAATTTTGCAAAAACTGGCGTTTCAGTGGAATTTTAGTATTAACTTTCTTCAATAACTAGTGCAGCAAGAAAGCATGCCACTTATGTGTGTTTTAAAAAGATAGCTGGAACTTCTCTGTCAAATTTAAAATGGCAAATTGTATTTGAGGTATTAAGGCATTTTGATGAAAAACAGCAGGCAAAATCGTCCTGTTCATGAAACCTTTGACAAAAGAGAAAAATGAATTGAAATTTTACATTGTCTTGTTCATGTCCAGCCGGATGTTCTACAACAACTACAGCCAGCAGCCCCAGAGTTGCTCCAACAGGTAGCTGAGGTACAGAACCTGCAGAAGAAAGTGAAGCTCCTACAACAGCAGATGCTACAGAACCAACAAGTGAACAACATCATAGCTGCCCAGCAGACCTATCCAGGGACAGGCCTTGACAATATGACACCTCCACCCTCTACGCCACTCACACCAAATCCATCTCCTGCATCCCCCCAGGTACCGCAGCAGATGTACCCAGTGGTTGACCTGAATGCAGAGACAGAGAGCAATCATGATACGGCCTTGACCTTGGCCTGTGCTGGAGGTCATGCTGAACTTGTGCAGTTGCTACTTTCAAGGGGAGCTGACATAGAACATAGAGACAAGAAAGGTATATTCTTGATTTATTAATTTCATCCAAAGAAGATAACATTTAAAGCATTGATCAAGTCACCCTTCTAAATTTGATTAACAGGAAAAAGAGCTTGTGTCACAAAATACACTTTGTTGAGAGATCATCATTTTCTGATTAAGTGTAAGACAATTAAACATCAAAAATATCAAGTTTATCATTTTATTTTATTTTACATATTTATTGCAGGGTTCACACCATTGATTTTGGCTGCCACTGCAGGACATGTAGATGTTGTAGAGATCCTCCTAGAGAACCATGCAGACATTGAAGCCCAGTCTGAAAGAACCAAAGACACTCCTCTCTCTCTTGCTTGCTCTGGTGGCCGTTATGAGGTAACTTTTTAATGACCACTTTTCATAATACATACACTCATGCTTTACTTATGTTACAGTTAAACTACAAATCTACATTTTATTTCCTTGAGTTCCTTGAAAATATCAGTTCTACTTTTTAGAAAGTTTTCATGCTCTTTATACCGTCTGACTATATTCAATATTTGGAATACACTTGACCAAGACTTAAAGTGTTAGCTTGTATCATCTAAGATTTTAATTACACTTTATCACTTATCAGTGGATGAAGGTTGAATAAATCTGTTAAACATTAAAATTCAATTTTTAGGTTGTCGAATTACTACTTGGAAAGGCAGCCAACAAAGAGCACCGCAATGTCTCTGACTACACACCACTCAGTCTCGCTGCTTCTGGTGGCTACGTGAACATCATCAAGCTACTCCTAAAACATGGGGCGGAGATAAACTCTCGCACTGGCAGTAAGCTAGGTATCTCTCCATTGATGCTGGCTGCTATGAATGGACACACACAGGCTGTGAAGCTGCTACTGGACATGGGCAGTGATATCAATGCACAGGTGAGGAAATCTTAATTAAATCTGAGATATTAAGATTAGAGGATTTGTTACGATTACCGGTATATATTCCAGATTCAGTCAGACAGTCTCTTTGATAATTTGTTTATTTTGAATTTATGAGTCCTAATATTGGAATCGTAAACATTGTAAATGCTTTGTAATTTTTCTTTTCTGAAGACTTAATGTATTCTCTATGTATTTTTTCAGATTGAGACTAACAGGAATACAGCTCTGACACTAGCTTGCTTCCAGGGAAGACATGAGGTTGTTAGTCTTCTAGTGGACAGCAAGGCTAACATAGAACATAGAGCCAAGGTATGCATCTATTCATAAGCTATACAATTGTTATAAAACTCATTTTCTTTTCCGTTTGTCATTATTTTAGTAAGGTCTTCTATTATAATACTTCTATAGTAACATGTTACTTAAGGATTTAACATTGATGAATAAAAACTTCAAAAGAAAATGTAAATTAGTTAATTGATATGTCTTCTTGTAGACTGGGTTGACCCCTCTGATGGAAGCAGCTTCTGGTGGCTATGTGGAAGTAGGACGTGTATTGCTTGATAAAGGGGCTGACGTCAATGCTAACCCTGTCCCCTCATCTCGTGACACTGCCCTAACTATTGCGGCAGATAAAGGACACTATCGCTTTGTGGAATTGCTACTCTCGAGGTAAAATTTTGATATGTAATTGTGCTTTAAATCGGAATCTTAATTGATTTGTCTTATTGAAAGGAAGTCATTGAAATATCCCTAACAGTAATCAAATATCTTATGTTCTATTTCTGTTGCATATATCATAAGACTATACCTTTTATCTACAGTCAATTTCTATGACCAGATACTGATTTGATATCACAATTCATTTCACTGTATTTCAATACCAACAATTTACTGGATAATCAGTGTTATTTATGATCTTCAGAGGTGCAGCCGTGGATGTAAAGAACAAGAAAGGAAACTCCCCACTTTGGTTAGCATGCAATGGTGGCCATTTGGATGTTGTTCAGCTCCTAGTCTCGGCAGGTGCAGATATTGACTCTGAGGATAACAGAAAGGTTTCCTGTCTCATGTCTGCATTCAGGTAAATACAGTTTTGGTAAATAAATTTAAATTAACAATGAAATGATTTGTAAAAATCGAAATCCATATTAGGTTTTATGCAAGACTCCATATGCAAGACATGCAGAATGTAGTTATTTCACATGAAGTCTCATCCCATTTTCCTAATGACTGTGCAGACACATACACAAATTCTGTACATACTTCAGTGCGTGAATGCTCACTTCTCTGTTCCAGGAAAGGTCACTTCAAGGTGGTGAAGTGGATGGTGAAACATGTAAATCAATTCCCTTCTGATAAGGAATGTATGCGCTACATTGCTACTGTCACTGATAGGGTAAGCGAAGCATTGAGTAATTCACTGACTAAATCATATGTTTCACAGTTCTAGATTGTGTTGGTCTAATGACTATGTTCCACTTACATAGGTGTTTTGTTAAATGTTTTTTATTACCGTATATAAATAAGCAGTCATGTTGATAAATGCTAACAGCAATGCATGTGCAATTTCTAATCCTCACTTGATATTTCCACAGGAACTATTGAAGAAGTGCCATCAATGCATGGAGATCATAGTCAGCGCTAAAGATCGTCAACTCGCTGAAGCCAACAAGAATGCAAATCTGCTCCTGGAGGAGATCAGCATGGAGGAGAAACGGGAGAAAACCAAGAAGGAGAAAGCAGCCAAGAAACAAGAGAAGAAGAAGCAGAAACGTAAGGAGAAGAAAGAGAAGGAACAGAGAGAGAAGAGCAACAGCAAGAACTCCTCACCAGAACCAGACAAGGATGATGATGACAAGAACGAGAAGGAAGAGGAGGCTGAGGTTATTGAACCCCCACTAGAAGACAGGATGGAGGCTACTAATAACTCAGTCAAAGGTAGGGTGCCTCTCTAAAAATCTATCACTAACTATGATATTCTATATAGTGTTTTTCACTTTCCATTCAAATTTGTTTCAACAAATACTACTTCATAACCACTCATCAATTGTTCTGATTCCAGAAATTTCAGCGCAAGAGACAACTGAAGCCAAGAATGCACGCAACAAAGAGAACAACCAATCAGAGAGGAGCAATGACACTAAAGCAAGAAATCGTAAGAACAAACGACAAAGTCGAACAGCAGAACGTAAATCCCTGGAGAAGGAAGAGAGCCGAAATCAGAAGCGTGAAGGAATGGACCAGATTGATGAACACCAACAGAACAATAAGATCATGAGGACAACTAATGCTGTTACAACTTCTGTTGTTACGTCTAAACCTACACCAACCAGTAGCCCTGCAGCCAAGAAAGTGGACTACAACACTGTTAAGAGTACAGGTATGATATGAGTAATAAGGGAGAGTAAACTAATAACTTCAAAATACCATATTGACCAATCTGAAGTGAATGACCCTTTATGAATCATCCAATTGGGATTATTAAATGATTTGAAATTGTAAATCAAAGATGACTGAAAGTCGAAGTCATAATTCAATCTGCTTCTTTCCGTTCAATCCTCAAATTATCAAGTTATTCTTACACATGTTTTTCCAAACTTCATTGTGACATACATTGACATTTTAGGTATAGGAGATTTGGATGACTTTGGTACCCTGCCATCTAGGATCAAGATGACCCCCAAAGACAAGACTAAGATCAACAAGGTCATTGAGAAGAACACTAAAATGTCAGCACTGTAAGTGATCAAAATTCTCCTGTTAAACTACTGTTGGTGAAATATTAAGACCAGATACATTTGTCTGTATCTAAATCACATCTGAGATATTAGCGCTATATTTGTCCTGAAATATTTTATATATACATTTGTATGAATTCCAATTAGCGCTACATCTCTGTAAAAATGAGAAATACACTAAACACCCAGTTAATTTTCAATGTTGATTTCAGTGATAATTTTGAGGGAGTTCCCATGGACAATGTGAGCAATACACCAGTGAAGAGTCCACAGTCGAGAAACACCCTGAATGTCAAATCCCCCAACATGGTGGCCAGCCCGAAACGAGGACAGAAGAGAGAGGAGGGATGGAAGGAGGTCATTAGGAAGTAAGGCTCATACTGTCATGTCATTGCTACATTGCCATTTTGGTAGCTGCTTTTCTTCATACTTTCCAAACCAGCCAAATTATGAGATAGAAAGACAGGAAACATGACTTTTAAAAATGGCAGCAAAACATAGAATGTCAAATGTTGAAAGCAATAATCATATTTATGTATCCCTTTACAATACACGTTTTTTTAAATCATATTTTACATGCCAAATAAAGGAGCAATAAAAAAGTCAAAACATTTGATTTAAACAGGTTGTAATTAAAAAATACTGTGATAATTTAATAAGAAGATAGATGTCCAATTAATTCTAGGTCCAAGAAGGTGATCGTTCCTGCCACAGCAATATCCCGTGTTATAGGAAGAGGCGGATGCAACATCAATGCAATACGTGAAGTGTCTGGAGCTCATATAGAAGTTGACAAGGCAAAGGGAGGCAATGACAGGACTATAACAATCAAGTGAGTGACCAAATCATTGAAATTGGTTATTTTTATCAAAATTAAAAGAGAATATTAAAATGTTGATGTTGACATGTTGTCAACAATTATGATTTTCCTATTCCTTGGAGTATACCAAAATTTGACTTGAGTGGAATATTACTACAATACTACATCTATACTAGTACCAGTAAACCTGAAATGGCATTGAATTTAAACTTGGGTATTTATTTTTGTTTTAGGGGGTCTGCTGACTCCACACGTCAGGCACATCAGTTGATCACAGCTCTCATTAAAGACCCAGACAAGGAGATTGCTGAGCTGATCCCTAAAAAGCAACGATCTTTGCTGAGCTCTAACGCATCATCATCTACAATCACCACAGGGACAGTGATCAGTACAGTCACGACGATCGCCACATCAACAACCCAGGTGAACACAAAGGCGAGCACTGTAATCCAAAATGGAGGATCCAGGAGTAATATACCACCTAGACAGCAGCCACCACCTATTGGTGTGTTCCAAGTACCTGTCCCAGCCTGGCAGGCACCAACTACTAGCACAGTTGGGATGTCACCAAAACGTCAACCTGGTGCAAAGGCTCCTCACCCAAGCTCCATGCAGGCTAAAAGTCCTAGTACAGTCTCCAGGCAGTTGTTCCCCTTGGATAAATCCAACCCTACATCATCCACGTTGACCAACATTGGAATGTTCACCGCAGTTAAGACATCTGCTAAGACGAAGGTTGTTAACACAACAGCTCCAAGCTTCTCCACACATGTTGATAGCAATGGGAATGTGCAGGGGAAACAACACAGTCAGGGTCCTAGCCTACCTGTACCAATGAGACCTAATTCTCAGCCATCTGCCAATCAAGGGCCTCCTCAGAGTGCCCCATCAGGGGTTTACTCCCCCTTTAATAATAATCTCTTCAGTCAGGTGGATTCTGTCCTTGGCAAGAAAGATGGGATGAATTTTGCTAATGCAGCTGCAGTTCGATCCAGTGCTGCACCATCGTCATCTGTCACTGCCTTATTAGGCAGTGAGCCACCACCAGTCATGATTGGTCCTGATAGGGGTGTGGATCCTTCCCTTCAGGCTAAAGCACCTGGGTATAAACCAATGAATCAGCGCAGTAACACTAGTACCCCTCAACAGGAGTACAATCCACAGCAACAGGGCTACAATGTGTCAGTAGATACTGAGCTTGATTCTCACAGAATCAACCAACACAACACCATGTCCCCCAGATCTGCCCCTGGAACACCCAGCCAGCACTCACCCAGAAGCAATCTAGGTATGAGTGATATCTCCCCCAGACCAGGGAGCATGTCTGATGCTAATTCCCCTAGGTCTCTTCAGTACAACACTGCAAACATGGCTCCCCCAAGAATCATGCAGAATCCAGGAGATTTCAACAACAGGATATCTCTGGCAGATATATCCCCTCGTAGTCAGGTGATGCTTCAGGCGCGACAGTTCATGGAGATGAACAAAATGCACCCAAACCTTGGAATGGACCCACAGCAGGGTTTCTCTGTGTATGGTAACTTTCCACAGTCATTCATGGATCGAGAGCCCAAGTACAGCCAACCCCATCAGCCTATGACGCTTCCTAAGATAGAGAGTACATTGAACCCAAATGCTCCAAAGTTTGAATTCAGATCAACACCTACGCCACCTGTTGACCAAATGGGACCAAGTAACCCTGGTCAATCATTCATGCAGCAAGGCTTCCGACCCCCATCTGGTCTGCCGAACCTTGGTGCTCAGCCAGGTTTTGGAGCCATGCCACACCCAGGCTTACCCCCAACCAATATTCCACCACCTGGTGATTTCAACTACAGCAACATGGCTGGTTTCCCTGGAGGTTTCAGCACGAGTAACATGCAAGCTATGTCTAGCAATGCTAACATGTCTGGGCCTAGTATGCCTGGCATGCCTAGTAACATGCAAGGTGGCATGCCAGGGGGTATGTCGGGAAATATGCCAGGGGGCATAGGTGGGAATATGCCTAGTGGCATGTCTGTGAATATGCCAGGGGGAGTACAAAGTAGCATGTCTGGAAGTGGCATGTCTGGGAGTATGCAGAGCAGTATGTCTGTGAATGGTATGCCTGGAGGAACAACTGGCAATCTGCAAGGGCAAGGCATGTCAGGGATGTCTATTCTACAAAGGAACATTAACAACACTGGTAGTTCCCCTAGAGGTAGCAATGTTCCACCTTCAGCCAAACCTGATGGTAGTCCACCCGTGCCCCAGCCACAAGAGGGCTCCACCGCACCCTCACCCACTGACACTTCCAAGGAGCTGGATGACCGCAAGGCCCCAGGACCAATAGGCGTTGAGCGTAGTTTCAGTACCATTGGGATGGAGCGCAGCAAGAAACCCATTTTGGCCAATCCTGGTGGTTTCAGCACTATGGGTGATATGACTGGCATATGGTCCTTTGGAGCAGGTATGTTAACATATAAAGTCACACAAAAACTCATTTTTTTCTTTTTCATTCATAATTGGGGCTTGAAGCCTTACTTGTGGATGAGTATAGGATGCATCATAACATTATTAAGCCACATTACAGAGATTATCTGAAATAAGTAAATGTGTATTGCTTGTCATTTTAGACACTGGCACAACAGATTGGATGACCCAGATATCACAGGTTGGATCGGTTTTGACTACTTCAGTTGCCACGACAACCATCATCACACCAACAATACCAAGTGATAGCTTTATAGAGGGAGCCAGTAGTGGTGTCAAGCAAACGGATGACAGTGGTTTTGAGGTAAACTGCACAGAATTGTATTAAATAGAATTTGTTATCACGCTTTTTAAATTGCTATATTGTCATGATAAGTGTCTGGGTGGATATGCCAGAAATTAACAATTACGTATATTTGAAGCGTTTTTTTCAAAATTTTGAATCTGTCATATCATTTTCGTTAGCTTCAAGTCACTTGGCTGATCAGCAATGAGGGTCATCTCTATATAAATTTCCAGTTGAGATCATCTTTGAAGCATGAGGTTTTCCCTCATCTTAGGCTGGGTCAATCAAAGGGCGGCCATTCAAAATTAACGCTGTGTTTTGTTCCAGATTTGAAATATTGACATTTCAAATTTGAAACCTTTTTGGGTGTTATCTTGTAATTTTTGATGTTTGTCATTTCAAATTGCCATTTTCTTGTTTCAGAGCCAAGGTATTGATATACCATATGTCAATGGCTTCCCTACCCAGTTGCCGATCTCTGGGACAGGAGATGCTGGCTCCACCTGGGGTACGCAGATGAAACTACCACTGGAGGGCAATGGAGACCAAAAACTGGCTCAGGTACATTATATGCTAGATGTATAAAAAAAAGTTGTGTACTGAATATAAAATAAGAAATAGATATCGATATAATATATTATGACCTGAAATATGCCAGTTTTATTTTGGCAAGAATGAAGTCAATACGGGCCAGTTCTTTTACAATGACATTGCTAGGTATGTACTTGATATTCACGAGAGGTACAAGACAGATTATCAAGTAAGTTGTAATGTTCTCTAAAGCATTAGAAGAATCTTGAATAGAAGATATGCATCAAAATTCAAAATCTTGCAATATCTTCAGTGAGTTTTCACTTTAACACTCTTCTAAGCAATTTCAATATTTCTTTATAGATGTGGCAACAGGACTGGGGTGCAGGGCAGTAGTTCATGGATAACCCAAAACTTAATACACACTGGAGAAATACATGGATATCTACTGGAGAAATAACATGGATACCCACTGGAGAAAACATGAATATCCACTGGAGAAATACATGGATACCCTCAAATAGTAAATAATACATGAGTTGACTGGAGATACACGGATACCCTCAAATAATAATAATGCATGAGTTGACTGGAAATACATGGATACCCTCAAATAATAATATGCATAAGTTGACTGGAAATACATGGATACCCTCAAATAATAATACATGAGATGACTGGAAAAACATGGATACCTTCAAATAATAATGCATGAGTTGACTGGAAATACATGGATACCCTCAAATAATAATACATGAGATGACTGGAGATACATGGATACCCTCAAATAATAATACATGGGTTGACTAGAAATACATGGATACCCTTAAATAATAATACATGACGAGAAAAACATGAATAGCAAGGGATAATGCATGGTAGGCAGATAAAATGGATTACTAAGACCAAGGGTACACAAGGATAACAAAAAGTACACATAAATAACAAGGAACTGTACAGGAATAATACCTGTATAAATGAAAAATGAAAACAGTATAGAGAATGTTAATAGTAAAACAGTTTAGGGACTTTAAGTTCAAAATTCTGAAATATATGAAATATTGTACACATAGTTTAGGTTCTATTTTCCATTTTTTATTACTTGAAGTAGACATTAATGCTAGAAAAAGTTGAGTAAACTAAGATAATACGAAAATGTGGATAACCAGATATTCAGAGGTAATATAGAAATCAATAGAATTTGATTCTGCTTCAAACAGTGTAGTAACTCCCGACTATTCAATAGAACTACTGTTTCAAACATGATGGGAGGAATCCCCACAATTCAATAATCAATAGGATATTGAATTGAAAATTATCAGATGAATTATGACTACAGATTTCATATTGGCCAATCTTCAATTGGCTGCTGCTTGGCTACCAAGCTTGGTTGCTATAGCGATCCATATAAGGATGAACAACCACTAGAGAAAGGGTCATTATTTATATTTAGACTACAATGTTGTGACACTAGTTAGGATCTGAATAGCCAAGATTCATGGGGCTATATAATGTTCTGTTGTTGCGAAGTGTGGTAAAACCAATGCACACTTATATATGCCCTGTTGTAGTATCTTTATAGGGCTGTTACATTATTACATTCAACACAATGTTATGTGGGTATAAATATAAATCCCATAAGTATGTATTCACTAGATTCCTATTCAGTAGGGTCATCTAGCTATTTTTGTTTGTTGCTGCAGATTTCTATGGCAACTTTGCTAATTGCTACGGCAACCGTTATAATATAGATGCATGAGGCTAATTTAGATTTTGTTCTTGGAAAATGTTATAATAGAATGTTAAAAATGAAACCTGCTTGTGAAGAAAGGAAACTGATGTTGAACTAATTAAAGGTTTAATAGTTCAGTTAATGGAGAGGCAAAAGGTTAAGGAAATATACTATAAAATAAACTGGGAATCGGATAGTAATTATTAATAATTATGAATCAACCACATGTAGTTGTGTAGCTGTGTTAACTATACATGTACATGGTATAAATTAAGTAGTTAGTGCTTAAATATATAAATAAAATGAAAACTTTGGGACATCACCAGGATGCAACCTATCTAGGGGTAGTTAGGCTGTATAAGGGTGGTGTCTCAAAATAAAACTTTGAATTAAATCAATACTATCATATAGTACATTGAGAATGGGTTGGATAAGAGGATATCCAATAAATAAACTTTATTTCGAATTCTCTACATTCAAAGAGGTATTCAGAGAAATGTAATTTAATCATGAATCACGAGTGTATGTATGGATTTGGACCCGGGAGTCAGCCAGGCTTGACTTAGACTCATCCGGCATCTTTTCTTCTGAACATTAACTATTGTGTATGATGAGCAATGGTGTACAGATGTGTACATCAATAAAGTTCACTACAAAATAAATCACTGGTTTGTTTGTTTGTTTTTTCACTTTTTGTGTTTTCTATCCCATGATTGACAGGAGGATCTATTATCAACCAACATTTTGCTTAGTTTAGATTTTGAGCAAGGAAGTGTACTGTCAACCAATCAAAAATAGAGTTAGATAGGGTGTTAATATAAAAAACTTCAATTCTGAGCCAAAGAAAAAACCAGCACTTGAATTTCGTACAATCCTTTCACTCATATTTCTGTTCATGTGTTTTCTGTTCACGTGTCCAGGCAACAACTCGAATCGAATAACCTTTGTTGAATTTTATAGTTGAAAGGACCCCTGCTCAAGGAGGGTTTCCAATTTTCAAAGAAATATAGAGAATGGGTCCATCTGAGTGTAAGTCCATCCGCAAATCTGTCAGTCTGGGCCCAATATCGCTAATATTTTATATGTATATGCCTCATATCAGCACAAGTTCTGCTCGAAAGTCACTTTTCAATATGACCACCCATGTTGGCGTCATTCTCACAGTATTTTAGGTACAACATATAAAAGTGTAATATTAATGTTTTAAATGCAAAAACATAGGATATTTATGTGACTAAATGAATTGTGGATGATTTAATCCACTGATGTATTGTTTCCTTGACTTCGCATTCATGCTGCTTTAAAGTAGATCACATGTATTGTATTGTTTTTTCTTTCTGATTTATGGCCGTAAAAATTCAAAATAGCTACCAAAACCTTGAGATGACAGGAATTCTGAGATTTCACTGTTATATACCTTTCATGTGCAAATTTAGGGTTTTCAACATTGTATAGTAAAAAGTGCATTTGGACATATTTCAGATTTATGAATAATTTGTTTGTTGGGATTTGCTTCTTTAACAGTTCAAAATGAGGAGTTATCTTGTTAAACACCTTTCATTCAATGGGATTTACTACTTCATGGAATTGCTGTGTTTCAAGTTCAGTAAATCAATTTCCCAACTGGAACTACATGCTTTCTTTGAGGCTTTGTTTATTTTGTATATGAACCCTATAAATAACAACAATAACAAGTTTTAGTTATTCAAAAGCATGGCTTTCTGAAAAAGCATATCTTGGATAAATATATTTCTGGAGTAAATAGACCATTCTCAGGCCAGACAATCGAGCAGTACAGCATATCTCATTACAATTCTAAACAATAATACAAATTCTCAGAGGTCTACTGGCAAAATTGTCAACCCCTTGAAGTATCTGTGATGAATGTGAAGTTAAACTAATATAAATAGTTGACCACCTTGGCGAATATATGAATGTAAGTTCTTTCTATATGAAATTTACATAATAGTCACACATCAGCATTTACTTATCACCATTGCAAGAAATCACCAAAAATAGAGAAAAAAAAACAAAAATAGAAAATCCAGCAGCACATCTTAAACATCATCAAATACAGGAGATTGTATGGAACATTGTATTTCATCGAAATATACATATATTGAAGGTCAACTTTTATATCATGGGGGACCTACCCCTTTTGCCCGTAACCAGAATATATTTCTAAAACCGCTGGATGCAATTGTTTATTTTAGCATAAGGAAGCCAAAAATATTTTCTCGTAAGGAAGCCAAAATATTTTTTCTAAACAATCATGTTTCAGTAATACAAACCAGTCATTGAATATTCACTAACCTAAGTCCAATTCCCAGTGAATATTCACAAAAATATGTTCTTTTCTGAAAAGGTAAGGTCCCACATGATTTACTAGTCTCCCCATTAATCACTATTAAATAGTTATAGGATTGGTGAAAATAATATGAATAACATCTACAGGGTAGTACAAAAATACATGTCATTTTGTGTGACTTGCACATGTTATTCTTTATGCAAATACGCAACTCTTAATATTTAATACATATTTGAATTTATTTTAGCCAATTACATTAAAATCTATATCAAAACTAGAATAATCAGAATAAATTTCACTAAACGATGTAACTTTCAAGTAAATGTACTATGATAGTAATTTGTAACTTGCCCCATTTGTTTTTCATTGTTTACAAAAATATAATATTACTTTTTCCGTTTATGTCATGGTTCCCTTCCATTTATAAAACCATCCAACTCTACACACTAAGATTAATAGTACAATAACGTCATTTCTGCGGGCAATATAGTGAAATATTGGACTTGGGCCTTCGGACCTCGGTCCAATATTTCACGATATTGCCCCTAGAAATGAGGTTATTATTAGTATTATTACCAGGGCTTAAAAAGCAAGAAAATGTTACGCACTGAACGATATCTAATTTCCAGGGGGAAATTGCCAGTCATTAATTGCATTATTGTCCGCCATTATGACCCACCACTATGACGTCACATATTGCTCAGGTCGATATAGTAAAATAGAATTAATGCCTTCTAAACTAACACTCAAACCCCTAGAACTGGCCCGGCAAGGTGGTAATAATATTAATTAATATAGTGTTTTATAGGTGGCTAATGACCACCATTATTCACCTCTGGTGGTAACCATGGTTTACATTAGTATATAAGTCTTGAATCAAACCTCTGGATCCCCCCACAATTTACTTCATCTCAGAGATGTGGACATTAGATATGTGTGGGGGTCATAAAGGATTGATGCAAGATTGTACATTATAACAATTTCCATGATGAATTAGTGAGTTGTTAGGAATATTTTTTTCATTTAAATAGAAATTGTAGTCATGGATTTCATTTTAATATGGATTTTACATTGTTGATGGAGAGCGAAATTGCTAACTCCTAAACCGATCATTTCTCCTGAATTTGTCAATAAATTATATGGATTTCATTTAAAATAGGGAATCACGTCAATTGCTTATTACAATATGTACTACAAATCAACTACATGTATGAGTACATTTAATGGTTTGCATATGGGTATTCAATTAAATTAAAAAACATAGGCTCGAAAGTATTGTTGATGGCTTAAAATGCGCTACAGGAGTCACAATTGCTTATAAAGTATCTCTGTGATTGGATGCGAATGCATTATGCCTCAGTAACATTTGATCTACGGCATCCATATGGCGGCCGTATCTCTAAAACAAAATCTGTTGAATAACTACATGTAAATAGGAATTTTCAATTTAAAACAGTTGGACTATTTTGAAATTTTACTTGATTTATTGAGGTGATGAGTTTCAAATAGGCGAGCACATTGAACAACAGTAATAGATACAAAATAAAGATTGATATTTGGATTATTGTAACATCTCACCACGTAAACTAAAATTGTGAACAACTTCATTTCTTGTTTATACAAGGTTAACTATACAAAATATTTCTAGTTCCAGTAAAACATGCTACAGAATGATATAATAATAAAAAGTTGATTATTAAAAAGGAATTCATAATAACAATACAATAAGCAAGTGAGCTATAATAGTTTCCTTAATAGATACAAATCAGTTGGTCCAGCCAACGGGTTAAAATAATAATAAAAATATTATATATTAACATGTAATGGAACTACATGCTTGTTATATATTCAACATCAATGTAGTTGAATCAGTGCAGATGATTATTTCATATTGGTGAGGTAATAAGAGGCAAATGTCTCACCTGTTGCCTCACCTGCTATGCCCAGGCAGACATGAATCGGTACAATCTGAATTTATCCACTTTGTCTTTTTGGATTATTGATCCGGATAAATATTTGGTGAGTTGTTATGATCCTAGGATTTTGGGAGGGAATCCCCAAGTTTTATCAAAATTACATTGGAATTCGGATAAATTTTACCCGAAAATTAATCCATCTATTGTAGGTGGATTGAGATTTGGATAAAAATTTTCCTAGATTGTATGAATTCACCAATATTCGGATAAATTCCAAGATTAATCCCACAATGCATCCATGATGAAAATCTGAAACAGATCATGGATCGTAACAATTCACAGCCCCTGGTGATACAAAACATTTGGGTTCTGGAAGTTAACTGCTGCTGGTATTGGACTGAAGAAATCCAGGTTTAGTCATGCATGGGTATATACAGTCGTAATCTACACATGTAATTATGGAAGACCCAGGAACCCCTCCTTGAAGGTCCCTGTTCTTTTATGTGCACCTGTACATAGACATACAAACCACAGCCTTTTAGACGAGTCATACCACTCAGTCAAACACCCTGATTTGCTTTAAGCAACAATAAAAGTGCCTGAACAGGGATCAAATCCGGGACTTCTGCATAATTGGTACAATGGTACATGCTCTACCACTGAGCTATACAGGTGGACTATTAGGGAAATATCCTTATGTTAAAATTGACAAATGTAACAATAATACTGATATTTTCACTGCATGATAACAGCCATATAACAATAACTGTACGGAGTGTCCATAAAGTATCATTACAATTACAATATAAAATCTTTAACCCTTGTAAAGAGACTTTATGGAGACCCTGTACATTTGTTCTAAAGCCCATCTTTGTTAATGATCTTTTCTAAGTTTTGTAATAATATGTATACATAATACAGTCTATAATATACTGTAAGTTTTAGTGTACAAATGCAGTCAACAGTGCAATACTATATGAAAAAATATATTCATATTTTCAATAAAAAACTTTTGTAACATTTCAGATAGTTAGTTCTACGTGGAATAGAATTGTGGCCTCTTGCAATTTAGGAAGTTTTGGGTTGTGCTTCAAAAACAACATGGCAGAGAAGCATCATAACCATAAAAGAGGCAACACATTTGTTAACCTAATCCAAAAACTTACAAAAGTTTTGTATCTTAATTTTGATTTTTCACAGGGCATCACCTGTTTTGGTTGCTTTTTTAGGTAAGATTGACTCATAAAAGATTTGGACTGTCTATGTATATATATCATACAGAATGTGTCTAATCAACATGCTGTAGTTAAAAACACAATCTGAGCTAAATGTGTCTATACATCTTCCTGTATTTACAATACAGACTATAGAACTGTATAAAACATATAATCCTGTTTAGAAATTTAGAATTCCAAAATATATACTAAGGAATTTACCATGTGCTAGTGTTATAGAGTTTGAAGAGTGAAAACATGATGCATTGACACTAGGTGAACAGGCACTGACTACAACTGTTCCCTTCCTGTTGACCTAGTCCCTATGGTACTACAAATTACAACCTTCAATTTCCAGGTGTTTTTTAGAATTTTTTTAATTATTACTTATTCTACACTAAAATCATGAAAAGCCTTCTTAGTACCGCCAGCAGTAAATAAAAAGAAGACTGAATGGATTATAAATGCATATACATGTACTGTATTATGTTAAATATATAAATGTGTTGTGCAAATATTAGATTTATATTTGATGTTAGGTAATGCAATAAAAAAACATTTTCTCAAGTGACCTGACCAATGTGTTCATCTATATGCACATTTTAAAACCCGCTAGTCAAATTTAATTTTTTGGTGGACGCTTAGATACTGGTGGTCTTTCCTCATTAGACTTTTTTCTTGCAAATTTTTCCTCCAGTTCACTCATGAATGCCCCGGTTGGTCCAACCTGACCTAAGCGGGCACTTGGATTACATGAAACTGGTTTTGGGGGGACATTAGGGGTATTGCCACTTGTCTTTCTTGGAGGTGGAGGGGGAGGGGGAAGAGCATCATCTTCGGGAGCATCTGCTACATAAATGTCCTCCTCTGTTTGTTGTACTTGTTGTGGCATGGTACGTTCTTTGAAATCACTCCAATTTGGTGTATGGGGTGTCAGAGGGGGCTGTTCTGGTTCACTATGGGCAACCATGTCGGAGTAAGACATACGCTGAAATATGAAAATAAAAATGTAAAATATTACAAGTGGGTACAAATTAAAAGCTAGTGGTAAGAAACATTCAGACAGTAAAATGGAATATCCAAAAATGTGACTGGAAAAGTTTTGAGATATATGAGGAAATTGTGAGAGTTCTTTCACATAGTATAGCTTTCGTAAACAAAGCTAACCTTGCTGAATGTGTTACTTAATGAATGTGACTGGTAAGTAACCAATATGATTGATACTCCCCAGAATTTATTTTTGCATTACATTTACTCATTCACTGAATTTACTATCTTCAGTCCACAGAGATAAACATAACAGAACAGAGCGAGTGCGATATTTTTGAAGTTTGAAAATGAGGGAGATAGTTTACCTTTGATGTTGGATTGTCAGGATCCTCATAAACTAGACCCTAAAACATAGCAAAATTAAATCAATGTAAAAATGGTGGTTTGTGACTATGTATATTGTAATATTTTGAAGACCAAAATTATACCAAATAAAATAAACCTAATATCTTTAATTTTTACTATGGCTTATTCTACCTTATAATCTAAAACAATAAATAAATTACAATAAAATAAGCATTTCTTAATATTTCTAAGCTTTTGGTATTGTTAATCATCAGGGTGGAATAATTTTACAACTTTCAAGTAAATGTAAACTCACATTTATATCAAATCTATTATTTAAAATTAGAATTCTTTCATGTCGATGTTTTCAAATCAAAGTGCAAGCAATATATTACATCAAGCAATCACTGCATGTATAAAGAACATACATACCATCCCAAAAATTCCCTCTGAAAAAATGATCCAGTGAATCTAATTTTTAGCATTACGTGATAAATGACAAATGTATGTCTTTGTTTACAACTCTGATTTGTTTGGGTAAATAAGTATTTCAAAAATAAATTGCTTGAGGTTCATTTGACCAGGCTAAGCACTTAAACATGAGCAGGACTACAGCAAGAGTGACTGACTCATAAATCTTTGACTTAAGATGAAACTTACATCTTGAGTGTCAGGCGAAGGCCGCCTGCGTTCTATTGGATGTGGATCATCATAGTATGCCTGGAATGTGAAAAGAATGTACACCTTCAAAATGTCATCTATAATGGAAATAACAGACAACACAAGAACTTCGAGATCACCCTGTAAGTATACATATCATATCACTGTGCTTTACCAGATACGGTGAGATTTTCAAATAAAACTGGACGATCAACAGTCAGCTTTATTCTGGAAATACTAAGATGTTACAAGAAACAAGGGTTATAGCATTCTCATATACAGGGTGTCCGGAAAGTAAAGATACAAATGCTCTTATTTCAATGGATTCACCTGTTGAGAGCTGAAATTACTACAGAATGCAGAATGGCATTATAACAATTTATCCTGCAACTATCATGACAAATTGTTTCAAAATGAAAAAGTTATGGTTGTTATGGTAACAGGAGTTGCGGGTATGTGGAGCAGCGTCACAATTGTGTTTTATAATTATTTTTCCTGTTCATATTATTTTGGAAATCCATCATATGTTGCTATTATACATCAAAATATGTACCACAACAGCAAAAGGATTAGTACTGTAACGATTATTTGGTCATTTGGCATTACTACTTTTATCCGGTATTATGTATTTCCCACCATTATCTAAATGGTAGGGCATCTTGACCGGCGATTCAAAGACCTGACAAAATCGCTGCTGTCCATCCCTCAGATTGCTGATAACACTGGCTTCAAGCAGAGTCTCATTTTTATGTTGAACTTCTAACAAATATTGCTTTAAGGTATTCATTAATGTAGAAGTCCAACGGGACATTATCAGGGAAATATGGGCCATTGTACAAAAAGGTTTAATGTCAAGACATTCAATTGTAAGATTTGTTTTCTTTGCATTGTGAATTGGTGCATCATGGAGGTGCACTATTGACTTTCCTATTAATCCAGGGACCTTTTTTCCAAGCACTTATATAATTTTTCTTTGATTACTAGTATACTGGTATGGTTAGTGACATTTCATAGTTCTGTTATGTATCAATAACATCATTATACCAACGAGAACATAATGACAACAATAATACAATATTGAACAAAACAAAACATTGATAGCAATAACAATAATAAACACTGTTCCAAATGGTTATATTTTAGCAATTTAATACATTTAGCGAAATCCTGGAACTGCTCCGCATACCCCTCACCACCGTAACCATGACAACCGTAACTTTAACACGTTTAAACTATTTGTAATAAAAGTTAGTAGATATATTGTAATACAGTTCCTCTACAGTATGTAGCAATTTCATTACAAAAACCCTAAATCTCTTAAAATTAGAGTATTTGTATCTTTACTTTCCGGACACCCTGTATATCTCAGTGCTGGATTCATGACGTCAACGCATTTTGATATACAGTCTTACCCCTTCTTGAGTCTCTTCAATAGTATTTGTCGATAAGGCAGGGGGGTCATTGGAACCTGGGGGTGAGTCACTGAAGCTCCCACTATCTCGACTACTTCTACTACTTGCATTACCTGAAATTTTACATAATATGAAACCGGGTTCTTAGATTTGAATTCATCAAGAAGCTGTTTAAACATTTGGAGATTTTAAGAGTGAGAGTTAGCAACTACGGCTCTTTGCCAAGCAATGACGTTTGAAAATCTTAATTGAATGAATGTTTTATTTTTACATTTCATGTTAAGATTAAAAATCCGAAGTAAATACATTACATTTATATAACACACTACTTGCACTTATTTTTCCGTAATTTTCATTTTTACAAATCATAAATGATGAAACGGGAGTTTGTCTACTGCATTATAAAAACAGGTGAAAAACGAAAAATACTTTGTAAGAGGCACGCATATTTTAAGCAACATGATTTTGTGTTTTGGATGTTTCATTTAAAATATAACTATCTAAACTGATATTCTTGGTAAGTACTGATTTGTATTATGGCTTATAGCAATTGTGTGATCGCTTGTATGTATACTTACTGCTGTTTGAATGGCGCTTGTGTTCGTCTGTATCATCATGTAGGGCAGGAACATCTTTTTTCTTCTTAGAGAATGTTCTTGGTCCCTGTATCATTAAGAATAGATATACTTTTATAATATCCTCAGGGATACCTGTATTAAAAGCCGATGAGAAGCATGCGCGCTGATGAGAAGCATGCACTTATTATACTACAGGAGTACATTTCCCGTAATGCAGATGACTTTAATTACTGAGAAGTAGTGTCAAAGATGTTGCCATTGCAATACTTCTGACCTAATCTTCTCAAAATGGCAAAAGCCAGTTATCTCCACAGGATTTTTTCTCAAGTGGGTGCAAAATTCTCATTTTCACAATTCAGACCAAAATTGCTCAAAATATGCCAATTTTTCATGATTTTTCTCATTTTCAAGTGGGTGCAAATGGATTTACAGGTGAGTGCAAGCCTATTTTTAAAATCTCAGATTGGTGCTGTGCCCACTTGCTTTAATGCTGGGGAGATCACTAAAACCTTTGATGTTACTTCCGGGTCACTCTGTATTTATTATTATGAAGCAGAGTAAGCATGATCTGATTTATCAGCCTTTTGAATCATTTCTGATTGGTTGTGACCTGATATTCCAGCTCTGATTGGTCAATATTTAGCTGTCATCAAATTTTTCTGATTGGTTATAATTTTAAGCTGATTAGACTGCACAAACATGATATCTGTTCTGATTGGTCAATTGTGGTCTAATTCTCAGTTTCTTGGTTTGCTTTTCAAATGAGGAGACACGGAATTCTTTTCTTATATGGACAAAATTGGAACAAATTCTTACTTCCTTGTTTTTCCCTCATTGGTTTAGTATGTTGATTTTCATACCTATTTTTCAATGGATATGTTCAATCAAATCTCTGTAAAATTGATCATTAATGATTGATGTCTTATTATCAGATGTAAAAACAATATTACCTAACTAGTTTGATTTAGTACTTTCAGGTCACGAAAATAGCTACATGAAATGCATTGTGGAAAAATATCTTTGTACCTTCTCCATTGGAGAGCTAACCACGAAACGGAAAATTCACTTGCTCTGATTGGTCACAATTTACCTTGTGTCCTGATTGGTTAGCCGGTAAAATCCTCTCAATCTTGATGTCTTTTTCTTTTTTCTTGTTTCCAAATATACTTGAGAACCAGCCTTGTTGTTTCTTGCTCCTTATCTCTCTCCTTAACTCATCGAGACTTTTCTGAAATATAACGATTTTAACAAAGTATGAACAAGGAAGTGTAACTTTATCATAATTAGCCTCATTCTCTTAGCTTGTATTCGTGAATGCAACTAACGTCTGTCGGCTACCAGATTAACCCACCATTTTATGGGTAACTCATTTGAATATGAATAGTACCTGCCACTATTCCATTCATATTTAAATGAGTTTGCCCAAAAATAGTAGGTTTATTTGGTAGCGGACAGGCGTTAGTTGCATTCGCAAATACAAGCTTATTCTTCAATTATATATGTGCATGCATTGAAATGACTGAAATTTATTTAACATAATATTATCAAGGCATTAACACGAAGACAAAATGTCACCACCTAGTTGAATATATATAAGTATAACATTACAGACATCAAATGCTGAACACAAATGAAATGGTGTCTCTATAACAATATAAAATGTCACCACTTCTTGAAGGTGACATAAAAATCACAATTTGTTGGAAGCATATTTCAAACATTTGAACAAAGTTATTAAGTGCCTTAGCCAAAGTGGTCTACAGAATTCCTATAGCATATAAAATTCAAAATTTACATTCACCATTTTAAAAGAGAATGTGACCTACTGATACTAACAGGTGCATGTTCATGTATATCATACCTGTTTTTCCTTGAAGGATCCAGTGCTATTGTTGCACTTCAGGAGAAAGTTTTGATAGAGGACATTCACATCTTCCATTGTGTATTCATTTTCCTTGTAGCCTGTGGCAATATCAATAAGTTCTTGTTGCCGCACAGACCCCATAGTGGGTTCTTTTGGTTTTGGACCAGGAACTAAAACATTAAATTATGGCATTGATTATGGTACTTGGATTTTTATCAAGCCTGGCCAACCAGAATGATTGTGTTATTTAATTGTCCTTTAAGGTGTAGACATACTAGGTCCACAAGTTGTTAGTCTAGTCCAACCTTAAGTAGCACATGAAATATAATTTATAATATTTTAAAAATTATATTATTTTCTTCTATTCTTGGCATTCCACTCGATTCAAATATTTAAATTCAACTTTTAATCCCATTTTGTCAACAATAATTTCCAGTAATATCTTAACATAATACAAATAAAACAGACACTAGATATTTTTAAGCAAAGTATGTCAGATGTCTAATAAATGCAATTAATCAATATTCAAAAACATGGTAGACCAGATTGAATATAAATTAGTATGAGGATTGATACAAAAACATGTGCTTTCCAGAATTCTGGCTCATATTAAAACTTTGAAGAGGAAATTAATTTTGGAATCCAAATCACATAGGGGAGACTACAAAAATCCGGTTTCAGGCCAATTACAACAATTGTACAGATTAGATATAAAGAAATAGCCACAACGGAAAAATCTTAATAAGAGAGTTTATTCCATTATCAACAAGGTGATAGGTCGGTGACACAATGTGTGAGTTAAGTGTTTTTAGTATTTTTATGTTTTTGTAATAGGAAACATTTACAGGGCGTTCAATAAGTATTGCTAATTTTGCTATAACTTTTGTTCTGTTCTAGGATGAATAAAAGAATCTTCATCCTAGGTCTATTTGATTTTCCTTCATGAAACTTTCAGAACATAAGGTACATATATCTGACTTTACTCTATGAAAGTTTAAAGACAATCAGTATTTACAAAGTTATGGTTACTAAGGTAACTAGTATCATGGATATGCGGGGCAAATTTCTGACGTCACTTTGGACGACATTTTGAGTACTGAAAGCAGTATGCCGTTTAACTCTTGGGATATGCAGTGCAGTTACAAACAATCCATTCCAGAATCACTTCAAGATCCATATTAACTTCATGAGGTGCTCAAAATAGGCACCCTTAGCGTCTATATGCACAGTTGCTGTCTGGCGACCCACTCGTAGTACACATTTTTGAAGCCACCCTTAAAGTGTGTGGTTAGGGAGGTGTTCACTATGCAGACATCAGCTGATTGAGAATCTGGTGCGATATTCCTCTCAGATCCCTTTTCACTGGGGCAAATACAACAAAATCAAGTGGGGCCTTATCTGGGAAATATGCTGCGTGGGGTAGTGCTTCCATGCCAAACTCTGTTATTGTATTTAGGAGAATAGAGGATCTGTGAGCAGGGGCGTTATTCTGGTGGAACGTATAGGTCGATATTGCTCTTTGAGGACGTTTGAAGTGTGTGGCTAGGGATGTGCAGTGATCACTGCAGACATCCACTGATTGAGATTCTAGTGCGATATTCCTCTCAGATCTCTTTTCACCGCGGTTAGATAATACATATAATTCAAACTGACAACATCAAGATTTGACCATATCAACAGTTTTTATTCATCAAAGTGTTTATTTGATTGCTTATGTTGTAAAAGTTTCATGAAGAAAAATGCAAGATAACAAAAGTTATAACAAAATTAGCAATACTTATTGAACGCCCTGTATATACACCTACTTGTGTTGGATTCTACTATGACATCAATCTGACTAAATAATGAAAATTAAATTATGATTCACAAACATTTAATATTCCTAAACATTTACAAACGTTTCTTTCCAAAATCCAGATACAAAAGATATTTCTTTCAAAACTTGCAGTCATTAATGCTATTATTCTGTGGTAGTGTAATGAAATTATGATAACTTAAGATGTGTTGAGAACACTGGAAGGTGATCAGATAGTAAAAAAATTGAAGCAAAACTAAATAACATAAGACATAAAAGAGATGAGAAAGATTCATTGGAAGATACTGTACTCCTGGTATTTTTCGTGTTCAATTTAGTTTTGCGCTGTTCCCGAATGTTTTCTCAAAATTCGCTAAATTAAAACTAGCAAAATTAACCAGGAGTATTCTATCTAAAATAGCATTTCATGTTAAGAATAAATCTGAAAATGGTCAAAAAGGCCAAATCTAGATTAAAGAAAGCGTCAATCATTAAGCTGATCTAAATCTATGGGATGAACTTGAAAAGCTGGCAAAAATACTGAATCAAGCAAATAATAATGTACAAATGTATAAATCAATCATTTTTTAACCAATACCAGGTCTGTTGAGGTTAAAAGCCCTCGTTTCATTTTTTATTCTTCAATCTGTGTCGAACCACTTTCTTAGTGGTTTTGATAAAAAATACTAATTACACTGATACATTGTAAACACTACTTCAGATATTTTTCAATTAGTCAAGGTATTTATATGACAAACCCATTGGCTATAACACATTTCTTGGGACATGTGAATTCCTATTAGGGAAAGACTCACTGATATCCCAAAATAAGATATTTCACAGTAAAGAATATACAGTGTAAAGTTTCTAACCTCAGCTGACCTGTTTATAATATAGAATTATATATGTTTTACAAGGATATGTGATTTAAAACAAAAAGCAATAAACAAGCTTACTGGGTACAAAAGCAAGCAAGGAGTCCTGGAAAGTCTTACTGGACATAATGCCCCCGGGAAGCTTATGTGGTAGTGTAGCAGCAGCTTGTTGCTTTATGTAGCTCTCTGGCTGCGGCCTTCGGTTCTCTATCATCGAGCGTCTAAGTAAATCAGCTGTAGAGTATCAACAATATGAAATATAATTTATCCACCAAAATACACACATAAACATATAGTATATATGTAGAGTGTTGTCAATTTTGACTGATTTTGACTAAAATCTCAAAAATTCCTGAATATCTTATTGTTCAAGAGTCAAATACATTGTGTCTAATAATTTCCATAGTTTGCATTGATAATTACTCAACTAATACTATACTACAAAAGCACCATAATTATATGGCAATTATATCTTTATATTGCAAACGCAGACCCCATATATGATGTTTTTTCTACATTATCACACCAGGGGAGGCATCAGTGTCACAATATAGGGTAGAGATTTTCGGTTTTTATTTTGTGCTACTTTTGGACTTAGAATAAAATCTAAAATGACCAGGCATTTAAACATACAGTTCAGTCCAGCCTTTCGATAGATTTTCATACCTTTTTTCAAAACCAACACAAATGGCCAAAAGTAACACTTTTCCAGGAAATAAACAGAGTTCAGCCTATCGATAGATTTTTATACCTTTTTTCAAAACCAACACAAATGGCCAAAAGTATCACTTTTCCAGAAAATAAACAGAGTTCAGCATACGATAGATTTTCATACCTTTTTTCAAAACCAACACAAATGGCAAAAAGTAACACTTTCAAGAAAATAAACAGAGTCAAGTCTATCGATAGATTTTTATACCTTTTTTAAAACCAACACAAATGGCAAAAAGTAACACTTTTCCAGGAAATAAACAGAGTTCAGCCTATCGATAGATTTTTATACCTTTTTTCAAAACCAACACAAATGGCCAAAAGTATCACTTTTCCAGAAAATAAACAGAGTTCAGCATACGATAGATTTTCATACCTTTTTTCAAAACCAACACAAATGGCAAAAAGTAGCACTTTCAAGAAAATAAACAGAGTCAAGTCTATCGATAGATTTTTATACCTTTTTTCAAAACCAACACAAATGGCAAAAAGTAACACTTTTCAGAAAATAAACAGAGTCCAGCATAGGATAGATTTTCATACCTTTTTTCAAAACCAACACAAATGGCAAAAAGTAGCACTTTCCAGAAAATAAACATAGTCCAGCATACGATAGATTTTCATACCTTTTTTCAAAACCAACACAAATGGCGAAAAGTAACACTTTTCAGAAAATAAACAGAGTCCAGCATAGGATAGATTTTTATACCTTTTTCAAGACCAACACAAATGGCGAAAAGTAACACTTTTCAGAAAATAAACAGAGTCCAGCATTCGATAGATTTTCAGACCTTTTTTCAAAACCAACACAAATGGCAAAAAGTAACACTTTTCAGAAAATAAACAGAGTCCAGCATACGATAGATTTTCATACCTTTTTTCAAAACCAACACAAATGGCGAAAATTTACACTTTTCAGAAAATAAACAAATGGCGAAAATTTACACTTTTCAGAAAATAAACAGAGTCAAGTCTATCGATAGATTTTTATACTTTTTTTCAAAACCAACACAAATGACGAAAAGTAACACTTTTCAGAAAATAAACAGAGTCCAGCATAGGATAGATTTTCATACCTTTTTTCAAAACCAACACAAATGGCAAAAAGTAGCACTTTCCAGAAAATAAACAGAGTCCAGCATACGATAGATTTTCAAACCTTTTTTCAAAACCAACACAAATGGCGAAAAGTAACACTTTTCAGAAAATAAACAGAGTCCAGCATAGGATAGATTTTCATACCTTTTTTCAAAACCAACACAAATGGCAAAAAGTAGCACTTTCCAGAAAATAAACAGAGTCCAGTATACGATAGATTTTCATACCTTTTTTCAAAACCAACACAAATGGCGAAAAAATAACACTTTTCAGAAAATAAACAGAGTCCAGCATACAATAGATTTTCATACCTTTTTTTCAAAACCAACACAAATGGCGAAAAGTAACACTTTTCAGAAAATAAACAGAGTCCAGCATACGATCGATTTTTATACCTTTTTTCAAAACCAACACAAATGGCGAAAAGTAGCACTTTTCAGAAAATAAACAGAGTCCAGCATACGATAGATTTTCATACCTTTTTTCAAAACCAACACAAATGGCGAAAAGTAACACTTCAGAAAATAAACAGAGTCCAGCATATGATGGATTTTCATACCTTTTTTCAAAACCAAAACAAATGGCGAAAAGTAACACTTTTCAGAAAATAAACAGAGTCCAGCATACGATAGATTTTCATACCTTTTTTCAAAACCAACACAAATGGCGAAAAGTAACACTTTTCAGAAAATAAACAGAGTCCAGCATACGATAGATTTTCATACCTTTTTTCAAAACCAACACAAATGGCGAAAAGTAACACTTTTCAGAAAATAAACAGAGTCTAGCATACGATAGATTTTCATACCTTTTTTCAAAACCAACACAAATGGCGAAAAGTAACACTTTTCAGAAAATAAACAGAGTCCAGCATACGATAGATTTTCATACCTTTTTTCAAAACCAACACAAATGGCGAAAAGTAACACTTTTCAGAAAATAAACAGAGTCCAGCATAGGATAGATTTTCGTACCTTTTTTCAAAACCAACACAAATGGCCAAAAGTAGCACATTTCCAGAAAATAAACAGAGTCCAACATACGATAGATTTTCATACCTTTTTTCAAAAACAACACAAATGGCCAAAAGTAACACTAAACAGAGTTCAGCCTATCGATAGATTTTCATACCTTTTGAAAATTGCAAAAAGTAACACTTTTCCAGCCTTCAGAATATATCGATTTTCTTTCCTTTTTAAAAGGCAACATAAATGGCAAAAAGTAACACTTTTCCAGAAAATAAACAAAAAGTTTTTTCAAATCTTGACTGAGGTTCAAACTTATTTTTCTCGGTAGACCGGAAGTAAATTTATAAGTCGAGTAAAAGGTGATAATCTTCTTTTTATGAAGTGGGGAAGTCAAAACAGTACTAATAGAAGTCATAGTAAGCATTCGAAGATAATTTAGAACTATTTAAAACCAAATCGACGGCAAATTTGAAATGACTGAAATCTTTATATGTTTTCTTCTTCATCTTCTTCGCGGACCTCAGAGAAGACACTTCCGGTTTAATAATCAGCGATTTTATCGATCAAAAAATATTTTTTATGAATATGTCCGATATCTAAGTCGTTTGATCTCGTCCCAGAAACAGTATTTTGTCATTTCTGTCACCTAGAATTCCTTTAAGGCTCTCTAGCGAAATTGGCTATCAAAATGCTAAAGAGCCTTAAAATTTAAGGCTCTTTCAGCCGAAATGCTAAAGAACCTTAAAATTTAAGGCTCTCTAGCCAAATTGGTATAAAAATCTATCGATAGGTTGGTCTCTGTTTATTTTCTGGAAAAGTGTTACTTTTGGCCATTTGTGTTGGTTTTGAAAAAGGGGTATGAAAATCTATCGATAGGCTGGACTCTATTTATTTTCTGGAAAAAGTGTTACTTTTGGCCATTTGTGTTGGTTTTGAAAAAAGGTATGAAAATCTATCGATAGACAGGACTCTGTTTATTTTCTGGAAAAGTGTTACTTTTTATGAAAATCTATCGATGGGCTGAACTCTGATTATTTTCTGGAAAAGTGTTACTTTTGGCCATTTGTGTTGGTTTTGAAAAAAGGTATAAAAATCTATCATATGCTGGACTCTGTTTATTTTCTGGAAAAGTGTTACTTTTCACCATTTGTGTTGGTTTTGAAAAAAGGTATGAAAATCTATCATATGCTGGACTCTGTTTATTTTCTGGAAAAGTGTTACTTTTCACCATTTGTGTTAGTTTTGAAAAAATGGGATGAAATCTATCGATTGGCTGAACTCTGAATTTTTTCTGGAAAAGTGTTACTTTTCGCCATTTGTGTTGGTTTTGAAAAAAGGTATGAAAATCTATCGTATGCTGGACTCTGTTTATTTTCTGAAAAGTGTTACTTTTTGCCATTTGTGTTGGTTTTGAAAAAAGGTATAAAAATCTATCGATAGACTTGACTCTGTTTATTTTCTTGAAAGTGCTACTTTTTGCCATTTGTGTTGGTTTTGAAAAAAGGTATGAAAATCTATCGTATGCTGAACTCTGTTTATTTTCTGGAAAAGTGTTACTTGTGCCCATTTGTGTTGGTTTTCAAAAAAGGTAAAAAAGGTATGAATATCTATCAATAGGCTGGACTCTGTTTATTTTCTGGAAAGTGCTACTTTTTGCCATTTGTGTTGGTTTTGAAAAAAGGTATGAAAATCTATCGATAGGCTGGACTCTTGTCTGGAAAAGTGTTACTTTTGGTCATTTGTGTTGGTTTTGAAAAAAGGTATAAAAAGCTATCGATAGGCTGGACTCTGTTTATTGTCTGGAAAAGTGTTACTTGTGGCCATTTGTGTTGGTTTTCAAAAAAGGTAAAAAAGGTATGAATATCTATCAATAGGCTGGACTCTGTTTATTTTCTGGAAAAGTGTTACTTTTCACCATTTGTGTTAGTTTTGAAAAAATGGGATGAAATCTATCGATGGGCTGAACTCTGATTATTTTCTGAAAAGTGTTACTTTTCGCCATTTGTGTTGGTTTTGAAAAAAGGTATGAAAATCTATCGTATGCTGGACTCTGTTTATTTTCTGAAAAGTGTTACTTTTCGCCATTTGTGTTGGTTTTGAAAAAAGGTATGAAAATCTATCGTATGCTGGACTCTGTCTTTTTTCTGAAAAGTGTTACTTTTTGCCATTTTTGGTTTTGAAAAAAGGTCTGAAAATCTATCGAATGCTGGACTCTGTTTATTTTCTGAAAAGTGTTACTTTTCTCCATTTGTGTTGGTTTTGAAAAAAGGTATGAAAATCTATCATATGCTGGACTCTGTTTATTTTCTGGAAAAGTGTTACTTTTCACCATTTGTGTTAGTTTTGAAAAAATGGGATGAAATCTATCGATTGGCTGAACTCTGAATTTTTTCTGGAAAAGTGTTACTTTTCGCCATTTGTGTTGGTTTTGAAAAAAGGTATGAAAATCTATCGTATGCTGGACTCTGTTTATTTTCTGAAAAGTGTTACTTTTTGCCATTTGTGTTGGTTTTGAAAAAAGGTATAAAAATCTATCGATAGACTTGACTCTGTTTATTTTCTTGAAAGTGCTACTTTTTGCCATTTGTGTTGGTTTTGAAAAAAGGTATGAAAATCTATCGTATGCTGAACTCTGTTTATTTTCTGGAAAAGTGTTACTTGTGCCCATTTGTGTTGGTTTTCAAAAAAGGTAAAAAAGGTATGAATATCTATCAATAGGCTGGACTCTGTTTATTTTCTGGAAAAGTGCTACTTTTCGCCATTTGTGTTGGTTTTGAAAAAAGGTATAAAAAGCTATCGATAGGCTGGACTCTGTTTATTGTCTGGAAAAGTGTTACTTGTGGCCATTTGTGTTGGTTTTCAAAAAAGGTAAAAAAGGTATGAATATCACTATCAATAGGCTGGACTCTGTTTATTTTCTGGAAAAGTGCTACTTTTCGCCATTTGTGTTGGTTTTGGAAAAAGGTATCAAAATCTATCGATAGGCTGAACTCTGTTTATTTACTGGAAAGTGCTACTTTTCGCCATTTGTGTTAGTTTTGAAAAAAGGTATGAAAATCTATCGTTAGGCTGGATTCTGTTTTTTTCTGGAAAAGTGTTACTTTTGGCCATTTGTGTTAGTTTTGAAAAATCTGGATGAAAATATATCGATAGGCTGGACTCTGTTTATTTTTCTGGAAAAGTGTTACTTTTGGACATTTGTGTTAGTTTTGAAAAACAGGTATGAAAATCTATCGAGAGGCTGGATTTTCTGGAAAGTGCTACTTTGCGCCATTTGTGTTGGTTTTGAAAAAGAGTCCATTTTATGCTATACGTTATCTCTTTTGACGAGTCCTGTTCTTATTTTTTTTAATCTGATCCCTGATGCCTGGTCATTTTAGATTTTATTCTAAGTCCAAAAGTAGCACAAAATAAAAACCGAAAAATCTCTACCCTATATCGTGACATATATCAGGGGAGGACAGAATATCAGGGGTAAAAGCTTAAGTCCCAGCCTTAAATACATGACAGAAAACATTGCCTTCACAAAATCATATGACTTTTTCATTAACATCAAATATGTCTCACATTCCATCATAATACAGTGTAAATCCCATTGGATAATGAGATTAATGTTTTACCCATTGGATATGAAGTTAATGTTTTACTCAGTGGATATGAGATTTATGTTTTACCCTGATATGCTGTATACATGTTGGGTGGTTTCGAGATTGATTAGTTTATTGTTACACCAAATGGCACATGTCAATGAATATCAGTTGGTATTAAGGAAATCTATTTTTTCATAGTTTCAATAATATATAATTTGAATATTGCTATAACATTGAAGTTTACCCAAGTTCATATGATAACCAAACCAAAGCAAATACTTATTTAATACAGCATCTAAAGCCTCTGGTCAAACAGCATGGCTATGATCACAAGGCATGTAAAATTCAATGTGAGTGTGACTTCAAACTAGTTGATAGTTGAAATACAGGGTAACACAAAAACCAAAGCTCTTATTGTGCGGAATAACTTTCTCATTTAACATGAATTACCTTCATTTTCATGAATTTTTTTAATGCGTAGATAGAGTGTTCAATGTGAGAAATAATGGTATACTTATTTATCAATCAATTTGGATTTAGAGTTAATTACAAGAAAATCCATGACGAAGATTCCATGATAATTGGGAATTATTTCAAAAATAGAAAATTACATTTTTTGTGTTACCCTGTTACTACAACATATAATGTTTTGATACAATTATTTTTGATGTTAAAATAGCAGAAAATTCCAAAAAATCACTAGCCAATTATTGTTTTTAAAATTTTCCCAAAAAATATTCAAAATACAATTTCAAGCTATAAAGAGAAGTACTTGAAGAAGTACTGTACTGTACCGGTTGAAAATTTTAAGTGATTTACGGTCACATGCCTGCTGTTTATCAAGAGTACAACATATACAATGGAACTACATAAAATATATTTACATGATGGCGCTAATGGTGAAGTAGGCGAGAGTAAGATTTCCGCTAATGAAGGAAAACAAGTGAACATGAGTGAAAAATAATACACCAATATATCTATACAGATTCATTCAATAGTACTTGAAACACTAATACGGGTGGTCAAAAAAAATGGAAACCCTGGATTTTCTCCATATCTTCGTCATTTTGGGTAATTATTCCCTGAAATTTGACAAACATGTACAACATTCAATTTCCTACCAGCTAACCATATTTCATGACCATCAGATTGATAGTCACAATGGTACAGCACTTTGAACAAGATGCCCCAGTGTGGCCACCATCGCACTATTGGCAAATCTGAACAGGTTGTCAATGATCTGACTACATTTTTCAGCAGGTATGGCCTGAATGACATGGATGATCTGCTTTTTGAGGTCTGCAGTTGTCCTGGGGTTATTCTCGTACACTCTTTTTTGGTGTATCACCACAGGTTGAAGTTAGGTAGGGACATTTTGGATGAGAGGTGCAGGTTTACCAAGTGCAATGTTGGCAAATGGAGCATGTTGTTTAAAGTGCTGTAACATTGTGACTATCAATTTGATGGTCATGAAATATGGTAGGCCGGTAGGAAATTGAATGATGTACAAATGTGCTAAATATCAGGGAGTAATTTCCTAAAATGACAAAGATATGATGAAAATGGCGACAGGGTTTCCATTTTTTTTGACCACCCGTACATTAATTGTCTGGTAGCCAGATTCTTGGTATATGTACTGTAAAAAGTATGTTTTGTTCAAAGATGGGCAGTAAACACAAAAGTCCATGTGCAGTATGGCAAGTGATTTTAGACAGCCATATCTTTCACCATGAGTACTTTCTGGCCATAAATACAGTGGTCTTTATTAAAACAATATGTTTTCTTTCAAGTGAAGTCCCCATGATAGTATAATATCAATCCAACTCTCTGAAAAATTATGGATTAGGACCCCACCTTGGCACTTTAAAAAAAATGTTAGGCTTATTTTCTAAAAAGAGGATCTTGTTTTTTCAATTTAAACATATCGAAAGTTTCCTCTACACTATATTAACAATTTCTGAAAAGGGGATGTGTATTGAAATGGGTTAAAGTTAAAAACCACATATCCCATATCCCATTCATGATACAGGGTGACCCAAAAAAAATGCAACCCTCCATTTCTTCAATATTTTTCTTAAATGGAAGTAAATTGCTCTGAAATTTGGCACACAAGGACTTCATTCAATGTGGGATCCTCTGGCAAAGTTTCAATAATCATAGTCTTATATTGATAGAGTTATGATTGTTCCAAAATATGCTCCAAATGTCGTCCATTTCCAATGTTAGGTTTTCAGATGAATCACATTCCCTTCTTTCTGAACATGTAAACTCAAGAAATAATGTGTTCTGGGATCACAAATTCCAGATGAAGTGCTTCAAAGGCCCCTTCATTCTGTTAAATGCACAGCTTGGGCTGCCAATTTCCAAACACGAAATCACCAGCCCCTTTTGGTTTGAGGTTGATAATGGCAACACTGTTACTGTTAACACACAGCGCAATATTGGCGTTCCCAGGAAGTTCTAGGCAGTTCTTGAATGACATAGAGGCTTCAATAGACGAACAGTGGTTCTAGAAGGATGGAGCTACTCCTCACATTTCTAATGATAGCATAGCCTGGCTCACTAGTCATTTCTATGAGAAGATGATCTCTCCTAGGACGGAGAACCCATGGTCATCCCACAGTCTTGATCTCAATGCCCCTGACTTCTATATATGGGGTTATTTAAAGGATAATGTGTATGAAAATAACCCTACCGCAATTGCAGAACTCCAATAAGCAATGGCTGCAAAAATTTGAGCCATACCCATGAGGAAGAATGCATCCCTGTAATGAACAGTTTTCCTTGAACATTGCAAGTTTGTTTTCAGCGAAATTGACGACATCTGGAGCATATTTTGAAACAATCATAACTCTATCAATATAAGACTATGATTATTAAACCTTTGCCAGAGGATCCCACATTGAATGAAGTCCTTGTGTGCCAAATCTCAGAGCAATTTACCTCAATTTAAGAAAAATATTGAAGAAATGGAGGGTTGCATTTTCTGGGGTCACCCTATATTTAGAATTATTCGATTGATATTTTTATCATCATGGGTACTTCACTTGAAAGAAAACATATTGTTTTATAGATAAAAACCACTGTATTTATGCCCAGAAAGTACTCATGGTGAAAGACATGACCGTCTAAAATCACTTGCAATACTGCACGTGGTCTTTTCAATAAAGAATTTCGATATGTCTTGCTTCGACTCCCTGTTTCCCTTGACCAATTAAAAACTTGATCCAAGGCTACTTCGAAAACCAAGTACATTATGTATATCAAATCAAGGTTAAGAAGGATAATTTAAATTTGTCTAGAGATTCCCTATACACATGCATTAACGTTAAAGTGATGTTGAATATGAGCAATCTCCAAGCAGATCCTTACCTCTGACCTCCTCGGTGGGGACATCTTCATACTCAGGGCCTTCTTCATCTGAACCTGAAAGGTCAGAGGTTAACTTATTAACATATTGGTAAATGTGTAGTTTATTCATGTAGAACCACCACTCCTATTTGAAGATATGTATGTATGTATGTTTCATATGAATCAAAATGGTCAATAGTTGACAAAATATTTCAGGTAATGTATTTTGTCTTATACCGTCTTATATGCATTTTTTCTGAATGAACACTTGTCAATATTAAAAGAAGGCTGAGATGAAAAGTATATTGGTTCATTCTTCATGTGACATGCTCCAACAATTATAAAGAAAATACATGCCATAAGGATCAATTCTTCCATCTAAAGAAAAACTCATGTAGAGGTTGGCAAATAAGGAAAACATTGTGATGTTATACCTTCTATGTGGTGTTGACTGGGAACAACATGATACTTTGGTGGTACTTTCAGATTATGCGACCCAGATGCCTGACCATCCATCCTCAAGTAACCCGGGTATACTGGACATGAAGGCATGGTTAGGTATCCCATACTTTGCCCATACATTTCCATGTAGTCAGGTTGGGCACTGTCTTCTCCCTTTTGGGGATTGGAACTACCCATGGCCATATAGTCTGGGTCAGCACTTCCTCTGCGATGGACCTCTTGGCCTAAAATCAGCATGTAAGAAATTTGTGAGTGCAAGACCAAAGGCATCATATTTTAGCATGTTTTGGTTTAACAGGAGTTGACTTTCTGCCCTCTTGGTATGTTAGTAGTGTGGTTCTTATGTTATATCATTATTACAAATACAAAATCATTGCTTTGAACAGGATGACACAAATAAAATGCAACTCTCAAATTTTTTAAATAACTTATCTTGTAACTCTTCCAAATATGGAAATCATCTGTTTCACTTATTGATCTCTCTTTCTCTCTCTCTCAACATAAAAAAATTAATGAAGTTTCAATCATAACAAAGTTAATCCAAAATTAGAAAACTACATTTTTGTGTCACCCTATACAAAAAATACACTGCACTTGAAAGAAGTGCATGAGCACTTCCATAACTCTCAAAGCCTGGTAACAACCCCAAGAGGAATCAGGTACATGTATATTTCAACCTACTCTCTATCTGAAGAGTGTCCATAGTACATATAAAAATAAAATAGGACAACTTGACATGACAAAATATCATCAATAAGATAAAGTGTTTTATAATTGATAATACAAAATGTGAAACGTTTTTGGTCGCATTTTTAATCTGCTATAGACTTCTATGTTAAAAATCCTCAAAATATGAATACCCAAGTTGAACTCTGGCCAGTCCAGTGGTAGTGTTCACGTGAGATAGGTTTTACTGTACATTTTATTGTTATTTATAAAGATGTCTGGATGGGGGTCTAGACAGCTATAAATTGACTTATTTAGAAATGTAAACTAGTACCAAGGACGTCCTTGCTAGTAATTAATTTGGTATAACTTTCTGATTTTTAATGGAATCTCCTTGAAATTCTGGGCATATATCCTATGTGTTAAATAGATTAACACATATTTATCAACGAAGAACTTTGCATTCCCAACACCTAAGGAGCACTAGTATAGTCTGCTCTTGTTTTGTATCTGTAAAAATTTCAAATTGAATAGATAAGCAGTCTTTCTCAAAGAACAGGTCCATTTAACAGACTATTGGTCCACTTAGACTTTTTCTGAAAAACTCATTCTCCCATTTACTTTCAAAACCGATTGCAAGTTGTAGATAAATCTTTCTTCTTGAGATGTGCAATTTCAAAAAGTGGCATTAGTTTTCCGTTTCTTTGAAAAATTGGCATTAAGAACCCCTATCACAAGGCTGTCTGAATATGGATACACACTATGTTTATCATCAAAATAATATCAAAACTTATCATTATGTAGAATTTAATATATAGAACATATGGCATACAAGTATTCAGAGAAGAAAATTGACAAAATCTAGCTATGTATGTAGTTCACCTATGCAAATCTAGAAAAAATTGTCATTTTTATTCACTTTGTTATCAAGTTTTAGCATGGTGCTCATTCCCTTTCATTGAAAAGTTAACCGTCAGCCCACACTCCCAAAAAAATATATTGAAACTGTATAATGCAGAGACTGTAAAGTAGCTTCTCTGCAAATATCATTTTTGTGGGAGTGTGGGCTCACCACTAAAACTTAACTTTTGTGATGAAAATAAGCCTGACTGGTTTATGTTTTCAATATGGCTGCTAACCTGAGCATACATGTACACCACATAACTGCATGTACAGATTAAGCCATCCAAAATTAATTATATGTTGGCATTCTGATGAAGAGCCTTATATTAAAAACTACAAAACCTTTATTTATTTAAAGGGTTTTATATATTATTTAAGAGTGTGAAAATGCAATAACACATTGTGGCAAAGCAAGTAACACACCTCTCCAGTTCAGATGACCTTGTTAATGAAGTTCATATACATGTAGTTTTTAACTGGAACTCATTTCACTACAATATAATCCAGGATTACAATTCCCTTTGTCATTTATATACATTACAAGAAGAGAGTACATGGGGACATTTTGTTTTTTTCTGAAAACATAGAATTTAGTGACATTATTAGAAGAAAATCTTTCTAAATAGGGAATAAGTAGAAATTATTTTAGGCAATCCTTTGAGTGTCATGCCATTTATACATGATGCTGCCTTATATTTTATGATATATATTAAGAGAGGATTTCTCTGAATTATTTGTGTTTCAAATATGGGAACTGCAAATTGGCAAATAACTTTAAAATTAAGTGTCCATTTTACAAACATTGAATTTCAAATGCCAAATAAAATGCAAAATGCCAATGGGCATTTAGTAAAAGTGACCCTATAGCTATTTAGAACCAGAACAACGGCAACGCCAAAGCGTAGCGAATCCCATCGAACATTTTTCAAAACGGGCACCTTCTACCAAAAGTGTCATTAGACAGTGTGCCATGCTTATAATATTCACATACCAAATATGAACAAATCGCTCCACTACTTTTCGAGTTATAGTAAAAAACGTTAAAATGGCGGCCATTTTTCAAAATGGCCACCTTCTACCAAAAGTGTCATTAGACAGTGTGCCATGCTGATACGTATTCACGTACCAAATATGAACAAAATCGCTCCACTACTTTTCGAATTATAGTAAAATAAGTTAAAATGGCAGCCATTTTTCAAAATGTCCGCCATTTTTCAAAATGGCCGCCTTCTACCAAAAGTGTCATTAGACAGTGTGCCATGCTTACAGTATTCACATACCGAATATGAACAAAATCGCTCCACTACTTTTCGAGTTATAGTAAAATACGTTAAAATGGCGGCCATTTTGAAAAATGACCGCCCTCTACCAAAAGTGTCATTAGACAGTGTGCCATGCTTATATGTATTCACATACCAAATATGAACAAAATCGCTCCACTACTTTTCGAGTTTTAGTAAAATAAGTTAAAATGGCCGCCTTCTACCAAAAGTGTCATTAGACAGTGTGCCATGCCTATAGTATTCACATACCAAATATGAACAAAATCGCTCCACTACTTTTCGAGTTACAGCAAAAATCGTAAAATAACGAGTAAAGGCCGCCATTTTTCAAGATGGCTGCCATGTGCTTTTTTAATACCTACATTTCTAGCTTTATTAATGTCCTATATAATTTTTTTACATTTAAAACATATTGCTATTACAGTTTTACATATTGCACCTAAATTACTGTAAAATCGGCACTAAAATGGCCGCCATTTTTAATTGAGCGGCCATTTTGAAAATCGGCTTTCGAGCAGAACTTCTACCCCCATAGGGTATATTTGTACAAAATATGAATAAAATCGGGCCAACGGTATTTGAGTTATTGCCCGGACGGACGGACGTACGTACGTACGTACGGACGGACGGACGGACGCGTTCCCTATATCCCTCCGAACTTCGTTCGATGGGATAATAAGGCAAACATGTTTAGAAAACTGGCGAGAAGCAATTGAAATTAAAAAAAAACCCATTCTTTTTGAAGTGCCCTTGTGTGCATTTAATTGCAGTCATTTTATCCTAATTGCCCATGGGCATTTAAAATAATAATTGCATCCCAACTCTTAAAACATGCTTAGGATACTGTTAGAGTCTCCAAATGCAACAAGAACATTCATTTTTGAAACAAGAAAATTTAAAAAATGCCCGTATCGGTATTTATTCTCAAGATTTTCAGGTAATTGCCCATGATAATTTGTTAAAAATATTTTTATTTCCATTCACATGTCTTATTATCAGTCACAATCAAAATAAAGCCAATTGCTTTCATTTCTTGGATTAGAAACAGTAAAATTTTGACAAAAATAGCAACTCTCAAAGTTGACCTTTAAACCACCCTAGTGTCAAGGTCAAATGTCAAAACTCTCAGAAATCTCATTTTAAGTAATGAGTCATACTTCCTCTTCAATTCCATGTCAAAATATACTTGTTTTGTATGGGGGCTAAAAGAGGGGTTTACCGCCACCTGGATGACCAGAATTATGCAGTGCCCACCCGCATGCCTAGCTGCCAAGTAGGACAAGATGACAAAATACAGCAATTTTCAAAGTAAAAATGAAAAAAAGTTGGCAGCAACAAAATCAAAGTTTTTGAGGTGAAGGACAGTTTAGAATTTTTATGCCTGCAAGCATAGATCCCGGCCAGATTCTTTTGTAGTAGGATCAGAAGCTCAAAGAATTATTCTTTGAGCCTATGAGATCCTACTACAAAATGATCTGGCCAACATCTGTGCCTGCAAGTGTCTCAGTAAAATAAAAAATATATATTGATCAATTCAATACTTAACCAAAATGCTATTTTCTACCTGCCTTCATGGCATGGAGTGCTCTTACTATGAAATACTTCATAATAGGTACATACATCCAGAAAATTAGACCATTCATTCAGAAACTTTTATGAAATCAGAAATATTTGGGGAAAACCCTTTTTATGTAAAATAACACCCATTGGCCTATTATATAGGCATAAGAGAGTAAGAATTAAGCTTATTGCAAAGCTTATTTAATTCTTAGAAACTTATTTTATGGTTGTTTTATAATGAGTTAACTAGTAAAAACACTTAAATGTTCTTCATATGAACTTCTTTCAAAAATATTAGGTCTCTACTTAAATAAATAACCTTAAACACGAGCATATTTAAATTCTGGTCACAAAGGAAGTTTTTAAAACATTTGTAAACAAATGAAAAGATGTTAAGCCTAAAAATAACATTTTAGCTTTCCTGTCATGACTATCACGAAAATCATATAAATTAAAATTATTTAACCTTGAAATGGGAAAAGTCAAAACATTTAAACACTATAAAATTTTACCTTGTGTTTACAGCAATATGATAATATGCGATACTGTCATCGCTTTATCATGAATAATGCCCCTCCCCCTAGGCATAACAATTGCATAATGGGCTCATTGATTCAAAACAAAAGTTCTCTTAATTACAAGTCAGGGATCCAAATCTAGGCATTTCTAATACGCTCTAAACAGGTGCCTGGGAATATATGAGGAAACAAAGCTACATATTGAAACAATTCTTGATTTACCACAGATCATAATCATTATCATCAGTTTGCCCTCCGTGATGAGGATTGTCCCAAAAGTCTTGAAATTTTTGCTCTAACTTTCTTGATTATTCTTCCTTGAAATTTATGCTTTCATACAAGCAATACTTTTGTCTATTAGGTCTACATCAGTGTTTTCAGTAGGTGCGTCCCTGGGATGTACTGATTTTGAAAAAATGTGTCCCCCCTCAAAAAACTACATCCCTTAACAAAATATTCCCGGGAATTCAAAGTCACATTTTTACACTGGACGAAAAAAAATTGATGAAACTTTGTATCGCTTTTGCCATTTATCGGTCTAAACCAGCTTTCTAACGAGTGTAGTATGTCATTGAATATTACAGATACCATCACTTATATATATAGGAAATATATATAAGGTATAACTTATATTCAACCATCAAACACACATTTTCTTTGCATATTTCGAAACAATTTGCTATCGATTTTGATGGCTCAGAAATATCTTGTTTAGGGCAATCTGTGCGGGGTTCAATTTTTTGGTTCAGTTGCTCATGCGCATTCTTCAATAATGATCATGTGATCGCACTTGACCAATAGAAAATGGTTTAAATCAGGTCTTCAGCTAGCGGCCAATCGTAGGACTCCTACTGAGTATACTGCTCGGAAATCGAGTATTGGGTAACTATTTGCCATATCACATGCCTCTTACTATTTCGATCAGAAATCAACTTCCAGAAAGGAAACTTCGAAAGAAAATTTTATTTCTTTTTTAGAAATAGCATTTCCTTCAATTATTTAGTGGATTCTGACGAAATAATGAGACTGAAGGTAAGATCTTTATCAAATCATTCATCCAAAGTTGATTTTGTGCATATGCCTTGCATTGTGTCTAAAAAACGCAGTTCATTTTTATTTTCGGGTCCAACATTTTTTCGTTGCATTTTTTCAATGCTTGGACGGCGTTATGGAAAACGCAGTACACGACGTAAGTATATCTTTTCAAAACCTATTTTTACAATTAAATAAAGACAAAAACATTGTTTGCCAGTCATTTTCAATATCAGGTCTTGTGGTAAGACATCTTATCTTATTTTGATATATCTATCTCCTGATCAAGATCACTTGGGACAATGTGAATTCCTACAATGGTACAACTCATTATACGAGTTGAAATCCCAATACTCTTTTGTACATTTTGTACAGTCAGTTTTACAAAAAGAATGTTCAACATCTATCACAGCAATGTCAGACTGACCTCATTACTGGTAAATTTCATTATTCTGGCCAATTCCACTGAATTAATCAGATCACGTTTATTATATACTGTACTATGTGTATTCACAGGTTTATACCTAATCTCTATTTATATCTATAGGAGTTCATTTCCTGCCTGATTTCATATATTCTACTTTAGTTAATTTCACATTTTTGATTTAACAAAATGATAGCCTTCAACATTTATCCACAAAAAGAGGAGAATTATTTATGATAAAGGGATTTTGAAACTAAGCACAAGTTTATTCAGACTAAGACAAAATAGTTCACCAAGTTCACCAATAATCAAAGATAAGGTATTAATAGGCAAAATGCCACCACTTGCCATTTGTTACAGATGCTGATCATTGAACACCAAATACCTAACGCTGACCACCAAACACCATCCACAAAAAAAAAAGTTGGAGACTATAACAATATGTCACTATGCACTGGTAACAAAAAAATAGGACATATTCAAGACTGAAACAACCTTGAAGTTTTATTTTGCATTGTTCTTAAATACCAATTATTATCATCAGAATAAATAAGATAAATGTATTATAATATGATAACAATTGCAAATATTTATACAATTGCACATACACACAGCGTGATTTCTCAGAAAACCACTCAAAAATACCAAATATAGTATGTGTAAAATTGGCATGTAAACTGTGCCTTATCGACAGAAATTGACATTCTAAGTACAATCAGAATTTTCTCCATGAATATCTCAGTCTTGAACCCTTAACTGTGATATGAAATAGTGAAATATAAATATCCATTGATTTTGCCATAAAACCAAAGTAGCATTTCCATAGTGAACACAGTCTCATAGAAAAGCGCCTAACCATAATTACATTACTTTTAATAACCCTTTGATTTGAAAGCCCTCTGCGATGTGTTCACTGAATTCACTTGTCATATATTTAGTCTGAACTTGAGATTTAAAAAGTACTTCAAATCAAGTAGTTGATAGGTTTTTTATTTGTGGGTAAAACTATGTGTCACCACTTAATCATAAAATTACCATTTCATATAAAAATATTAAGTCTAAGGTTCAATTCGAAAACCATATTTGGTTTTTCAACAAGGTCAAGAACAAAATGGGCATGAAATGTCCAGGGATAATGATTCTAGGGGTTGAGATATTAAGTTTTGCTTTGTCTATTTTATCCTGGCTAAATATACATTCATGAATTCACACAATCAATTTTCAACTGAACATTGAAGAAATGAAATATATCTTGCATTATTCAATGTGTTAAAAAAATTACAATGGTAAATTACAATTTGTAATGGAAACTTACTGAGAGCATCCTGTACATTGGCATTCGTTGTACCAACTGCGTTTTCATATATTGCATTCAGGTCATGTGTCTGAAATAAAAAGAAATGTATTGTTTGTTATATAAATGTCATGGTGATGATGAAGATATGACACTCAAGAAGTGTCAGTGCATGATGATTCCTATGTCATATGCGATATTACAGTATTTACAAAGACATTATTGAGTTATTTTGGACACACTGAAGTACTGTATTCTATCTTGCATCTTCCTAATTTATGGGGTCCAGACATCATTTACTTTAAGTTGGTACCTTCCTTTTTTCCATTCCTGTGCAACATGAAACTGCTGCTCACAGCCAGGGAAAAAATAATGTTAAATGTCTCCGAGCGATATGAAATCAATGAAAACCCAAAGCTCATATAACTTGTGACATCTTGTAAGATATTGTAAAATTCTTTTAAAATTAATTTTGACCCTCCAAGTAGTTCTTTATATAAGAGTAATAAAAACTGTCTTACCATTTCAGAATGACTTTGAAGGTAAGCTCCAACTTCTTCATGCCCCGCCTCTTCTGCCATTTGTGATGGAAATTTATTTGAGATGTTTATAATATCATTGGCTATATTCACTCCTCGACATGATACCAACATTGCGCAGTACTCTTTTAAGCCATATTGTGCCGCAAAGTGAAGCATCGTCGGTGTTAACAGGCCACTGCATTTTGCTGTAACAGGGTAGTGAAATGATTCATGTATAATGATACTTAACATGGATGGGTGAATATGGGAGGGGTTCCATAGTGTAGTCACATTAGTTCAAAAGTAATATTAGATCAGAACACAGGGGAGATATCTGCCTGAGAACAACAAAATGAATGATTTTGGTCAAAAAGTTTTGAGAAAACCGTAATGGTATTACTTGTGAATAGAAAACATATCAATACATGTGATTGGTAGTGTTGAACAGAATATAATGGCTATGTAGAGTTAACTTTCAAATCCATGTTTCCAACTCAACCCAATATCATGATTAGTTTGAAACAACAGTTTGATTTATGGTAAGTTACTTACATTCAAGTGACGTATGATCACATTCCTTCACCACAAATTTATGATGCAGAGAAAAAGCCTCATAGAATTTCATAATGGCAGCTAAAGTGTAGTCGAGTAGAGAAGGATCAGCCATGTCTAGACCAATACAGTTGCATAACAGTTCAAATGGATTTGTAATGGATGCCATTTCATCCGTTTTTTGAAACATATCGTCAAGTTTTTTGAGTGATGGTTTCAGTTGCACTTCACAGCCACATATATATTGTCCTTTGTTGTTGTATATCTTAAGAGCCAGTTTCTCTTTGTTCCAATTAACGTCAGCATCTGAAACGAATACATTCCAAAATTAAAATCAAATGGGGAAAATATAGTACCATATGTATTTGTATTTGTAAAACGTGTTGGGGTTGTATACATTGTCATGATGATCCATTCCTTTTCAGTATTGAGATAGAAGCTGCAAAACAGAAAGATGTGATGAGAATATGTACAGGGTGTCCAAAAAACAGGACTGAAGAAAAACTTGATTTACTCCGTCAATCTTGCATATTGTGCCTTGATATTTAGAATTATTCAATTCATTTCATGTGAATTTTGTTGTAAACAGTTGATGATAATCTGCCTATTGAGTTAAAAATTACCTTACAAAACATGCTCCAAGTGGGCACCCCCCCCCACCACCTTCTCTATGCACAATTGTATTCAATATATTTCTGCGGTCCTGGTTTTTGGACACCCTGTACAGTATCAGAATGTTATCTGTGAAGACATTTGGCTTTAATACAATGGCTTTTAAATTTCATGATTTTCCCCTATTTTAGCTTTGGAGTTCATTTCCCTCAAAATATACTTCAAGTTATTGATTATATGTTACATGTATACAGTGTAATTATAATGTAGTCTAGCATAAGTTAACATTTTAAGTATTGCACATAGACATAAACTTGTACATATACTAATGTGTCATGTTTTGATACAATAATGTCTATAAAAAAAATATGAATTGAAGGTCCCCTCAATTAATATCAAGTGAATTACACTACAAAGACTACTTCCACACCACAAAATGATACATAACTGCTGAGTACTGGTACTGGAGTACAGGTGCAAATAACCAATAAAAACTATTACTTGCTAAAGTTAAATTTATTCATTTAAGTTTTTAATTTTCGCCCGAAAAGCTAAATATTTTATCTAATTCAACAAAGTCAAGATAAATCACAATATCACCTTGAAATAAAAAACAAACTTTTAAAACCGGTATTTTGCTTCCAGTTCACTGACATATAAAAATACTTAGAACACTCTACCTATCATGACTTTATTCAAGTAGGGTAGTTTATGTCATTTGATCAGGGACACCTTAGTTTAACAGCTTGTCAAAATGTTGATCTGAGCTGCACTTCAAAGTATCAACATGCCCTTGTATTGCAATTAATTATATATGATTGAAGTTCAATTACATCTACAGGTTAATTGTATTATTATTGAGAGTAAAAAGTAAGGAGACTAAAGCTACATGATTAAATGTCTTTATCGGCCTGAATGATTTCATTTACTGGTCTTGAGGATTTTGTGATTTTTTTATATCATTAGAAAAACATGAATTTTTAACCTGACACGGGAAATCCAATGTCATTTAAACCCATATTAAGAGCATTTCTGATATATCAAGGGTTAATAAATAAAGATATCTCATTTTCAATTCAAATGAATTCTAATGAATGTTTATCAACACATTAAATTAAACAATTTTGTAAACCATTTTGAAGAAAATTGTACTTCAATGTTTGATTAGTACTTAGTAGTCTACCAAATAAATACTGTAACTGTAAATTACGGTCGCTAAACTTTAATCGAGAGAACGATACTATGATTCCTTGGCAACTAATAACACTTTACTTCATTACTCAGGACTGATGGTTGTATGATAACTGGTTTCAGAGTAATCTTATATACCCTAGGCACTATCTCAATGTTACACTGCCAAACCATGGATATTTTTAGATAAGAAATTGTTTCATAAAGTTTGTTATGTTATTTACTTCCTTGTTCAGATCTAATGACCTTGCTTAGGGGACAGACTTTAATAATGATCTGATCTTGTAGGGTGACTTTGCCTAGAAGGGGATAGAGGGCGATAATGATCTGGTTTAAGAGGGTGACCTTGCCTAGAAGGGGATGGAGGGCGATAATGATCTGGTTTTAGAGGGTGACCTTGCTTATAGGGGGATAAGGGGTTCAATGAGTTCAATGGGTTCAGGTGTTCCTTGCTTAGAGGGGGATGGGAGGCTTTAATGATCACGTTTTGTAGGGTGGCCTTGCTTAGAGGGGGATGGACGGCTTTAATGACCAGGTTTTAGAGGATGACCTTGCTTATATTGGGATGGAAGGATTTAATGATGATAAATAGGTTCATTAGATGAGACATTGTGGTCTCCTTTAATGTACATTCAACACAACATACATACAATCTTATGTAGTCAATTCAAAATCATAAGAAATATGAATATGTTTTGGAACATACCTTTTGGTAAAGTTAGAGAAAATGTATGCGAATTTATCCCTGACTGGAGTGGAATTTGTTGATCGAGTCCTTCTATTTTGGCAAAATTGCCACTGGAATTTGATGGTGCTTCGCTGAATATCAAGGTAAGTGGCTCCTGAAAAAAGGAAATACTAACTTTAGGACATAATGACCTATAAATGTGATAAACTGTAATTTAATTCTAAATAGTGAATTTATTTGTAGCCCCATCCTCTTAAGCCGGTATCCAGAATCTGCAAGGCTGTTCTGCATAGAAGTGTATGTATATCACATATATAACCAAATTGCCGTAATGGACCAAAGTTGCCATATCTGGTGGATTCATTTGCATACTCGTCTCTATATAAGTCTCTAGCCTAGTAAAAATGTGACATTCTATTGTTTTATAGATATGATTATCAAAATTAACCAAATGAAACCAAATGAGAAAAATATTTACCCCCAGCATTGTGATGTGTGGAATGACCTGTGCTTTCACCGAACATTCTCGAACACTTGGAGCAACTGTTTTAGGGACATCATCATTTGTGGTTGGGACAGGTTCTGGCGTTTTAATAGGTGTAGGCGGTTGAGCTGCTTGCACATGCAACTTTTCAAATGCTGTAACAATAGCCCCAGGTAGTGAAACTTTTGGGGGCCTCCTTGAAACTATAGGCGGAGTCTTTACTTTTGGCACATTACACTTTTCAACAGTTGTCATTATATGTTTGAACATCCCTTGAAGGACTGACAATGGATTTTCACAATCCTCGATAAATGTAAACTTGATCAGATTATCATAGTTGTTAAACATTCCTCTGAGTTTTTCTAAAAATGTCAGTGGGTTAAAACCACAAAGGAGTAAGCAAAGTGATTTTTCGTCACCTATTTCTTTCAAAAATGTCAAATTATGGCTCTGATATACACCTATGGTCCCCTCGAACAGTAGCACTAACTGGCATTTGGTGTTTTTAATACTGGAGAGTTGTGAAGCCTGGTAGCCTTCAAGATGGACCACCCTCATCTGTAAAGGGATGTTATACTTCCGTGTAATTTGGTTGTTAATATACTCCGCCCAGGCAGTCCCTGAGTCATCATGAATGATGGCAAGATCATCCATTGTATCTACAAAAAGAAAAATATGTTTCTTGAATTATGGGAGTAAAACACTCAGCAGAGTTTAGCACCTTTCGATGAAGTGACAAAAAATGATTCAAGTATGACTATTTTTGAGCCCTGGAAGAACCTTTTACATCAGATGAAAATGGACATTCCTTCTTGGACATTCTAACACTGTATAGAAGTGATTATATTTCGAAGACTTCATTTTTCTGTTGCATTGAAACAAAAAATGAAGTCTATTGAACATATCAGTTGCTGTATTAAGAGAGTGCTGTGACCGTAAACTTAAATGTTGGCCATTGTATTCAAAGTCTAAAAAGTCTCCTACAGTATTCAGACCACCTCTGCCACTTTTTAAGTGAAAGTCGTAATCTCTATTGAAGTAGATTTCAACAAAGCCCCTGGTTTCCATCTGGTATACAAGGTTTGTCCAGAAGCCCCCCCCCCCTGTCCTAAAATGTCCCTTATACCTCAACTGGTAAAGTATGGTTTCCAACCTCTGGATTGATATTACATATCCGCTGCTTCTGTTACATTAGATTTTCTGATTAAAACTTCCTGAAATTTATTTCGTTTTCTTTTAGAATCGATGTCTAAAATGGTGATATCATTATTTTATAGTCCCCAAATATAATTTGTATGGTTTTATCATTGATGATTCAATGTTAATTACTAAAGTAGTACATGTATTTTACAATGACTTCCTCTTTCAAAGCTCAAGTCTAGCTGCTGCCAAATTGCAAATTATTGAAAATTACAATAACATTATCCTTACACTGTACTTATACTGTACTTACACGTGTGTAATCGCAGCTAGTTTTCAATTTTTTATTTCATTTGTAAGTAATGTGTGTTCATAAAAGTCAATTACTTTTATTTGCTAAAATGCTAATGAGAATTTATTTAAGGTTAAAGGCGAAGTTTAAAACGCTACCTGGTTAACAAATGATTCTGTACAAGGTTAAGTATGTCGTAAATCTACAAAATGCTTACTTAAACAGAAATCTAAATTATTGAGAAATTTTACCTTCCTGATCATGATCCTTGGGATCTCTTTGTTTCCGTATTAAAAAAGCACTAAATCCCATTTTAAAAGTATGTTGCTCGGTGAACTTGAACTGAATGTTACATTCATCAATCAGGTTTAAGTTTTCAAGCAAAACATGTTTCATCGTCATCACACACTGCCCTTATCAGTTACAGTCACAATGACACTAACAATTGAAAAGATTAAAAAAACTATTTTGATAAATCTCTTGTGCAGTTGCTATATGAAAAAAATATTTCCTATTTTCTAAAAGTAGATTTACTGATATATTTGTAGGAGTACCTATCCTAGTACCTGTCACTGATAGTTTCGAATTCTGATTTATTCCGATGCAATCATTGACCTCTGCTAGGTATAATCTAGTAAAATTGCTAATTTTTAGCGAGAGTTGAAAACTTACCACTAGTTCATTAATTTGCTCCTATCAACCAATCATAAGTTCCTCATATGACAGAGAAAAAGGGGAAACCCAAAACACCAGCAACGAGGAAGTTCAGCATTTTATTATTGAATGTCAATAAATCTGGCATCACAATAGGCTACATATATAAAGAGATCACTTTGACATTAAAGGGACTGGATTGGCTTGCAGTCAAGCCAAGCTGGTATTTTAACAAAGATTATAATTGGAGCTGATTTCACAAGTATAGCTAACAAGTCAAACAAAGTGGAAATAACAGTATAAAAATTCCAACAAGGCATTAACATGCACTGACCTGCCATTTGTTACAGATGTTGAACACCAACTGCCAAACTCCGAATGTCAATCAAAGAACACCATCCAGAAAAAATTTAAATCGACTAAAACAATATGTCACCACTTGTGGTGGTAACAACATACACTGTAGTAATAAAAAGCTAACTACAAAAATAATAGTGTACTCTCAAAAATTTGTTGGAAGCGATAAAAATATTCAATTTAAATATTAGGCCATAAGAAGTAGATTCTTTGTTTTGCATCCTGGCATAATCCAAATCATGCAAGGGAACAAGGAAAACAAACACAAACTCAAGATGATAGCAATATTTGCGTGTAATATTTAACTTATTTCAACCGTCAAATTCCTCCATTCAGTTCCTGACATGCACCAGTCATAAGGGAAATCCCTGGGGAATTCCCCTTCCGACATTTTGAAAATTGCTGACATATTTCTGATGTAAAAACTAAAATCTCTTCGTTCTGCTGATAAACCATACAACTGGCGATCTAACAACATAAAAAGAATTCTAAAATACTCTGGAATGTATCGAGGTAGGTCATTTAATAGTGCAATGCGTGGTTCATTCTCCGACATTGTAGAAAGACAGGCTTACCAATGATTCGCGCGTACGACCACAATCTAAAGTGGTCGTAGAATTCGATAAATCTTGACATACATTTATGCATAGGCTAAAAGTAATAGTTTACCTTCTTCTAAGGCCACTGTATCGTGGCCTTCCAGTACAGATATATTCCTGCATGAACAACTGGTCATGTCGTAATCATAAAATTTGAAATCATATGTCCGCCATTTTTCCACATCACAATTTGAATTGCGAGTTTTGGTCTTATTACCTCACCAAAAATTCCAAAACACACATAAAGTGATCAGTGTATTAGTTCACATCTTCTGGATCGCTAACTTAGAATTTACAACCAGTTACTAATGTCAGACGTTAACGACATTTCGTCCAGTTTTCGAACATCGCCATTTTTCTTGGAGCCATTTTGTTTTAATTTTAGACGAAATCCTGTTGAAATCATGTCATATCTCATCAAGGAACCGAGCTGGGTCCGGTTTGATTAATGATTTATTTATCTGGCGATTTTTAAAATATTCAATTAATTTATGACACCCCGGCCAGCTTTTTTCAAATAGAGTTCACGTATTCCAGATGAAATCCCCTCTAGCCAAGTATTGGCTAGAGTTACTCGAGTCTCTAGCCAATACTTGTTGGCTAGAGGGGATTCATCTGGAATACTGTGAACTCTATTTGAAAAAAGCTGCCGGGGTGTCATAAATTTATTGAATATTTTAAAAATCGCCAGATAAATAAATCATTAATCAAACCGGACCCAGCTCGGCTCTTTGATGAGATATGACATGATTTCATCAGGATTTCGTCTAAAATTAAAACAAAATGGCTCCAAGAAAAATGGCGATGTTCAAAAACTGGACGAAATGTCGTTACGTCTGACATTAGTAACTGGCTGTAAATTCTAAGTTAGCGATCCAGAAGATGTGAACTAATACACTGATCACTTTGTGTGTGTTTTGGAATTTTTGGTGAGGTAATAAGACCAAAACTCGCAATTCAAATTGTGATGTGGAAAAATGGCGGACATATGATTTCAAATTTTATGATTACGACATGACCAGTTGTTCATGCAGGAATATATCTATACTGGAAGGCCACGATACAGTGGCCTTAGAAGAAGGTAAGGCTAGAGACTCGAGTAAATAATAGTAAGCAGTGAGCATTTTTCTTTGGATGCATATAATGTTAGATCTATGACTCTGTAGATACTGTTGTTTTTTTTCAAAAATGCTCTCTGAGTGTTTATTACTATATTTGCATATAGCCATCTTTAGATATCTCTCAGGAGATAGCTTTGTGCAAACTAAGTAAAATGTTTAAAGCAAAACAAAAATTTGAAGGTTCAACTTTCAACTGAACTTGAAAAAGTTAAAAACATCTACTGATCTAGCCTGCAGATCTAAAAGTTACTTGTCATTCAAAAGAAAGTAAATACAGTATAACTTTGCATACTTATACAATTATCTATCAACTTCTCAGAAACAGAAATTGCATATTCAAAACACCTACTTTTTCCTGATTTTACTGACACAACATGCCACTTGCACTTCCTTGTTTTAGTTCAAGAGGTCACCGCTAGGTACACTGAACGAAAGGCAGATAAAACCAGGAATTTAAGATAAAACTGCGTATCTGCCATCTATATATTATGTGTTAAGTTAGTTTTTATATTGATATGGTGTTTATGGACAATTATATAGTACAAAGTGTTCGATTATCAGAATACCTGACCTAACTAATCTGGGGGTCATTAACAGAACTTTCGCAAAGTTACCAATTCGTAATTCGTAACTTTATGAAATTCGTAAATATTTAAAAAGTTACGAATGATTTACGAATTCATAAAGTTACGAATCGGCCATTAACAGAACACTTTCGTAAGTCATTCATAAGTTTTATCGTTCGTAAACGAATTTCAAATTGTGACGTCATCTTATATCATTATTTAGCACAAATAAAAATATGATGTCATTTGATATCATTGCGCGCTGTGATCAAACCTGTCTCCGCGATTTCAAAGATTCCCAGCTCAGGAACATATTTGCTTATCATGTAAGAATAGGTAGATATTTTAGCTTGAAACTCAGCATGCATATAGAGAACAATTTCTTTTTGCCAACCTGTATACCTTACATAAGAATTGGATGAGAAATGTGCCATTCGCAAAGTTATGAAAGGGTCTGAGGTGCTATTAAAGTTACGAATGAAAGCGTACGTGACGTCATTTTTTCGTAACTTTGCGAATCGTTCGTAACTTTACGAAAGTTCTGTTAATGCACATTTACCAAATTCGTAAAATTAACAATTGACTTGCGAATTCGTAACTTTACGAAAGTTCTGTTAATGACCCCCTGAACACCTCCCAATTAGAAACTTTTTACATTCTTTTTTTTCCTACCATTGACTCCCATGTTAAAATCCTTGAAATGTGAACGTCTCCCAATTTGAACAGTGAACAGTCATATTTGAAAAATTAACCTGTCTACACGAATCAGAACACTTATAAAATATGTTTAATACATAATCACTAAAATATTTGATAGTTAAACACTGATTTTTCATGATATCAATACTTTTGGAAAAAACCTTGTATGGTCTTAACCCAGGCACCGGGTCTCAAATCTCAATCATACTTGGGCTTTCAAGCATGACTAAATTAATTTGAATCAAATTTTCAAATTACTGGAATGCTATAAAGCTATGTGATCAAAGGAAGGAACAATAAATATTTATTGAGAATGTATTCACATTTTTTCAAAATTCAGAATCTCGCAAATGCAAAAACCTTGAAATGTGAACACCTCCTAATGTGAATGCTTTTGGTCTGTCCCAATGTTATTCAGATTAGACAGGTTTTACTGAGCAGAGCACAACCCCATTCAGCTAGAAATATGTTTTTGAAAATTATTTATCAACTTATTTGGTCCATTATATTTTATTGTTTTTCAAAATAACTCTGTCTGCCATGTTATCTGACACAAATTATCCACAGAAAGATGTCAGCAGTGATCTGACATTTATATCTTCTCTTTTATTTCTTATCAGGAAAGTAATAAGGTAAAAAATAGACACTATATACAAGGGGGTGACAATATGTTTTAGCCGTGCAAGCAAAACATGCTATCTCATCATGACAAAATACATAATTTCCTCAATAAATATGTAATTTGTATTATTAATTCATAATTCCATCTATTTACATCCATAATATACAAGTCCTCCATATACTACATTATTTACAATATTTGAGTCAAACATGTTTAAGTGAAACTTCCCCCTCACTTATAAGTGAAGGAAGTGCCAGTTTAGGGTCCCTTTGTTTAATTAGAATGTTTCAATTGCACTGTTTATTTTTCCTCCTATCAATCTGAATGGAACTGCTTGCTCTGTGAGTACTGGGGCCTCCTCAACTGATTAGTAGAGCTGGAATAGTAGCCGCCACTCTGGAACAGAAACAGAAATATTCAACATAGGTATACAATTAAAGATAAACCTGTCTAATCCAAACGGCACATGGACTGACCAAAAGTGTTCAGACTAGCAAATGTTCACATTTCAAGGTATGTAAGCCTATGGTAGATTAAAAATGGGACTGAAAAACACATTCACATTGAGAGTTGTTCAGATAAGAGAGGTGTTAAGATACACAGGTTTCACTGTATATGATACATGTACAGTAAAACTTGCAAACCTAAGCTTCTGTAAGTTATACAATGAGCACTTGTGTATGTTGAACACTTCCTTAAGGTGAACACCTCTGTGCAGTCAGCAGTCAAAAACCTCTGTCTATTGTCCTTGAATTAATTGTACATCAACACCTACATTCATAATAGGATTGTTATGGCTTAACTACTCTTGCTTCAAGCCCTTGTTCTACCATACACACATCACATCTACTTTAAGCAATGGACATGGGCTGTGGAGTCCTAGAGTACTTGATGCAGGACTAGGTTTGAACACTCAAACATAAGAGTGTTCTTGCAAGAGATAGAGATCTCTATATTATGATAGAGATCAGACTTGCCAACCTAAAAAAAAAAGATTTAAAAAAAAATTTCGGGAGATTTAAAAAAAATTGCTGAGCTTTTTTCAGAACCCGGTAGTTTTTTGAAAAAAAGCGGCAGTTTTTACGGGAGATTTTTGAAAAAAAACGGAAGTTTTTACGGGAGATTTAAAAAAAAACGGGAGTTTTTGCGGTAAATTTTTAAAAAATGGGAGTTTTTACGGGATATTTTGAAAAAAACTGGAGTTTTTGCGGGAGATTTTTTAAAAAAGGTATTTTTCGCGGTAAATTTTAAAAAATGTGACTTTTCTTACGGCAAATTTCAGAAAAACGGGAGTTTTTGCGGTAGATTCTGAAAAAACGGGAGTTTTTACGGTAGGTTTTGAAAAAACTGGAGTTTTTGCTGTAGATTTTTAAAAAAACTGGAGTTTTTACGGTAGATTTCTGAAAAACTGGAGTTTTTACGGTAGATTTCTGAAAAAACTGGAGTTTTTACGGTAGATTTCTGAAAAAACTGGAGTTTTTACGGTAGATTTCTGAAAAAATGGAGTTTTTGCGGTAGATTTTGAAAAAAGGGAGTTTTTACGGTAGATTTCAGAAAAAACGGGAGTTTTTACTTTAGATTTTGAAAAAACAGGAGTTTTTACGGTAGATTTCTGAAAAAACGGGAGTTCTTACAATAGGTTTCTGAAAAAACAGGTGTTTTTATGGTAGATTTTGAAAAAAACGTGAGTTTTTACGGTAGATTTCTGAAAAAACTGGAGTTTTTACGGTAGATTTTGAAAAGACTGGAGTTTTTACGGTAGATTTATGAAAAGAACAGGAGTTTTTACTTTACTTTTACAATCTGCGTGAGGTTCCATTTTAGGTTCGGTTTTTCGCACATGAGCATTAAATCCAGCGATTTAATTGGTTTAAATTATTATGACGCAAGCGCAGTTTATAAATTAATTAGAACTTATAATCTAAGATAGATGTCACTTACGTTCATTATTTCACAGCAGTCCCTACCAATAATGCGCCTTATATTGCGGGAATATTTTGTTTAGCGCCATATAAAAAAAAATGTATTCTCCCGACAGAAGTACGACAGAATATGAACTGGCCCCTGTTGGTGGACATTTGGGGTGCAAACTTATATTGAACTGATCGCAGAAAAGCAATTTGAATCATGGGAATGAAGTACTTTTAAGTTATTTATGAAAGTATCGATAATGAACCATGAGAGCCAATCCTTCTTGGAGTAAAAGAAATTAAGAAGCGTGCCTGCAATAATCAAGGTCACAAATTTGTCAAATTGCTTTTAAAAACGGTAGATTTCGACAGCAAAAAACGGAGATTTTACGGGATTTATACGGGAGATTTTACGGGAGTTATACAAGAAAATGGGAGATTTTACGGGAGTTATACCAAGAATACGGGAGATTTTACGGGAGATTTCAGCAAAATACGGGAGATTTTACGGCCATATTTTAAAAAAAATTACGGGAGATTTTAGTAGAAATAAGGTACGGGAGTTAACGAGAGTTTTTACGGGAGAAAACGGTATGGGAGTTTGGTATTTTTTACAGAAAAACAAAAAATTTACGGGAGATTCCCGTAAAAAAACGGGAGGTTGGCAAGTCTGCAGATAGTTTTTGAAGTAACTGATGAAATATTAAAATGGAGAAAAGCTTCTATATTACCCATTTAGTAAAATTGCATGAATTTGTTCGACACAATGATGTCTGTTCTCGGTGATACAATGAAGATAGATGAAAAATAAGACTATTACTTTTTATTCAGTTATTCAGCATAAAATGCAAAGGAGTGGTATCGATATGGTAAACTTTTTGAACACGCGTTTATCTAAAACCAGTCATCAAAACATTCTGAAAATTTTACACATCGTCAATTTAATGGTCATCTTTTGGATGGTAACATTATAATTTGAAATATATATATATACTTTTCTCTATATTGTTTTAGAAAACACATCAAACACTTGTTTTGTTCTTGGTATCATGTTTCCAGAGTGAAATGAAACATCTATCCGAACCTCATTGGAACAAAACGACATAAACACAACGTGTTAAGGTCTCTCAATATTGTAATTGTACAAAGGAAAGTTTGGTTGATTTTAAAAAAGTATTTGTTAATGAAATAAAAGGCTTATCTTAATTCTTATCTATTTTGGGGGGTTTTGTTTTTTGCATATTTTTGGTAAAATCAACCAAAATTTCCAATGTATATCTATAATATTGAGAGGTCTAAGAAAATGTTGTATATGCTATTTTGTTCCAACAAGGTTCGGAAAGACATTTCATTTCATTCTGAAGAATTGGTAGAAAGGAACAAAAACAATTGCACTAAAAAACAAAAATGTTAACAAAAACAATAATTTTTGCTTTAAATTGTTGCCAATCAGTCAGCATTACACAAAGGACCATGTTTTTTTACAAAATGTTTTCAATAATTGGTTTAAGAGAAAAATATTGTTGAATTCAGTTCACCATATCGATACCACTCCTTTGAGTAAAACAGCTCCAGCTTATCTTTTATACATAATCTTCAAGTTCCTGAAAATAAGTAACATGTTCACATCTAGCATATCCGCTAAAAATCCAAATATTAAAAATAAATTCTTCTAAAAACTAATAATTAAAAACATATACAATAACCATTACCTTCCAACTCCAGAACAAATACATGTAAGCACAGATACCCAAGTACACCTAATCTACATTCAGATCATTTCTTAATACATCAGTGAAAAGAAAACCTAACTAAGTAATGAAAAAACCATTTATACAATAAAATTATACCCAAAGACCCAATGTCAAAAAGATATTTGAATTATAAGGTTTGAATAATTTTGATGTCATAAAATCAACCACCACTTTTTCCATGTATCCTTCTATTATGCCAATTGGTGCCTTTATGCATCATTATGTGCCAATTGGTATCACTGGTACTCTCTGCCACTTAATTATCAATCAACCAATCAAAGAAAATTAAACCAGCATACCTTATGTAAGATGCAAAATGACATCTTACAATAGCACAGAATAATGTAATTTTGAATCCTATTCAAATTACAATTAACTGTAATAATCAAATGAAAGCATCAATTGGAATAATTTAGTCAGAGCAGAGTGAAGGTGTATAGAGGGGTTTTCTCTAGCTGTATATGTGCTTACATGGTTAATTGAAGTTGTAATAGTCCTGATTATTATGTGAGCCACTTGGGACACTGTACATATCTTCACCAACCTGTGCACTATACTGACTTGAAGATGTCAAACTTTCCCGACTTTCTCGACTATTGTTGCTGTAATGCTTTCTTTCGATCACCTGAAAATTAGTCAATAATGATTCTCAAAACTGCATCTATTTCTCCATTAGGATTATAAATAATCAAAACTTTGAAAAAAGTTCAGTATTGAGAATTAAGACCTAGAGGGTCCAACAATTAGATGTATTATATATGCATTTATAACCTGTATTGTAATGAAGACAAAATAAAATATGCGGTTAAAATTTAGTCATGTTCAGCTTGCTCACCTTATCGAAAAACTTGCTGAGCTTTACTGCATTGCCACACCCTGGTGCTAAATACTTTACTTGGTTGTTGTCCTGGAATGTTTAAATAACAGTATGAGCAAAAATAGAGCACTTACAAATATTAAGAAAATTACGTAGTTTTTATTAACAGATGTGTTGCATCAGAAATAAGTCAAATGAAACTGAGGTGTTGGACACAAAACATTTAGTTCTAATTTTCGTCTGAAATTATGAATTTGTTGTATGTTTCTGACAATTAATTTTTAGGGGTCTTACATAGGATCTTAAACAGAGCCTAATAACATTCCATATTATGTACTTGTTAAATGTAATTGTAATTTGATTATTTAATTAATAATGTATTGAAACCCTGGATATATGTATTAGATAGAGTTACCACATTACGGTTTCTGACAATATCACTGTTTGTTCAATTCAGTATCAGTAACTGTATTACAGTAGGTCTGAGTATGATAACAAATTATCTAAAAGACAATCATTTGGGAATCACTTTTGTTGTATCTAGTCACATCTCAATAAGTCATCCATTATTTCATTAACAATCTAAGTAAGTGATATTAGAAACCAGCATTATGATATAATTTAATTGATTTATTTCACAGCTCAGCAGGTGAACATAGACAAATATAAAGGAGAAGCATACACAAATATAATGAATTAGTCTCAAGAGAATGCATGGTCTGTCAAAGCAAAAATCATTGGCTTATTGCAGTCAAATTGATTTTTGTGAGAGGAGCTGCTTGCATCTATTTTGACATAAGACAAGCCTTTGAGTCGTTTCCAATTGGTATTGATACAAAATAATTGTTTAATTAAATGTAAATATTGTTACATTAACCACCTAACACAAGTCACAAATATATCACTTTTGTGTTCTAAAGGGTTTTTAATATTTTCTCATCCCATTCACTCACATGCTCATCATTCAATCATTACATATTCTTAAAGTGGAATTCTTTCTCTTTGACATGAAACAGAAAAATATGATAAGTATCAGAATGTATATAACACATCTGACTTAAAATAAATACTCGGTAAGATATGACCTTCAAAGTACAGTAGAGCAGATTGCAAATATTGTATAGTTTGAATAATCAAGGTCTATGTTGCTAGTGCTCCTAGAGCTAGAATAAGAATTCCAAGTAATTCATACTGACCTCACAACACGTTCTTTGACAACTGTAAGCATTTGGACATGATCCATAATTGGATTTGTGGCATCAAACATACACATACTTAGTAGTCATCTAAATTCATTAGTCACTTAAATTCATAAGTAACATAAACTGAAACTGTAGTCATTACAAAAGGTAACTCCACACATTTATTTTAGAGTTCATTTTTATTTAAAAGAAAAAAAGTATGAAACAACAACATAAAAGGTCTATGGATAAAATGTTACTTAATACAATCATACATACTTTATATCTCAGAAATATTTCACCAAGTCAGTCTATTTCCATACCCAAAAACATCATCTGAATTATCAAAAAGATTCTGGTCCCTTGATTTATCAGCATTCCTTTGGGTATTTAAATTATTTATGGTAAATCATGAATTTTCGATGCCATAATTTTCACCACTTTTCATCATGAAAGATGAAATGGATCCATTTTTAGGCCCAGTTTGTAATCTAATATAAATCACAAGTCTAATGCTGTAATGTCATCACTTAATTTGTGCAGTGTCTCGGAGCAAGTCATTTTAACAAAAAATTTAACGATTTTCACAAAAAAATTGAACTCAAAATATGCGTTTTTACAGACAAATTGAACCAGCACATGCATTGACAATTTCAATAATGCTTCTGCACAAATTCAATCAGACGCCTTATGATCAAATTCTAAGTTACTGCCAAAAGGCATTAATGTCCTACACTGGGAATGATAGTTTTTCAATTTGAAAATCTTGAATTCTTGAATGTAAAAGCGACCTGCTCCTAAACATTGACCAAAGTATGTGAGGACACACCATGTAAATGTAATATACAATATAGAAAGATACTATATATTTAAAAGACTACTGCTAGTCCATATGCCATTTTATGTATATCATATGTGAATATAATATCTGAATTAGCCAACAGTGTCCCAATGTAGCCATTCAAAGGGTCACTAAAATTGAACTGAGTGGGTGATTAAATAAAAATAACTTCTCAAGATAAATTCTGTGTGCCATTGCTGATAACTGACTCACTATTTCTAACAGAGCTTGACTTGGTCATATATGAGGAACCTTTGCTTGTAGATTTCATACACCTAAGTGATCTCAAAACTCTCCTAGAACACACTGAGGCTACAAAGATAAACACTCCTTGTGATGCATTAAGAATGATGAAGATATACCATAATCCATCTTGTTCTGCAAAAGGAGCGATAAAACCAAACACCCAAGTGAAACCCATCAATAAGAACAGCTTGATGTACACATCAAAATGGTTTTCATTCCTCTTGGTTTTAACACTTTTTGCATCTCTCCAGGATTTTCTTAAATTGTGTACAGTTAACGAGAACATAACAATATTAAATATGATCATTACTGCTAATGGACCAGCAAAGAACAGGAGTAGAGAATACCTATTTGTTATCATACATACTGGTACACCATAGTCGGGTCTTAGATTTGACCCCTGAACTACCCCATCTAATATTCCAGCTGTTGCAACAATTAACCCTGGGAGTAAGAATGCTACTGTGGAATAGACCACCAATCTTTTTAACCCTCTAGAGGCCACACTTAATCGTGCCCTAAATATGAGATACATGTCTAAAGCTATAATGGACATCCATGTGAAAGTGACAAGGTAGAAATAGTGAGTGAGAACCCCCATAGCTGTACAGAGGTCTGGTAGCCTAAAGGCTAAAGGTCCCAGTAGCTTGAACATACTAGCAAACCACAAAGCCAACACCATCAAGAACTGAAGCTTCCCAGGAAATGTGTGAAACACTGGAACAAAGATTTGGAGAACTAAACGAATGATCATACAAATCACTGAAATGCTCAAACACACAATGGTGACAATTCCCATTATGTTCTCAGAGGGCATAGATAATGTGTGTGCTTCTACCAAAGAATTTCTCTCAAAAAACTTTGTTGCATTTTTCCAGTCCCAACATGTTAAAGCATCCATTCCTTCTACACAAACGCTTGTGAAGTCAATATCCTTAACAAACTCTAAATCAATGTTTTCCATATGTTTGTCATATTCACTCTTTAACTTTTGAAATATCATATTATGATATTCAATTCCAGTTATATTATCTCCTGCTAGAATGTTATCTTTAAATGTGATGGATGTAGTACCATTAAGGATATTGTTATCATATACCATGGTATAACTTATATCAGATGCTGCAAATGTATCTATCCTTTTTATAAAGTCGTCCTCCATCATACCTGTAAGTTCAAAAGCATGTTGAGATGATTCAACAATTTTGAATGTTATGTTCACAATGATTGTATAGGGAGTGAACACATGGACACATGTACCATTGTTATAATCATATCCTTCTTTACAAGCACTTGAACAGTTACTGGTCGCATCACATTCAAATTCCTGGTTGACACCATTCACATTGAAACCAATTTTCAATCCTTTTTTGGGATTAATATCCATCAAAAGAGAAAATGAGAATGGTGGAAAGTATGTTTCACTTTCTGTATTGCTACATGCGCTGCAAGCACTACATTTTAAACCTGGGCCTGGCACGTTACATCTTAGACAGTATTCATTTTGGTAGGTTCTCAACATAAACATGGTACTAGAACTCTCAACAAGTTGTATAGAGCTATTATGACACCTTTCCACCAGATCCTTGTTCTTGCAATTTAAAGGACAAGAGGAAATGGAATATGTACAGATATGTCCAATATCCTTTACATGTATAAAGCATAGTTGATCTTCCACAGCAGTTTGAAGTGCTTCTACAGATGTTAAGGTTGACAAAATTGGTTCTTCTATACATGTTATATTGCTAGGCCATGGCGAGACAAGTTCTATATTGTTACAGGCAGCACAGTTTGTATTCAAGTAGGTTACCGATGTTGCTTTATCTATTACAGGTATTGCATCCAACCAATTTCTGTCAAGATCCACACATCTTGTTCCATTCAAGCATTGTACAACCATTTTGTATTGTTTCCCATTGAATGATTCACATTCCATATAAGGTTCTGTGATTAAATTGTTGAGAAGGCTGTGAGAGATGTTATATTCAATGGGACATTGGAGCTCAAAGTCTCTACAGCAGTCCTTGTGTGGCAAACATCCTGAGTCGCATGAACAGTAGGCACCTTGGACTGGTTCTAATACTGAGCCACATCGGTTATTACAGCTATATTTCCAAGGACGTACATCATGGCAATTGTACGTGATTGAATCTAGGTCAATATGTGGAAGATCACAAGCACCTGGAGGGTTAGTTGTCTCAAAAATAGGTAAAATAGTAGAATTCATCACATCACTCAAGTCATCTGAATTGTCAACATCAATATTACCATCTCCAGGGCTATATGTAGCATTTATAGCAGTATCATTTGCATCTCCAGACCTAACAGTTTTGTTTTGATACTCATTCAATAATTGTCCATTGACTGCAGTAACATACATCAAAATGTTGCACAACACAAACGCAATTATTGCTTGTATTTTCATGTTCATCCTCACTTTTTATATCATTACTTTTAAAGATGATCCTTTCTTTCTATTCTTCCAATATACAGTTAAATAATTATAACTAAAGCTTACATATGTATACATACATATAGTATGTGAACTATCCTTTTCTAGTTGTTCCTTTGCAATAAGATTGAACATTGGCTTGATCTTTGACTAGAAGTCTGTGTAGTAGGTAATATTTTAATATACCTTCATGCACAATTCTAATGTAGATCTCACCTGTATATATAGCTGTTTCCATCTGCTTAAAGTGCCCGATAAACTATAAAATGCGCATGTGTCCAGGTGTTGATAAACTATAAATAGCGAAAATCCAGGGTTTGTCACCACAAGGTAAGCCAGGGCGTGTTGAGAGAACAGCTAGTGTTGATATTGAATTTACATGTAACCAGATAAGTTTCCTTATTGAAATTACATATGGTTATTAGCAATACTTTGTAGGTGCTAAATAATAAAATATTTACAGTATATATGAGAGAAATTGGCCATTTCGAAGCTGTTGAAAAGTTTGTGGCTCTCGGCTACACCGGGGAATTTACTTCCATGAGTACACACATAAATGTGGGGCTCCCCAAGAGGTACGCGACAAGGTGACCTGGCATCAAATGTGCGACTAAATGCTACTATCGAGAAGATAAAATAACGAATACGACAATAAGTTATTGCATGTGACAATTCCGAGCATTCATCTCACTGAAGTATTTTGAAGTGAAAATAAGATTTTTGTTTTGATACATGGATTCAGATGAACGTAACTTTATTCTGACAACTAATCAAAACTGAACCAAATTGATTGTACGTAACAGACAATTTATTGTTTTACAATGTTTTGATTGGCTAAACGAATGAAACCAACAAATTATGACATGTAAAATGACAATTTTGAAATGTAAAATTTAAAAGTGACAAACACAACCTCCCTATCCACTCTTTGGGAGCCCTACTAATATGTACATGCAGCAGTGGTAGTGTACAGCTTATTATCACACTACTGGGCTTTGTATTCTAAAGCCTGTTGTTTGTAATAACACTGTTCACTCAACGTATGTTTTGTGTGTGGGCAGTCAACGATAATCATTGTTTCATCCCGGTTATATGACCTCGGCAATTATAACAAAACCATACTAATGGCCTAGTCACATAGCCGGCCGATGAGGTTACGATGAGCCAGCGATGCAATTTTCACCGAACTCGGCCGAACACTGGCCGGACACCGGCCGGATATCCGTGGCGTTTGTTGCTTAAAACCGCATCGGTGGTAGCTCGGTGAAATTTTAACTTCGGAGTTAAATTTCACCGGGCTCTCACCGAGCTCCCTCATCATGTCATCGCAGCCCCATCGTAACCACATCGGAAAACACGTCGGCCGGTGCACGGCCGGTGTCCCGTGCATCTGAGACAACCAGAGGACAAGTTTTTTAACGGACAGCGGCCGAGCTCCGACCGAGCTCCGACCGATGTGGGACAGAGCATCGGCCGGTCACTGTTCAAAGCCCGTTAACAACCCGGCCGGCGATCGCACGGTGTCCTGTTACCTGCTCGGGTACCGGCCGTATTCCTTCCGATGTCCGGCCGAACTCCGGCCGGTAGTTGCTGCCACATCGGCAGAAAAAAACTACCATTTTGAGACAGACTCCGTACGGTCACCGGCCGGTGTTCGGTCGGTCGCCTGAAGATGTCCGGACGGAGTCCGTTCACATCACCGAGCTCTGCTTCCGATGAGGAGAGCTCGGTGGCACCAAAAAAATCCACCGAGCTCTACCGATGCCGGACATCGGCCGGGCTATGTGACTAGGCCATTAACGAAAAAACGCAAATAAGAGAAAGCTTTCACACACATATAAAAAATGAACTAGTCTAATCCGCCAGTATAAACTCTGTGCTATACGTAGCCGGGTCAGGCGCACACTTTAATGATTAAACAAGATACCACTTTACCATCATTTCATTTAGTCTCATAAATATGCACAAGTCTTTTATCAATCAAATCATACAGGTTACTTCGCATGAGTAAAATATATACGGACAATCAACCTCATACATGTCAGCATGGTTTTAACTCCCAAAGGTCCAAAATGCATTGCTACTCAATCAATCAGATTCTATCACCGAAGCAGAAGAGAGGTGTACATAAAGTGACATCATAGCTGCAGTAGATAGTTGAAGGGACTACATATAGAGGGTATCCAGGGTAGTAGTGTAAAAATAGAAAATGACCAATTATAAAGAAAGACATGGGGAGATAGGCCAGCCTCGTAAAGTAAGAGAAAGGGATAAACCTGGAGACATGGTATAACTGGGAAACAGATTAGAAGCAGGGAATGCTTTGATTCAGACTTTTGAAACAACAAGGGCACAATTTTGGTTTTTAAATATTTGATTATCTATTATCAGGAAAGACTTGCTTATAATGTGGCAGATTATGTTTTCAAATTCAGTATAAATATCAATCACTCTTATTTTTGATAATGCACTGAAATTCAATGAAATTCAATGAGATTTCATTGATGATACTCACCAACCATCTCTCCTTCCTTTATACCTTTCTTTGGTGGGAGATATACATGTAATATGTCTTCCATAAAGGTCCTGAGGTATATATCTTTATTGCAAAAATTGATTCAATTGATTCTGAGTGAGGTTCTTGAAATATCTGATGGGAATCACTGTCATTCAGTTTATAAAGATAATACTTCCTCTTAATCCCCTATTCTCATTTACCCCGACAACAGGATCAAAATGTTTTGCCAACTTCTTTGCTTGAGGTGTCACACCAACCAAGAGTTGACCTGAATCTTGGGTCGGAAGGCTCGGGTCTGGTCACAAATAACTACTTACCAATTTCGGGTCTGGTCAAAACACTCAGGAAAATCGTAAACTATCGTAAAATGCATAATATGCAATTATGCAGGCTTAAACAGGCCTATAATATGCTGGGTATTCACCCAGTAATTTGAGTTGCTAGAATTAAATGGCGCAATGCTTTGACAATTATTAAGTCAAATTCTCTTTTCTGTTTTCTCCTGACCCGACTCAAAATTACCCAATCCACACACTTTTTTTTGGCCTGACCCAACCCCTTTAAAAAAATATCTGACCTGTGATACCCCTATTGAATATGACACATAATAATATAATAATAATTCTAATATAATTAAAAAATCATATACACTATATTGTTGAAGTCATTTTAGGCCTCAATGTGCATAATAAGCTTGACAACAAAATGTGAATCCAATCAAGTGTATTTCTTGCGCGAAATGTACCCTGCTTTGACACTATAAATTTGTCAAAAAAGGGCTCTTCTGGGTTTGGAGAACGAAGTTCATCACTCTAATTGAACGTTACCCCTGCTTCGGACAAATTTGATTTTTTAATAATATAGATTTGAATCTCTTCTTTTGAATAGTCCTAATTTAATTTGGATGATATTTCTCGATTATACATAAAAAATTATCAGCGCAGTACACTGATGAACTTCTTTCTCCAAATCGAGACGTGTATTCTATTAAAACAGTCTACTGCACGTTATCCTAACCAAACCCGTCTGGCCCAGTAATCTACTCCCGATTCTGAATTGTCGTAGATCTAGGGCCAGACTAGGTCCAATGCAAAAAAGGGGGTATTTACTCCGGAAAAAACACACTGCTGAATCATCACTTATTATTCATTCCCTATTAGCCATCCAACCAAAACATCGGGTACCATGTAAACCCAAGTATTTATTTGAAATAAAGAGAACATAACTTACGCGTAAATGTGGTGTTTTGTTTGTTATATTGATGTTGAAATGGGCACAACATTTCGTCAATATTTCGTCAGTTCTCCGCACCGAATAAAGTCACGTGATGTGACATAACACGAGTGTGATGCGATAATTTTTAAACTTTCATGGAACAAAATACATTTCCCTGGAATCAATACATTCCAAATATTTAGATTTGTTCAGCAGATTTGTTATCAAAACGTAGATTACTTTATAAAACAGACGTATCTGTGTTGTATTTAAACTGGAAAGAAATATGGTGGACATTAATACGATTTTTCAATTTGTTGAACTGACAGAATGTAGTACTGAACGAAATAAGCAGCCGAGACTTCTCGATATTCTACGAGATCACGAACAGATTGCAGAAGAATTTTTCTTTTTGCTGCGTTTAGACGTTTCGTTCTTATTTATTAGCCGTCATCCAGCGATGGAAACCTAATATAAATACAAAGTTTGATACAAGGAACAAACACGTAAGTGATTTTTATGATGTTTATTCATTTATCAGCACGTATTATACATTGAAAAACCAGTGTGTTTTTTCCGGAGTAAATACCCCATTTTTTGCATTGGATCGAGTCTGGCCCAGATCTACGAGGTCGGGAGTAGATAACTGGGCCAGACGGGTTTGGTTAACGTTATCCCTGCTTCAGACAATTGTGATATTTTTACATCTTGTAGATTTAAAAGTCCTCTTTTGAACAATCATAATTTAATTTGGGTGATATTTCTATATTTTCCAAAAACATTATTAGCCAAGGAGACTGTTCTCAAAACCGGGACTTGTCCTTTATCTGGTAACATTTTGACTTTATGTAAAAATGAATATTGCTTCTGATTTAAAAAAGCATCATATGCTATTAATATATATTATTTATTGAAGTAATAGAAACATATTTACATAGAACACACAAGTGGTAATGATGTCCTCAAGGGGTAAATAATTCCAATAATTCCATGATATGTACTAACACAAATGCCAGGCTAATAACAATTCTTAAATTATTTTATACAAATGTAGATGTATGTGAATAAACTATCAGGATTAGCCAACAGTAGCCATTCAAAGGGTAAATAAAATGGCACCACATGGGTGCATATAAGATAAACCAGAAAACATTTGACACATACATTACATGTATTATAATAATGATAAAACAACTTCTCAAGATGAATTCTGTGTACCATTCCTGATAACTGACTCACTATTTCTAACAGAGCTTGACTTAGTCATATATGAGGAACCTTTGCTTGTAGATTTCATACACCTAAGTGATCTCAAAACTCTCCTAGAACACACTGAGGCTACAAAGATAAACACTCCTTGTGATGCATTAAGAATGATGAAGATATACCATAATCCATCTTGTTCTGCAAAAGGAGCGATAAAACCAAACACCCAAGTGAAACCCATCAATAAGAACAGCTTGATGTAAACATCAAAATGATTTTCATTCTTCTTGGTTTTAACACTTTTTGCATCTCTCCAGGATTTTCTTAAATTGTGAACAGTTAACGAGAACATAACAATATTAAATATGATCATTACTGCTAATGGACCAGCAAAGAACAAGAGTAGAGAATACCTATTTGTTATCATACATACTGGAACACCATAGTCAGGTCTTAGATTTGACCCCTGTGTTACCCCATCTAATATTCCAGCTGTTGCAACTATTAACCCTGGGAGTAAAAATGCTACTGTGGAATAGACCACCAATCTTTTTAACCCTCTAGAAGCCACACTTAATTCTGCCCTAAATACAAGATACATGTCTAAAGCTATAATAGACATCCATGTGAAAGTCACAAGGTAGAAATAGTGAGTGAGAACACCCATAGCTGTACAGAGGTCTGGTAGCCTAAAGGCTAAAGGTCCTAGTAGCTTGAACATACTAGCAAACCACAATGCCAACACCATCAAGAACTGAAGCTTCCCGGGAAATGTGTGAAACACCGGAACAAAGATTTGGAGAACTAAACGAATGATCATACAAACCACTGAAATGCTCAAACACACAATAGTGACAATTCCCATTATGGTCTCAGAGGGCATAGATAATGTGTGTGCTTCTACCAAATAATTTCTCTCAAAAAATAATGTTGCATTTTTCCAGTCCCAACATGTTAAAGCATCCATTCCTTCTACACAAACACTTCTGAAGTCAATATCCTTAACAAACTCTAAATCAATGTTTTCCATATGTTTGTCATATTCACTCTTTAACTTTTGAAATATCATATTATGATATTCAATTCCAGTTATATTATCCCCTGTTAGAATGTTATCTTTAAATGTGATGGATGTAGTACCATTAAGGATATTGTTATCATATACCATGGTATAACTTATATCAGATGCTGCAAATTTATCTATCCTTTTTATGAAGTTGTCCTCCATCATACCTGTAAGTTCAAAAGCATGTTGAGATGATTCAACAATTTTGAATGTTATGTTCACAATGATTGTATGGGGAGTGAACACATGGACACATGTATCATTGTTATAATCATATCCTTCTTTACAAGCACTTGAACAGTTACTGGTCGCATCACATTCAAATTCCTGGTTGACACCATTCACATTGAAACCAATTTTCAATCCTTTTTTAGGATTAATGTCCATCAAAAGAGAAAATGAAAAAGGTGGAAAGATTCCCTGATTAACAACCGTTTGGCATACACTACACATGCTGCAACTTATACCAGGGTCAGGTATATTACATCTTAGGCAGTATTCATTCTTGTATGTACCAAACATCATATTATCATAATCAGAGCTCTCTACAAATTGTACAGAACCATTATGACATCTTTCAACTAAATTCTTGTTGGCACAATCCTCTGGACAAGTGGAAATGACTTCCCTACAAACATGTCCAATATCCTCCACATGTATGAAGCAAAAATCATTTTCTATAGCAGTTTGAATTGCTTTTAGAGATGTTAAGGTTGACAAAATTGATTCTGCATTACATATTATATTACTAGGCCATGGCGAGACAAGTTCTACATTGTTACAGGCAGCACAGTTTGTATTCAAGTAGGTTACCCATGTTGCTTTATCTATTACAGGTATTGCATCCAACCAATTTCTGTCAAGATCCACACATCTTGTTCCATTCAAGCATTGTACAACCATTTTGTATTGTTTCCCATTGAATGATTCACATTCCATATAAGGTTCTGTGATTAAATTGTTGAGAAGGCTGTGAGAGATGTTATATTCAACAGGACATTGGAGCTGAAAGTCTCTACAGCAGTCCTTGTGTACCAAACATCCTGGGTCGCATGAACAGTAGGCACCTTGGACTGGCTCTAATATTGAGCCACATCGGTTATTACAGCTATATTGCTCAGGACGTACATTGTGGCAGTCATAAGTGATAGAATCCAGTTCAATATTTGGATGATCGCAAGCCCCAACAAAACCCATTGTAGGTGGTTCTAAATCTGCTGTAGTTATATCTACGTCTATTTGAAGACTATCTTGTACAGGCCTATCTGTGGTATTTACAGCTGTATCATTGACATGTCCCAATTCAACAGTTCTGTTTGGATTCTCTAGGAAAGACTGTCCATTTATTGTTGTGTTACTCCCCACAATGTTGAAGAATATAATTACAATTGTTGTTATCACTTTTATGTTTTCCATTTTGAATGGTTTCATCTAGGATTTTATAGCAGTTTCATGTTCATTTTTAGTTGATGTTCTGAACACACTTCTATTTTAAATCCTCCTTGCTTTTCTTCGAGCTTCTAGCCTGGTTTACGTTTGAATCAATATAACTAAAGGTATTTATGTGAGTGAACTTCATTTATTCCTTTGAATAGAGAATGACTATGGCCTTTGCAGTGTGCTATTTAACTGTGGCATTGCTTCATTCTATATGCAGCACAAGAGTATTTCTATGCAAAGTATGTTCCAACCGATATCATCAATGTTTTCCATCTGTGTCTTTTAGCAAATGTCTATGACTGTATAATTCCCAGTAAACTATGCAATACCTTATTATGTTTTCACGTACATAGTGTTTGATATTTGTGTCTGTGATCATTGCCTTTGATAACTTACATGTACTTGTTTCCAGGTATGTACTTTTTCAATATTATATCAGTCAAATAAGCAAATAAGCTAATCAGTTCTATCAGATAAAGAATAAGCTAATAATGCATGTATATGTACATTGTATATAAATATTGCAACCAGTTAAATGTTACACTGTTTCTTCCTCAATTTGGTGGCAAAATACATAATAAGTACCTACATAAACAGATTAAAATACATTTCAACTTATACTATGCCAAAACTTAAGCTTGGTAAATGCTCCTGACCTTCAGCAATAAAAACTTATAATACCTAATCTAAACTTAAGAGTTGAGAAGCTAATAATTTCAGTTAAAATAGATTTAAATTATAGAGTTGCCAATTGATTCTGCAGCTCACGCAAAGGTCATGAACTTTTAATTATGTCTAGATCATCTAATCTATGACGTAACATCTATTAATTAACACATTATAATATTATAGTTCCATTGTAGTTTAATGTTTTATTTTAGTTAGGTACAATAAACTATTTGACCAACCACAAGTAGTTTTTGCGTCTATTTTTCTAATTTGGCATTATTAGGAATTTAAGTTATGGATTTATCTATGCATATTACATTCAAATTTATTTTAACATGGATAAACAAGTTCACTGTATGCACAAATATTAAGTGCACATACCAAAGGGAAAAACACGCTCAATGTCAAAACTATGGTTTAACACATGAGATAAATATCTAACACCCCTCCCCCACCATTTGCGCCTTGATTTTTTTACTTTTTTTATATTAAAATCAATGTAACATATTTATAACAGGTTGTAGTGGCTATGACCCCCATGATGGAGTATTAGGTGCCACATAATGGTATTTACAATGATTGGTTAAATATTATGAGAAGTGTACATGAAATTAATGTTGACTGCCCCAGTTTTATACACATCACTTAGAGTACAATCTAGTTATAACGCCACCTATCTAGAGTGTCTATACATGTGTGACATCTTTTAAAATCAATATCAAAAGTTACTACAAAAATATTTTATTCCGACTACACTTATTTTGAAATTATAGCTCTAATGTTGTCCTTACAGCAGGCGCATAGTAAGGTGTAAAAGCACCAGGCAAATAAATAGTAAGGAAATATGGCAAATTTTAAACTGCTAAAACTCCAGTTTTTACAGTAACAATAGTTTTCCAATGATGTTCTTAAAATGCTCAACAGTACATTTTATATCACAATGAAAAATAATGCATTGCACCGAATCCCTTTAAAAGGATAGGTATCGATATAGTGAACTGAATTTAGCAATGTTTTTCTCCAAAACCAATTATCATTTGTAAAAAAACATGGTCCTTTATGTAATGCTGACTGATTGACAACAATTTAATGCGAAAATTATTTATATATTTTTATATAACTGTTTTTGTTAACATTTTTTTGTTTTTAGTGCAATTGTTTTTTGTTCCTTTCTACCAATTCTTGAGAATGAAATAAAATATCTTTCTGGACCTTGTTGGAACAAAATAGCATATACAACATTTTCTTAGACTTCTCAACATTAAAGGAAATTTTGGTTGATTTAACAAAAAGTATTCAAATTAAAACAAAATCCCCAAAATAGATAAAAATTAAGATAAATCTCTTATTTCATTAAAGGCCCCATGTAAAGTTTAAACCACTTTGGCTTATATTGTAGTCTTACCCAATGTTATCAAAGTGTGATATGTGAAACTTTTTTTTTTAATTTCAAAAAGTGGTTTTTGATAGACTTTTTGTTCCAAAATTTGTGAATTTATTTAAAACCAACTTTTAGAGGTCACTAATATCTTCTATTTAGCCACAATTCATACCAATGCATAGCATACATCCTCCCATGTTTTTTGCCGAAAAAATTAAGAAAATCGGTTGATAAACAAGCGAGAAATGAACTTATCAGTGCATGAAAATGGTTCTGAGAAAAATGCATTTCAAAATTTTAGTTCTCATAGAAACCAATGGTACAATGATATCTAAAACATAATTTATTCTTCCTTTTAACCTGGTTAGACAATCAACATTGGTTTTTTATGAAAGTCTATCATATTTAGAAAAGATTGACATAGAAAAAAAAAATTCAATTTTTTTCAAAAAGTTTTTGTTACCTTAGTGACATCACTAATGTTTCAAAATATTTTTGATAAGCTAAAACATTGAAGTGGCCCATTAAATATGACATTTTATTATTGAAATAGTGTGTCTTTTGTTCAATCTTTGCATTGGTGTTAAAAATATAATCTTTTTTGAAATGCATTAAGAAATATTTGATGATTAAGAAATTTCAACTTTTTTGAAAAATGGCGGGAAATTTGAATATTTGAGAAATAAAATGCTCACAACTTATAGTAAATAGTAAATGAATGATAAAAAAATATTTTCAAACTTTAGACGGGGACTTTAACAAGATACTTTTTTTAAATCAACCAAACTTTCCTTTGTACAATTATAATATTGAGAGACTAAACACGTTGTGTTTATGTCATTTTGTTCCACTGAGGTTCGGATAGATGTTTCATTTCATTCCGGACATATCAGGGGCGGATCTGGGAACCAACAAGGGGGGGGGCCCAAATTTTAGGTCAGAGAAAAACGCGGCGCTTGCACGGAAAAAAATTTTGGGCCCCTAAAAGGCAAAAGTGGGCCCAAATTTGGAAATTTTGAGGCCCATTTTCTTCAACATTTGGCCTGAATTTAAAAAATAAGGCCTTAAAAGGCCCAGTAATGACCAAAAAGGCCGACTTTTTGGAGCCCTAAGGCCTTTTTTGGCCCAAAAATCTTTTTTGGGCCCAATTTTTTTTTCTGGGCCCACCCAAGACCCCCCCCCATCATCGCGAATTAAGGGCACCAAGTTCAATTTTAAAGAGTCTTACCAAATTAATCTCATCAGCCCCACATTCTTCAGCAATACTAGAGGATCTTGAGACAGAACGATCCCTTAGGTTCTCTACCATATCTGCCTTGGTGCCAATCACAAGTATAGGGACCTGGTTACCTGCAAACTGTTCTGGGTCAAAATCGTAGCTGCAAACAAGAAAGAAATGGTTAGCCTAATACATAGACATTTCATGCTGTACAAATCAAACTAGTATTTTATATTTTATATGTAAGAAAACTAATTGGTCTACTTTCTCCATCCTTATCAACTTTATTCCTATTTGGGGGGGTATCTTGTACTTACCCATTGTTATCTTTGTTATCTTTGTTGAGAACTTCAGAGAGCCATTTGTTGAGATTTTGATGAGACTTTCTGTTTGTAAGATCATGCACCAGTATTATACCTGGAAATGTATCAAGTAGTTACAATGTAAGGGATGCATTATGCTTACATCAATGACTGAGTTAGTCTGTGTTTGTTAGATGTATCTGTTCTGTGGAGTGCATTTCTGTACCATTAAGCTTACTTTTTTAGACAGCCAACCTCCAAATCTTTCATGTACACAGTGCTTATACCAAGTTTTGTTTAAAGTAGGTCATCCCTAGAATTTAGTGATTTCAAGTTGAAAAATCCAAATGAGAGCAAGGATTGGTTCCCAGAATGCAACATAGATACTTTGTCCCATATATGGTATGGTGACCTTTAACCTTATTTACATGTGACATTCTGGGAGTCAATCCTCCTTGAATGAGATACATAGATACAATAGAAACTGCTATATGGAACACCTCACAAGGGAAACAATTTTTTAAAGCCATGTGGCCCATTGATTCCATTCCAAAAAAACATTTAAAATACACCCTTACTGAAATCCTGAGAACAGTGATTGATTAAGCCTAGTAGAAATATGTTACTTACTGAGCATATCTAAAATCAATCAGAGTTCTTTAATAGGACATTTCACTTGGTTTTCAAAGCTTTTGGTCATCTCTAAGAGTAAACTTTCAAGATGATGTATGTTTCAAGACAGTTCACTTTCAAGATGAAATACATGGCAGGATAGTACACTTTCAATATGAGAGTACAGATGAGAGTACACTTACCATGTACAGGATTATAGAAGATGAAGCGACTATTACTGTGACTGGACGATCCTCCTATATCCCATAGTTCTATGAAGAATGTCTTCTCTGCTGGGGTCCCCGCCTTATAGTCATGTAGCTAGAAACAAGAGAAATATAACATCAATCCTTGATTCAACATATCCAAAGAACATATTTTATTATTGGAGAGAGATAATCATTATGTTGAGATGTATTCATTGGCAGAGTAAGATAGATACCTTTAGAAGATTTACTAAGAAAAGTGTCCGAAATCATATGAATGACTTAAATAATTTAATACAAATCAAAATTATAGGGTCTGCTCTACGTTACCTTGACATCAACAGAGCCCCCTATAGTCCATGACGGGTTACCAATGGGTTCATTGTTTACCATTAGATGTACAAGGGAGGTTTTGCCAACACCTGAAAGAATTCAATTAAAGAATTATACTGAATCCTCAATATTTTACTGATATTGCTAAATTGTATAAGGGTCATGACTACAAACTGAATAAATGTTATATAAATGTTTAAATAAATTGGGTCATCATCTCAATTTGGAGCTTGAAATATGAACTTTTAAATTCGGTAATTACATTGTCAGGTTAGTAGATAAAATAATGATTTGATTGGATAATTGAGGTGATGGTTGCCAGAGAATGAGATGACGGGACTTAAAAATAAGGTGACAGGTGTTCAACTATGATAGGTGTTATATACCTGTATAGTTAGATCTAATCTATAATGGTCAATATAAAATTGAGACCAAGGGTAGGCCTTAGTAGAGTCTCTAGCCAAATACTTGGGTAGAAATCATCACATCTGGTCCACCGTGTACTTTGGAAAAATTTTGATTGAGATTAATATTTAATTTAGATATTATTTTGAAAATATTTGTGAGAATAGTTCATCAATTAAAAGTGAAGCAAACTCTTTCCTATGTGGGATTGCATAATTTCATCTAAAATTAAAATCAATGTGTCTGCCATATTTAAAAATGGTGAAATCTAAAGATGGCAGTTTGGTCTTCAATGGTAAAATGGAGAAAACTTTTGGTGAAACTGTCAATCAACAATGATTTTAACATAATTGTCTTCTCGAACAGCAAGCAACTAAAAGAACGATTGAGAATTACACAAATACTAAAGCTGCTGGACACCTGCCACAAGGCCAGAATTAGTTCAACAAGTTAAACCTAGTCTGGGCCTTATTTCTTATCTGACATACATGTGACACAATATCTTGTGGCCCGCCCTAGGTTTAACATCCCTGCCTATTCGGCCCTTGATGCAAAAATTTAATGGTGGCCTATGGCAGCGCATGAAATTCCATGCGCATTCTATTAATAACTGATAGTGAGAATTCGCAACCAATGAAAGCATAGCACAGAAGTTAAACCGAATCACGGCAACAAGAACATTCAGATTAATAAATAAAAGCAGTGGTATTGGGTTTAACTTGTTGAACTAGGCCAGAATAACCTTGGAAGAATGTAAGATACATGTAGGCCTACGCTTCGTATGAATGTGAGATAACCCACACAACACATTCGGTATTTCCAAGATAATTTCGAATGGCAGTTTCTGTCGGAATGGAAAAATTTCAAGTTATCATTCTTATTGAACGGGTAAAAAACTGAAACTCATTAAAATTGTCATGGCCTATTGACCACAGGCCCAGAAGAAGATTTAAATCCCCCCACACTCACTGTGTTACTCACTGGGCCTGCTATTGACAATTTATTGAGTGAGAAAAAACTGAAAAATCATCAAAAATTTAAGCTATGCAAATACATGAAATTGCTTCATTTACATTGGTAATTTGGGGCTCCACTATAAAGACAAACTCGTCCGATGTACATTCATTTGAATATGTTGCATTATGGCTGTAATGCTCACCTGAATCTCCAACAACTAAGATTCTAACTTTTTCGATCGTGGCCATACCGGAAGTAGCAAGTTGAGACTCGTTAGAAAAAACATGACACCAGACGAAATAATTTACGCCACACTGTTGGTGATATCGTTGCCTTTAGGACATTTAATAAAGAAAATAGATGATGCTAGAACAAAGCAGCTATACTCAAGCATAATCGGTGTGACTATGGTGGCCGTTGTCTGTAAGGAACATACGCTACACTCGATTACAACTTCCCTTGTCACCTGTTTGATCATAACAATTTCAAAAAAGTAGGTCATCTATGTTTACATCTGAACTTGTAAAAAGCATTGTATGATCTAAACCATAGATCCTGGCCGTACCGTTTGTAGAAGTGTCAAATATTCAATAATATTCCTCAAGATGAGACAACGAGAAAGATTTTAATTTTAGAATGACAATTGTGCAGCCAATTCAGATTTAGAAATACATGTACAGAGCTGTCAAGTGTCCCGCGAATGGCGGGATTATCCCGCGAATTTGATCAAAATTAGACTAAATCGCGTGTCCCGCAATGTCCCGCGAAGTCCCGCAAATGTGGCTTTAACCTCCGCGAATTTCCGAAATTGTTGCAATCCCCTATATTGTGATTATCTTATCTTATATAAGAAGCTAAGTTTTTGCACTTTTGAGTAAAGTTTACCTTGTTGTAAGTACCTAGCATGCTGTTGTTTGGTATCAAAATAAAGAGGAAGGGTTCAACTTTCATTTTAATTACGAAAATAGGGATGTAGGTCACAAACAGTTCCAACGTTGGCCTTTTTACTAGCCGTGTGGCCTTCATCTCAGAACTGAGCAAATGTTAGCAAACGCGAGTTACAATAAATGGACGCTGATATGTAGAAAGGGTTTGTAGAAAAAACTGGGTACCGGGTTGTAAATCCTACATGCTGGGTTCAAACTTGGTACCCGGTCAAAAAAACGGGTACCCAAAAAACGAAAAATACGAATATATAACATAATTAGATTATGAGAAAACGTGTAAGATTTGTTTTGAATTCACAAAAATGTATGTAACATCCTTCAAAATTGAGCTAGAAGCTTCAAATAAAAAGCATAGTTTAAGGCTCTTTTCTTCCTCTATCGTCATGGCAATATTTTCATTGGTTATGATGATAAAGGAAGAAAAGAGCCTTAAAATGCTTTTCATTTGAAGCTTCTAGCGCAATTTTGAAGGAAGTTACATACATTTTTGTAAATTCAAAACAAATCTTACACGTTTTCTAATGATCTAATTATGTTGTATATTCGTATATTTCGTTTTTTGGGTACCCAGTTTTTTCGACCGGGTACCAAGTTTGAACCCAGCATGGAGGATTTACTACCCGGTACCCGGTTTTTTCTACAAACCCTATCTAGAAAAGTAACCTCATTCCCTATAATTTGATGTAGATTAATCGAACCCCTATATCATGGGCTTTCAATTGAAAGCCCATGCCTACAGTATATGAATAGGTACATTTTAATATATAACATTATGGGGGTAAGCGTTTCATAGTTGGTCACGACGCCAGAAGTGCAAAGTATTGTTCCGAATTTTTGAATTTCGTGTTAGATTACAGTACTCACACCTGAAGCATGGTTTTTGTTTTTGATAAATTACAATAAAGTTTAATAATATTCCTATGCGTATTTTGTGAAATTGTGTTGACGTTTATTTAAGTTATAATGCAACGGTGCATTATATTTGATTAATCAGTATCTGGAAGTTTGATTTGAGTACTTTAACATGCTTTTACATTAGTCCCAATCACGCAAATCCCTTGAATGTCCCGGGACATCCTGCAAATTTAGGTGGATATCCCGCGAAATCCCGCAAATTTAGGGCACGTTGTCTAAAACATCTGTCCCTCTATGAAGTTTTTGGTGGTAAACCTGTTAACTGTCCCGCAATTAGAGTGTTTGTCCCTCGAATGGTCCCGCGAAATCCCGCGAATTTGATAAAAAAGAATTGGCCTATTAGCGCAATCACGCAAATGCCTTAAATGTCCCGCGAATTTAGTACATGTCCCGCAAAATCCCGCGAATTTTGGGCACTGGGTCTAAAAAATCTGTCCCGCGAGAAAATCTTTAGGGGTTGACAGTACTGCATGTATCATGGGCATTCAAGAGATACACAAATCCAACATGTACCTCATTCAAAGCGTCTTGTCTATTTACTATAATGGTATACAAGCAATCCTGCATCGATGAAATGCCTCAGAAGTAAATGAGACATATCATACTTCATTCAAAGCGTTCATACAAGGATACAAGCAGCCCTGTGCTGATAAGAGTCCAAAATAGTGATTTTTTATCGGGAAGGTGTCCATCCAAATCATAGGGTGTTTCCTTTCACTTCGTGATTCCGGAAATGTGACCTCAGCTTAGAAGTAGCACAACTCATTTTGATAAATGGACCAGTAATGTTCTGCAAAACCAGAAGGGGGGAGGGTGTGGCATATGACTGTCATTCAGCCAGAGTATTGAAGCCAATAACCATGTAAACAACTTATTAATGTAAATTTATATATTTTAGGTATTGCCACATTGCAACATTTGTCTGGTGCTTTGGCTACCTGGTATTCTTTCGAACTACACATTACTGTGGATTACCCAAAGTTAATGGACCAAGCAATGCAGTTCAGCTGTTATTAACTCTGAAGGTACAGTACATGTATGTTGTACAGGGTGGTAAAAATGGCAACCCTTGTTTTTCCTTCTTGTATAGTATTCAATGTATTGTAATTTTGTTTTGATTCTCAGGAAGTTATGAGGGGCTTTAAGTGTACTTGGGGGTAACCAAACCTATCTGGCCCAGTTATCTACTCCTGACGTCGTAGATCTGGGCCAGACGAGGTCCAATGCAAAAAAAGGGGATTTACTCCGGAAAAAACATGTCGCTGAATCATCACTTATTATTCATTCCCTATTAGCCATCCAACCAAAACATCGGGCTCCATGTAAACCCAAGTATTTATTTGAAATAAAGAGTATATAACTTACACGTAAATGTGGTGTGTTGTTTGTTATGTTGATGTTGAAATGGGCACAAGATTTCGTCAATATTTTCGTCAGTTCTCCGCACCGAATAAAGTCACGTGATGTGACGTAACATAAGTGTGACGCAATGATTTTTTAACTTTCATGGAACGAAAATACATTTCCCGGGAACCAATACATCCCAAATATTTCAGCAGATTTATTATCAAAATGTAGATTACTTTGCTGTGTTGTATTTAGACTTGAAATAAATATGGTGGACATTAAATACGATTTTTCAATTTGTTGAACTGACCTAATGTAGTACTGAACGAAATATGCAGCCGAGACTTCTCAATATTCTACGAGATCACGAACAGATTGCAGAAGAATTTTTCTTTTTGCTGCGTTTAATCGTTTCTTTCTTATTTATTAGCCGTCATCCAGCGATGGAAACCTAATATAAATACAAAGTTTGATACAAGGAACAAACACGTGAGTGTTTTTTATGATGTTTATTTATTTATTAGCACGTATTGTACATTGAAAAACCAGTGTGTTTTTCGGAGTAAATCCCCCCTTTTTGCATTGGATCTCGTCTGGCCCAGATCTACGAGTACGGGAGTAGATAACTGGGCCAGACGAGTTTGGTTAACTTGGGGGGGGGGGGGGGTTGATAGGCAGCAACAGTGATTCAAACAAGATAGATGCCCCATATATCTGATGATACCCTAGAATGACTTTGGGATCACTTCAATGTCTATATTATTAGCAGGGCAACAGGTACTAATGAATTGGCGACCCTTATAACCTGGGTCACATACAAGACATACAAGTTACCAAAAGTATTTTGTTTGTTAATATAATCTGATTGTTGGATTCATGGTGTGAAGAATAATGGACTTTATATATCATGATTTACATGGACATGACATTTATGGCAGAACCATAGATAAAAACATGACCGGAGGGCAAAGTTGTAAATTCATAATTAATATTATCTGCATAGTTTCCCGTGACAATCTTATTTCAGTTATATTCATGGAATATTATGATTGCATATTGTAATTAAAAGAAAAGAATTTAAAAAAAAATTAAAAACTATAAAAAAATTCAAGTATGAACAAATAACATTCACATAGAACAAGTGGCGCATCTACTGTGACATAGGATTTATTGTTTGAATAATGCATATGGAGCATGCTTTTGTTTTAATAAGTGTGTGCTAAAATTAGGAAATATGGGATGTACCCTTTGGAACTGATGCAGATATAATACAAGTATGATTACATGTATGTACACATTCATTTCAAAAACTAAATAGAAGAACACAATCATTTAGTGAAGGCACAACAAACATGTATTTATCAAATATTTTCACTCTAAGACACATCAAGAAGTCCTTCAATATCTTAGCCATAATTGCCTTAATAATGACCATAGGGTGCAGAGTATGGCAAACTTGGATATTCCAAAGCGTGGATCAGTTGCACAATGCCTCTGTGTGTAAACCAAAAATGAACATAGTATTTGTGAAAATACCTAAATGTGCAAGTTCAACTGTTACTAATATCTTCCAAAGATATGGTGAGAAACATCATCTCAAGTTTCTGCTTCCTGAGAATAATTATTTTCTTGGGGGTTACCCGGAACCTTTTACAATCCTACCAGAATATCGCGGACACCAGTATAACATGATGGTGAATCATGTGATATTTAATGCAAAACCTATACAAGATCTAATGCCGAATGATACTGTATACATTGGGGTTGTGAGACATCCTGTATCACATCTTAAGTCTATTTATAATTTTTTCCATCTTTGGGAAAGTGGCCTACCTGCTTTAGATCAGTTCGAGGAAAACCCATTATTGTATTATAGAAAGGCAAATACATATTTAACAAAGATGCGAATTAGAAACTTTCAAAGTTATCATTACAAGCTTCAAACTACAGCCAAACTCAACGCAACTGAAGTTGAACGATTTGTACATATCATTGATGGACAGTTTGATTTTGTTATTGTGGCTGACCATTTAAAGGAGTCTCTGCTACTGTTAAAGGACTACCTCTGTTGGAGTATGGAGGATATACTATTTGTGTCTCATAAGGTCAGGGATTATGATCATCCAAATGGGGAGCATAACCAAGATTTAGAAATGGTGGAGAGAAATATAAGAAACTGGAGTTCTGCAGATTTTGCTCTGTTTGAACATTTTAATGAAACTTTATGGAGTAAGATTGCAAGTAAAGATTCTAATGTCTTTCAAGATGAACTAACTGAATATAGCAAGCAACTTGAAATTGTGAATAAGGCATGTTTAAAGTATGACCTTTCAGCTTTCTCTTATGGAAATGGGACATTTTCCAATGAAGATAATTCCCACAAAGATGAAGTTCTCTCAAAGAGAGAAACATTTTCTAAAAGAGATTTTTCAGACAAGAATGGAGTTAATCCAAAGAGAGATACATTCTCTGAAAGAGATACTAAAAATGACTCTGAATTCTCACAATGTGCTAAAATGTATTTGAAACCACCATTATATGTGATGCGTCTTAAGGAATTAGACTATTAACAATTATTGGATGGTGATTTTGTAAAATAAAAGTATTATTTACAACAATAAATTGATGGCTGAACCACAATTAAGTTTGTAATAGATAGATGATAGCTTCAGTGCCCCCACCTTGGCTATACACTGCCTCTCAAGCCTTTCCCCAAGTACCTCTTCCCAAAATAAATCTATAAAATAGTCTATAATACAGTGTAAAAACATATTCTTAAAGGATATTTCTCATTAAAGTGATATGTTACAAGTCCATACCCATGATGAAAGTTAATTCTTCATTCAACATCCAACATTAGTTTCAATCATTGATGCACATCTTCGAATACTTTCAGATGATAGGGCTAGCGTTTGAAGTCCATGATACAATAATACAGAGGAAGACAATAGAGGGCAAGACTAAGAATGAAGAGGAGGAGAAGAAGCTACAACTGCAACTAGAATTCCAGGGAGTTAACCCAAGTTTTATAGATATGATCTGCTATAGTTACTGCTTTATTGGATTACTCACAGGTATGTTGCAAAATGAGCACCCCCCCCCCTCTCTCATGGCCTAAATCTTTTCAAAATCATGTAGTTTTTCACCATTATGATGAGCACTTGTCAAGGGATTTTAAGCCTGGATTTTAAGCCAAAGTTGTCAAATGTGACTTTGGGTAGACAGAGATTATCTGTTGACAATTGAAATATAAAATTCAAAGTCATTTCTGACAAAGTATGCCTCCATTGCCCATTTTAGTTTGCTTTCCTTTATCAATGTAGCTAACTATTTGTGGATGGCGGTTAGTGTTTAGTGGTTGGCATCTGTAACAAATGGCAAGTTGTGACAATTTTCATGTTAATACTGGTTAAAACCTCCCGTGGTCCTCTGATCTTACTATTCATTGGAAAAGAGTCTTGCAATCAATCTAAGTTAAACCACATCAAAGGCAGACTCCATGATCCATGTTTTGTATATTGTTACATGTATATTTCAGGACCATACTACAGATACAGAACGTACCATGATATGCTTCACCAAAAGAACCCGGAGAAGGTCCCTTCCTTTGAACCATTGATGAAACGTTTGAAATTTGCTCCACTCTATGGACTTTTATTTCTAGTAACATCAGCATATTTTTCTTTAGAGGTATGTTGTTCAACAGTGCTGCCTTGAGCATACCCATATATCTGTATAAATTACTCTCTCTGTAGTGAACACCTACCGACATGCAACATTTTTTCTCATCAAAAAATCTTCAATATACACAGGTTTCACTTGTTTGGAAAAGGCATTATTAAAATGTTAAAAGTAATCAAGAGCTTTAAAGCATACAAAGTATGTCAAGTTTGTTAGGATCTTTTGTGCATTTCAGTTAATATTTGCATTGATAAAAATACATAACAAAAATAGTTCACCAAAATTGACCATTTATAAATTATCCGTGTTTTAAATATGATACAAACTGGACCTGTATACACCTCGAAGTTTAATCATGGATTTTGAATTTCAGTACATGAACACAGATGATTTCATGGAGAAGCCATTCTGGTATCGCTTGTTCTATATGGTGCCTATGTTCACAGTGTTCCGCATGCGTATGTACACAGCCTGGGTGATGTCTGAGTGTATGTGTATGGCATCAGGTCTAGGAGCATACCCCAAGGCCTCAAAACCTAAATGTGGCCTTGGGCCCTCCGATCTAGAGGCCTTAAAACAAATGTAAGTACATTATATGGAATATAGCAAGTTGGGATCATTCTTGACTTATCAAAGGTGCCATGAATTTTCATATTGCATTGATGAACTTCAGAATATTGTGGTTTTCTCTGTCATGTATTTGTTTTGTTTATATGATATGCAACCAGTATTGGTAATTTTGACATATCTCATTTTAAAAAGTGGAAACAACCCTAATATGCAAATTAATCAATCTAGCAAACAATGTTTAGATATTGTAACTGCTTTATCATATCACCATAATGAAAAAATTCTGAAATTGCTTAAAGACCTTTTTATTTGTACATTTAGCTCAGAGGAGGGAAATTGGGACTGTGAATATGACTATGAGACTATACATAACATCAACGAGTACGGCTGTGAACTGGCCCCAACTATTAGAGATGGGATGAGATCATGGAACATGAGTGTGCAATACTGGCTAGCTACATTTATATACAGAAGAGTACCTATTAAAGCTGTGAGGTACAGTAGAACTTTTTCTATTTATTATATTTACAGAGCTTTTGTGTAATTGAGTGAATATTGTGTATATAATACAGAATGCTTAGTTTAACCAATAGCTTGCTATGTGAAATAATGGACTCTCTCAAACCGTGAATGGAAAGAAAGAGTAATATGCCCATGGATTTTATAGCTAGGCTTCTTTACCGCATCATTTTTATTTAGAATATTTGGTGTATTGCAATGCACACATACTGTATTCTTGAATAAGTTTTCATTTTTTGGGTGTCTTGATTGAACATTCTTCTTACCTATATCATCTTCTTTTGTAATGTTTATTTTTCATACTTTCAGGACATCAATAACAATGTTAGTGAGTGCTTTCTGGCACGGGATCCATCCAGGGTACTATCTTAGTTTTCTCACCATACCCCCAAGTCTCATGGCAGAGGACATAATGAAATCAACATTCCGTTCAAAATACACCGAGAGGGGACAGAAAATATTTGACTGGTGCTTGTGGTTCTATAAACAAAGATCACTAGACTATATGTGTATGGGTTTTCTCTTACTGGGTTTCAATGAGACAATCCGATATTGGGGCTCAATTTATTTTGCTATGCATGCCGTCACAGGAATTTTGATTATTGTAGGGAATGTTTTTGCATCAACTGCTAAAGTGGAAAAGAAATCTGACTGATATTTGAAGTTAATTGGCCAGTTTTTGCTTTTTGCATCTGAAATATTTTGTTTTCTACAATTTTGTGTTCTTTTAAAGTCTGCTTTTGTCCACAAATTGTCTAGCCTACTTCATGTATCTACATGTATTAAAATATGTTTAATTGATTTTAATTCGGATATGAAACATTCATAATATTGTTCAATATATAATATAATATCATTCTATAATATCATTCATGAGAAGAAAGACAAGAAAATACAAATATTTTATAATGTAATATGCATACAGTAATAACAGAACATATGCAAAGATACTTAATCTTATTAGACCTATATGCAATATACAATTTTGTGTTCTTTTAAAGTCTGCTTTTGTCCACAAATTGTCTAGTCTACTTCATGTATCTACATGTATAATGTTTTTATGTTTAATTGATTTTAATTCGGATATGAAACATTCATAATATTGTTCAATATATAATATAATATCATTCTATAATATCATTCATGAGAAGAAAGACAAGAAAATACCAATATTTTATAATGTAATATGTATACAGTAATAACAGAACATACGCAAAGATACATGTACTTAATCTTATTAGACCTATATGCAATATACAATTTTGTGTTCTTTTAAAGTCTGCTTTTGTCCACAAATTGTCTAGTCTACTTCATGTATCTACATGTATAATGTTTTTATGTTTAATTGATTTTAATTCGGATATGAAACATTCATAATATTGTTCAATATATAATATAATATCATTCTATAATATCATTCATGAGAAGAAAGACAAGAAAATACCAATATTTTATAATGTAATATGTATACAGTAATAACAGAACATACGCAAAGATACATGTACTTAATCTTATTAGACCTATATGCAATATACAATTTTGTGTTCTTTTAAAGTCTGCTTTTGTCCACAAATTGTCTAGTCTACTTCATGTATCTACATGTATTAAAATATGTTTAATTGATTTTAATTCGGATATGAAACATTCATAATATTGTTCAATATATAATATAATATCATTCTATGATATCATTCATGATGAGAAAGACAAGAAAATACCAATATTTTATAATGTAATATGTATACAGTAATAACAGAACTATACGCAAATGATACTTAATCTTTTTAGACCTATATGCAGTATGTAACATCATGATAAAAACAGGGTGACACAAATATGCAATACTCTAACTTCTCAGATATGGTGGATTCATTTTCAATTGAATGTTTATGTATAAAACAATGATGTATTATAACTCATAAACTAATTTGACTCAATGACTGAGATCTAGAGATATTACATCTTTGGACTATGTGTGCTCTTGAATCAAGTTGTTAAACAAGCCAAAGGGTGAACAGAATCGCACCTTTGAACAGAATACACTTTTCGGGATGGAAAATTCAAAATGGCCACCTTAACATTTACCCAGACTGCCTAAAAACTAATCAGTTCTAAACTTTCCATAGAAACATCTCTAAAATGTTAGGATGAATCCATGAAACCTGTAAACAACCCTCAAGAGACGCGTTTTAAGGTATTACTTCGCAGTGTATCAGCCTTTTTTCTACAATTCAGATTTTCCTGAAAAAAATCCTGGTAAAAGATATACTGATGTATTACAAAATATGTGAAAATTGGAAAGATTGACTGTTTAGTTAATTTTAAAAAAAATGTTTTAATTTAACATTGCTCTCAATGGGAAATTCTTTTTATTTATTAAAACAAGCCTTCACAGACACGATTTTAGGACCAAAAATCCGAAATGGCCGCCTTACCATTTACCAAGAATGCCGAAAAACTAATCAGTTCTAAACTTTTATAGGTAGAAACATCCCTGAGAATTTCAAATGAATCCCTCAAACGGTTTGGCTGGAAACCTGTAGACAAGCCTTGACACACAAGATTTTTGGACGGAAAATCCAAAATGGCCGTCTTAACATTTATCCAGAATGTCGAAAAACTAATCAGTTCTAAACTTTCATAGGTAGAAACATCCCTGAGAATTTCAAATGAATCTCTCAAACGGTTTGGCTGGAAACCTGTAGACAAGCCTTGACAGACAAGATTTATGGACGGAAAATTCAAAATGGCCCGCCCACCCAACCGCCCACCCGCCCGGCAAACTGATTACAATATAGCACCTTAGGGTGCGATAAATATGAGTTTGAAACTTAACTGTCTTTTATTAGGATTAAAAATTTTATTTTTGAATAACTTGATGCAAGGGCATGCCTGGATAAAAAACATAATTTCTCTAAATCCCATCAAAGTAGCTCATGTTATATAAGTCACACGACTTTTTCTATACTAAAATCAAGAAGATCACCATACATGAGAAAATGATTCTAAAATCAGTGGGTTGCTTTTGTGTCACAAGCAAGGTAATTAGAATAAATAAATCGGGTCTTATATAATTATGCAGATGAGCTCAATCATTTTTATTGTTTATATACTTGTTCTTATATTATACTAAATTCGAACTTGACTGTATTCACACCTTCTATAAACTGTGAACAAAGTCAATATTTCACCCGGTATGTATTCGTCAACACTGCACCTGGTAATACAAGTAATGTGTCACATCATATCTGCAGCTGCGGGCTGTAGTAATGGTGGGCCATAATAGATATTCGAAAAATTTGGTGAGTTTTCATGTTCGAATCGTAATATAGACCTCAGAGCAGGTGTTATATCGACCAATACATATCTTAGGGCTAGGCACAAAAGTTTACAGAAAACGTTTGTGCTGAGGTATATATTCGTCGATATAACACCTGTTGTTCGGTCTATATTTTTTAACTATAGAATTGTGATAACTACATAGTATTATATTTACAAAGAAGCAACTACATAGTATTATATTTACAAAGAAGCAGCTTCATGTGTATGAAACTGTAAGTCAGATAAACCTGCCAAAAGTAAAGAATCTGGATTAACATAAAAATCTATAGATATATTTATCTTCAAAATACCTTAATTAAGTACTTATGCAATATTACTAATAGCACAAATTTTAAACATGGCATCCGACAGAAAATTGACAAGAATGTCTAAGGTATGAAAATGAAAATAATGACAATAGGCGTAACCTCAAACTAACTATATTTTGTGTGTACACGCATGCATTACACCATGCAATAAACATTATACTTTACTTGCTGTAACATGACAATGTATAAGGTTTATATATCTGGGTGATAGTTATGAAATACTTAATAAAGGAATATTTTATATTTTCTTAAAAAGTTTGTTTTATGAATAATTAAGTGCATCATTACATAACAGAAGGTCAATATAAAAAGCAAGTCCACACAACATAGGATGATCAATATGAGATGAACACAATGGACCACATATCCTCATTTGATGATCAATATGAGATGAACAAAAGGGACCTCATGTCAACATTTGATGATCAACATCAACACAGTGTACCAAATCCAGATTTGATTATCAATATGAGATAAATACAATGGACCGCATATCCATGCACACTTGAACATCAACATGAGAGGAGCACAATGGACCTCATATCCAAATTAGGTGACCAATATATATGAAAAGCAAGCTTTCATATTTGATGATCAATATGAGATGAACACAATGGACCACATATCCTCATTTGATGATCAATATGAGATGAACAAAAGGGACCTCATGTCAACATTTGATGATCAACATCAACACAGTGTACCAAATCCAGATTTGATTATCAATATGAGATAAATACAATGGATCACATATCCACACTTGAACATCAACATGAGAGGGGCACAATGGACCTCATATCCAAATTAGGTGACCAATATATATTCGGAAAAGCAAGCTTTCACATTTGATGATCAATATGAGATAAATACAATGGACTGCATATCCACATTGAGTGACTCATATGAGCTGAAACATTGCATCCCATATACAGGGTGTCTCAAAAGATTTACCCAAAAGGATATCAGCAACACATCTAAACCAATAAATATTTTCAAACATTTGCATGGTCTTTTAGTTTTCTCAGATGGCTATCAGAACTCAATCATAAATGATAGCCCTCCCCGTACAGGTAATCAGTTTACCAATAAATTTGATCATCGTGAGATTAATTAGCCAATTAGACATTAATGGTTGCCTCATAGAATTACCAGGAAAATCTCCATCAAAAAGCATGATGGAGTGGAGTACATATCGGATTTAGTTAATAAAACATTAAGCTATCGATTGTGCTTTCCCATTGCATTATTTTTGTGATTCAGTATTTGAACGAACTAACCAGTTTTAGGTATATTAGTCTCAACTAGGACCATATAAGGCTTAAGGTAATGGTTTTCTATTATTTAAGAACCCAAATATATCAATATGAATTATAAAATCAATATTACTTTACACTAGTTTCTATTTGTTCATTCTTGGTGTTGATAATGAAAACACTCGGACTTACTGAAATAGTTGTGATCTGCAGACTGAAAAAGAATGGCGACTGAAAAAATATATGAAAACATTTTTCCTATTGTTTTATGTAAAAGTTGAATGTTACTTATCAAATCAATTAGGAATTGTGATTAATTTTTCCATGTACTCACAATATATCTTTTGTAGCTAAGAAACAACATAATGTACAGTATGTAGATGGCCAAATATCTGAAAAGACCAGGTATGGTACGGCGAATGATTTTTGAAAGTCAAATTTTGAAGTATTTGATCCCCATAAAATCAACACGTCTCATCAAAATAATTTGTTCCCAGGATAATCAAATTATCAATTCTTCTCTCGGATAAACCATAGATTAGTACTGGGACTAGGACCAAAATATGTGATTTAATCTCATGAAAAGTTTCTTCTGTGCCATGTGTACTATGTCAGTAATTTCTGCAAGGGTATTGAAATGCGAAGAAAAATTAAAACGACATATCCACTGTTATTCCCCTAGAAAAAGTCATGCAGTCCATTGTTTTCAGCCTGATTTTGGTCACCAAAATTGAATATCTTGCTAATCAGGCATTCAATGCCATTCTACCTCTAATGATCCTTGTATAATCTAATTATGCAATAAAATGAGAAAAATATCGTTTTTACAAAATAAGTCAGATATTTTTTAAAATGCGTTGAGGTAGGTCCTAAATGAACCTACCTATGGTTTTCTTAAAGTCCCCGTCTAAAGTTTGAAAATATTTTTTTATCATTCATTTACTATTTGTCAGGACTTAAAAAGTGATTTTAGAGATTTTTGAACAAAAAAAATTTTTTGAAAAAAAAGTTGTGAGCATTTCATTTCTCAAATATTGAAATTTCTTAATCATCAATTATTTCTTAATGCATTTCAAAAAAGATTATCTTTTTAACACCAATGCAAAGGTTGAACAAAGGACACACTATTTCAATAGTAGAATGCCATATTTAATGGGCCACTTCAATGTTTTAGCATATCAAAAATATTTTGAAACATTAGTGATGTCACTAAGGTACCAAAAACTTTTTGAAAAAAATTGAAATTTTTTTTTCGATGTCAATCTTTTCTAAATATGTTAGACTTTCATAAAAAACCAATGTTGATTGTCTAACCAGGTTAAAAGGAAGAATAAATTATGTTTAAGATATCATTGTACCATTGGTTTCTATGAGAACTAAAACTTTGAAATGCATTTTTCTCAAAACCATTTTCATGCACTGATAAGTTCATTTCTCGCTTATTTATGAACCGATTTTCTTAATTTTTTCGGCAAAAAACACGGGAGGATGAATGCTATGCATTGGTATGAATTGTGGCTAATTAGGAGATATGAGTGACCTTTAAAAGTTGGTTTTAAATAAATTCACAAATTTTGGAACAAAAAGTCTATCAAAAACCACTTTTTGAAATTTAAAAAAAAAGTTTCACATATCACACTTTCATAACATTGGGTAAGACTACAATATAAGCCAAAGTGGTTTAAACTTTATATGGGGCCTTTAAGAGAAGAATAAATAATTTGATTATCCCGGGGACTTATCATTTTGATGAGACATGTTGAATTTATGGTGAGAAAATTCTCATTTGCCATACCCTACCTGGTCTTTGTTATTGACGAAGAAATTGTCGGAACTTTTTTCAAAGGATAGGTATCGAATTGGTGAACTGTTTTTCTCTTAAACCAATTATTGAAAACATTCTGTAAAAAACACGATCCTTTGTGTAATGTTGACTGATTGGCAACGATTTAATGCAAAGAAATATTTATAATATATTTCATGTAACTGTTTTTGTTAACACTTTTTGTTTTTAGTGCAATTGTTTTTTGTTCCTTTCTACCAATTCTTGAGAATGAAATAAATGTCTTTCCGAACCTTGTTGGAACAAAATAGCATATACAACATTTTCTTAGACCTCTCAATATTACAGTTAAACAAAAGAAATTTTGGTTGATTTTACAAAAAGTATGCAAAAACTTAAAACGACCCCCCCCCAAAAGAAATAGATAAAAATTAAGATAAGCATTTTATTTCATTAACAAGATACTTTTTTAAAATCAACCAAACTTTCCTTTGTACAATTACAATATTGAGAGACCTAAACATGTTGTGTTTATGGCATTTTGTGATACCCAAGAACAAAAGAAGTATCTGATGTGTTTTCTAAAACAATATAGAGAAAAGGATATATAGAGAATATATATATAAGAATAATCTACATAATCTACACATCAAGGAAAACTCTAAGCTTGTTATGGGCAACTCATTTAAATATGAATAGTACCTGCCACTATTTCATTCATATTTAGATGAGTTGGTTATAAAATAGTATGTTAATCCGGAAGCCACTGGCTGCTAGTTGCATTCGCGAATACAATCTAATCTACCCTTTCCGCCATCTTGAAATTGTGAGATTTACGAAAACTATAGTTACCGTTGTAGCAAGCTACTACATACTAAAAAGGGCGAATCTTGTTTGACTCATACAAAACCAATAACATAACAAAATGCGGACTTTATAGCGCGTAAATAAATCTTGTACTTCATTTCTCTATACACTGAAATACTTATGTACACAAGCAGCTTATACATAAGACTATAAGTCTAGCTCATGTGGTTCAACTGTATGTCGAGCATAGAATTCCGAAATAGCAACTGTAAATAGGAGTGTTAGCAGATATCCCAAGAGAACCAGGGATCATACCTTGCCTAAACTGATTCTAAGAAAGGTAAGTTCGCACACTAAACATTGTCATATGTGAATAGTAAGTATCATTGAGAGTATGTCACCCCTCCCTCTTGTATTCTGTGGCCTGTGTTAGTATATTATATAGAGAATATTACAGAGAGGGGGGGGGGGGTAATGGTTATCGTAGACTTCTCTTTTTGATAGTTAATTACCTTTCTTAAGGTACTGTTGTAACGAAAACGTTTTTGAAAAAATTGCCATTTCTGCACAATCATTTTCTGGTACAAAATAGTATGAAGGCATGTGTGCATTTCTTTGCTTTTTTCTTCTTTTAGTATAGAGGTCAATGGTAACTTCAGGAAATGCTGATAGTTCATCTTTTGGTAAGGAAATGCTGATATTTCATGCTTTCTAATTTTTCAAATTTTTTCTCAAAGTTTCTGGACAACATTGGAGTTACCGACCTGTTTCCAGGTAAGAAGCTTGCTAGTAACGTTATTAGAAGCTGTAGATGCACTACACCCACATACCTTGAAATTGTCGTTTGTTGTGAAGTTTCATTTTAGTATCGCCCCTGCAAATTAAATATATTTGTATTTTTGTTGGCTGCTATGCTTCATTCTCGCTCTAAGGCATTTGACAGTTTAATTCATTCGTTTAAATTCCTTTCTCCATAAACGCACGAATGTATTTCAATAAATCCATGAGTCATACAGCACAACACTAGCGAAACTTACAACACCCTACAAAGAATATCAACAGCCCATAAGATCTATCCACCATCAATATAGTTATGTTATGGATAAACTATGAGTTCTGGGTTATATGAGAAACAATGGCCGAGGGTCTTGACCTGAGGCTATTAGTTCTCATAAAACCCAGTACGAATGGTTTGTCGAACTTAAACCCCACAGTGACTCTTATGAAAGGTAAATGTCCTACGATTCAATTTTAGGAAAATTTGATTTCTTTTGTATTGACTATGAGGTAAGTGTTTTGAGAAATGAGTGGGTGTAATTAGTTCAACTTCAGTGCACTGGATGTAAAAGGCCAGGTACAGTTTAAAATTTTATTTCTTTGGTGAATAGTAAATATAGTCAAGTTACGTCCGTATCTCTCTGCACTTTTAGTTTTTCTTTGCTGGTCATGAAAATAGAAATACAAACACAGAGAGGCTTTAACACGTAAGCCTATGGGGAAAAGGTTGCCAAAGTTATAGAGAAGAGTGTACTATTATAACTCATTACGGCCATAAACAAAAATAAAAACATCTAGTTGAAGTACCGAGCTGGGTCATTTTGTTTTTGCTAACATATTATTGCAGTGTAGGAAAAACTTATTAAAGCTCGTTTTGTGCATGTATACACGCACATACGAATAAGATAAACCTAGTCATACTAATATCATGATAGATCAGTAAATAAATGCCTCATTTTGCACGTGTTTCGATTTCTTTTTCCTTGTCCACCGTTTAGACTCACGTAACTTTCTGATTCTGAACGCATCTACCTGTATTTATCCCGAGTACCTGATTAGTAGATGAGAAATAACTGACGACGAAACTACTGTACGCCTGTATTCGCGAATGCAACTTTCGGCTGTCGGCTACCGGATTAACTTACTATTTTACAGGCAACTCATTTAAATGTGAATAGTGCCTGCCACCGTTTCATTCATATTTAAATGAGTTGGTTAAAATAGTAGGTTAATCCGGTAGCCGACAGCCGAAAGTTGCATTCGTGAATGCAAGGTTGGCGGCTACCGGCTTGATTGCAATTTGATGGTACCTGTCGTGTATTCCGGTAGTTGCAAGCTATCGCTCCAAACCCAATCGCTGACCTATTAAATAACGGGTTAATCTGCCTATTTAGCAGTAAGTAACAATGAGCTACGATCTGTTCGCAAATTCAACCGAGCAGCTTTTTTATGATTGATCGTTATAGTGGCATAAAAAGTGATGAGATCACTGATCACTGCTAATCGACTGACGCTGTGCGTTAAATCAACTTTAAAATGACGGGTTAATTTATGAAAACTTATAGGTTAATCCGGTAGCCGACAGCCGAAAGTAATGCGAATGTGAAGAGTTATCTGTGAACTATATATAACAAACAAATTGATAGAGGCGGCTACGAGCCCCCATGATGCTGGATATATTTATGTTCAGTTCATGGCCTCATGCATAGTTTTATAATTACACCGAACTTATGAGTCGTGCACCTGGCATACCTATTTATTCGGTAGATCTCCATGGCTCAACGTCAATAAATGCCTCATTTTGCACGTGTTTCGATTTCTCTTTCCTTATCCACCGTTCAGACTCACGTAACTTTCTGATTCTGAACGCATCTACCTGTATTTATCCTGAGTACTTGAATTAGTAGATGAGTATTAACTGACGGCGAAACTACTGTAAGCCTGTATTCGCGAATGCAAATTCGGCTGTTGGCTACCGGATTAACTTACTATTTTACAGGCAACTCATTTAAATGTGAATAGTGCATGCCACCATTCCATTCATATTTAAAGTTAAAACCGAATTTGGCCTTTATTGCAATCTTACCAATTTTATCAAAATGTGATATTTGGAACTACTTTTTTTTTAATTTTAAAAAGTGGCCAAGTTTTTGTTCGAAAATCGTGTATTTTTAGAGTTCACCATGTATCTTTTGATAAGCGATACTTCACATCAGTGCGTAGCATTCATCCTGATGTGTTTTTGTTGAAATAATACACACTACCCTACCACGTGACCACGTTTAAAAGGGAAACAGGGTACAGCTAAGTTGCAAATGGAGTTGGGTTTAATTCCATATTTCTGAACGTAAAATACACTTTACGTTTATTTCTAGTGTTCTACCAGACATAGAATTGATTCATCAAGCAGTTTGTAGAATATTGTTGGCAAAAAAACACTATAGGCAAAGATAGATAATAGTGGATGCAGTGAAGCAAACTCGAATGCAATACACGATACATTTCAGTAAATCTATCAACATATAATACGGGGAGCATGTCAGTTTCACTTCAAAAATGTTACTTATTTTGACATTGATATGTAATAAAAAACACAGTTAACTGTTATTTAAACTGCGTGTCATCGTGTTATATGTGGATACGTTTTCTAGTATGTTATTCAACTGTATTTTTGTGAATTAATTGTTTTTCTAAAATCTTAAGAGCAGCTACCATCCAACATCATCTGACATTCAACATGTCATATAAGACTACATCGATCTGGTATTAGTTTTGAGAGTTAAAAGTATGGGTTAAGCATAGTTATAGTATTATGAATCCACTTCCTAAAAATACACTAATTGTACAGCACTACATATGTATGTCTAGTCAACATTCAAAATGGCAGGGGTAGCGGTTATGCGATGAACACGATACAAAGATATGTCCACTCTACTATACCTTGAATTGGGTGTCCATTAGCAACCCATTTGGCTTATTAGTAATGATTGCGTTATTTGTTTTTATTTGTCTGTTCCTTATTAATGGTTTATTGGATGACGTTAGATGTTAATAAGGTACTTTCAAAAATATACTAAACAATACAATTGGACAAACAGAGTATCTTATGCATTTCTAGGGGTTAGGAATAGTAGAGTCATGTCATATTCCGCATATCAAGTTATTTTGCAGTTTTAGACAAACATTTCCATTTATAAAGCATTTGAAATATTCTAATGACGCCCCTTGTATGCAATCGTCGTGCATCAATGTACTCCAATGAAACGTATCATTCCTTCTATTACTCATTATATTCTGGTTTTGAATGTCAAATACAGCTCCATGTACCACTGGATAAGGATATCAAGCGCATTAGAAATAATGATTGGCACATGTACGTTGTTATTACAGTGTGTCCCAAAAAAAGGAAACCAGCAATAGATTGCTTATTTCTCAAATATGAATAATAATAGGAAAATTTCACAGCTACCATCTGATAGGTTATGATGTCCTTTTTCTTATGATACCAAAGGTGTTTATTTTTCTTCACGGATGACTGAGTTCTAAGAGATTTAAGTGACCATGTCAGAAATTGGTTTGTGCCACTTTTTCTGTCATGAATGGCTGAACAATGAGGGATTAAAATGGCTATGCAAGACCATGTCCTATTCTTCCTTTGGGGTTATCTCAAGGGTAAAGTCTTCACAACACCACCAAGAGACGTTGATGATCTAAGGGCCAGGATTGTCGCAGCAGTGGAGGATCTAAGGGGACAGAGAGACATCATCAGGGATGCAGTACGTGCGATGAGATCAAGGGCAGACATTTGCATTGAAAGGAATGGGGGTCATGTTGAAGGACACTGGGGTTAAAACAACTTTGAATGGACATTGGGATTTAAAAGGGGTGTTAAATATGATATGTGTAATTTTAATTGGAATAAATGAGTAAAAGAGTGATATCCTGATGTTTGTTGTTACTTATCACTTTGTTATGATGGTGAAATTGACTTGGCTGAAAGTGGTACAAACTCATTTCTGACATGGTCACTTAAATCCCTTATAACTCAGTCATCCGTGAAGGAAAATAGACAACTTTGGTATCATAAGAAAGAAGACATCATGATCTATCAGATGGTAGCTGTGAAATTTTCCTATCATTATTCATATTTGAGAAATAAGCAATCTATTGCTGGTTTCCTTTTTTTTGGGACACCCTGTATACTCGTCTGAAAATAAAGATTAGATCAATAACATTTAGTGGTTCAGATATATACTGTATACTATCACACTATTGTACAAAACATGAGTCTAGTATATTAGTGATTATCTCAGGAATGGTTTTTGTGTAAAACAAGCGAATCGTTCTGTATAATCAGTTTACTTTCTCGCTCACTGCACTATTGAACAATTTACATTCCTTGTACCCTGTATTGATCAACTTTTGCAACTGTGTACCGTGTACTTTGACATATCAAATATTTTAACATTTAAAACGATATTATTTACATTCTTTCTTCAACCATCATATAACTTGGAATATCATCCTTGGTTTAAGGGTATTTCACTTCTTTCCTTCTGAATTGAGTAATAAATGAAGTCCTTTGAATGAAGGATGCAGTAATATTCAAACGTGTTGGAATTCTGGAAAGCAGGAGCTCCAAACTAAGATTAATTGAAGTGAACTTATATACGCCATGTAGTCTATTGAGATGTCATATATTTATATTCAGGGTGGTCAAAAAATGAACCCTTATAACAAGCTGTATCCCAGTTATAAGTTGCATTAATGGGCTGATGTTCCCACTTGTTTAAGAGAAACGAGGTCTATACGTTTTTTTGGGTACCATAAAGGTCATTTAGTTTTAAGTCTTGCAGAAGTTACTTTGCAACTTTAGACCTTCCTCTATAACATGTGAAAATATGAGCCCATGAATGCAAGTGATAACTGAGATAGCTTGTTGCAAGGGTTCACTTTTTTGGATCACCCTGTAGATTGTGGGTAAGCCCGTCAGATGTATTTATCTCGATCACTTATTAATGGAGAAAGCCGTGTTGCCAAGTTATTGACACGTTTTATATTATTGAATAATACACATCAGAATTTTTGGGATAATGGGAATATTAATGGATCATTTTATCGAAATGGTTTCTGGTAGGAAACATCTTAAAAATCAATTGAGAATGTTGCACAAAAGTAAAGTTGAATAGTAATGGTGTTGTGGGAAATCAATGGTGACAATTGCTATTAAAAGTAATTACACAGTCGTTGTGTGATAGGCAGTACTGGGGATGAACTGGAAACGAGGGAAGTTCTGCCTCGTATCAAAATGGCCGCAATGAAAAAGGAGCATGTGGTGAGATTTTTTCTTTTTACGATTTTCATGCTTTTATCTTCCAAATTACAACTTAATATTTGGCAAGTGGTTTGTACGTTACGGATTCAGAATAACACCTTAGAAATTAATGCAGTCATGGTTTTGATATTTGCAAATAAATTCACTCGCTTAGGAAACGAGGAAAGTTAAACATCTCTTATCATTGAAAAATATGCCTGTTTCCTTTAAGCAAAAGAATTGATTTGTAAAAATCTCAGCAATGAAACCGGAACTTATGAACTATTTACCTGCCAAATATTTAGTTTGGAAAGATAAAAGCATGAAAATCGTGAAAAGAAAAAATCTTACCAAATGCTCCTTTTTTATTCGCGGCCATTTTGATACGAGGCAAAACCTCCTTTGTTTCCAGTTCATCCCTAGTGATATGGATAGCAACTTGCAGGCATTCATTGGAGAAATGATCAAGAAACTATGGGGTTCAAAACTGTGGTCAGTTTTTGATCTAAGATGCATGTGTATAAGTTTTTACGACTAAAATGGCGTGTTTTTTCAATTTGCAGAACAGATAATGTAGCCTAACTATTTGGTTGATGTACTAAAATGTACATCTGTGAAAACATTTGTTATTAGCATAACTGGTTTAATCACTTACCCTATGTTTATTGTTTTTGTGTTTTGTGTTATTTAACAATCAGTAACAATCCTTTTGCGAGTGCTTCTCGTTACATCGAAAAGAGCAATGGGCGTTTATTTGAAAACTCTTGGAAGGAACGCCAATGGCTCTTTTTCTTTTCTTTGCTCTTCTAAATAAATTCCCATTGAGGACTCATTGAGGAGAAACTCGGGTATGAATAGCGGGCTGTACGATGAAAAAATTGTGAAGAGAAAGATGGGTATTTTGAAAATGTCCGCGATATAACAGAGAGCCCTCATCTGAACATAAATATCCTGCTCTATATAGACATATTTATACAGGTATAGGGAATATTTGTGGTATAGAACTGAAAACTTAAACCCCTATATTAATTTGGCGTTTTGTTGTGTAATTCCAGATGATTCAACAATTCATAACGAACAGACTGCTGCAGACACGAAAGTAGACTGAAATAACATCCTGGAAATATTCCCATCCGTTAGCAGAAAATCACATCTTCAGCAGATGCTTATGTATTATTTAGTAAATGCATTAGGCGTACTGACAGAGTAATTGATGGGCGAGGCCGGCTATACAAAATATAAGGCAGTTGAAACTAATGTTGGTGGAAGTTATCTAGTATAGGAATCGATCTTGCACTTCGTCAGATTATCTGAGTATATTGAACATACATTTTTATTCATACTAGTACATTGAATAGTCGATTCTATAACTTTGGATTCTTTACCTGTTCGGATTGGGATATGATGACGAAGCAAAGGCAACAGACCAATTGGTTTGGATGAGCTCCGCCAGCTGACAAACTGGAATCCCCTAAATCAAAACCTCCCCTCCCCATTAAACCTTCCCCAAACCTACCCTACCACCCTATCCATAATCCATTACCATCGCAAAGAAATCCATTTCCTATTCAAATACCTCAGAGAGACCTTACGACACTAGTGGATGTTTCATTTGAAGATGGACATTTGCATGAACCTCGTTCTGGACCACAGCAGACGAATATTCTCACTTTTAGCAGAAATTCTAATCTGAACGACACACAATCGGAAGTACAACAAAACAACATACAAAATCACGATGAAACCAGTAATTTTCAGTCTATAATCCTCCACTCAAATTTGCAAAACGGATTAGAACCACCAGCAACAAGTTCCCAAAACTCCACATTTACGGATAAGGAGAAAAGGATAGTGAGTAAGGATTCTCTCACCGCACACAACGTTTTTACTTTGACCTCGGCCCAGGACAGTGTTGGTGTAATAGTACTCGATACAAAACATAAAATGGCATCTCAATCCACAAAACAAGCAAGGGCCAATTTGAAGGAATCTCAGAAATCGAGGAAACAAAAGGAGAAAGAATCCAACAAATGGCAACCGAGTAAAAATGGAGTTAACAGAGAAGATATTCCATCTGAGCCACCCACTTCGTTCGCCAATATGAGCATGGACGAAATCCTAGAAGCTATGCATCATGGAGCGTCCATGCTAAAAGTTCGAAGTGCCAACAATTTGAAAGAAAGATATTTTAATATAGATAGAGAGAACAGCAGTTTTGGGTATATCAATTCAAACAAATGTGTTGCAAATGTGAATGGTGTCAGAATCAAGCTTGCTGATATCAGAGAGGTTCGTGAAGGCTACAGTACTGACAAGCTCCTCAATGTTGAAAAAGATCTCAAAATCTCCAAGAACCTAGTGTTCTCTGTGATTTACGGGAGGAATAACCTATCCCTTGACATTATTGTTGAATCCTCGGCGATGAAGGACATGTGGGTAAAGGGACTGAAACATCTTGTATCCGCACACAAAATGAGTGAATGTGGAAACAACAGAGACTGCTGGATCAAAAAGCTGTTCAGCGAGGCAGATGCGAACAGAGATGGACGTCTAACACTGAGAGAAATTATAGACTTTCTAAGACGTAAAGGTTTTAAGGTATCTTATGATAACGCAAAAAGGCTGTTCCGTGAAGCGGATACTGATGGCAGACACAGCAAGAAAGGCCAAGAAACTCTCGACATGAAAGAATTTATAGAGTTATATAAAACGATCACAAAACGTCCAGAAATGAATGACATTTTTGAAAAATACGCTTTTGGTGATAATTTCATTGATCCTGGTGAACTGGAAGAATTCATGCAAAAGGAACAACTTCAAACAATTAGCCGTCAACAAGCGTTAACTATCATAGAGAAGTTTGAGCCAATCCCAGGGGTGAGAGCCAGGCAGATGCTAAGCATCGAGGGGTTCCGAGAGTTACTAGAGTCCCCAACATTCAACTTGTTTAACCCAGAACATCGTTATAGAATCTATCAAGATATGGCACAGCCATTAAACCAATATTTCATCGCATCGTCACATAATACATACTTGGCTAAGGACCAACTGACAGGGCCAAGTTCCGTTGAGATGTACATACTGGCGCTGAGAAAGGGATGCAGGTTAGTATTTCTGAGTGTGAATTTACAAACTGCATTAAACTCACATTTTACTACTTTGCATCCAAAATGTATAAGTGAAAAGAGTATTAAGTCTTATATTGAGGGTATATCTTTTATGGATATAATCGGTTATATCATCCCACCACTGCCACCAAAATGTAGCATCAATATAAACATGGACTATCAAGGTTAGATTCTACAGTTCATTTTTCAGTTTACTTGATAAACCTTTACACAATGAATGGGTTTAGACGCCAACATATTACATGGACCCTTATGCTACATTTACCACATTCAAACGTTTACAATTTCTAGAATAAAACGCTAACATGTTGGACCACTTAGCAATCATGCAAGTGTACTGCCCGTAAACAGTTTAAGCATTTTTGCAGCATTTGCTAGTATCACTGGTACATGGTTATCGTTTATCAACATTGAATGAAACACACAATCATTTGTTCCAGGTGTGTTGAGCTTGACTGTTGGGATGGTCCCAAGAATGAGCCTCTCATCACCCATGGGAACACTCTCACCTCCAAGATACATTTCAAGGACGTCATTACCGCCATTAATGATTATGCATTCGCCACGTCCGAATATCCCGTGATACTTTCCATTGAGAACCATTGCTCTGTGAAACAGCAGGATGTAATGGCGAAGTATTTGAGATCAATTTTAAAATCGAAATTGTTTATCGTACCCGAGAGTGCTCTGAGAGAAGACAAACCACTTCCCAGTCCAGAGCAACTAAAGGGAAAGATTCTCATTAAAGGTAAATATCACATTAAATCCTTCCTAACTCCTTGTAACTGATGCATTATGTCTATGTTATGCTGATGTGATCATGTTACTTGAACCTTGAATGTGATTTCCTTCTTTTTCCAATTGTAGGGCAGAAATTACCACTAGGTAGCAAAAAAGCAGAAGACTGTGAACTTGTTGAAGATGACGAAGCAGAGGATGGTACCAAGAAAACAGCGTCATCTCTCAAACTATCCAAGTCACTGTCGGACACCATAGCCTACTGCGCCAGTGTTGGCTATAAGGGGTTCGAGTACGCTAGGAGCAACTACAGAAATACCGAGATGTCCTCTTTTGCAGAAAGCAAGGCTCTGAAGTTGAGTACAGAAGACGGGAAGGACTTTGTGAAACACAACTGTACGTATTTGAGTAGGGTTTTCCCAGGAGGTTTACGAACTGATTCCAGCAACTATAACCCTGTGCCAATGTGGACAGCTGGATGTCAAATTGTGGCGTTGAACTATCAAACTGGAGGCGTTCCCCTACAGATCAACGATGCTAAATTCATGGATAATGGGCATTGTGGCTATATCCTTCAGCCACCTGCTTTGAGGAATCCAACTTCCGACTTTGACCCAGCTGGGGATATGCCGCCATCTTGGAACCGGCAGCTAGATGTTACTATATTAAGTGGCTTCATGCTTCCCAAGTCAAAAGGATCTGGTGAAGGTTACATAGATCCGTACGTAAAAGTTGAAATATTTGGCATTCCAAAGGATAACCAGAAAGAGAAAACCAGGGTTATTCAAAATAATGGTTTCAATCCTTGTTGGGCGCAGACATTATCTTTTAATGTCGCATGCCCAAGTCTCGCAATAGTGAGATTTGAAGTTAGAGATTATGATGGGAAATCAAGAGACGATTTTATCGCTCAATTTACCGTTCCATTCTCTTGCATGCAGGAAGGTTACAGAACGGTGAACCTAAGAGACAAAAATGGAGAACCTCTTGAAATGGCTACCTTGCTTGTGAAAACAACCATAGAGAATCCAAACACAAAAATTTCAATAACTCGGATGTAATATTGAAAAGGTTTTATTAATTTGCATATATATGACCGGACATAAATGACGAGGAAATGATACTTTCGAAAGTCTATTTTATGGTTGGATGAATGTTTTTCTACTGTGACTTGTTTTTAAACTAGATATAATCTATAACTGTATATATTTAAGTTTCTTGTATATATTTGAAATTTTGAATGTATGTTTTCTACATAGATTTGTTGAAGTTTATGATTTGTGGCATAAACATATTTTATCACCCTTTAGAATTTGTACTTATGAACGTTGTCTGCTGAATATACGAGTAAAAAAAATGCATGTTTGTTAATTGTTTGTGCCTCCACGCCCCCCCCCCTCCTCTTTCCCGTCATATGCGCACCTTTAGAACAATTCCTTTAAGTATTACAGTTATAAAACCACTGAACATAATAGATCAAATACGCATCCTCAATGTAATAATCATCGGATTGCAACAATTTACTTGAAATATTTACATTCACTTTATTTAATTGTTTTAGTTAACAATATTTGTGTTTGGTGTACTAATTGTTTTTTGTTCTTTTCTACCAACTCTTTTGAATGAAATGAAACATCTATCCAGCCTTGATTGAGAACAACATGACATATACACAATGAACTAAGTTCTCTCAATATCGTTGTTATATAAGGAAGTTGGTTGGTTTAAAAGTATCTCATAAAAAGTACCACCTACCCCAAAAATAGATAAACTAATTAACATACTCCTATTATTTCATTCTTAAATTTACTTTTTAAATAAGCTGAACTTGACTACGGTGTTGAGCGAACCAAGTACATTGTGTATGTGGCATTTTGTCCCAAGGATGTTAGATGGATATTTCATGTTATAGTTCCAAGGAATTTGGCCCAATTTTTTTCGCGGACATATTTGTGCCCTTTTCCCTCTGTTTTTTAGGATCTTCCTTTGTGTTTTGTTAAACATAGCCTTCTGGCGGTTCCAAGAGGGAGGGCATGGGGATGGGCCCGGAAAAATGTTGGCCCGAAAATATTGTAGGGCCTCTTTAGTGGGCCTTTTTGGGCATTACTTGACCTTTTTGAGCCTTATTTTTTCAATTTCAGGCCAACTTTTCAAAAACAGGCTAAAAAAATTTCAAAATGTTGGCCCGAATTTTGGTTTTAGGGCCCTAAGTAATTTTAAGCGCGGCCCTAAGGATGGGCCCAGGAAAAAATGTTGGGATAAAAATATTCTAGGTCCTTGGCCTTTACTTGACCTTTTTGGGCCTTATTTTTCAATTTTAGGCTAAATTTTCAAAAAACGGGCCATAAATCTTGAAAATTTAGGCCCAAATTTTGATTCTAGGGCCCTAAAGGATTTCTGCGTGGCCATAGGATGGGCCCAGAAAAAAATGTTGGCCCAAAAATATTGTAGGGCCTCTTAAGTGGGCATCTTTGGGCATTAATTGACCTTTTTGGACTTTATTTTTTTTCAATTTAAGGCCAAATTTTCAAAAACGAGCCATCAATAAAATTCAGAATATTCGCTCGAATTTTGGTTTTAGGGCCCCATTTTAAGCGCGACCCTAAGGATGGGCCCAGAAAAAAATGTTGGCCCAAAAATATTGTAGGGCCTGGTTAGTTTACTTGACCTTTTTACTTGACCATTTAGGCCTTATTTTTTTCAATTTTTGGCCACATTTTCGAAAAACGGGCCATAAATTTTCAAAATTTTGGTTCAAGGGCCCTAAAAGGTTTTCCGCGCGGCCATTGGATGGGCCCAGAAAAAATGTTGGCCAAAAAATATTGTAGCGCCTCTATGGTGGGCCTTTTTGGGCGTTACTTGACCCTTTTGGGCCTTATTTTTTCAATGTTAGGCCAAATTTTCAAAAAAACGTGCCGTAGATCTTCTAATTTTTGGTCCAAATTTTGGTTTTAGGGCCCTGAAAAGTTTTCGCGTTTTTCTTGAAGTGTGCGGGGGGGGGGTCGAGCCTCCTTTCAAAAAGCTGGCTACGGGCATGTAATATTATGGATTTGAAACGACTGTCATATTCTACACGAAGGACGACAATCCTCCCAATAGCGTTCAATAAAAAACTGTTCCGTTAACACGATGCCGCCTTTTGTTACATCAAAGAAGCAAGTGGCCAGATTCCATGATTTGTAGCGAGAAGAATGTGTCTATAGATGTTTACAATAATAAGAATGGAATTTTCGCAAATTTTGAAAAACTTAATTTTTGTTTGTAAACATTGGTATGAAGTCATACAGACCATCACTGCCTTATTTCGCATGACACGTTACTACAATAAAAAATATATTCCCACACTTGCACAATAGTGCCATCTATACAACAAAGAGTAAACCAGGGATGTACTAACGTGTCCATTCTGCATCATCCAGTTCATAAAGATGGCGCTCTGTCGCATAGAGGAGTAAAAGATGAGTAATAACACCCCTTCACCATGTTATCATTCCTTGATTGTGCTTCCATCTAAAGTTGCCATTTTATAGGTATGTATGTCATAAATTGGCCGATATTATTTTTTGTTCTGAGGCAGTGAAAAGGTAAGTTTACTAAACATAAAAATAACCAATCATAGACCACAGTCTAATTTTCTGTGGAAAAAAATACATTCATATTTAGAAAAACAAAACGTTTGAAAATATGAATTGAAATGAAGGGACTTTTTCATTTGAAACTAGAGATGAATACATATAAGTATACTACTTTGAGAAATCGCTATTGTCGAACAAACGTATGTATGCTGCAAAATCTCTCAACTTGAATCCAACATAAGTAATAAGTAAGCTACATAAGTCACAATAAGTCACCAAAATAACATGCATGTATACATTCTGATGTATCTAATTAAACATCAAAGAGGGGGCTATGTTAACATTCATATATTATTCACGCCTTTCTTATAGAAATAAGCTTTGAAGATACTCCTGGATAAAGCATAAAGTAGTTGAACCCCAATAGGAACTAACGCTTCAGTCACATTTGCTCTACGGCGGGCGTACGGCGGCCGTAGCGACACCGTACTGTTTATCCCTATATTTTATGCTGCATATTTCTTTGATTTTGGGAAGCTATAACATTCGCACTTTTGTCGTAGACCAAATGTGACTGAGGCATTAGACCACGGGCTTTCAAGAGATATACTTTTAAGGGGAAATATTTAAATGAAAAAATAGTCTGCTGATTCAAAAGATATTAACATGGTAGCAAAGAACAGAGATCGCAAGTGTTGGAAGCAATTAATGTTTTCAAATACCGTTTCCGATAGATTGTTTTTGCCTTTAAAAACAATGTGATCTACCTAATGTACTAGGCTCTAACCGTAATAGGGCAGTAGGGGTTCTTTGCCACTATCAACTTTACGGTCCTAACATTATTATTATGCGATTGAGATCGGGTCAAATTTTTTGTTAACAAAAAAATGTTGATAGCAAAGTATAATGCTAATTTGTTGCACCTTTTATTCTGTTTCTTTACAAGAAAAATATACTTTTGATATCAAGCTTTAATTTGACATATTTTACTTTTTTGAATTCCAACCGGTTTTGTCGAGGACTGATCCAGAGGCAACATCATGCATGCATACGTGTAAACCGACTAATGAATAGATGAAAAATCCATGAAAAACGCGGAAAAACTTTTTAGGGCCCTAAAACCAAAATGTCGACCAAAAATTAGAAAATCTACGGCACGTTTTTTTGAAAATTTGGCCTAACATTGAAAAATAAGGCCCAAAAGGGTCAAGTAACACCCAAAAAGGCCCAGCATAGAGGCCCTACAATATTTTATTAGAAAATATACTTTTGATATCAAGCTTTAATTTGACATATTTTACTTTTTTGAATTCCAACCGGGTTTGTCGCGAACTCCCATGCAGTGTCTCGGTATATATCACTGCACGGGAGTTTGGGTTTGTCAAGGACTGATCCAGAGGCAACATCGTTCATGCATAGTATTGCATACGTGTAAAACGACTAATGAATAAGATCAACGTGCAACAAGAAATAAAATCATTGACCAAGGTTGCAGGAAATTGATACCTTGAATCCCAGAGTCTAGTAGTGCTCTCCTCATGCGAATTATTACTATTGAGAGGGTAGTACAATATGACATATAAGTTATAAAATCAGGGCACCATAAGTACGACTTCAAGGTTTTTAAAATACCATCAATTTTTGAAATGAATTCAGAAAATCACCAAATCAGTCTCGATGTAAGATGCTCAAAATAAAATAATATATTAATAGTTATCTGCTATGTTATTTGAGTCTTGGTGGTTCCAAGGACATCTATCTCCAGAGATAGACGTCCTTGGTGGTTCTTATATCTTATGATGTCACAAGTCCATGGACTGGTGGACACATTGATGGTGCAGGACAAATAATGCACTCCATTAATTTCAAACTGTGCATTTTGATTTTAGTCCATCAGTGCACACGACCTTCATTTTAATTTGATCTATGCATTTCAGATATTGTTACCTTGGGTTATTTACTCGATTCATCAGTGAGATATTTAAGTTTGCTTAAATTCACATGTTAACAACGATTTAAATGTTTACTATTTGATAAATAAAATGCATGAAGAAGCCTCAAAGATTTATATTTTTCGTTTTAAATATGCGGTTTAAATTATGCCCAGGGACCGGCCAAGGTCATAAAAGGGAACCAAAAACTGAAAGAAAATTTCGAAGCATCTTCTCCCATGTTGCATGTCCCAATTCAAGATTTATCTTGCTGCTAGCGTAAATGCTACTGATGCAAATAAGGAGGCGAGGCTTATTTGCTAAGACGCTCTCCGATTGGCCATGGAATAATCGTATCTCGTTATAGAAGGCTCGGCCATACACATCTTCCCCAAGCCCTAATGTATGCTTAGTGTGGGATTGTGCCTCTGAATGCAACAGGTGAATTTTAAATGTGAAGTTAACAAACAAAAATAGGTGGTTATTAGACGTATTCAATCGTACTCGTATCCAAACGCTGCAGATATTCTTGTGGACTTGAGTGTTCTTGGTCTCACTGGCCTATTAAAATTGGATCAATTGCAGATTATAGTTCAAAAGGATATCTCACATCCTTGCTTCCTGGGGCAGAACAATTATGTGTGAATCGAAGAAGGAGACAAGATTAAGTACGGGGTCTAACATGAGTACAGGATCACCCTTCTCGATTGGATCAAGTCTCGGGAGTCCTGACCCAGACCAGGATTGCGTATCTGAGAAAATGCTTGAAAATGAAGGAGAAAAAAACGCCCAGCCGCCAGTGGGCGCTGATGATGGGAGTAATATCCAAGATGCCGTAACAAACGTTTTGAAAGGTTACGACTGGTCACTCGTCCCCATGCCAATGAGAGGGCCAAATGGTAACATATTTTTTTTAAAATACTCCTCGAGAAATCTTTGACGAAGAAACTTATCTCAGTATTGGATTGATCTATATATATTCTTTGACCCAATAGCAATGCATGTGAGATTTAACAAAGAATTTCCATCTGAAAATAGGCCAATCTTCAGATATGCATATTTATGGAAATTTTCTCGATTAAACATGGTTAATTATTGACATCGAGCTTATATAAATCATAAACTCATTACACTACATTTAATTTTGTATTAAATTTGTCACTCTTAATATTTTTAGGTGAAAAACGGAAGCCACATATAAAGAGACCCATGAATGCATTCATGGTGTGGGCCCAGGCCGCAAGACGCAAGTTGGCCGATCAGTACCCCCAACTTCACAATGCCGAACTCAGCAAAACACTTGGCAAACTTTGGAGGTATAAGCTTTTCTTTATGATAGGGGATTTGTGATTTCTTTGGTATAGATATTTTTACCTTATATGCTAGGAGGATTCTGATTTATTTGGTATAGGTATTTCATCCCTTATATGTTAGGAAATTGTCATTTATTTGCTTTAAGTTTTCTTTCTTTTTCTGTTAGGGGGTATGTGATTTTTTCTATTAATATTAGTCTTCTAGGACTATTGCTTAATTCTGTAATTCTGACTCTCACTACCAGAATATTGGTATGATGTAAGAAGTAGGAAGTAGGACTTTATTGTGGAATTTTGGTTGATATATTTATGTTACAAATGTTACGTAATCGTAATATAAGCGCGTTTGTTTGTTTATTTGCTGCACTCTGTCTGTGAGAAGATGACACATTGTTATAATGCGTATAGTTAAGTTATAACTTTTCGTTGTCTCCCGTAGGAGACCTCCACTGTCGATTGTTCTCAACTCAGTATTCTCATGTCAATTTCGTCTTCAAATTAATCCGATTGGTTTCACACATCTCATTTTATCTGATTTAATAACCGAAAGAATAAAAAGACTGAAAAAAATAAATCTGTCAGTTTGCTATTGTGTAACCACAATTATGTTTGTCAAATGGCGACGTCGAAACATTCTATCGAGTATATTTTGTTGTCTTTATATCAGCTTGTTGTTGTCATCCAAACGTAGACATTTTTAATATCTAATATCCTTCTGAGTTATTAAATACATGTCATATGCAATGGACATATTCACAACGACATTAAATATTAAAATTACAATGTTTTACATCAATTAATTCAATGATAAAAATAGGGTGTAAAACTTCGCGAAGCAAGTTTTTTAAGATTATTCAGTCAAGTAGAAAACAACGCCATGACAAATAAAATATAGCCGAATGACAACCCCATCAGATCGGTCCTCGATAATATTAAAAATGCTCCCCTCGAGGAAAAGTAAACCGATAAACACTGCTCTAAAGAATTCATAATGTACAAAAATTCTAGAAATTGTTATTGAACTTTACTTTTGTCACCCCTCGTTTTTTTCTTTTGAACATTTCTACTTAATTAAAGATACGCAAAGATTCTGTCTAGTTGGCTCTAGGGCTTTATATCGATGACATTTTGAAATAAAAAGTAAGATCACCTCTTTTAAGTTTTGATCATTAAAAGTTTAAAGATATACGGGTGAAAGATAGTCCTCGAAAAGTTCATTTTCAGAATTAAAATCATAATGCACTGTTATAAATTATATTTTTATTTTTGAAATCGGAAATTATGCTGGGAATATCCAAATCTTCGATTCTCAAAACCATTATCGTCTAGGTAGTCTTTCTGTGGGTTTGTTATGGTAATGAGATGACAATTTAATCCCTATTCAAATCTTTCAACTTCAGCCGAATCGTCCATATTCTGAATCTCGTTCGGCATTTGAGTTGTTATGATATGTACATTGAAATACAAAAGAAATACAAATGGCATAAAATTGGAATTACAGCGAGATTGAGGTGGATAATGAGCGTTTTAGTGAAGCCTGAACACCTTCCTTGTCAAAATAATGGATTTCAGATTGAAATGTCGTCATTACATTATTGTGGGATTTTCACACGTCTAGCTTTACTTCCATAGCACCATCGTAATATCGCATCGTGGGATAGCATACCATTCTAAAAGTTCATTCTAGAATCATATCATATTGATATTTGAAAATAGAAAGTTAATGATGAGTTTCAGAATTGATATATCGTGCTACATCATAAACATCACAAGAAGGAATCACAAAATTACACAAAATTGAGCAGCACAACTTAGCAGATCGTAGCCCATCATATCACGATATATCACTTTGGCATATCATATCAGAATCTAAATTAAAACGTGTTTTTGTTAAACAGTATTGGAAGTACGTTGTGTTATGTACTATTGTGTTGTGTTGTGTAATTATTAGTTATTATGTTGTGTTATGTTGTGCTTAGTTCTGTCGTGTTATGCAATGTTGGTTGTGTTATGTTGCAATTGTTTCAGTGTTATTTTATTTGTTGGATGAGGTGTGTTATAATGTAAATGTGTTATGTTGTGTTGCGTTGTGGTGCTACGATGCGCTAATATGCCGATGACAAGTTTACAGACATGCCAACATTACGTCATCACACGACGCAGTGCCTCATCATTCCGACCCACTTCTAAATCATATGTTGTAATAGCACAACTTTTCTCAGTTTCTTATTTTTTTAAATTCCTCTTACTTGACGAAGCAGATAATTAACTTCATATTAGTAATATTTATATGCCATTTTTGAAAGGTTTTAAAGGCTAAATCGAGAATTCTCTCAACTGAATTTCTTCCTATACTTTACTCAGAAACCATCAAAATGAAGAAAATATTTTTTTGATTTTCTTCACCATATTTTTTCCATATCAGCATCTGAAAGCACTTCCAATCTTCCCGGGGCTGATTTTTCTAAAGTAATGTGATCTTAAAGTGACTTTAAAGATCTTCAAGCACACATATCAAAAGGGAAAATGAAATATTAAATATAGATAGGCTGTCAAGAAAACATATTCATGATAACGTTCGGAGGTTTTCTCTAAGTGGGAGAATGATTTTTCAAAGTGTGATATTAAAGATACTTAGCAGGTTCCTAGAGACGGGGGCACTATTGGCCCCAAGTGTAAACATTCCTTTCCGTTTCCTTGAACAGATTCCGACTTTTATACAAAACCCTTGGGCTATTTGTGTGGAAACATAACTGTTTTGACTTTGGCCAGATTTAGAGGTATATCATCAAAAGAAATGGTTTCTTAAAGTTGCCAAAGTTTGGATACGTAGTTTATCAAATATCACTTTAAAGAAAACTGATATGAGAGAACCTATTGATAAGTAAAATAACACCCAAGATATCTAACCAAACATCAATGTACTAGACAGTGATGAGTCAAGGGTGTTTTTTATAAAACTTCAAAAGTGTTTTTTGAAATGTGCTCATTTCAATTGTGATTATACTTTTGTAGCTCCTTGTGTGTAGATAATTGTAATGCGTATTAAAATAGATAAATGGCATTTGTGATATTTTGATGCACTTATTTCCAATAAGCATTGCTGGTCTTACATCATCTCTTGTCCATCCCTCTCTTTAATCAAATTCACTATCTTGTGATAGAGGTGTTTGTTCGCATTTATGGGGGTGGGGATGCACAAAAGATCGATGCAAGGTTATTTGCTTTTCTAGTACGAGTGCCTTTTCCGAGTTGAGATATTGAAAGGATTTTGTGACTGAATATTTTGTGAAATATTTTGTGTGGAGTTTTGAGTTTTTCGTGACATTCTTTGACAGAAAAGAGTTCAATTATTACTAAAAAAAGATAGCATAAACACTCTGAATGTTTGTGAAGCAATTTGCACCTTTTCTATTTTTTTTCTCGACTGGTGCTACAGTAATCGAAGTCTATTTTTTCACTCGAGAGGGATACATCGTTTTGTTGTGTGTCTACTGACATGGCAAAGTAATAGAGACCCCTCCAAAATGGTACAATTAGGTATACTGCTCAATGTAAATTATGATCAATTATCTATGTTGGTTTAGGCCCAAATAAAAGGGGAGAGAGCTCGAAAAACGACATCATCAATAATTCAAAAGTGGGTCGAAAAATCGTACCTGAGATCTTTTCACAGTTCATGTAGCTCCGCTTGCTAGGTTGATAAATCGAGATTTGATAATAGAGAGATACATTCGAGTCACTTTGTGGACTTTTCACGGGTCACTTTAAACTGGCATTTAAATTCAGGATAAATGGTTGCGAAGATCAGTTTTTTGACCTCATTTATTAATTTCATCATCCTCTTGACTTTTTCATCGGGGTTTATAAAGAGTTGGCAGATAGCATTAAGACATCCATCTTCCTTAGAACGTCTGGATTTGCCGAAAAACAAATTGTACAATTTGTTTATGGCACAAAGCGTTACCATGGTTCGTGTTCAGCTTATTTTAGTGTCATACTTTACTCATAATGTAGGTGCATTCACAATCGTGCGTTCATTACAATTAGAGATATATTTTTAAAATGCTCGAAATGCAATAGAATAAAAATGTCATCAAGTTCAATGAAATTCGAGCGCGTTTGTTTTTTATTCTCCAGCTATATAAAGTCTTTATACAGGAAGTCTAAGATGACAGGTAAAACTGAATAAATAATACTTTTATTTACACTTTTTAAATGATAAATACGAGAATTTAAACGCCTTTATATTCACAGTTTGCTAAGTCTTCAATTACAATGCCAAAAATCGTCATATTAAATAACTTAACAATGAAGTTATGTTTTCAAGTTTATTCTAAATATCTTCTGATCTTTTTGATCAACACTTAACCTCCATTGACGTTTTTCAAGGTTCCTTCCGCGTTTGCAATATACCGTACCATACCATACCATACCATACCATACCATACCATACCATACCATACTGTACCATACCAAAAAGTGACTTAAAAATAGTCTTCAAAGGTGACTTCAAGGTTTTGAAATCGGGTATCACATGTTTACACTTTTTAATTTTCACCGGGAAAACTTAATTTCATTCCTGATATCCGAGATCCAATGTTGCAGACTTCAAATTCTCGGAGATTGCGTAGCATTCATTGGCAACCGACATTTTGGCATTTAATATTCAGAAGCTCGATCTGTAACAGTGACGGATGTGACACACCAGATTTTATGACAACATTAACCATGTTTACAGACTTTAAACGTTTCTTCTGGTGATCTAATCAGACATGATACCCCTCTCATATTGTTAAAGAATAGTTAAAAGTCTGATTTTCTTTTACTTGTCAAAATTTTATTTCAACCCCACACTTGGCGATGGAGTTGAATTCTAGGATTTCAACTTTAAATCACAATTTACTCCCGACCCTACATCGTTGATACAACCATGGGTATAAATTGCTACTTAGCGGTGTTGAAATTACAGAGATGTTCGTATTCATAAAAACTAGTTTCAATATTTAAATGTAGGCATTGCTATATACCTTTTGATCAGAGTTGGTAATTCATTATTGAACATTTTTCTTTGCTTTGTGTTCTGGAAAGTCATCAATTTCGGTCGTGTTTTTAACTGTTCCTTGGTCTAGTAAGTTAATGTTTTTTGAGCATGGTTAAATTACAGAATCAACAAACAAAATGGATATAATTTACTTTTCGTTTTTTTGCTTGCTGAAATGTATCGGTGGCGTTGAGGGGGTAAAATCTAGAAGCGTGTACTGCAAATTGTTATACAAGGGATCGTTCCAAAAGATAAAAGATTCAAATGAAAGTGTTTCCTCCATGAATATATAGACAATGATAGAGTGACGTGAACTCAAACAAAAATCAAGAAAATGTAAAAATTTGATGTGTTGGTAATTAAAATCTTTCCACCTGTCTTTCCACCCATATATTATAGCCAGCTCAACCTACTTGTGTTATGTATCACGTAACATAGCTGATTAAAGGTGCGTTCAGATTTTTGAGGGTTCCCCCGTGACTGTGACCTCGGCCCTAGAAGGTCGCGATGCTCGCGTTTCAATCCTCCCATAACATTCTGCAGTTTCTTATCAATGACACAGGCTTGAACTCGTCATAAATCTCAACCTGGAGAGGTTGAAACTTCTTTATATAGTGATAAAACTTACATAAACGTTTTTACTACAGATTACCAACGACTGTAGTAATACGCAGTTTTTGCTGACTCGGCAACTTTTGCCTTACTTTGATATCTCCATTGTTGGATTAATTTCATATAAATCTGCATTTTAAGTAGTTGTAACCAATATTTTCAATTTTTGCGTGACGCTCATCATTCATACTTTGTTCAATCATAAATGAATCGTGCTCTTTCGTGAACCGATTTTTTCAATTTGAAACAGACATCCTTACAAAGGAAAAAAATGAATAACTCCAATAAAACATTTTAACGCTACCCAAATGATTTGGGATTTTTACTATTCAATCTCATAATGTACGTCATCGCCAAGATTAATCCCCCAAAAACATCCCATATCTCTAACTTTAAAACAATAAGCAGCTTTAAGGTCACTCTCACGCTCTCTCTGATCATTCCTTACATCTTGCTGATTGTATTATCTAGAATAAGCCCCGGATCCCGCAGACGACTTTTAGAAGTCAAATCTGTTTTTACGATTTTCTCTATAAAAATTGCTTAAACCATATGCTTTGTGTATGTATATACATAATTCAGGGGGAATGCTAAATGTAATATGGATGGTTTCGTTGTAATTTTTCGTTATGATAGGGAATTTCACACTTTAAATCTTAATTAGCAGACGATTTGTGGGGGTGTATTATCTAGAATAAAGGCTAATGTATCCTTCTTCAGATTACTGGCGATATTTATAGCCTCGAGGCGGGTTTAAATACCCCCTAATAACGAATCTGACACCATTGCAAGTTTTTTTGAATGAGAGTTTGCCCAAAACTCTGGTCATCTGTTTTTATTATTCCAAGAAAATAAAATCAGGTGCAATGTACTCTAATACTTGTCATTCCTAATGCAATAGACAAATACCCACTCCTGTTTCGGCACTTTTTCTTGGTCACATAAAGTTACGTTTAAGAGCATGGCCGCCATTACGCCATTGCATTTCATTTATGGGCTGGTCCTCTGGGATGATCTTGAGAAGCCATGGTATCTCTTGTTATTTGATTTGTTTGGTTTGCTATATTAATTTTCACGATGTTTGAGATGGGTAGTCTAGCATCTTCTGGGAAAAATATTCCCATTGTGACTTTGAAAAATTGAAACCTGGATCTGAATATTTATCAGTAAATCAGTCAATCGCTCAGCCACGGAAATGATTTAGTCTGATGGGTACAAATTCTGCAATTAGCCACTTTTTGTTACACTATGGACTGTGTAAAAAATCGGGATGTAAATTGGACTTTCGAAATGTTTTTATCATGATTTTGAGTAGAGTCATTACTCACGTCGCATGTTTGTTTATTGTTTAATGACTCAAATGTCTTTTTCATTACTCACATGTCTGTAGACCATATTACTCAAGGTTAAAGGACGTGTCCTGTCGGAAGAGCATATACGGAAGAGGTTTCTCATTCATAATTTAGTTATCATTTTTATTTTCTAAAGTCATTGGTCATATCTAAAGCCAACTAAAAGACATTTAACTCGTTCGATTCCCTTTCAATATTCAATGTTCAAATAGCACAAAGGGCAACATTTGAAGGATATAAATATATCAATAAGGTCTAGCCAGATAAAAAGACCGAGCATCGTTTTCTCCGAGAGATGTTTACTTGCTTATCCTAACTCGGTTTTTAATTTGAGTGTAATGTCCAAAAAACAATTTTTCAAGACAAACCAAAGGGACGAGTGGCAAATCTAGTTGAAATGGAATCTTTTCAGAAGTAATGTGTTGATGTGTAGTTGTTATGGTATGTGAATATGGTGCAATTCAGATGGACTGTGACCACATTTCCATCAGCATCTAGAAATACAAGATCCTAAAATCAGAATTCTCTTGGGTGACTAGTTTAGAAGATATCCTGGTGGTATTACAACATTTTATAGCATCTGAGATTTTCAGGTCCTTGTATTGGGTCATTTAAACAAATATCCTTATTCAAGGGGTTCGATTTTGCGTCCTTGAAAAGAGCTACACCTCCGATTCTCTTTTGCATCTTGGCCATGGAGTAAAAGTTGAACTATTGAAAGTGTTTTCATCTGGGAGGGAGATTGCTCCTTTAGGAGACAATGGAACGACTTAATCTTCTGATCATAAGGACATTGTCATAAACAAACAAACAAACAAACAAACAAACAAACAAACAAACAACAGATCAATGTTGATATATTGAAAATAGTTTAAGTTTTTATTTTGATTGGCCTGGTTTATTTTCTTGCTCTCTTTAATTTCAAGCTGTTAAAAACAAGTTTATAAATACATGTAATTTGAATGAAACATTTAAAAACATTAAGAATACAGAGTGGGCAATAAAAGGATTGAATATTTACCACTATAAAAGCTATACAATACAGGGTGACCAGGAATATGTTGTCCCACTATTATGAGACAATAATTGGAAAAGAATAATAATATATATAATGGAAATGATTAACAACAATATTTTACAACCACCTACAAAACTATATTTGTTGATAATACAGCTACCCAATCAATACACTAGAATTTGATTTTAAAGATGACATTTTCTATTGATTTTAACCTGTCTTATATTCTACTTGCAGACTACTGGGTGAGCCAGAAAAGCGTCCATTTGTTGAAGAAGCTGAGAGATTACGTCAACAGCATAAGAAGGACTATCCCGACTACAAATACCAACCTCGTCGTAGAAAACCCCTCAAAGGAATGCAAGGAGGGATGCAAGACCTACAAAATCCACCAATATCAAGTTCTGTGATTTTCCGAGCTCTTCAAGAAGGAGGCAATGGACTGGATGTGGCAGATTGTATGGGTGGGGGACAACGTGGTGGCTCACCACAGGACCCTCTTACTCCACCCACTACCCCCAATACAAGTGAAGGTGTGGGGACAGGACGTCCTAGTGGACACCCAGCCACCAGTCAACCCAGACACCCAGGTAGGTAGACGTAAAATATAGAATCTGATAAATTAATCGAATCTCTTTTCACAACCTCCCAGTTCCATTCCCCCCATTCCGAACCTACTTTTGACGAAGGGATTGCTACAACTTGATTAGGGGGAGGGGGAAACAATAGACTCGATGCAAAACAATAATCATATTATAAATAATGAAATCTATAAAATATTTCAATGTCTCTCTTTCAATGTCTTTATAGACTCGGAAAATCAACTAAATGGATTCAAATAATTATAATCTCAAATAATTGATGAAATTGTTGACCGTCATTTCCAATCTTAAACAATCAACTGAAGAAACTTAAATGATCGACTGAATTCAAACAATCAACTAAAGATATTCTAACAATCAACTGAATAGTCTCAACCCATTGATTGAATAGTATCAAACAAACAACAAAAAGATAATCAAACAGTGAACTAAAGCCAAAAACAATCAACTGGATTCTATCAAATAATCAACTGATTATACTCAAACAATCAGTTGAAAAGCCTAATATTATCAAACAGTCAACTGAAAATGCTCAAACAATCAACCAAATAGTCTCAACCTATCAATTGTCAAGCAATCACACGAAATGGACACAGACAATCAACCAAATAGTCCTTCACTAGTTCTCAACAGGCTCAAGTAATCAACTCAAAGAAACAATTCAAATGATTCAAACAATTTATTGTGGGATATTCAATACCTGGTCTTCTTTTTAACATTTTTTGGGGAAATTTTGTCATAATAATTCACAAAATAACTTTGCAATTGTGTGATTTAATATGCATAGTAGGCCTGATAGAAACATATTTCAGATGAAATTCATGAATACCTTTGAATAGCAATTCGATATCATAATATGAGGAAGCTAATTTATTTCAAATATGAAAGTTAATTAAACTCACATGATTAATGAGGCCAGATACACAGAATTTGGAGCATATAAATTCAGGATTTTGTTATCACTTAATGAATACACACAGTACATGTACACAGGCAGGACCATAATCAAAGGCCCATGTCCCCAATATTGCTAAATCTTCACTAATTTAGGTAATGTATCAGGACTTTAAACAGATGTATCAGGAAATATGCTAATTGTTTTAATTGACGAAGTATGGCTTAATTTGAGACTCACACGCAGGCACACTTGCACTCTTGAAAAAGTAAAAAAACTGATTAGTCAAATAAGAATGGAATGTTAACATATTGGAACAGTTGGTTTGAAAATTAATGATTTGGTTTAAAATGTTGGTGCATTTTGGCCTTAAAGCTCATATATTATGTTCTTTTTACTACAAATCAGTCAAAGGGTCTAACCTATTTCTATTTTTTCTTATATTTGATACATGTTTGTTTCAACAACTGAAAACCCCTCCTTCAATGTTGAAGATGCATAAAATGTACAACTAATATCAAGTTTTAACAATACATGTATGATATTTGGGAGGTCTTCATATTAACAAGAAATAGTTTTTTCTAATATTCTGATTCATGATTATGGAATCTATTTTATGACTTCAAGGTGTATGTTTTTGCAACAATATTATTTTATGAGCCATGATTAATTCTTAGAAGGTTAAATTGACATGTCTTTAACTCTCTTACCATTTATCTAAAAACTTCACTATTCCTAATTTAAAAACATTAACATAGGCTACAGAAAAATATAGCAATATTGATCATACAGGGGCTCTTAGACTTGCCATAGCATTTTTCCTTTTTTATCAGAAATTCATAATAATAACATACAAAAGAGCCTAGAGACTCATAGGCGTAGCCGGGGGGGGGGGGGGGTGCGATGGATTCGATCACTTTTTTGGCGATCGCACCCCCCCCTGACTGAAAGATGCACTGTATGTTGCTTATGCAATGCTTTTGGTTCCTGGATTTTGGTACTATGGAATGGAAGTCCTTTAACTAGTCAGCAACCTCATATATGCACTCTGCTTCAACAAGATAATTAGAAACATTGATTTACCTTTAACTAATGAATCAAATTTTCCTATACTTTCAGGTCAGAACATTGACTTCAGCAGAGTGGATCTTGGTGACCTCAGCCATGATGTCATGGAAACCTTCGATGACACAGAACTAGACCAATATCTCCCAGTCAATGGTAAACCTAGCAACAATCACCATAGCAACAGTAGTGATGGTAACTATAGCAACTACCCAAATTCTGAAGGTGATGGTCAGTGTCCCCCAGTGACAACAGCCCCTACATGGATGATGTCTTACAGAGTCTCAGCGACTGCTAATGCCCAGATTTATAGTGTGGCTTCCAATAACAACACTCATGGTAACCATAGCAACCTAAATGTAAACATTCCGGGCAATGCCACTGCTCCACATGGCTACCATGGCAACCAGTCTGATATGGGTAAATTCCCGAGCCCCCCACCTGCACACCAGGTCAAGGTTGAGGCCTCGGTCATACAACAACAGTATCAACGTGAAAGATATAACATTGACAACAGATTTGAACATAATTTCCGTTACTCTGGAAGTCCAAGCGAGTATTACCCTCATCCTCACTCTCATCCCCACCCTCATCACCAGGGCTACCCAGGGGAGCAAGTAGGGTACACATCAAGTGGGGAAGAACATCAGTCAGAGTATAGTCCCACTTCAAACAATAACCACAGTCCCCCTATCATACATAGTCCTCCAGCCAGTAGTGACTTAGTGCCATGGAGACAACAGTACCAGAATGTATAATATTATATGACATGAACAACAGAGTGTATGATGTGACATCACCAACAAAGAATATGATGTGACATCACCTACAAAGTGTATGATGTGACATCACCAACAAAGTATACGAAGTGACATCAAATTGCAAACCTTATGATGTGATATCAATGACAGAGTCCATGATGTGGCATCATTGAAAAAATTAATGATGTGACATCTACGACAAAGTGCATAAAATGACATCAGCATCAGAATGTATGATGTGACACCAAAACCACAACAAATGAAAATTAATTTCAATTTAGATAAATTAAATCAATACCAAAAAGCACATCAAAGTACTTGTATGTATGATTTATCAATCGATATGTATGACATGACACCAACATTTATGACATCTAAAATTTTTATGATATGACATCAAATCAGAATCCATTAGTTCACACACCTTATGTGTACAACACATTATAAGTGAACAACATGTAAATTCATATTCTCATATATTTTCCCATGTACAAAAAAATTCATAATTTATATTTCTAGATTACTAGTTATAGTAGTATTACTAGATATGTATTGTAGTTGAACAACACATAGAAGCTTCTCAAGTCAAATTGGTAAACTATTTAATTTCAATCAACCTCAATACATAACGTCAACTGTCAATTATCACAAAATGAAATGATCACTTTTGTCTGTTCATATGGCAAAATACCACAAGGCCTTAATCACATTACCCTACCCCCACACTGTAGCCTGTATTTCTTTAAAAGGGATACAGGCTACAGTGTAGTCGCAAATGCAGGACACTTGTTTTTGAAGGTATACTAGATGTTACATATTCCAAGTATTCTAGTGTACATTTTATAGATTCATTGAGCAGTTTGCATTGTATTATTACCAGAAAAGTTCCACAGACAAAGATAGAGAATATCCGCTCCATTTGCAACTTCAATGTAGCCTGTATCCCTTTTAAAGAAATACAGGCTCATTATGGGGGAATGGTAGTGTTTTAATGGTAGTGGTGAGCTCTTTTTTTAAAAATATGACATCAAATTCTTTAAAAGGGTAGGAGAAAACCAGTCTGGATAAACTACTCTACATGTATTTTCAAACAAGGAAGTAATGCCAAAAGGCAGATTGAATTTGCCAAAACTGAACAACATTAACCTCATGGGTGGCCATATATAAGATGTACCGATGTATATGTACAATACATGTATATTATATTACATGTATATTATAGGTACATGTATAAGTATGATATATAATAGCCAGCATAACACAAGGGAGCCATTGTAATGTGAAATCCGTGTTTTTAATTTTTGTATATTAAGGTAGTTCTGCATAATGAGAATTTTTGTCTAACTCTCATGATTATAATTACCAATGATAAATGAAATGGTTAATATTTTTCTTTTTTTATTTGGATGTTTATGCATTCGTGTAAAATTCAAAAAGATTCAAAATCAAATGGAATTGAAATTACATCTCTCCAAATTTCTTTGATTTTTGTGATAGTGCAGAACAACCTTAAAGAACAATTTATTAAATCATTGTTTTCAATAAACTGGCATTACTGTAATGACTATTTAAGTTGAAACATAATTTGACTTAAAAATGAATCCTATACACAAAATATTAAGGCATTATTCAGATAACTTGTAACATGTACATACATTTAAATAATTTATATTATAATAGATTGTTATAAGTAATTTAGACATGAATAAATTCAATAAACAATATTATGTTTTGTAAGATTAATATGGTTGTTATGTTGGTTCTAAGGAGCCCCTTATCGTGTTTAGTTCAATCTGGTGATGGCGAGTTGTAAAAATTGATGAGTTTCATGGATAATCAACTCACTAAACAGGACACTTCATAACTCTGAACTTGTGTTAGTAAATTGAATAATATGACCAACCCTAACCCTAAGCCATAGTAGCCATTATAAATGTATACAGGGTATGTCAGTTTTGGCATATACATTCATCAGTTCTACGCTGAATAGACAAACTGAGATGATGCACTACAGTATTGACAAACAAGGCAGCAAAATGCACAATGTCACCACCTGCCATTTGTTACAGACACTGAAAGCCAACAACCGGACACAGCTCGCCGTCACAAAAAGTTGGGAGACCATAACAATATGTCACCACTTGTGGTGGTAACGTAAAAACGAAAATTGTCCAATTTTTCTGATTTATCTTTGTTTGCACTTTGTTCATAATCTATTAAACAGAATTTGACTTTCAAATATACATGTAGATAGATACATGAATTGTTTTCAAAGGCCAATGAGTGACTATTAGAATGATCGAAATAAATGCAATAAAAAGGCTTGTCAACCCCATTAATGATTAGGATATTCATCAAGTTTGTATTGTTTGTTAGGTATATTTCAACTGAATGACAAATAAAATTGCATCAAATTAATTTATAACGATAGGAATATACCCCTTGCGGAGTACCATAAAAAATATATTTATCTTGAAAGTGCAGTTTTTTTTAATTCAAATGCTACACCAAAATATTTTCACTACAAAATTCTACAAACATGTTAGATAAAATTAATTTGTTTCACAAAATGTGGTCAAATCTTTTTTGATAAAATCTAAGATGGAACTGATACAATTGTGATAAGACGCACTAAAGCTTGTGTAGAAAGTGTGAACCCAATGAAGTCAACTTTTGGAGTTGAACTTATGCGTGAGGATACTTTATAGGAAGAGGTATTAGGAGGTTTAGCCCTTATGCACCCGAAAGTCCAAAAACATACAGAAATGATGGGATAAGTCAACAGAAATGATCTCAACATGGACAATATAAATTTCAACTGATTTATCTCTACATGAAGGGACTTTAAGTCTCAGTAAAAACATTTATTTAGAATATCAGAGATTTTGCAAGTACGTAATCTGTAATTTGCATGTACGTCGTCTTTTTGAATTAGAAGGGCCAAAAAGTCACCAACTGATAAATCGGGAACATCTTTAAGACCAGAAGTTTCATAGATTTTCAAATTCACTGATATCATATACATTTTTAATATCAAAGGCTCTTTTAAATAAAGAATATAGAAATAAATGTAAAAAATTGTCAATTAAATGCATAGGCTAAGGGAAAATTAGTATTAAGCTCAAATTAGAAGATCTTTAATTAAGCTTACTCCTGGCCATGAATAATACTTGTATGTAGCAAGGATATGACAACTTATGTAGAGTTCAGCAATTCAGGTTATCCAAATGTGATAATTGAATGCACAAAATTGAAAGTTATTGGTTGTCTTAGTCATCCAACAAAGAAATTAAAAAAATTGTCATATTATAATTCATTGATTATGATGATATAATAAAACCGTTAAATCTAAATGTCAAAATGTTTCTAGTCTGTATGCCTTGGGGCAGGGTGCTGGACCCGCATCTTCCATGGCCTAATGTCGTGCCATACAGTATAATCCCATCCATCCTTTCAAGATATGCAAGCTTGAATTAATAAAACAAGAACTATCTTTGAAATATGGTAAGCAAAATTCAATTTAAAAAAAAAGATTACATGAAATATCTTTAAAAGGAAGAAAATACCCCACATGTACAACTGACACTAAATAAATGATGGCCATAAAATAAACTTCAGATTTTGTGAAAAGGAAGGTGCCCATAATAAGAAATGGAAAATGTACAATGCATACTTGATAATATGTCAATCATTTTTCCCTTTGAAATCAAAGACACCAAAAAAGATTCAAACAACAAACAGACTCGCATGCTATCTGTACAAGGAGAATCGTTGTAAGGGAGAACAGGAAAAGCTACTTAGAACTTGAATATTAATGTGACCTATCTCTAATACAGGATGATCCTGTTAAAGTTAATGTCTTAATGACTTATGAATACATTAAAATATTTACCACCAGTATAGCAGTTACTGCATAACATATTTAGCTCTTATGTCACAAGTAATTCATGTCATAATGAGACGCTTTCACATATGAAGAGGAATAGAAGCTGATGGTGGATTTACCTGGTTGCAAATCATAAATATATGTCACTATAGAAACAAACAAAGAAACAAACGCAACCAACCAACCAACCAACGAACTGAACAAAGACACACGATGACACTAAATAATAAGTTCAAGCAAAATGATCGAGAAGTTATCTTGAAAATTATGTATCAGAAAAAATATGCACTGGGTATTTACTTGTTAAGCATTCGTTTTTTATATTGCTAAGATGCTCTTTAATACTAACCATACATGTGAATTAGGAATCACATATGAAGTTGATGAGCTCAGAATAAATAATCTTTAACATGAATTTTCGAGGATCACGTTAGCCTACTCCAAAGACATAGCGTGTGAATTGAATTCAAATTAATCAAAAATGTTATTGACATTTTGGGTCATAAACTCTATAAGAACTTTCAGATGGTAGGCATATATTTAAGTTCACTCTAAACTTCCATCAACAGTTAGTTTCATTTAAAATCATTTAAGAGCTTTTTGATGTACTTTCTAATTATAAGCAGTTTGTTATGGTTTATTATAAGCTATAATTAAAGGTTGTCTACCAGTGAAAGATGGCAATCGAGAATAGGATTCTGTAATAGAATTTCAAATGCTTATCTCTTTTCTGTCAATTTATCAAAAGTAAAAAGGTCGAATGTGTCAATGCCAGATATACTATACCAAACAAAATGCATAATAAAAATAAGGGGGTTTGTAAGGGGGTTTGATAAATATATTCAGCACCAAAAAAGGATAAATTATAACTGTGAGAATGTTTGCAAGTAGTCAAGGTTGCTCCGTCAGAATTATTATAAGGCATTTTACATAAACTGATATATCAAGTTTCTGATGTTCTATTAAAGATCATAATGTTTGAGCTGATATCAGCATCAATAACTGATAGGCTAGGCAAATGGAAGTTTAACATCCCAAAAATTGCAACAGTTTTTAAATTAGGCTTATATTGTATATTGATACCAGTTGAAAAACATATCAAAAATATAGAAAAATATATGCAGTGGACAAATATGAAATGTCACATTCCAGGTACCCCCCTCCAAATTTGAGTATGGGATTGTAAATATTTTTTAATTTCAAAATGGAATACTCTTGTCAACTAAACGAGTAATATTATGATAGTTTACTGACATAAGAGCAACTAAAAATTGTTAACCAACTATTTGAGTGCAATAATTGGCATTTCTAGCGCCAAATATCTGAAAATAGGCCATCAAATAGCCCGAATTTAATATAACAATGTATTTATTTCTGTATCAATTCATCAGAATTGCATGAAAAATATCAAGGAGGGTATTGTACACCTGAACATTGTCTTTGATAAATATCAGGGTCATTAAGTGAATATTGAGCGTGAAAATAATATTTGAAATTTCAATATTTTACCACACCCACTTTTGGGGTGACCTTACTTTTGTTTAATTACTTCCAAGATATGTCATATTTGAACTCAATAGCACAACTAAATTATTTGTAAAGGCTTATTTTGTCCTGAAAACAGTTTTTTGAGGTTTTCAGGAAAGGATTATGTAAAAAAAAAGTAGAAAAACAGCAAATGCCAGGTGAAATATAGGGGAAGCCCTACTTTTAGTTGATATCTGTTAAATTATCAAATGTTTTTTCCTTTTAAATTCAATTTGATATATAATATACATTTCTGGTAAAACAGAGAACGATTTGTTACAATCAGTGGTCAAAAAATGTCCTTGAAAAGGCAACAAAATGTTAAATATCCCTGTCCCTGACATCAGTTTATAATATGAGCCAAAAAAGGTAACCCAACCAAATG